GTTGGTCTATTAGGAACCTAATTGTCTTCCCCTTAAATATTGGGTTTAGATTCTAGATAACCTACTCTAGGAGTTTTTTATAATCTTTAACTCCTATAGTCTAAGATTTAATTATCTCTAGTTTATACTTCTTCTTCTTCTTCTTGAGTTTCTTAGGCTTTATAGGCTTAGGGACTAAGACTAGTTAAATAGGGGGTTCTTTTTAGGTATAGAGTTAAGATATAGGGGCTAGGGTTAGGTTAGATAATTAAATTAGAGTTAGACTTAGTAATATCATAGTGGGTTAACTAATAGTTAATAACAATAGCTTATTAGCTAGCTCCCTATCTTCTAGATCTATTACTTAAAATTCCTTCTTAATACTAAGCTTATTCTTAATAAATTTAATTACACACGTTTCCTCTATATATATTATAACTCTCCTCTTCCTCTCTTTTTATATTATAACTAGGAACTTCTAGTCTAGCTAGCCTAGTAGGCGGCTTCTCTTCGCTAGGACTATATATATACCTTCTAAGGGGAGAGATCTCCGACTCTAGTATTAAGATACTAAGATTATTAGGTTTATTAGGGTGCTCTTATTAGAATATCTAGGGCTTAGTATAATATATTAAGATGTATCGAATAGTACTAAAAATGTGTTTATAGATTTAATAGTTAATAATAATTTTTATAGGAAGTAACGCTAGAGCCTTCTAATCTATGCTTTCTTATATAAATTAGTTATAGGTACTATTAGCTAAACTACCATTAAATGTAATTCTACTATAATAACTAGATATAGGTGAGAGAACTATTAGGTAGATGCTAGCGTATATATAAGAGGCTATAAAGATATCTTAGACTTGCTAGGGATATTCTATCTATAAAAACTACATTTAAATCTTGCTTAGTGTATATAGATATCTATATGTATTAGTTTAAGATATTCTAGTAGTAGAGCTAAAGGTTCCTAATCTCTATAAGCGCTAGTAAGCTGTAGGTAGCTTAGCAGCGCTAGGCTTTTCCTAATCTATTTTAAGAGCTCTTACTAGTAGTTAATTCCTTAGTACTATAGTTACTAGAGTTATTAATCACCTATTACGCGTTTTTATTAACTATTTCTATAAGGTAAGTATCTAGATCTTCGCTCTCTAACTCTAAGCTTAAATTAGTAAGGTCTACTGCCTTTAGCTAGTCTAGCGCTAACTCTACGCGCTTTAAAGACTAATAATATATCTTAGAATCTATTCTAGAAACCTTAATGCAGTAACTATAAATATCTTTAAAGGAAAGATACTAGTACTTATATATTTTCTTTACCTTAGCTAAATATAGAAATCCGCGGCTAAGTAAAATAGTATAGGTTATATTCCTATTACTAATATATACATTTACTTATCTTAGTTACCTAGTAATTAATAGATTAAACTATACTATATCTACTATAATACCGCTACCCTCTACGTATAATATTTTAGTAGGCTATTACTAATTAATTAAAAGGTATAAACGTTCTACTATTTTCTAGTTTATAATATTTATAGTGGAACTACCATCTAATAGAATATATTATACCTAGTAGAGAGTCTATAGATTATTTATAAGATAAATATACCGCTTATATAGAAATTACGGATCTTTAGAATATAGGCTAGTATCTTTATAGGGTTAGTAAAGTCTATAGCGTTAATTTTCTTAACTATAGGTACTAGTAGAAAAGTTTACGTTAACTTTTCTAGTTATAGTTAACTATTATTTATAGAAGAAGCGAAAGTAATCTTCTTAGCTCTCTACTTTATTAGGCGCATAAGACTATAACTAATTTACGAGGTAATATAAGAAGTATTAGTAATAATATACCTCTATATTAACCGGTCTTACTTAGTAATCACCTTATTTATAATAGTACCTATAAAGTTATATTCTAGCCTACCCTATATATACTAGGCATATCGCTAGACTATAGCCTTTTTTATTTTCTTTATTTTTAAGCTTATGCGCTTCTTAGCTAGTTAATTATCTTCTATTAGACTAACTATATCCGCCTCTTATTTCTCTACTATATAGATTTCTATCTCTAAATCTAAGTTAGTTAAGACTTCTATAAATTCCACTTAATGTGTCTCGCCTTAGTAATAATCTATATAGGCAGCATCAGCCTATTTAGATATCTTATTATATCTATAAAATAAAGCCTTATATCAGAGCCGCTCATCCTAACTAATAAGCTTATTATAGTCTAGTAAGAAGTACCCTACTTAATAGTAGATATAGTAGACCTTAGCGTTTAAATTAGAAGGTTCCTATAGGCTAAGGGTACTTAGTACTATAATAGTAGATTTCGGCTTAAGTGTGAATATATTAGGCTTTTATACCTATTATTAACTATTATTAAGGTTTAAAGTCTTAAATACCTTCTCTATTCCTTCTATAAGTGCCTTTACTATAGTTTTAGCTATTTAGTTAATTAGATCTATTAGGTCTATTAATTTCCTTAGCTCTTCCTTGTCCTTATTCGAAGTATTAATATCTAAGGAAGTAGTAAAACCTTTAACTGATACTAATAGTAGAGCCTAGGTAGTATCTTTAAAGGTATAATAATCCTTAAAGTATAGAAAGGTTCCCACTAATTCCCTAACTTATTCGTTCTTTATATAGTTTACTATATATTAAATAATAGAGAGAGATATCTCTACTAGAAGTATATTATATATTTCTCTAGCTTATTTAATATAGATATCTATAGATTCACTACCCTACCTAAGCGTCTAGAGCTTATTAGCTACCTCGCTGACTTTATTTAGAAGAGTATATATTATAGACTACTCTTTAAGTTCCTTATATATTTCTATCTAGCTTAAAGTAATAATGGGCGATAATAGTAGGAAATACTTAAGGGTCTTGCTAGCTAGATACTAATATAGTGTTATTATTTTTACTAAATACTGTTCGTGCTCGTCTCTGTAGTACTATAGAAGTAGTAAGGCCTTAATTTTAATCTATAGTAGAAACTCGTTAATATCTTATATTATATACCTATAGAATTTAGTAATATGTATTACGTCTATAGCCACAAACATTATAACTTTATTAACTAATACTATTATCTATAAAGCTAATAAGGCTATTATTAGCTAGGTTAAGGAATTAATATCTACTTTAAATAGCTAAGTGCAACTATTAGTTAAGGTAGATAATACTAATAATCCTAGTAGTTAGCCTTTCTACTAAAAGTTAGATATATTGCCTATTAATAGTCCTTCTAAAGTTAAAGGTAGAGAAGCTATAACTACTAGCTACCGCAATATTCTAGAAACCTAGGATAGTCTTATAATAGTTATAACTAATAGAAGTCTCTCTTTTATCGTTCGCGATATTATTCGATAAGGCCTACTAGTAGTAGGATACCACTTTATAACTAATAGTGTAGTACTTTTTAAGAGACTGTGAGATAGTGCTTTTATTAGACTAATTAATAGGTAATAATCTAGAATCGGTTTCGGGATACTACTAACTATTATTAGTTAGCGTATAGGCTAAAGTATACTTTGTAATAGTGTTCTATAAGCTTAGAACTATCTTTTTAGAGTAGTAGAAACACTCTTCTTACTTATTAATTATAATTAGTAACTATTAGAGTTTATATAGATAAAGTAACGCTAATAGCTTTATTATTAACTAATATAGCTCGTGCCGTATATATACTAATATAGTAGGAGTAGTAGCTAATATAAGTAGCTACTTAGTTGATGCGGGCTAAGGTTACCTTAAAGGTAATAATAAGGAATATGTGTCGAAGCTTTTAGGTAGATAAGCTTCAAGGAGAAACTACACTTAAAGAACTCTAATATAGGCGTGTAAGTAGTAATAGAGTATAAACTAGTTAATTACTAGTATCTAAAAAACTACGTGCAAGAAGCGCTTTTAAAGTTCACTAGTTTGCTAAGCCGGCCAAATAACGGTTAATATTAGAGGCAGGAGCTAGTTGCTCGGTTCTCCCTCACACCGGGGGGTTTAAGGGAGAATCCCCTATAAAAAGGAAGTTAGAAGGCGGGCGAGGCAACTACCTTAGTCGCTTCACTTCTATTAACAGAAGATTAGGGCCGCCGCTACGTCGCTCCGCTCCTTATAGGCAGGAAAGAGGGCACGGACAGGTCGCCTTCGGCGAAAGGTCGGAGGCCGCCGCTCGTCGCTTCGCTCCTCGCAGGCGGCTAAGATATTGACGTTGGCCTTTTGCATGCCGATTGGGACTTGCGGCCGAAGCTAGCGTTGATCGAGTGCCGTTTCAAGCGATATGGGACGGAATCGTGAAAAGCGTCATGGTTGCTGAATGAAAATCTTGGTCGAGAACCTTGTCTCTCTAAACGACTCGCCGTCATGGTGGACGCTTCTTCTGTCTTTGCCAGCCAAACGAGAAATTCTTGAGGTGATATGCTCAAGGTGGGACAGCAGAGAGCAAATCCTCTTGGCGGGAGTTAACGGTCATGTGACGTGGCTGTTGCTCGGGTAATGCGAGCAAGCCGCAATGCTCAGTTCTGTCTTGGGCGACTTCGAACTCCCAATCGAGTGGAATCCGCTTGAAAAGCCGATGAGAAAGCCAAACCGTTGCGGCTCAATCCAGAAGATCTTCCAAACTTGCAGCCATCAGCATCATCCCGTCATTAGTCTGCCGCGCTGTTGCGTTTCTGTCCTCTCGGGACGCTCGGTGCTCGGCGCTCGGCGCAAGAGAAGGCTAAAAGTGAGCGTTGCTGCTCTTGACACTGGAGATGGCCCAAAAAGCCGCAACAGTCATTGCAGCCGCCCTTGGCGTGCAAACCTCTGCTGACATCACAGCGCTGTCGTCATAACACGCGGGAGCTCTTTTAAGCAGCAAGGCAGTCCGGTTCCCACCGCATTTCAGACCTCATCATCCAACAATCTTGTCGACCATTTCCGCGACATCTTCAACGCGCCCATCTTCATCGACCCTACATTCAGCCTCTTCGCATTCTCACCACCGTCCGTCTCGAGCCGTCGCAATGGTGTCCAAGACGATCAACATCGCCATGCGTGGCCTCCAGGTATGCCGCTCACCAACAGCATTCCAGTTTCACAGCTAATCGTTGGCAGTTCCTCTGGGCACTCCTCATCATGGCACTCGTCGGCGACATGATCGCAACCTCCTTCGCCGGCGATCACAGCATGGTCAACTTCGACATGTTTGTGGCAGTATTCGCTATGCTCTCGCTGTTCTACCTCATAGCCGCTACCATAATGGAGAGCATTTTCATCCCGATCGCCGTCATTACACTCGACGTGCTCAACACCGTGCTCTTCCTTATCGCTGGTATTGCGACCGCAGCATACCTTGGCGTGCACAGCTGCAGCAACGATGTACGTGTTTCACTCACTCAGTTCCGTTCGGCTTGTTGCTAATGGCACATAGGAGTACACTGAGAGGAACGTCATCACCAACGGCTCACTCAATCGTGGCAAGCGCTGTCGCGAAGCACAAGCCGCGACCGCATTTCTCTGGTTCGGCTTCGCTGCATTCGCTGCGTCTGCCGTGCTCTCGTTCATGCAAAGCCGGGGCAGCGCCAATATGAGGTCCGGCGGTATCCGCAGGGGCCCGACTATGAGCCAGGTTTAAGAAACTTCAGTTTAGACTGAATGTTCCACCGGACACTGACTGCCGCCGCGGCCGGCATATGATACCACGACGCTGGGTACGAACTATGGAACGATATTATCCAGTAGTGGGACTTCAACTTTGGGCGTTGGTCATTGAAAGACGTTTGGGCGTTTAGCTACTGGCACCTTTTAATTAATGTGTAAAACCTGTATCACTACCTAATATAAAGACCACCTCCCCCATACAACTTTACTGTTGATTGATCTTGATAAAACACTCTTGCAAGGAAAAAAAATGCTTTGTTAGAGATATGATATTAAAATTCGACTGTCAATCTTGCGCGACCACACATTTTTAAATTTGTCATAATGTCACGTGATCATCGCTCACGCACCCCAGTCATGACATTCAGGAGAAACAGGCGTCACCAGGCATCAGCCCCTCTGCAAGAGCCTTCCTACCTTCATCGACAAGTCCGTAGATGGACCGAGATGGATTAAGCATATTTTCAATCCATTCAAGCGCCGTGAAGCCGCCGTGAAGCCGCCGTGAAGCCGCCGTGAAACCGTAATGAAGTGGCTGCACGCTTCACGGCACCCCGTGCGCGATTGCACAAAGGGGACGGACGGGACTGGGTTTTTCATCTCCGCCTGATGTTGAAGCAGAGTCCGTTGTAGCGAGCATGCCTGGTGAGACTTGGGTTGAGAAAGAGAGGTTAATCCGCTTTTCGTCCGCCGAAGTGGGTGGGGCCTGAAATCACGAAACACTCGTGAAGAGGTGAAAATGAGCACCGAAACCAACGTAACGCATGAAGAAGCTTCAGGAGGCGCCTGATGTAAGCGGCGTGATCTGATCAGCCGCCTAGTCAACAAGTCTGTTCAGTGAGGAGCCTCCGCTGCACATTTCCTATTGTCTGTTCCACTTCGACTCTTGAAAAGGCAACAGTCGATGGACGAATGTCGGCTGAGCATATGACTCCTTCGCCTGCCAGACTTTAGAGGAGTTTAATTTCAACGGCTCACTCTCCAAGTCATAAGTGCCGTTGGCTTCTTTTGGTCATCCTAGAGCTACCAGGTGGAGGACGAGTGTGCGAGTACCACCCTAAGCAGAGAGAATTCGTCTCACGCTCGCCTCATCACGCATCAGAACCACAGCTCGTCTAACAACGCGTACGCCGGACTGATTTCGCCAACCAGAGGATCCATAGCAAAGACGACAACTGAAGAGTTGCAGAAGCCATCAACACGTTACCACGCCGGGCTCCATTCTCAGCCGAACTTCTCTCAACGCCAGATACGCCTGCCACCGATTAGTAAAAAATGCGTCGTACAGACGGAGCCTTCACGTACCAAATCCAACAGGATTTTCTCCCTGTTAGTCCATTGCGGACGAAAACCCAACACAGCAAAAGAAAACAGCAGAGGCTCTACTTCTGAGGGACTAATCTGATTAAGGACACCATCTAGAAAGAACAAACCTTCGGCAAGATCTGGTGGATATCCCAGACGAGCGGCATCCAGAAGCCTGTGGGAAGCGTTAACGGAGAAGGGAAAAGACTTAGCATGGATAGGACGTACTCCTCGGTCGTAGCCAAAGCCTCCGAAATCAAGGATTGGTACTCAACAATTTTATCCACGGCATCTTTGCACGTCATTGCACTGCGGCCGCTGAACGCCTTCGGTTCTTCTGGGACCGCGGCCTTAGGCTCCTTGACAATATCACCAACTGCTGGGCCATGGCTGAGAGCTGCCGACAACCATCCGCTGGTGCCCGAGGGCACTCGCAAGCTTGATCGGCTTTTCTTAGCCGGTGAATCGTGAGCAGACGGATTCGAATCGATCCGTTCTTCGACACTGGCGTGTTCCCGCTTCCTTCGATTCGGAGGTTTGGACCAAGGTTGTATGATCCAAGAGTCGTTAATGGCCGGCAAGCGCGGTAGATTCGACGGCACTGACGCGGCTACCGGAGTGCGGTAGAAAAGCCTCCGCTCGTGGTCGTTCATCAGTTCAGGCGAAGCGCACGGCACGTCGAGCACCTGAGGTCGCGGCCCGGCTGGGAGTGCGGCTCTTACTGGGGCTGGAAGTATGTACATGTACTGTGACATCATCCGGGAAAGGAAATGGTCTGGACCCTGTTGACATCTTATTGGGCACTCCACGTCGTCGCAAGTACCACACAGCGTTGGATCCTGCAGCCCTATGGGCTTCCCAGCATTCAAAGTCGAAAACAATCGCTCCGGAACTTCGTAAATCCTCCATCTTTGGGTATCAAGATCCACCATTGCCTTGTGTACCAGCATGTACCGTCCGCGCAATAGTGGTCTTGTTTCCTTGGGAATTTCACGCCTCTCGATAAGGTTTCGGTCTCCAGTGGGCATCGGTCGCCACCACTGCTCTTCCCGGGTAAACTCTTTGATGAAGAAACAACCGTGTTGAGATCGTTTTCTGGCGGGATCTGTCCGGTGAAAGTGCAAGTACAGTTCCTTCTCTTCTAAGTCTGTCATTCTGCTCGTCAAAGAATAAGTCACAATTGCCACTGGTACTGCTCTTGAGAATACGTGTTGGAGGAAAATATAATTCTTATTGGATGCAGTACAAAAGACAAATTTCCGCCCGGTACAAAGAGGTTGCTATGGGTCAACAACATCGCCACTGCTTCTCGAGCGACGTTCCTTCCTCAACGCCCCTTCCTACTGCAGTACCTCGACACCGAACAACACAAAAAGGAAGATGTCCTTCAGGCCTGCCTCGCGGATCCCGGCCCTTAGAACTGGCGGCATGGACGGCATTGCATCGGTGACAGGCTACACCCTCGGTGCAAATGGATCATGCTGCGCCCTGAATCCAGGCGGCAGATAATCCGCTGTTGGTGCCGGTCCCAGCTTGGGATTGGCCAGAGTTGGAAGCGGCGGTCGGCTACCAGCATCTTGCCACGCCGCGTATCCCTTCCAAAGCCTATCCCGTATGGCGGCGGTTTGTGAGATACGCCTTGCCTTCGCTTCCTGCCGCATCTGTTCTTTCTCTTCCTTCGGGTCATGCCGCGCCTGGAGAGCTGCGAACTGCCGTTCCGAAATTTTGCCCAAGGGCAGACGGCGAAGCGTCTTGCTCAAGAGCTGACGGTCACGCGTGGGCTTCTTCAAAAACTGATGGGGTCGGCGTACTGTCAGCTTTTCTTGCTTCACCTCCTCTTGCTTCACCTCCTCCTGCTCTACCTCTTCTTGCTCCATCTCTTCTTCTTTGCCCATGGAGTCATGCAGCGCCTGAAGGGCTGCCAACTGCCGTTCCGAAACCCTGCTCAAGGGCTGGCGTCGACGAAGGGCCTTGCTTAAGAGCTGGCGATTACGGGTGTTCGTGCGCAAATGCTGATGGCGGCGAGGCACCGTTTCAGACCACTTGCCCATCAACGACGGCGAGTCGACGATGGACGGATCGAAACCCATGGATCCGTAGTTGTCGTCTTCTTTTTTGACGACTGGCGAGCTTGGTCCAGCCTCCATGGCGTCGATGGCCTTCTGCGAAAAGTCCAGGTCTTTCGGAGGACGAGCGTCCATATGGACCCAGAATCGACGCGCCTTGTTCATTCCGTCGTCGAATTGAGGTTTTCGCTCCACGAAATGTCTGGCGTAGCATACGGCTTCTGGCGCTTTGCAGAATCGGCGGCCCATGACTTGGTGCCGTGCCACAAGGACTGGGTGCCACTCATGTGGCACCTGGTCTGGTGTGTCAGCACCATGTGGCCTTGGATCGAAAAGGAACCGCCGGTACGGGGCGGTCTGGTAGTATGGCGTGATGTTGGTACTGGGATACCAACCGCTCTTGTCTAGCGACGGATCACTACCCTTGATGTTCGCGACGAGATCCATGCTGCCAAACTCGTTGGTGCTTTGGTATCCAAGGAATTGACGGTATCTGACCTCTTCCGCGAGTGTCGACGGCAGTTTATCCCGGAACTCTAGACGGACCTGCTCCGCCTTTTGCTCCCACCAGACAGGGTTCTTCCACCGGACCATCTCTTGGTTGTAACCCTGAGTCCATTCAGGGAAAAGAGTCTTCCGGTCGTATTGGATGTCTTGATCGGACTCGCTCGGCGGCAGCGGTGCCTCTCCACTCCCAGTCGCAGTCGTGAGCGGCTCATCGTATCCTCTCAGTGCAGAGTCCAGCTCATTGCGTTCTGCTTCGGAGCTCTTCTTGTCCGCCTCTTGTTGTGCGAAGAAGGCCGCGAAGCGCGACTGCTTAGCCGGCTTCTTTGATGGTGCTTCAATAGCAGCCCTGTTCGAGATGGGTGCTGGTTCCGTTCGTCCCTGGGATGCCTGGTGACCTGGCTTTGAGCCGATCGAAGGGGATGCGTTCGACTCCGAGGGTGGCGACGTTCCGCTTCCGCCCGAGTATCCGTCCTGCTTAGAACTTCCCTCTTGTTCCGAGCTTCCGAATCGTTCGAAGCTTTCCCCTTGCTCAGAGCTTCCCTCCTGCTCAAAGCTTCGATCTTCCTCAGAGCTTTCATCCTGTTCGAGGTCTCCATCCTGCTCCGAGTATTCATTTTCCTGAGAGCCTTCATCTTCTTCAGAGTCCTCATCTCCGTTAGCATCATATTGATGTGCTGGGACTTCCCAGGCATCAGGGAACTTGTCCAGGAAATGCTTCGATGCCTTGTCTGACACTTCCTCCAAGACCTCCGGGTCGGAGAAAATCAGCTGTGCGTTCGGCTTTGGGATCAGCCGGAAGTGTTCTCGGTGTCCCCATTCTGTCCAGACCATAATGTGTTCCTTCGCGCCTTCAAGGTCGCGATCACGGGTCGACTCCCTCCAGTCGGGCCCCTGGAACTTCTCGCCACGTGGGATGGCTCCATCCAGACCATTCTCCTCTGCCCATTGACTGAGCTCATCGTCAGTGCAGGGCCCGGAGAAATGAAGCGGTGCACCATCGTCCACGGTGCGACGGTTACGACGAGAAGGTACGGACAGCAAGTCATTCCCAAGGAGCTCCTCTTGGTCTTCCGGCGTGACGACTGCTGCTTTTCCGGATGACTGGACATCCTGGAATCTATCAGCCAAGTCGTGTGTCGTGTGAGAAGAGTCACGTACCCTCTTTCTGGACAAGTCACGTTGCTTTACAAGACGGCGACGATGGACGACTTGCATGCAATCGTCGTTGGATGCCTTTTCAGCTGCCTCTAGTTCCTCGGACGGCTGGCTCTCCTGGATGTCATCAGACGAGGTACAGACCACTCGGGGACGGAGACGTACCTGATCGAATGTGGTGGTGAGCTCTTCATCCAGGACGGTGTCGATGGCAGCAGTGAGGATCGCTTCGTCAGCTGCAGAGGGTATAAGAACCCCATCTTCCTTTAGTTGCTGCTCAAGACGGTCAGTTGCAGTCTCAAAGGGATGTTAGATCAACCATTTGTCGGCGGGGACGGTACATACATCTGCTTCTGTGGACGAGCTTGGTGTTGGAGGACGTTTGGTATTGTCCTCATCCGCCATCGATGTCTCGGAGACATCTTCTTCAGCCAGCGAGTGCTCTGATGGGGTCTCTGGTGGTGTGGGAAGGCCGGTGTTCGGCTTGGTAAACGCTTTGGACCCAAAGGGCCGTGTGCGGTCGATGATCTTACCGCTAGTCGGAACGGTATGTTGGTCCGCCTTGTGTGTCAGGGGATGGCGAGTAGCGGAAGAAGAAGAGAAGGTGAGGCTATTCGCGAGGCAGCCGATGTAGGATGATAGGGGCTGAAAGGCATTGCAGAGCTCTTCCAGGTGTTCTCCAGCTGGTTCGGGTCCGTGCAGAATGTCGGAGAAGGACGACAAGGTAAGTGTGTCCTTGATGTTGATCATGCTGATCGGGATAGGTTGGAATGCTTCAAGTAGCTCTTCCAAGTACACACCGGCGGCTGCAACGGACACGGAAGAGGCCTTGCCCATCCCAACTTTCGATGAGTCTGTACAAGCTTGAGTGTTAGGATGATCAACAGCCATTTCGTATAAGTGGATCGAGTTCTTACCGGTCTGCGAACATTTCGTGGTGTTCTCGATCGCCGAAGATACGAGAATCAGCGCGAATATGATCCACAGCGGTAGCCATGGATGCTCATATGAGCTGATGAAGAGTAGGGCGCAAGCAAGGATGAGTTGGGTCATTGTGCTTGCCATCGCGTCCACCGGTCGAGGTTCTTGAGTCTGTTGAGAGTGTTTCGTAGCCCAAGTCTGGAAAGAAGTGGATGAGGTCGGGCCTCTATGAGTTTCTTCTGATGTTGAGACGATATTGCGCGTTGCGCTTCTGAAAGAAGAAGATGAGTGTATGGTGTTGAGGATGGTGAACAAGAATATCAGCCAGCTCAGTATGGGTCCTAGATGGAAGATGTTGAGTTGTTCAACAGGTGTGGAAGAAGAAGAGGTCGAGGGAGGTCGAAGAAGAAGAGGTGGTATGTTTGCTCTCGCCTACGCGGTCTGTGACTGAGTAGGTAAACAGGGTGAAGTCGTCGACTAGTGCCGTTGCGCGCGCTGAGGTCGTGGTTTGCCTTGGTGACTTGGGATCATTCACGTATACGGCACCCAGCAACGGGGCACGCGCTGCCGACTCGCCAATTCACGAGCACACGGCGGCGGATCCGGCCAGGACAACTTTACGGGATGGGCCAGCCCATTGGCCGGCTCTAGATGTTTGCTCATTGCTCACTTCCGTGGGGCCAGCAGCAGACGTGCAAATGAGTTCAGCCCGCCGTGGAAAGTTTCCATCCGAGCATGGGCCGGGGAGCAGTAACAAGACCGCCTAGGAGGCCGCCTGGATGTTCTATATTGACAAGAAATTCTGAATATACGAAAGCGTATCTATGGCGGCATCATGGATACAACCGTTTGCTAAATTCCTGAAGTAAGGACTGAACGTGCACCGTTGGAACCGCGCGCCCTGTCTGACAGACGTTACGCAACAACAACGCTCCAGGAGAATAGCAGAAGCATCTCGGGGATGTTTCGACCGCGGCTCGCCCAGGAGAACAAGAGACTGCACAACGAAACGAACAAAGCCGTATCCTGGTCCCTTGAAGAACTCCGGCCAGACAATGAGATATAGATGCAGCCCTTTCTTTTCTTAAAGCTTCTTTGTCCACACACGCTCCAGACCGTTACTTGGTATCAGAATAACAACGAGCGGGACGCTGAGGTTGGCAAATACTGCACAAAGTTGACCTCGCAAATACTCCGCAACTTATGCCATTGAGTCAATTATGGCTGTCTGCAAACTGGGCAATATTCAGGGGCTGCATGGTAAGTTCTAAGCATCCCAAACGCTGCTAGAAATAAATGGATCAAGTAGCCCAGAGGTTTGTCCGGCCGGTTCATCTTTAGTCAAAGCTGTTCCATCGCGTTATGCGATCCATTCAGGGCAGCTTTGATGATGTATTGTAGCTTCGCATGCATCTCAGCGAGCTCTTTCAGAGGGGTCTTGCACAGATACGAGGCGCTCTGAACCTGTATTGGAATGTCATCTCCTCCATCAATGGGATGAAGTTGACAATCACGTGACAAGGAGCGGTCATTTTAGCTGAGTGGTCCGTGCGTGCACCTTACTGCAACTACATAGATGAGAGCGACACATCCCACACTCTGCACTCTACAGCAGCAAACCAAGCAGATGCTTCTGTACTGATAGTGTATTCAGTATTCAATCTACTTCTGATCCTATATCTACAGTGCTACTATGCTTCTGCAGCCTCTTCAACCCGCCGAGCGCATCGATCGCGTCCCCCTCTTCCCCTAAAAATCCCATACCAAAGCCTGTCCCTCTCTCCATCTAATCCAAATCCACTCCTCCTCAAACTCCTCTAGCGATCCTCGCAAACCTCCCCTCCCTTGGCGGTGTCTCATCCATTACCCCAACATCCGCCCCGCTCGCCCCCTGCCCACCCGCCGCGGCACCTCCAACTCCAGTCCCGCCCCTGATACCCAGCACCCTCTCCCTCTCCCTCAACTCTTCCATCATTGCCCTCTCCTCCACCGCACCCGAGTTCTCCCGCTCGTCGTCGATGGCGCGCTGTGGCGTCAGGACGAAGCGTGGGCGGCGGGTGTGCGCAGAGCGCAGCACAGTTGCCAACGTCGGTGCTGTTTCTGTTAACATCGCAAGCGCTGTAGTCGAGATAGTGGATCTTCGCGCGGGCGGGACGGTGCGGAAGTGGTGCGCACGCGCAACCTCGCCGCCGCGGAGGAAGACTTGGTCGGATTCTACGGAGCCGGGGGTGGGGTTGGGATGGGGAGCGTAGTGGGTTGTTGGTCCGAGGATGCGTTCTGAGCTCGTGGGACGAGGTGGACTGGATACTTGGACGTCTGGCTGGGTGGTGATGCGGGCTGTGGCTGAGATGGGAGAGTCGTGGGGAGAGGTAGTGCGCGGTGCGGCACGGGGTGCGAAGTCGCGGGCTTGGATCGGAGGCGAGGTGGTGGGTTCTGAACTCGGCATCGGCGCGGTGGAAGGGCGCATGTCGAGAAAGGCCGTGGTGGCCGCTAAGACTGTCTCGTGGCTTCCACTTTGAGCGAGACTTCCTCCCGGGGGAATTGTGCGTAGCTGCGGCAAGGGGCAGCGTGGTGGATACGGCGAGTCCGGTTTCGGTCTTGTAGCAGCGGAAGACGGAGTACTACCTGCAGGAGGTACATCAGAACCACGATGGCGCCGTTCCGGAGAGTCGAACAGAGGCACGCGAAAGGTCTCTCGGGGCGAGGTGCGGCGAACTGTGCCGAAGGACCGGATTGATGGAACCTGCGGGAAGTACGAAGTGGCCTCCAGCTCGACAGATTCTAGCGGTGATGGCACGTTCGCGAGCGCGCGAATGGAGGCATCGTCCGAGGATGAGTTATTGGTGTTCGTAGAAGAGTGGGTGCTGGATGAGCTGCTGCCGCTGCTGATGCGCGAGCGTATGCCTTGCATGAATGCTGCGTCATCAGCGGGTGGGCGTGGAAGGGTAAGGTTGGGCGAGGATGAGGACGAAGTACGAGCTGCGCTGGGTCTCGTATGTGGAACAGTAAGGCGGCGAGGTGTTTGGCGAGCCTGACCAAGCTCGGGTCCGGAGTAGTCAACATAGTTGGCACTCAGCATTTCTCTCCGGAGTATATCTCTGGCTTTGGTAGCATCATGCACTGACGAAAAGGCAAGATGAACAGAAAACCTTCCTGGACTGTCATGAGGAAGGAACAGGATTCGCTCAATGATGCAGTCTTCCATAATTTCGGAGAACCAGGCTCTATCGTGCCGAGTTGTTGTGCCGGAAACGCCGATGTATCTCGTTGGGCGGCACTTCATGGTCTGTGATACTGATCTTGGGCGAAGCAGATGAGGCGCGGAATGACGATATGACGTTGCGAAGGTTGATGGGTGTGCGGAAACTAGCCTACTGCTATACCGCAGCGGTGGCTGTGGCGCGGCTGGAGAGCTGCATGTAGCGCCAACAGCATGGGCAATGCCAGATGCTTCTCGGTCTGCTGCTCCGTCGAGGTTCAATTGTTCCATGGCACGATGAAGGTTCACACGGGTAGTGGCATCGAGAGAAGTACCATGGCGCCTGCTCCCACCGAAACCGGGAACTGAGGCCTGCTTGAGCGGTGTCGATACTTCTCCCTTGTCTTCTGAGGACATCTCGACGTCCGTGGAGGATTCTTTGGAAGATGGAAAGTGCGGATAAGGTATACCGGGTTGCAGAGCTGGAAAATATCCATGATTGTGGGAAGTGACGGCTTCGTCTCGTAAGCGTGCCGGGCCACGACGGAGTCGAGGAGCGGCGTAAGAGACAGGCTGACTGACCCAGCCCCTGGCAGGCTGTCGGCTGGCTAGACGGCGTATTGCTCTGTCGGCATCGGAGGACGTGAGGACTATTTCAGATGGTGACAGACGGATCATACTGGTGCTCCCAGCACTTGACTTGCTTCAGAAGCTTGATTGAGGAGGTTTTAGAGGAGACAGAAGTGACTGAGCTGATGGACTTTGAGATGAACACTCGTAAAAAGACAACGAGGAAAGACGACAGCAGATAGTTTGGGACTACCTCCCAGCAGTTGGGCAAGCCGACTGTTAGTCGTCAACTTATGCCTACCTGACATATTTTCTGAACTGCATGTGCTTGTTCCATACGAGAAGTAGGAAAGTGCCCACGAGCGACAACTTAGGAAGGATGTCCCTCTAAGGACCCGTACTGGGCTCTACTGCGTGGAAGCATCTTTGACCTCTCGTCGAGTTATAGACTGATATTGCCATCTAAGTTATCAAGCGCTAAACGGACAGATTCGCGCTTCATGGTACTGATACACAAATTTATTCATCGGCGCGATCCTGCTGATGAGGGCTTGAATGTTTGACCGGGATTCTGTACAGGCGGCAAAGCCGCACCCCAAATGGCTACTTTCCACTGGAAAGTCTGACATGATCAAAGGGTGTCTCGAGGGCTATTCGAGTGCCCGGAACAGCTACTGCCAGGCACAATGATGGTTGAGACGGTGGGCAAAGCCGGCGAGATGTCACAGGCACGCGTATGCCCCAATTAAACATGCTTCCTGATAGGCACACAATATGTTTCAGTTCGGCTCCCATTTCGTCTATTCCGTCTTTCTGTCTATTTTTGGAGCATCCCGCAAGGGGGAGCCGTTGCAATGGATAGGGAGGATGGGATTCCTAGTCGGCAAGCTGGGAGAGCTGGGAGACCATCGTGTTAGTCAGCGGCAACGCGGCCGATCAACTCCATGCCAAGAACGAGATACTGCGCTGTGACGCCGGCGAAGAGAGCTGCTGATCAAACCCCCGTCCGTGGGCTCGATATATCCCAGCGTCTGTTCAAGTGCTGCCTCTGTCTGCTCCAACAGCGAGGCTTCCCACGTTCGGCTTAGAGCATAGACCCTACGTCGTTCGGCCCGTTTGCCAGCATCCTCCGTCGGCGAACACCTCAATCTCCCCCAGTCATTTCGCCAGCCCCCACCGTCTCTCGCTATCACCATCGCTGCCCGGCACGCCGGCCGTCGCTCGCCTCTTCCTCTTTCCTCCGAAACCACCATGAACGGCGATATCAGTCTGTCCCAGTCGCTGGGCGGCTTGCGCATAGCCAACCCGGACGAGGACAACCTAGCTTCTCCGCAATCACCACCAGAGAGGGACCCAACGACCTCAATGGACCCTCCACCGCCCTCATCGCATTCATCTTCTAGCACCATCACCGAGCGGCAGAGGTCTCATGTCCTTCCTGCTATCGAATCAGAGTTACCATCATCCTCTCTAGGCTTCAATGCCAGCACCTTCTCCACCGACAGTACTCTAGTACCGCAACCACAGTCTCCGCCGTTCCTCGCCGAGCAGCCCTTCTATACTTCAAGACTCAGCCACAGGCAATCCATGCCGCTCGCACACCAGGCGCAACAGCAGATGCAATATCCAACCCACCCTGGCGGGCCTCCAAACCCTGGCCGCAACTACATCGGTGCTCCAGGGACAAGCCCGCGCCCAATGTCTGGATTCTACAACCACCCAAACCTGTCATCGAGCTCGGAGCAGTCGGGCCGCTCAAGATATCGGTACAACGACGACACACCTCCACAAGCGTCCTCTATGGGCCGCAGTAACTCAAGAGCTGCAGCGGCGGGCATGCAAGCAGCAGGCATACCAACACGGGAGCTCAGCCGAAACAGCAGATCGTACCCACCGAACGCACAGATGCTGGGCGGCAATGGTCCAGCGCCGCCGCGGCGAAGCTCAAGGCGGATACCCACCGGTCAAAGCCCGCCTGGTGTGGGACCGCCACTGGGGTCACCATACGGAGGTGAGGGAGGTCCGCTTGCCAGCAGCGAGGAGTGGAAGGACAAGGGAGCAGCGGTCGGAATACGGCAAGAGGTGGATGCGGATGGGAGGCCGGTGAACCGGGTAGTCAAGAAGGGCGTCAAAGACTTCAACTTTGGGCGGACGTTGGGTGAGGGGTCGTACAGCACAGTCCTGGCAGCGACGGATCGGCAGACGCTGAGAGAATACGCGATCAAGGTTCTGGACAAGAGGCACATTATCAAGGAGAAGAAAGTAAAATACGTAAATATTGAGAAAGACACCCTTAATCGCCTGACGGATCACCCAGGCATAGTGCGGCTTTACTATACTTTCCAAGATGAGCGGTCATTGTACTTTGTCCTGGACCTGGCAAGCGGAGGTGAACTGTTGGGATTCCTAAAGAAAATGGGCACCTTTGATGAGGAATGCACAAGATTCTACGGAGCGCAGATTCTGGACGCCATCGGCTACATGCACTCGCGCGGAGTCATACATCGTGACCTGAAACCGGAGAACGTTCTACTGGATAGCCAGATGCATGTCAAAATCACCGACTTCGGCACAGCAAAAATCCTTGACATGAAGAGACCAAACGGGAGCGGAGCAATGGCAGGAGACCCAATGGACGGCGCCGACACCGATCGGGCAGTATCATTCGTGGGCACGGCGGAGTATGTCAGCCCGGAGCTACTTACGGATAAGAATGCCTGCAAGGCGAGCGACCTCTGGGCTTTCGGCTGTATAATATACCAGCTACTTGCAGGTCGGCCGCCGTTCAAAGCGGGGAATGAGTACCTCACCTTCCAGAAGATCGTTGCGCTGGAGTACTCCTATCCGGACGGATTCCCAGATGTGGCACGGGACCTTGTTGATCGACTACTGGTCCTCGACCCAGCAAAGCGGCTACCGATCGAGCATATCAAGAATCATCAGTTCTTCGATGGCATATCATGGGGCCCAGGCTTGTGGAAACAGAAGGCGCCAAGGCTGCGGAGCTATGTGCCGCCCGCTGCAGAACCCATCAGGCTTAATGGTACGAAAACTGAACCATCAGCTGAAGGATTGGCTGACTCAAGTATAGGTCCCTCAACAGCTGGGCCGCCACCACCACCAGCAGCTGTCGCAGCCCTTCGTCCGCAACCCCGACTCATAACCGAGCTCCCCCCACCCAGCCAACTCGACATTGACTGGTCACCCGTCCTGACTCGCAACAACGAGCGCATACTCAAACTCGGTAACCTCATCGTCACATCAACACCGCAGCCGCACAGCCCGACCTCGAAGAACGGCGACACCGCTGCCGACACGCCGAAGAAATTCTCGCGGTTCTTCGGTGGGACTACCACGAAGAAGCGCCAGCGCCTCGTGATGATCACGTCGAGCGCGCGGATCATCATGGCGGCCGCGGGGGGCGACGAGAAGAAGGCGAAGATGGAGGTGTCGCTGCTGGGGCAGGTAACCTGGAAGAGCTATAAAGATGCCAAGGGGCTGACGGCGTGGTGTGTGGATACTGTAAGTCGATCTGTCTTTTCCAACCCCATGTCGTGGATACTGACCACCGCTCCACCAGCGTGACAAACACCTCGTCTTCGAAGATCCCAAAGCCACAACCAGCGACCCAGACGGCAGCAAGTACTCCGCGGCCGAGTGGCTCGAAGCGATCGAGCGGGCGAAAGAGTTCGCCATCTCGACATCTATGACCAACTCCTACTCCGGCGACTCGACCTTCAACGACCTGAGCTCTTCGCTTTCGAGCCCGTCGAGCACGATCGGCGGAGATGGTGCGCTTGAGGGCGTCAATGTGCCTACCGCGAGACACCTGCGGAAGGATCCGGATTCTGATTCGGTCAAGGGGCGGAAGAGATTTAGTAAGCGGCACTCGAAGAATGGGCTTGCGGCTGTGTTTTGAGGGGGATGTATGAGGGCCGGAAGAACATCGAAATCTCATCAACACCAGCGCTTGCAGATCGAGCATGAGGCCGTTCAGCACAAACACTGTCCGAACCACCGACTGAATCACTACTCGTAGCCTCCACACCGGCCGCCCCACACGAAATTGACCGCATTTGAGTTCCCGTGCGGGTCTCGGCGCCAGCTCTATCACCACCACAATCATCATCATTATCACTCCTCTCTCCTTTGTTCTGTGGATAAACCTATCACTAGCATATCTTAGGCGGCGGTAATGGCAGCGGCAGCACCCGGCGTTCGGAGTTCTCTTCCTCGTACGTTCCAACCATTTCAGCTTCACATATTTGCGGTCCCTACCTTACAGACTTGAGCGGTTGTTCTTCGTTTCTTCGCATTCGTTGTTGTAGGGGCTTTTGTAGTTGGCACTTCTGAACCGGCTAGTGTTGCCATTACCGTTCTTCCCCTTAACACTGCCTGTGAGGCTGTCTATGCAATCTGTAGGTGGGCAAATTGGGGGCTATGGCAAACGCCTTCTTTGAGTGCAGGGTCATTGGCCTGTTGTTAGACGCGCTGCTTTCCTTCTACTCAACCATGACGGACTTCTGAGGGATATAGGCTTTCGAGAGTTATGTGTAGGCGAGAATGGGTGGAGCCTATTACTTGTAGCCAGGTATTAGTATCAAAGCCCCGCCGCGTACGGCGAGCTGCACCTCACTTGTTCCGGCTTGTTCAGCGGCTTGGGCTATTGCCTATGAGTGCCATGAATGTGTAACGCTTGAGAGCTTAGAACCTGATGGGCGGTGTTACTCGCTCGAGTTCTCAACATTGGCAAGATGCTGACAGCTGAGACAGTCCTCTTGGAAGACGCCCTGCAAGAAAAACGACATTATAAGGCGCTATGCAGGGCAGAGCGGGGTTTTTACGAATGCTGAAATGTCCTTTTGAATATAGCATAGTAAGCTGCGCCTACGAAGCCAGGCATGGATCGTGAGTCGATTGGAGCTGTTCATACCAATTTAGAATTCACTTTTACAGATCGGCATGCCCAATCTTCTGCACCACGATGCCAGTCGTAGCGCCCCCGCCATTACATATCGCCGCACAGCCGTACTCGCCGTCCTTCAGCTGATGCAGCAGCGTAACCAGAATCCGCGAACCTGAGCTGCCCAGCGCGTGCCCTAGCGCAATCGCACCTCCTCGTGGATTGACATTGTCGACGCCCAAGCCCAGGATCTTCGCGTTCGCCTTGATGACCGCAGCAAACGCCTCATTGAACTCCCAGACCGCAATGTCCTCCTTCTTCAGCCCCGCCCGCTCCAGCACAATCGGCACCACCTTCGCCGGCGCGATCGGAAAATCGATCGGATCCACCGCTGCATCCGCGTAGCTCACGATCCGCGCTAGCACCCGGCTCTCCTTTCCATACTCCTTCGCAATCTCCTTGCTCCCGACCACCAACGCACTCGCCCCATCGTTGAAACTGCTCGCATTCGCCGCGGTAATCGTGCCCTTCCCACTGCGATCGAACGCCGGCTTAAGCGTCTTCACCTTGTCAAACTTGATCTTCATGTACCCCTCATCCTCGCTCACAACCGTCTCCCCCTTCTTCCCCTTGACCGTCACAGGCGCGATCTCGTCCTTGAACAGCCCCTGCTTCCACGCCTCCTGCGCGCGCTTGAACGACAGGATCGCAAACTCGTCCTGCTCCTCCCGCGAGATGTCGTAGTCCCTAGCCGTCTTCTCTGCGCAGTTCCCCATGTGGATCTGGTTGTAGACGTCCCAGAGGCCATCCACTATTAAGCCATCCTTGAGCTCCATGTTGCCGAAGGGAGCCTGCTGGGAAGCGCGCGGGATGTAGTACGGCACGCGCGTCATGTTCTCCATCCCGCCCGCGATCGCCGCGTCCGTGTGGCCCAGCTGGATTGTCGCTGCTGCGATGGTTACGGCTTTGAGGCCCGACGCGCACACCTTGTTTATGGTGGTCGACTCGATGGTGTTGGGGAGCCCGGCGAAGATCAGGGATTGTCGCGCGGGTGCCTGGCCGGCGTTTGCTTGCAGCACTTGGCCCATGTAGACGTCTGTGATCTTCGAAACAGGCACGGTGGACTTTTCTAACGCGGATTTGATGGCCACGGCGCCGAGGTGGGGCGCCGGGACGGTGGTGAAGGCGCCGTTGAACTGGGGGAGAGGTTAGCGGGGGTGATAGGCAGGAGGAGTGGTGTAGGGGAGACGTACGGCGCCCACGGGCGTCCGGGACGCGCTGAGGATGTAGGCATCGCGGATTTCTTGGGCGGGGCGTGGTGTTGTGCTGAAGTGTCGCTGGACTTGGGAGAGGCGCTGGTGGGGGCGGGACATGGCGCGCGAGGCTGTTCGTAGGGCAGACATGGTGGTGGAATGGTGTATACTAGCTCAGCAGTAAAGGAGCATGAAGGGGGGGAGAACTGAACGCTGCCAGACGAAATATAGGATCACATGTTGGCGATGTTCCCTCCACGGTTCTTAGACGCGGCTATTCGTGGAGAACTGCTCAAGCGGAACCTGGAGAACCTCGGGCCGCTGTCCCGTGACGTGATGCTCTCTGACCTTTCGGATCTCAATTTCAGCTTTCCATCCTCATACGAGATGACCTAGTGGATGGTTTTTGCTATGTACGCGTACACGAACCTGTGGCAGCCGGACGTGCCGGACAAGCACCTTGTGATCGGAGACCGGATCACAAAAATGCTGGACATCCCGTCGCAGCTTTGAAATCATGCCTTGAGAGCTCCGCTTACTTAAGCTCATCAATCACATCATAGCAGGTGGGTGCCATATATGCTGCAGTAGTTCATGCATAATGGGTCTCTTCAACATCTCAATTCCTCTCGAACCTTACGACCCGCCTTGATACTGGTGATACCGCCTCTTCCAGCCCTTGTGCAGCAAGAATGGCAACGTACGAGCATGCCGGCAGTGGCCAGGGCGTGGCCCCCAAAATCACCTTGTATACGCACCACGGCTGCCCCTACGCCCATCGTGCACACATCGCGCTTAAGGAGCTCGATCTGTCATACGAAGAGGTCATCGTCGACCTCGACAAGCCGCGAGAGCCGTGGTATCTCGAGATCAACCCGGTAATCATCGCCATGACCTTGATGAGTGGTGCTATCAGTTGCTAATGAACTTCAGCGTGGTCTCGTACCGACGATCAAATACTCCAATGGCATACTCAACGACGAGATCATCACCGAGTCCGCAATCGTGACCCAATTCCTCGCAGACAGCCGGCCGTCCCATCTGCTCCCGGCGTCGCTCAGCAGCCCGACTGCACCATTAGTGCGGGCGCGCATCAACTTCTTCGTTGATACGTGGAATACCAAGATTGGAGGGTACTTCATGAAGATACTGGCGGCTGACAGCAAGGAGGACAAGGAAGCGAAGAGCAAGGAGATGGTTGAGGCGGTCAAGAAGGAGATTGAGCCGCTGCTGAAGGACGCGAATCCGTTTTTCGGAGGGAGTGAGGAGTTGACGTTCGCTGAGGTGCGTTTGGCCCCTATAGACTGTAATGAAAATGATGCTGAGTTCAATAGGTTCAAATCGCGCCGTTCTTGCTCCGCATCTACGCCATGGCTAATGGCGAATACCTTCCGGTATCGCTCAAGCAAGGACTCAACGAGCTGCCAAACTTCTCAAAGTGGGCGGCGGCAACGATGAAGAAGGAGAGCGTCACATACATCTGGGACGAGCAGCGTGTCTTGAACAGGACAGGTGAACTGATCCAGAAGATCAAAGCTAATCAGAACAAGTAAGCTACGAAACATGTAAAGGGTATTCGTAAGTTTCTCAAAGCCTAAAATCGATTCTTTCCTTCAAGTCTATGATATCATAGCAGATAAAGGATACAATTGAAAACAAGTCCCCCCTCCCAACGCCGATCCGATCCGATGAAACTCGTTGTAGAAGCAAAGTCGGAATCATGGAATCGTGTCTCATCATGTCTCGAACCTCATGAACAGGGGAGTGGCCCAGCAAAACAGAAAACCCGACATGAATGCAAAAACAGTCGAAAGTTGCCCCCGAAATACCGCAAGTAGGTACAACGGACTCAGGCCGAGGCCCGGCGGGCTCGCTTGTCGCGATGGCTATCCGGGAGCGCAGCGTCAGCATCATCCCTCAGACACATCAAAATGTTCGCGGCTCCAGTCTCCACGATCGAGATCAAGGACGGCCGCATGGAGGTCGGTTGCGTTCCGACTTCCTCGATAGAAGGCACAACATCATCCGCATCATCGCCCTCAAGCTCAGCCAGCGTCCTCTTGCCCCCACAAGACCCCGGCACAGACGACAAGTACGGCGTCGGCTCGCACAGCATCGACAGCCCCTGCGCCGCAGCGTCTCTAGCAGCCTTGGGCGATTCCGACCGGTTGACAGACGTCCAGCCCCGGCTCTTCGGTATCGTGCACGGCGAACACTCGTAGTTCTCGCTCTGGTCCGTGTCCGTGCCGTACCCGCTCTCGACATCCGTGACCTTGGCCACGCGCGGTCTGAGAGGCTTCGGGCTCCAGTCCGAGCCCGAGTAGGCAGATCTCGGCGTCTGAAGCGCGCACGGTGTGCTTCGAGCAGGCGTCTGACGTGCCTCTCCCACGCCCATCAGCCGCCACCGGTTCGCCTCCGCAGCGCAGCGGCGCACGATCTCGGCGTCGATGCGGAAGCTGGCGAAGCTTGCGTCGGACGGTGGGGTGCAGATGTTGGCGAAATCCTTGCCGAAGATAGGGGTCAGGGCGTATCGGATGGAGTGGCAAAAGGTCGCTGCCACGGCCTTGGCGGCTGAGTAGGGCATCCAGTAGCCTTGGGCTACGAGGGCACCGCCGGTGATGCTGTGCGTTATGTCGCGGAGGCCAGGGTTGAGGTTTAGGACTCGGGCGGGTGTGGTCTGGGATTGGTTAGTGCTTGCCACGGTCTGCCACTATTGTTGGCGCGGGTATGGTGGGCAAGGTAGCTGGGGTGGGAAAGGAACAAGGGCCGGACGAGAAGTGCCTGGGGTATGGTAGGCGGCAATTTCGCTATTGAAATGTCGCCGTGCCCTTTTTTGTCCGACCCTTGGAAGCTCAGAGAGACCCTGAGGAGGAAGCATCTTACCTTTGAGTATCTGCAGCACTTGAAGAATGGCGTAATCCGGACCAGACCGATGTTGTAGTCCCACATGACGACGTACTCCTTGTCGTCGCCATGAACCTTGAAGGTGTATTGGAACACTGTGGTGCGATTTGTTAGCGATCTAAGCCCTTGACGAAGCAAGAAGCAAGAAGCAAGAAGCAAGTCATACCGTCAAAGCCTTCTCTTCCAGTCTTCATCAGGAAATCTTTCTTTTCGCTGTTGTAAGGGATGTGCCGGCAGTAGTCCGCAATGGACCCCATGGGATGTATCTGGTGTTCTTTCTGCTTGGCGGCAAGCTCTTCGTCGTCTTCAGCCTCGTACGGTGGGTAGTTTATCTCGCCTCTGAACTTCCCCTTGACGAAGACTGCGGCATCCTTTGACACCTTTTGTCGTGTCGAAGCTGAGTTCGACGGAGTGTAGGACCGAGACGTCGATGTTGTAGGAGAACGAGGGACGGATCTTGGAACTGGGGATGAGCGAGGGATGGATCTTGGAACTGGAGACTCCGTCTGTTGGTGTTCATCGCGCTCTGAGGCCAAGGGGTTGAGCAAGGCTTGAATCTTCATCATCTTCCGGGTGCTGATGTAGAAGGTATGGATATTGTCTGATGCTTGATCCTTGCGGAAAAGAACGACAGCTGGAAGCGTCTGGATCAAAGTCAAGGTGAGCTTGATGTCCAAGGCGAGCTGCGGTGTCACCAAGAGAGTGAAGTATAGCAAGCAAGTATTTGAAGGGAAAGCAATAGCTCGAAAGGAGACGTGGCTGACAAGAACCGTTTGCGAGAGACAGCTCACGAGGGACGTAGCGGTCAACCTTATACACGGCCAGAGAACAGCGAGTCAAAGAATACTCTAGCTCTGCTGCCAGCGACATGCACGATTCAGCGGTCTTGCTTTATGCGGAACGGGATGCCTACAGATCGAACGGCGTGGAGACCCTTCCTAGGCTTTGATGGCCAGGGTAGATGCGAAGCTAGGTACTGGCCCTTTGTCGCGATGTATGTTTTAGATTCTTCCGTTTACCAGTCTGCAGCTCTACGCCACGGTGTCCGAGCCGTGCAGTAGTGGCCGTGTCTTAGCTCTACTACCCAGAAACGAATGCTGGACCGAATCTACCGCGATGCCGGAGAAGATCACTGCGGGGCACTGGTCAGTCGAAATGTGGACAGTCAAATTCAGCGCCAGCTGACTGGTTCGTTACAAGGGAACCAACCTGCTTGACGGATATAAGACGTACGCTCGTCAACTATTCGACGAGGGGCGGGATTGATCCTGGATGATCGGAATGAGAATCGACGGTGTGCACACATTTTCGATGAGGATGCTGCCAGGTTGACGCTTGTCATTCGCTCGAACTCTTTGTCAACACGTACCCGCGTACAGTCGATTGCCCAGAGCTTGTTCATAGCAATCCGGGAAACGAGTTATTCCAAACGGCAGCTCTTCTTCTGACTGGACTATCATGGCTCCTGTGACTGCATTAAACAGTCATTACGCCCTCAACGTACGGTGCTACACGGTGCGGGTTGTCGATACACTGCCGATAAGGTCGAGGATCAGTTTCACCGCATCTGCCAGGCACTCATCATTCCCGCGCTCGTCCTCCATGTTCCGGACCGCAGGATTTGAATTACGCCTTGCGGGCTAGAATTGTGCTCCGGACCGTGCTAAAGGGTCCTGTCATGATGCAGCTTGCTAGCTCAATACCAACAAATGGCCAGAAGATCACCAATCAGAAACGTTTGACCCGTTTGGCAGGCTCATGCCTTGGGAGTTCTCAACCTTTTCGCCTTTGGGCCGGCAATCGCTCTGAGATCCATCGTTTCTTCTAGTTAAACTGTCCGGTCAGTGTGTCACGCGGCCTGTATCGAGAACTCGTGACTATCTTCTTCTACATGAACATAGTTTATCACTGCGTATCATAGTTGTAAGGCCTACTAGGCTTCCAAGCCCCTCGACGTATCGGCGAATCTGCAGGTCTCTACTGCTGCAACCTCCCCGGCCGCGCTCGAGCAAGCATGGGCCCTGACCAACCGCACCGCAAACGTGGCAGGACTTCTCAAAACGGGAAGGCCAAGACGGAACCATGCGTTTGCAGATCGGCCCACGGCGCGGGAAGCAATTGGCTAGCAAGCCTGGAGTGAGCCACGGAGTTTTGTGTCAATTGGCAGAGGGACTCGAGGCAATCTGAGCTAGCCTGTTTGCGAGCTTTGAGAGAACTGCTTGTTCCACTTCGGTCATTCTAACCACGATGGCTCGGCCTAGTGGCCTCTTTGGGATATGGCTCTGCTTTCGTCACCGCGAACGAACCGCAGTTACGCATGGGTAGGTACGTACCGCCTATGCCTGGCATGTCATGGAAGCGGAAATCCAAGATCCGAGCGTCAGTCCCTACCCGCCTCGCATCGAGGACAAAGAAAGAGGCGTCGCAGATCAATCCTGCGCCCACACCGCTTTTGATACGTACAGTTGGAGCAAAAGGCGGTATTTATGTCTCAGACTGACCGCTCTGCTTCGAGTGCGTCTCGTGTAGATGTTTCATGCTTGCAACCGAAAATGCACCAGGCAGGCTTCCAGAAAGCCTTTCGAAGGTAAGTTCCATTGCAAGAGTCCACAGCCAATCTGTAACTATTTTACCGCCTCTGCATGTTGTCCACATCTGTTGTCGTCGGACATCTCTTCTCCAGCACTCTCCACGCTCCGAGCCGTCCATCTTTCTGCACTCATGTGTCTCTTGGGAAACGACATCCGCCGGATCGCTTCGGTTGTAGGTCTTCTTTTTCGCGCAGTATTTGTCAAAGTGGTCCTGCGGAATTATCTGGCATGCTGAATGGATCCTCCCGTGAAGAATACAAGACTAATGTACGACCGAACGAGATGTACAACGGTGTAACCCCCACATCTGTAAACGGCTTGCTGCTGTCTGCCAGCCTTGTGGATCTGAACTACGAAAAGATAGCCTACCGGAGCCGCGAGATACACCACCAGGACTTCGTTGGTTGGATACCGCAACATCTTTTGAGCCGGGGCCTGGGACTTACGATGTGCACTGTCTTCCATGTAGTCGCATCAAGCGGCGCCTCGTTTATCAGAGTCTTGACTTGCTGAGCTTTCGATCCTGCCTTCTCGGCTCTCAAACGGTTTTATCCTACGACCAAGCCAAACCAAACCCCTGGCGAGACGATGAAGACGATGCTCGCCACTTAGTTCCAGGCCCCCTATAATTCCAAATACCCTCCACGGTTCTGTACAACCAACCTGTCAGGTCTCCGCCGCCTGCCGAATGGTGGTGCCAATCAAAACCGAAGCACCGCCTACCCGCCGGAACTACGACCGCAAACACCCAAGCCTCGTGCGATGAGAGGACGAGCTGCATGTGCCTGGGTGCTCGCCCTCGAGGGCTTCGCGTTGTCGTACGCGGTACCTGCAGATGGTCGGCGTCGCACGGCGTGGTGGCTTGCTTGGTGCAACGACCGCATTCCTGCCATACGCTGTCGTCGATCTCCATCTCTCCCCGGACTGTAGTTTAGCAACCTGCCGGTCTAATTGACGCCCTGGACATCGACGCGGCTGTTTGAGGCTGTTTGGAGTTCTTTACCAGATAGTACCTGTTGGGGAAGCCCGATTCGCCGTGAGCCGTACCACATGCTGCCTCACGGTTTTGCCTGAAACAACGCCACTGCTCTTCCGCTTTCATGTCCATCTGGCTGCCTCAATGCCTCGTCCCTTCAGCCTCGCCTTCGAACCTCCTAAGAAGCTCATACCAATACAACCTAGGCTACACAGCTCCCCTTCCACCCTCAATACCTCCCACGCCCGCACCGGCCAGTAACTCGCACCAAGTACTTCTCCAACGGGACCACCGGCACGCCCCAAAGCACGCTCAGAGCTCGCCCGCCCCGTACGACGTAACTGTCAGAATCTCTCGTCCGATCAGTCGGTGGTGCGTGCGTGTGCCTGGCAGCGGGTGGCGCACGGGTGGCTGCAGGAGCGCTAGGCTCTGGGGCGGCCGGGCCGTTCGGGCGGGGGCCGGGGGTGTTGCCGAGATGGGGCGTGGAGTCGTACAGGCTAGGCAGGAAGGGAGTTGGGTTGGATGGAGAGGGTTATTTGGAATGCGTGGAAATTGAGGGGAGCTACGAGGGGCGGAGGGTTATTTGAGTTGTTGCGGGGAGGTGTTGCGTGATGATGATGATGGGGTTGTTTGAGCAGCTGCTTGCGAACGGCACTATGTCTGTAGGTTTACAGGTAGAGTGACATGGTCAAATCGACGAAATGATGCTGAAACTCTACACATGAGGCATGCATCACCAGTGGTATTAAAGATTCATCGATCTGAGGAGTCGCAGCACGAGAAGTGCCTTCTTTGTTCCGATATTGAAGAAATTACGAAACGCAAAGCTGATGTCCATGCCTTTTGAAGCTTCAAATGCCCATTTGGTACACGTCCGTGAACCGATGCAAGATGTTCAACCGTAAAGAGCGCCGCGTATGCAAAAGAGGACCGAGTATGCAAAAATGGGGGGTATACGCTCCCAGGGCAACACCAGCACTGATGCAAAAGCAACACCAATGTCCAGCCCCCACCCCAGCTCACTCACTATCGTCATCAACCACAAAGCTCTCCTCCTCCTCGCTTTCGTCTTCGTCATCAGAAACCACATACTTCGCCGGCTTCGCAGCCGCAGCCCTCCTCCCAGGTCTGGCTGTCGCTGTAGGCTTCTTCACCGGCATGTCATCCTCATCGTCTTCATCGCTCAGTATATCGTTCGCGAGCTTCTCAACACCGTCATCTTCCTCCGATTCGCTATCGCTATTAACGACCTTCTTCTTCGGCGCCGCCTTTGATGCTGCACCAGCCTGCGCTTTGGCCTGCTTAGCCGCATAAGCCTTCGCAGCTGGCGAGAGCGGGACCAGCTTCTTGACGGTATTGGCCGTCGTAGACGCCGCGGCTTTCTTCGGGACGGCTTTGGGCGCTGGCTTTGTTGCTGCGGCGGGTTTTGTTGATGTGGCGCGCTTCGCTGGCGGTGCTGGTTTCGCCTTGCTGCTGAAGCCATCGGAGTCATTCATGTCGTGGTCGTCGTCAGACAGGATGGTCTCATTGGCCGTACGGGCGGCATTGGGCTTCTGCGGTGACGGCTGCGGGACCAACTTCGTGTAGTCCGTCTCGTCTTCGCCGTCAGAGAGGTCCACGATCGTGGCTGGCTTTGTTGCTGGACGGCCAAAGGTCCTGGAGATGCCTTGTGCGCTGCCAGGCCGGGTGGAGGCTGAGAATAGGGCACGGCTTGAAGATGTGTCGGTCGTGGTGGTCGGTCCAACGCCTTTGACCATGGCGCTCACATCGCCGAGCAGATCGTCGCCGTTGTCGGAGTCGGAGTCGGAGGAGACGGCGTATTTGGGCTTCTTTGCTGGTCCGCGGCCAGCTCGACTAGCAGCTGGTGCTGGCTTGGACTTTGCTTCCGCAGCCACAGCGGCGAAGACGTCATCCTCATCATCTGAGTCAGGCGTAGGAGCCTGCGCCGGCTTCTTATTCTGAGCAGCAGCTGCTGGTCGACCACGCTTCTTAGCGGGCGGAGGATTGTGCAACTCCTGCGATGCTGCGCCATCAAGCTCCATTGGCGTGGGCAGCGCAGGCGGTTTGACATCCGGGATCTCGGAGGTTACTCCATTTAGCAAGGCTTGCGTGGCTGATGGCTTAGCTTTGATCTGTGGGCCAGCAGCCAGGTAGCTCGTGAGCAGCGATGTTTGCTTCGTCTTGGGCTTCGTGGCAGCCTTCTTTTTCGAGACAGCGAAGTCTCTGTCGTCTTCATCGTCGCTGTCTTCAGCTGCCTTGCGCTTCTTCGATCCTTTGGCGCCGATGCCTAGCTTGCCGGATGCACGACGGCCCATACTGGCCAGCTTCTTTGCTCGCTTAGTCTCGTCGGCAAGTGCATCATGCCATTCCTGGATGAAAGCGTCAAGATCAGCCATCCAGAGGTCTTTGGGCGTCTTCTTGATGAGGACGTCAATCTCCATCTCCTTGTCACCGATCTGCTTGAGGAGCCTGTCCACGCGCTCTTGAGTCAAGGACCAAATGGCCATGCCGAGGAGATAGTCGTAGGCACTGGCGCTTGCCTCTACAGCTTGGTCGGACTCCTCATCCTCATCTTCCTCGACCACAGGCTCGAACTCGCCTTCTTTGCGGGCATCGACCACCTTTGGGAACGCCCTGAAGTCTAACTTCTGGAGTTCCGCTACGAGGGCTGCCTTCTTCTTCTTTGAGACGATGAGCTTGTTGTCGATGATCATCTTAACGAAGCGGGCTTGGTTGGTCATCTTGTCGAGGTCGCGCTGCATTTCATTGAGAAGGTGTTGCTGGGATCGAGTTAGCCATGAGTGACCTAAGGATGCATGTGACTATACATACCTTGCGCTTCTCGTAGAACTTCAGCCGAACATGGTAAAACTCCTCCATAATGTCCAGGACGGATGCATACTTGTGGATCCTACCTTGAGCGTCAAAAGCGACCAGATTGGTTGTAGCCATCGTCTTGCTCAGCTTAAAAGTTTCCTCGAGGCCCTTGTCCAGTGCGATCTTCATCTGCTTGTCCTCCAACTTGACGATGAAATGAACTTGCGTCGGCGTGTTGTACTCCGTGTAGTCTTTGATGAAGCTCGGCACTTTCTCTGCCTTGATGATATCTTCAAGCCTGTCTTTGAAATCCTGCGTCCAGACCCGCACGGGCAACTCGGTAATCTCGACCTCGTTGTCGCCAGTCTGGCTGACAGTGCCGCTGAACTTGTAGCGGTCGCCACCAATGTCCTCTGTCTCGCCTCCCCAGCTGCGGAACCAAGGCTTCATGGGGATCATATCTTCTTTGGATGTACCGGACATGCGGCGTTTGAGGTTTTCAACGATGTCTTCGGGCTTGTAGTTCGGGATCGACGTGCTCCACCCTGTACCAATCCCGTCGGCACCGTTGATCAGAACCATGGGAACAGTCGGTATGTAGACATGCGGTTCGATCGTTTTGCCGTCATCCTCGTTGTACGTGAGCAGCGGCTCATCTGATGCATGGAAGATGCGCCGCGCGAACGGTGACAGCCGAGTGTAGATGTACCTCGCGCTGGCCGCATCGCCGCCACCTTGGAGACGAGAACCAAAGTTGCCGCTGGGTTCTAGGCAGTTGATGTTATTCGAGCCAACGAAGTTCTGCGCCAGGCCGACAATGGTCTGCTGCAAAGACGTTTCGCCGTAGGAGTAGTTTGTTAGCCCGGATACCGAACCGGCAAGCTCAACGACCTTGATGTCTTTCTTCAAGTTGCGCCTGAAGCAAGTGTACATGACTTTCCGCTGACCGGGTTTGAGGCCATCGATAACGGAGGGGATTGAGCGGAGATTGTCAGCCATGCTGAACAAAATAAGCTCCTTGTTGACAAAGTCATCGTAGGAAATCTTGGTGGTAGTCATATCGAGGTAAGTTCCAGGCTCGAAGTCACGAAGCCACTCTTTGCGAGCATCAGCCTTCTTCTTCGAGAACGCCAGATCGATCATCGCAGCCTCGTTTTCCTTCATCGTGTGGAACTCCTTCAGATGGCGATCCAGGTCGCGAAAGTATACTTGGGCGTCGTCTGTGCTGCTGGTACCCAGACCCTTGAAGTACTTGTGGTCCCAGCCTTTCTGGTGGCCCGGCTGCTGCTTCCAGGCCTCATACTCCGGCATGGTGAAGAACGACTGCAGCTGCTTCGGATGCTTGACGTCGCCTTTCCACACCTTCACGATCGGTGTTATGAACTCCATCAAGAAGCCCTCCAGCTTCAGTAAGCTGGGAAACTGCACCTGGAAGAAATTGATGAGAAGACCTTTGATATGGCTCCCGTCGTGATCCTGGTCAGTCATGATCATCAGATGGCCGTATCGCAAGCCATGCGTGTCGGTGTATTCCTTCTTGTGCTGCAATCCCATGAACTTCTTGATGTTCTGGATCTCCGCATTCTTGGAGATTTGGTCGATGGAAGCATCGCGGACGTTGAGCATTTTACCACGAAGCGGAAAGACGCCAAATAGATCCGGATTGACCACGGCTCGACCGGCCAAGGCAAGCGCACTTGCTGAATCACCCTCAGTGAGAATAAGTGTGCACTTCCATCCATCCTTGGTGCCGGCTTTGTTGGCGTCCGTAAGCTTGGGGTTGTTCATGCGGGTGCGCTTGCCACCGTCGGATTTCTTAAGAAGCTGGTCGGCCTTCTGCTGGGCGAAGTGCATGATGTTCGTGACGGCCTCGGTCTTCCCAATGGCGTCGAGAAACTTGTCGCTGAGTGGACATTTGCTGCCAAACTGACTAGCCTTGGTCGTTAACTGCTCCTTGGTCTGCGAGTTGAACGCAGGGTTGACGATCGAGCAGTTGACGAAGAGGAAGAGGTGGTTTTTGATCTGGTTGGGCTTCAAGGCGATACCCTTCTTGTTCATCTTCTTGATCTTCGCCATGAGCTTGTCCACAATCTGGTCGGCGACGTAGTTGACATGCGTACCACCAGAAGTCGTGGCTATCGAATTTACGAAGGAGACCTGCTGGAAGGAGCCATCTGAGACTGCGAATCCGACTTCCCAGCGTTCGTTGGGTTTGTCCGTGAGGATGACAGTCTTCTCTACTTCGGTTGTTTGGCTCTCGCCCCCTTGCTCGGTCTTGATAGCCTTCGTATACATCTCCATGTACTTTTTGAAGCTGTTGACCTTGATTCGGTCGCCATTGAGATACACCTTGACGTCCTTGAGGGTACCCGCTATGTCATACACTCGACGCTTGGCAAGAGCCTCGAAATCGTCGTCCATGCCGTCCATCTTGAACTTCTCGAAGTCTGGCTTGAACGTGACTTTGGTGAAGTCATCGCCCTTGCTCGCCGTGATCTTCGCTTTGCCCATCTTGCTCATGTTGTCGGTCCAGGTCTGCTTGTACTTCTTCTGGGCCTTGGAGTCGGCGGTCTCGATCGTGAACTCCGTGCTGAAGACGTTACAGAGTTTGGCACCATAACCGTTTCGGCCACCAGTGACTTTCTGCTGATCATCGTCGTAATTTGAGGAGGTCAGGAGGTGGCCGAAGATCATCTCAGGAACGTAGATACCCTCTTTTCCATGGATCTCGATAGGGATACCTTTGCCGTTGTTGCGGACACTGATCTCCCCAAGCTCACGGTCTACCGTGACCTTGATCTCATTCATGTTCTTGTCATTTTGCTTGTTGTCTGCCGCGTTCACGAGAATCTCATCGAAAATCTTGTACAGACCGGGCACGTAGCTGACATCGCGCATCTCCATCGATTCGGTAGTCGAGTTGAAAACCCACATCTGGTTGTGGGTCCGTTCCACTGAGCCGATGTACGTATCTGGACGCTTGATGATGTGTTCGAGCTGGGTAAGCTGGAGGTATATGTCAGCACGTAACTTTGCCGCAAAGCGATCATTGGATTTACCTTCTGATAGCGGTCTGTTGCATTGGTCGGAGCCGCCTTGTTGGGCCTGAGCTCATCGGCGCCACCCATACCGAAGCTCTCGTTCTCTATCTGCTGCAGCGGCTTGCCAGTAGGCTTTTTTGCTGCTGGTGCTTTCTTCTGCTTCTTCGCGCTTGGAGGAGTGTTTGAGAGGAGGGAGTCGTCGTCCATAGAGTCAGGGTCGGGTTGAGCGTCAGAGTTCTCCCCATCCGAGTCTGCTCTCGGCCGCTTTTTGGCCGCAGTCGTCTTCGTTGGCTTGAGGATAGTCTGGGCGAGTCTCTTAGGCGCAGCTTTAGGCTTAGGCACAGCTACAGGTTTTTTGGTGACTGCGTTAGGCTTCTAAAGTACGATGGATTCAGTCCCGGTGTACTCCATGTAGCGCAAGGAGGATACGTACAGCCTTGACTGGCTCAGGCTCGAAGTCTGAACTGGCACCATCGTCAAACATGGAGGAATCCATGCTGGAGGCGCACTCGAAGCGCGTCTTTAGCTTTGTTGCTGCACTGAATGAAGTACAGATGGTAGGCTGAGCCTCAGCTGTTGGAGAGAATAAGAAAAGAGCGTGGTGTGGTGGCGAAGTGGAATGTCGAAGTGATGCCTTGTGTTTGCGGGTGTTTACAATTTGGAGCGAGCGCTCGGTGGTTCTTCGGTAGATCTCCCAAACGCGTATCGCCACTTCGACGCGACTGGACCAGCGACATCGATATTCCTACATCTCCGAAGTGAAGTGCTGCCGCAACCAACTCTCGAAGCCTCACAGGTTGTTCTCACGAACGTGATGACTCGATTGAAGTGTTCTCTTTGACTCCGTGCAGTACTTTTCTCGAACGCTTCGCCTGGAGCTACCATTGTAACGTCAACTGCACCTCGCTGACTGGCCATCTTTCTTACTTCAACGTCCTCTTCGTCTTGCATACTCGATTCTGTTCGGCCTTCCCTACGTCCTTCATCCGCCTTCTGTTGTTTCTTGGTTCCGTTGTCGCAACGTGAAGTGAAGCTGAACTTCGGGCCTATCCAATCTCGTATGTTGTGAGCCTATCATGTCCGTGACTTGAGGCAGTCTTGAGCAACCTGTCACCCTTCGCGGCGCTTGGTTCCATGTCGACACCAAGCATGAGCCGTGGTGACAATGCGCGATGTGCCGTCCGTCTGAAGTTGGCGATGTCGTCGAGACTCATCCCAGAGTTGGTGCTTTGGGTATTCAAGTTGAAGTCGATCCGTTCACAAGGCACGTTCCGGCTACTCTGTGGATGGCAGGCGCAGTTCATGATCCCTTAGTCATGTCACATAGCAACATTGACGGTCGGTGTAATCTGGTGTATTGCAACGCCTAAGGGAAAGTCATTACCTCTTTCCGCTGCCGCAAGGAGCTTGGCGCTTGGCCCATTATACCAGACAGGTACAGGTGAGTCCTATATGAGTCGGTGAATATAACATCTGGTTGTTGAGCATGCGACCAAGTCAAGTATGGCCCACGTTGCTGGTTCTCAACACACGGATGGCCCCCTCACGAGCGTGCGTTCATGGACTCCTGGCCAACTGCCAGCCGGTGCTTGCTTGGGCAGAACCATATCTACCTCCCTAAGACGGCTGGCATGACACTCAATCACGGTCGTTCTCGAAGTAAAGTAGCCAAGATACCTATACAGAGGATTCTCTACAGATTTTACCCCCCTCATACTCCCTTAACCTGACCCCTCGACCATGTATCACCGCTCTTTCTTCCCCTCCTTACTCAACGGCGCCATAGCCGTATCAATCCCCCCAGCCGTTCTAACCAACTTCCTCACCCCAACAGGTAAACGTCCCCACAGCCAGATCCACCTTGCATACAGCGGCATCGAGATCTCCCCACTCTCGCCCGCATCCACCATCCTAATAATCTCCTTTGCCAACTCATTCGGCTCAACCACTGGAGCCAAGAATGCCGACGGCGTCCTCACCTTCTCAAACATGCTCGTTCCCAGCTGCCCCGGCGCCACCAAAATCATCTTGATATCCCTCGCCGCGGGGTCCGGATGCTGTGCCAGCTCGGCAGCGAGCGAGGCGTGAAGGGCTAGCAAAGCAGCTTTGGAGGCGGTGTAGTCGGACAGGTTGGCTGCGCCGATGTGGGCGAGGACGGAGGAGACGGTGACGATTGTGCCCCGGCCCTCAGACAGCATGCCGGGGAGGAAGGTTTGGAGGGTGTGGAAGTGGGAGAGGAGGTTTACGTGCATGGTCTGCGAGATTTCGGTGGGGGTGAGCTGGAGGAGGGGTTTGCCGTGCATTATGCCGGCGTTGTTGATCAGGATTGTGGGGGTACCGAGCTGCACACAAGGCAAAGTCAGAAAAAGGTAAAGAGTGATGGAGAGAATAGTATATTCGAAATAGGAATCTACGTACATCTCGCTCTATCTGTCTCGCCGCCCTCTCAACCTGCGCGCGGTCCCCGACATCGCATTTGTAGAACTCTACGCCATTGACCTCGCCTTCGGGCTCCTTGACATCCAGCACGGCCACGCTGGCGCCGCGCAGCCCGTAGACCTCAGCAATGAGCGCCCCCAGGCCGCTGGCTCCTCCCGTGATTACGATGACTTCTTCCTCTAGGTCTACATCACGAGGCAGGCCGTATGCTATGCGCCGGTCGATGTACGAGAGAATGGTATAGACGGTGATGAGCACGGCCCAAGCAATGGCGAGTATCATGGACGGCGCATCGTAAGGAGTGACTTTCGCGCGGAGGGAGAGCGGGATCAGCCATGCGATGAAAGGGTGGAAGATGCTTCTATTGAGGACGTAGGCTAGAAGATCAATCGTTAGGTGCTGGTGCCATGGTCTCTCCGTTGTTCTTCGCGTGGGGGCGGACATAGTGGATAAAAAGGTTCAACGAGAACGGAGCAGGAGGAACAGCTCAGGGAGGATGCAACGGCATAAGGAATGTTAGCAGTGGGCGAAAGGAAGCCATGCTGGCAGCCCGAGACGTTCCGGCGCGTAGAGAGTTTCAGGCATTCGTGGTGGTGAGGTCTGTGGTGCGTGGCTTGTTGGCGGTGAGCAATTTTGCCGTCTGCCGCCCACCGCCTGTGATCAGATCCCAGAGCTCCGTCAATACTCTCACTCAGGCTTCTACTCGATCTCCTACTCCCTTCGTCGATTCCAACCGGTCTTTGCAAGCTTCAAACTGTTGGGCGCCTTAGCCTGACTGAGCAGCTGAGGAGTGTTTTAATCTTAATTTATTGTCGAACCCGCACCCGAGCAGCTGCCCGCAACCGGCCCTGAAAGCTCCAAGGAGCAGCTCTCCGCCGAAGTGAAGTGAAATAGCACAATAGCTGCGCCGTCAGCTGAGTAGAAAAGCGAATCAGCGTCTGACCGCACAATGGCGCGCACACAAAGCCCCTCACCCGGCGACTTCGCCAGCACCGGCTCACCACCACCGCACCCACAAACCAAGCGCGACAAAAGACGCACCATGCTCTCCGACAGGCTCAACGATATGGTCGCCTCCTTCGCCGAGAACCGCGAGATGCACTACCGGGCCCAGATGCAGGCTGTTCAGGTCGATATGAACCTGATCATGCACGCCGACCCGTATGCGAACAACCCGCTCGAGGACAGCCCGCTCGAGATCGCGGAGATGATCACAGCGGGCACGGGAGGGAGCATGCAGTTCACAACTGAGGTGCACTCAGACTACCTGGCGAGGGTGGGCAGGTTCTACGAGAAGTTCGTCGATGACGTGAACAGTGAGATGGAGAAGAGGGACTACCAACTGACTATGCTTTGGGTGAGTGCGAAGCCTTGAGTATTGGACTTCACAAGCCCTGCGTTTTTGCTCTAGGGTAGCTGACATTTGTATCGCAGAACAAGGCCCAGAGTAGCGTCCACGAGCTGAACCAAACCCATGCCTACCGAGTCCGCCTGGCAGAGGAAGAACACCGCCAATTGGCCAACACACTCCGCGACCGACTCATCACGAGCATCGGCTCTCGGCGGGCGAAGCTCGTTCGCGACAAAGAGCAGCTAGACATCAGCGACAACAACGCCCAGCTCCTCAACCCGAACCAGTACACCATTGCACCAGGCAGCCCCGGCGGCCCCCAGAACCCCCGGAAGACCCGCCACACCCGGCACCGCGTCGGCGACCCAGAGGATCTTGTCGCAGCAGCAGCAGAGAAGCAGCGCAAGCGTAAGGCTGCGCTGGAGGAGAACGACAATGGCTCGCCAGGCCTAGCGCAACGCAACGCCGACTTGGGCTTCGGCTCACCCTTCCGGGACGCGCGAACAAAGAAAGAGTACACCCAATTCGAAGCCGGAGCATACACGATCGACCGGCTCTTCACCGAGAAAGAGCTCGCAATGACCATGAACCACGCCTCGCTAGCCGCGACCTCCTTCTTCGCTAAAGCCGCATCCCAGACCCTCGTAAATGGCCACGCGGCCACCGCGCTTGACAGCCTCCCCAACGGCGACGTTCCCCAACTCCTCGACGCTCCCGACAACGACATGACCAACGCCCCCACAGCCACAGCCACAGCCACAGCCACAGACCCAGACTCGGCCTCCCCCTCCGACGCCAGCGCCCCCGCGCTTGCAGCCCCAGAAATGGAACGCCAACCCTCCCATGCCACGCGCGCCACCACGCGCACCGCACCCCCACCCTCGCTCTCCGCCGCCGTGCTCCGCGCCCTCCCTCCACACCCAGGCGCCTCCGCCGTCCCCGTCATCCTCCCCGCGAACCTGGCCTCAAAGCCCAACGCCGCAGCCCCTCCTCCGGCACCTCTCTCCGCTGCAGATATCGAGAGCGACCTCGCGTTCCTGGGCCGCGGGGTCGGGGCCGAGGATCCGTGGAATGAGAGGCTGCTTGATGCGGCGGTCGGCGGGGTGTGGACGAGGCAGGTCGAGGTTAGGGCGCCCGGGTGGGTGGGGGGAGGGGTCCCCGAGGTTAGGGCTCTGGAGGAGGGGTTTGGGGAGGGGGAGGGAGGGGTGGTGATGAGTAGCCAGGCGAGTAGCAATGGTGGTGGTGGGGGGGGGGGGGGGGGGGGGAGGGTGGGAGGAGGGTTAGGGCGAGGGCGATTTGATCGATTTGTGTTGATGTAGGGAACTGGTGCTTACTGGCAATTTGACCTCTTGCTTGGAGTTAATGGTGGAGCGGTCCAAGGGATAGGATGGCGTATATTAGCTGCGTGTGCATGGAAATCTGTAGTTTGAGTCTAGCTACAAGGACTGTCTGGGAGTTATCACACTCTATTAGAGGATTATGCGTCTGTTATTACCAGACTTGGCGATCCGCTCACTCGTATGCTTGACGATGTAATTTGAAAGGGATTCGTTGCTAGCGGGCTGAGGACGGAGTAGCGTTTCAGTCGCTAGTATGTGACTCGACCTAACAGACTGCTTTGAGCGTGCTCATCCTGAGGGCTGACTTGAATTTGCGCTACCTAGCCGGCTCCGCTGTACATAGCCCTCCTCCTTGTCAAATACTGCTATTTGGATCAACTCCGAACGCAGCACGAAATCTCTCGAGTTGTCAATGACTTGAAAAGAAGGCGTTTGTAATTTATGGTATGAGTCGAGAATTTCCGGTGCCTCTAGAACGGGCCAAGGTCCAGTACTAATTGTGAGACCGCATTAACACACATCCGCAAGTTGCTCCTTCATCCGTGGCTCGGTGAAGGGTCACTCTTGTTTGTATCACACGCTGGAATCCTTAGATGCACAGAGAAACAGCTTGTCGTGGTATCTTCCACTCCAATGACAAGAGACAGAAAGGCGATCACGGCGTCCAAACTACCTGCAAATTGCATTCAAAATCTGCACCGAGGCGCACGCATACCGGTGGCTTCAGGAAGACATACCTCGCAATTCTTGCATTTTTTTGGCGGATATTGTCAGTTGATGGGTAGGATCAATGAGAGCGCCTCAGTGAAAGCTCATCTAGGGAGGTCATGGCTTCGTTGGACTACGAGATGACGGGTCTAACGCTCACTGCGAGAAGAAGTAGGGCGAACAATAAGAAAGAACACGTGCTCGCGTAGTGTGGATGTAGATTGCGAGAGCTGGAAGTCGAGATACAAAGGGGAAAGCGAGGAAGTTATAACGCGCCAGCTGGAACCAGCTGTCCAACCATGCGCCGGCACGCACCTGATTAGAGGTGTAGATCACTCTCATCTGAGGGCTTGCTGTATCCCATATTGTAGACAAAGAGTAACTGTTCTTTCTGCAATCAATCTGGTCAGTTGGGTTGAGGCTGGTGGGAGCTTGACGCGTGCGGGAAGACGCGGTCCATGTCCTTGCAGGGATCTCGGAACCTCCAGTCGTCCAAGCTCCCCCAAAAAGTTGAATTTCTGTCAGTATCTCTGTCCAGGCCTCATCAGGAGCCTGTAACAATTCATTCATACGGGGAAGACGCCAATGTTCGCTGTACCGCCCTCATCCCTCCTCCGCCCACGGTGCTGCTCCCACTCACTGCAAGCTCTTGCACGATCCAGACTGCCCACGTCGTCTTACCGTCGCACTTTTCAGACCCGGCCGTCGACAGCTCCTAAACCCACAATCGACATCCGACATATTCGGCAGAACCCGGGCTTGTACGAGCAGAACTGCATTGACCGCAATTACAGGTCGCAGAGCAAGAACCCGTGGCGCATCATCGAGTTGTTTGATCAGTGGACCGCCTGTCAGAAGCAAGCGAGAACGCTGCGAGAACGCAACAACGAGCTACGCCGGCAACTGGCAGGGGCAGCTTCACGAAGCGGCGATGCCGAAGGGAATTTGTCGCCGAACAATGGCAAGGATGGTCTGCTGGAAGAGGCCAAGACCCTCAAAGCCCAGCTCAGTGTGATAGACGCAAAAGAGAAGGGACTTCAGGAGGAGATGGAGGACCTTGCTCTGGAGCTGCCGAATCTCAGCAGCCAGTACACTCCAGTCGGAGATGAGCCTGAGGTCATAGGATACATCAACGACCACCCGGAGCCGGAGCCGGAGCCGTCGTCCTCAGATCGGGTGTGGCGTTCGCATGTGCACATCGGGTCGGAGCTTGGTCTGCTTGATTTTGAGGGTGCGGCTAAGGCGTCCGGCTGGGGCTGGTACTACCTGACGAACGAGGCGGCACTGCTCGAGCAAGCGCTGGTCCAATATGCGCTCAGCGTGGGCATGAGGAGGGGCTGGAAGGTTGTGTCGCCGCCCTCAATCGTGTATTCCCACATCGCAGCAGCCTGCGGGTTCCAGCCACGGGATCAGAATGACGAACGACAGATATACGCGCTAGAACAGCCTCAGAAGGACAAGACAAAGCCATCACTGGTGCTCGCTGGCACTGCAGAAATCCCGCTGGCAGGCATGAAGGCGAATCAGATCATCGAGGACGTCGAACTGCCGCTGAAGACTATCGGGGTGAGTCGGTGCTACCGCGCTGAAGCTGGTGCCAGAGGTGTCGACACCAAGGGCCTCTACCGCGTGCATGAGTTCACCAAGGTGGAGATGTTCGGCTGGACGTTGCCTACCGACTCTACCGAAGCAGGCTTCGGCGCAGACCAGATCTCACATTCTGAGCCGATCTTCGATGAGATGCTCGCGATCCAGCAAGAGATACTACAAGCACTGGGGTTGCACTGCCGCATTCTCGAGATGCCTACCAACGATCTTGGGGCCAGTGCCACCCGGAAGAGAGACATCGAGGCCTTTTTTCCTTCACGACGCGACAAAGACAACGGGTGGGGCGAGGTTACCTCTGCGTCCATCTGCACGGACTACCAAAGCCGGAGACTCGGGACTAGAGTTCGTTTGGAAAAGGCCGGCCGCAAACTCGACTTTCCGCACACGGTTAACGGAACAGCGTTGGCTGTACCGAGGGTGCTTGCAGCCATCTTGGAAAACCACTGGAACGAACAAGACATGTCCGTCAAGATACCCGACGTTCTACGGCCTTGGATGGGCGGTATGGATCGCATTCAGAGAACGCGATGAAGCAGCCCACTGTCGCACAAGTGGCATCAACACCGTCACCGCGGCGCTTCCGGCTATCGTCCTAGCTCCATTTTTCTATACACACTCCCATCAGTGTCAGACAGACCAGCAGTCGAGCTGGGGCTAAAAACGAACACAGAGTGCAAAATGACGACGGCGTGATGCACGAAAACACCTCGTTGTCATCACCGCAGCCACTTTCATCATGTTGCAGAGTGCTTGAGTATTCGGAGATCCTCTCGTCACCGCGGGATCCAGGTTTATATAAACCTCTGTCCTCTCTCCATTGAGTCCGGTCATCAGCATCAACGTCCGCCGCTTCAATAGTCAATTACCATACTATCAAAATGTTGCTCTTCGCATTATGGGCCGTTGCCACCCTCTTCACCACCGTTCGTACAGTGGGCGCTACGCCCTTGGTTGCTAGAGCACAGCAAACTCTGACCGCTGATGTATGCCATTCTCGTCGTTCATCGTCTCCTATCTATTGTGGCTTTTGTAATCAGCTCGCATCACTTCATAAATTGCAGATGAACTCTATCTGACATGTCGACCAGTTCGAAGAAGTCCCAACCACCCCCCTTGGGCTACCTGGTCTACTGACCCCTGTTCCGAATGGCTATAGAGGCCTCAACTGGGAGAATTTGAACGCGGGGTCGAAGGGTCCGCTTCAGCGCATTCTCCCCAATGGACAAAAATTCGCTACCGGTCCCGCCACAGGCGCCGCCCTGTCCATCGCGCAACCGACTAGGTCCATCGACCCGCAATCCATCTTCCTCGGCTGCTACGTCATGAGTCTGCAGGGAAACGCTGCGTTGCCGCAGAAATGTACTATCAGGATGACGGCAACAACCACTGCAGGCCGAAAGCTAACTCCTGTGGATTTTCGATACACTTTTGCGGTTGACGCCCTTGGGATAGCTGTCAACCCTGAGCAGTTGCAAAAGTACCAGTTCCCAAGCTCCTGGAAGGGAATCTCAAGGCTTGATTTTTTGATTACCGAATCGGTAACCCCCTCGGCGGGAGGCGTGTCAGTTGCACGCCTCACGATTGACGACGTAGTCTTTACCCAGCATACCGCCGCTAAACGCAGAGTGGTGGTGAGTCCTCGGGCATCGACCATACAGACTGCTGATGTAGGCCACTCCCACTAACACCCTCCCTTGCAATTTCTGCAGCCAGCTCATATCAAGCTATGAGGGTGCCAATTGGATTCTTGCCTAACGCCTTTTACAGTTCGAACAAGGTGTCCCAACCGTTCCCTTGGGGCTGTCAAATGCACTCCTTAACTCAGAGGTCCCTTCCGGCTACAAAGGCCTCGACTGGGTCGCGTGGAAGGGCGGCTCCAAGGCCCCCGCTCAACGGATGAACCCGGACGGGGAGGTATTTGCTTTAACTACTACTGGCAAAGCCGGCATGCGCGCTAAGCATCCGACTCGCTCGTTCGATCCGCTATCAATCGGCGTTGGTTGCTTTACCTTCACGTTGCAGGGGAATGGAAACCTGCCCCAACGATGCACAATGAGGGTGACGGCGACGGACTCGAGGGGTAGAAAGTTCGCTCCAGTCGATCTCGAGTTTGATCCGCCGTTGGATGTCGGTGGACTGGGCCTGAATTCCGAGACCCCGCAGCAAAAGTCCTTCCCAACCTCTTGGAAAGATGTCACGGCGCTAGATTTTGAGCTTGTTAGCTCGGTCTCTCCGGTGGTGGGGACTGTCTCTACGGTGGGCATGGTGATTGACAATTTCAGGTTCCTCCAGCATACCGCCGCCGCTGCTCGCGAAGTGGAGGTTAGTGCTAGGGCGCAGATCCCAAGGGTTGCCGGTGTGAGCCACCCCCATCCACAACTTCCGTGTACCTTATTCAACCAGCCCGCCTCACAGGTGAACGGTTCGATGCAGTATTGGCTGACCTTCCACTAGTTTGAAGGCCTCCCAGCAGTGCCCCTTGCGCTGTCGAGTTCCGCCCTCCCTAACCCTGTCCCAAACGGCTACATGGATCTGGACTGGGAGACCTTCCGCATCGGCTCAATTGGCCCTGCCCAGCGACTCATTCCGATAGGGGAGCGGCTCGCAGTGACCGGCACTACTACGACCGCTGCGATCAAGGCCAGGGCTCCCACCCGCTTCTTCAGGCCCCAATCAATCGCTGTTGGCTGCTATGTTTTCACCGCCCAAGGTAATGGAGCTTTGCCGCAAAAGTGTACGATTACTGTCACGGCGACCAACACAAGGGGCCAAAAGCTTTCACCAGTCGATTTCGTGTTCGATCCGCCCTTGGATGTTGGTGGTGTGAGTCTCGCTACTACACCGCCACTGAAGAACAACTTCCCAAGCTCCTGGACAAGGGACGATATCGTCAGACTAGACTTCTCACTGAAGGAAGCAGTGACTCCGTCGGTTGCGGGTGTTTCCACTGCCGGCTATGTAATCGATGAATTCGCCTTCGTGCAGCACACCTAGAGGAGATAGATTGCTGGTTCAGTAACCATGTCCGGATCTTCAACAACATGGTCAAATTGTCGCGAAATAGCTGCAGGATTTTCTTTTTTCGTGTCTACGTCTTAGCTTGGTCATTCACTTGAAAGCCTGTCATTCTTTTAGCGTTGTTCGGCCTGTCTTGCGCTGGGTAACCATTAAGGGTTTTACCATTTCATTCGCTTAGAATAATGCTCGTCACCCTCGCTTAGAATCAATCAATGCCTAAACAAATTTGCGAGCCAGGAGGGACAATGCCAATGCAATTTAATAGAACCAAGGCATGACTTCAAGTTCCCCGTCTGCTGGCTTTCTCCTCAATCTCATCAGCCGCTGCATTTACAGCTGGCACACACCGACCCACAAACTCCTTCTGCGGCGACAAATTGAAAAGCCATCGACCTCAACAACTCTCCGCCCGCGTGCTCGTACGATTGGGCCACTCCCGATTCCATTGCATGAACACAGACCCGCTCATCCACACTTACCTTTGCGCCAAACCACTCTCCAGCCTGCTTAGCCCTCTAGAGTTCCCCACACCCCAACCCCTCGCCCGACCACAAAGACGGCCACGCCATCCCGCCCACCAGGGTACAGCGGCAGTCCACGCATCTGTAGCCACAGTGTTGCAGTTCGTACCACGTCGCCCCGAGCTCGTTCTACTAGACGCAGTAGCGCCTCAGCATGCGTCATGCGGGCTCATCCACGGGCCCGGAGATCTACGAGTACAGATGTAGGTCCGGTCATCGCAGCTGCAGACCGGTGACGCGCATCGGCACCAGCGGCTATCTCGCGAAAACGTTCTGCATGCTGCGGGATCTGTTGGGGCGGTTTTCTGGCGATGATCTCAGCACGCAGGTTGTGTACGGAAAGCATACCGAACGGCGCTAATGGAGCCTCGGACGGACGTCACGAGCTGCGGTTAGCGTCACGCATGGGCTGGCGTGAGATAGCAGCCAGCTAGTTCGACGGCGGTTCTGGTATCGTGTTTTTGCATGACACGACTGTTTCAGTGATGGAGAGATAGGCACTCTGAGAGACAATGCTCAGTGTTCCCACAACTTGATATGCTTCTTCGAGTTCTCTCTCGCGCTTGGACGTCGTTGGAGGTGCATGATCTCGGATTGATACTTGCTGCCGCCATCATGTAGGCCCCCACACATCCATGGCTCCAAGGCACACTGACAAAAGGCAAGCCGTCGCTTCCCCTGATGCCATTACCCCTGATGCCATCACCACTGACGCCTGTGAGTAGGGATGCAGATAAGAGAGTACTCCCAAACGTAATAGCAAAAGCACAAGCCACCTGCCCTCCTACGTCTCTGCAACACTGCATGCCCGATCTAGATTAATCTGATTCTATTGATGGGCTCTTCTGCTCAACGCCAGCAATGCTGTTCGTCGTTCCGCGTCCCGGATCCGAAGTGCTCCTTCCCTGCAGCGATCATGCAAGTGTCGATTTCGTGCATTGCAGCGGTTCGACGGCCGGCCATATCCGTCTCTCCGTCGTTCCGAGCCCGCAGACCGGGTCGAAGGCCCGCCCGAGGAAGCGATCGCTGTGGTGCAGGATCTTCGTCTGTGCGGGATGGGCGCAGGACTGGGGGGGTTTCGGGAGGTAAAGTGGGGAGTGTGATGTCTGCATCTGCTGTGTGCACTAACTTACGCTGCGGTGTTCGGCCCTCGCCTGTCTAGAAGGGTTTCATCGGAGGGAGAGGCCGGCTTCCCCGTCCAGCTACTTCGATCTGGGAGACTGACTCGGAGGCATGGTGATCTGGAAAGTCTATAATTGCATATGAATCCCAATCCTGATTCTGGGTTACTCATGCAGAAGTGTTGATGTCCGCAGTAAGGTACGATACTCATCTTGTCACGTGATGGTCCCGGTGAGACTAGCTACCACGTGCCCGGGCGACGACGTGGAAAACGCGGCCAACTCGAAAACCGCAACTTCATCACCGGCAGCACGCTCTGTCGTCTCATTGAAACCTCACGATAAGTAGTACAGCGTCTGTTGACGTCTGCGGCGTTGTTCGGGCCATGCTATAGGCTCACGTCGTTGCCAAGAATACCCTGACTCCTACCATAACCCATCACCCTTCAACACGGGTTTGAAGTTTTTCTAAATCAATGCTAGCCTATTTGTGTACTTGATTAGTACAAGAAACACACTTTAAGATCTATACTCTGCTATAAAGACTATTTTTGATTATATTCACTCGATGGTAACGGGTCGATTTTCCATGCTTATGAGCCTTGGAGTCGGCGTTATTTTGGCGCCGACGTGAGGCTGTGTTTTCTGTCCAAGCCACCACCAGAAGCTGCTCAGCCGCAATGGCACGCGTCTTTGAAACGGAAGCATTGCACTTTCAGTTTGACCCTCCCAGGACAACGAGGTTTGAAAAGGTATTGCACTTCTCTCCGCTCGTTAAAAGCAGACAACAATTTGAGTTGGGCGTTCTTCGACGCGTCCTCGTTATCGTCTCGATATTGCACTCGCGCGAGACCCCATGAGCAACAGCACCACCACCGGAGATCCTGTCGGATGGGTCGCAGAACCCCGAACTCGAGGCACGATAGGCCTTCTTTACAGTTGCTTGTTTACGATCTTCATCTGCACTTGGAGTGCGCTGCACATGAACTTACCTGCGGACAAGGACTCCCGCGCGAGAATCGTGTTGCGGAAGCTGAAGTGGATGGCGATAGGCATCCTGGCCCCAGAGGCTATCGTATGTGTGGCCGTTAGTGAGTGGTGTGATGCGAAATTCGTGTGCAAGGAGCTGTGGCCTTCTAAGGTAATCTTTGAAATTAGTTCTGGTTGAAGATCATGCGATTTCAATGCTTGATCTAAGATAATCTCAGACTAACTGTCACAGACCGGCAGAGAGCTAGCGCATGGCTTTCTTATCGGAATGGGCGGCATTATTATCTCAACGACAGATCAAGAGCGGATACGTCTTCAAGTTGATGATTTCGTCCAAGCGGTCAAAAGAGGCATCATTGATTTACCCGTGCTCGAATCGAAGGAGATTGAGGACAAGAGCAAGGCAGATTGGGTGTCGAAATCTGTTGCCTGTGTTCAAATTGGATGGCTGTTGACCCAAGTGATCGGCCGCACTGCGCAGCACATTTCAGTCACGCCCCTAGAAATGTTCGCCTTGGGAATTGTTGTATGCGCTATTACAACATACGGTTTCTGGTGGCAGAAGCCTTTCGACGTACAAACGCCAGTGGTGATCAATACAGAGTTGGACTTCTCAACTCTAGAGAGCAGATTAGCGGCCGAGATTGAGGACTTGGACATCGAAAGATTTCCGGTGCACGTGAGTCTGCTGTATAGTATGGGCACTGGTAAGGGAAAAACTCAGGATGTTTTCTTCGCGGTAGTAACAGCGACTGCTTCCATTCTATTTGGGCTCTGCCATGTTGCGGCGTGGAGCTTTGCGTTTCCGACGTTTTGGGAACGCCTGCTGTGGCAGGTTTCAGCTATCGCATGCGTCACTCTTCCTGTGACGATAGTCGGTCTCGCCTGGGTTTGGCGCGAACAGGATTGGAGTGACTCGACAGATGAGCTCATTCACAAGCTGGTTTCCATTCCTCTCTTCGGCCTATATACAATAGTTCGAGTTTTGCTTCTCTTCGAAGTCTTCTTCAGCCTCCGGTCCGTCCCACCTGATGTTTATCAGACCGTAAATTGGGCAGCGTACATACCACATATCTAGTTGTCACACGGGGACGAATGTATTTAGTTCTTGATCAAGTTGTAGCATGCCTGCTACCACCTCTCTAAAGCTTTAGTCCACCTGCTGTAAGTTCTGGCGCCCACACCCGTTTGGGAGCACCATGCTTTGGGAGCACCATGCTTTGGGAGCACCATGCTTTGGGAGCACCATGCTTTGGTAGCGATACAAACAACCCGTCACATATTACCAATGCCTTAGCATTGAGACAAATCTTGGCTCAGATCTTTGACCTTGTACAGACCCGGCCGCCCGGCCATTTACCTCCGTCTCTTCATCATGTTTCTCACAAGCTTGCATAAAGCGTCATCCAGTCAATAGTATCGCGATCCCATCTAGCTATGATGCAGAGGAAACCGGAGAGGCCGAATGAATGGAAACTGGTCCCAGCTTAGTCTCCCTACTGCGCTCGAGATCCGAAAGACGAGCAACGAGATCCGAAGAGCTACCGGGAGTGTCAAAACGGAGATCTCATAGCGACCGGGCGGCAGATGAGAGATCCGCACAGGAGAGGGAACAAAACGACCGGAGAGGGTCTTTGTCGCAGCGATGACACGTGGAGTGGACTTTCAATCACGTAGCACAAGAGGGTTACTCCGCTACTGTTTCGAAATCGTTCCATCATCGTCCGATAGCTGTGTGGACTGGGCCAGCCATCTACAGCCTCCGTGCTTGCCAAACCCAAGCCGAACCAACCCACCCCGCCGCCCACTCAGACTCCAGTCCCTGGTATTTATCCCCCCCAAGAGCGCCAAATCCCCAAAACACCGCGTTTACCGCACCCCCCACCCTTCCAACCCGCCCGGGCCCCTCCCAACCACAACCACCCGCACATCCAGGCATCCCCTAATGCGCCTTCCCCCCCCTCGCAAGCCAAAGCCCCACACTCTCCCTCGCAACCTCCCTCCCCCACACCCCCCCAGCGCCGCCACCCCTCCACTCCTCGCCCTCCTCCACGCCCTGCATACCCCACCCGGCGATGCCATCGCCGACAAGAACGGCCATATCCCTCCGCTGACTCGAGATCCACCTGCGCGTAAACCCGACCGGCTCCCTCGCCATGGCCGTAAAGAACGCGTGTTTGGCCCGCTCGTGCTGCAGCGCCTGCACCGTGTGCGCTAACTCGTCGTCCATGCGCACGAGTGTGGTGAGCGTGGCTGTGGCGGAGGGAGAGGTGGAGAGCGCGGTTAGGTGCGCGCGCAGCGGGTCCGGGACCGGGACCAGGATGTCGTAGATGGTGGGTGGGGAGGCGGCTTCGATGTAGGCCGCGTCGACGCGGATGGTGTAGGGGAGGGTGAGTGGGGGTGGGGGCGTTAGGTGCGGCAGGATTAGCTCGGGGATGTGGGGGAAGAAGAGTTTCTCTGCGTTGAAGACCTGAGGGGGGGTGGGTTAGTTTGGGGGGGATTGCTTGGGGATAGAGGGGGAGGGGGGTGGTGGAGCGGAGAGAGGGGCGGGGGAAGGGGGGCGTACGGCTCGCATGCGCGCGTCGCAGTGGATATGCCGTGACTCTTCGTCTTCTTGCAGGCCGGCTGTCCGGACGTAGGTCCAGATTCCCATGACGACTTCGGCGCGGTCGGCCTCTTCTGTGTCTAGCAGCTCGGCGAGCGGGCGGCTTAGCCGGTAGCGCTCAGGCGTCTCGTCGCGGACTAGGTTGATGGTGATGTTGATGTTCTCGTCGCTCTTGCGCTCGAACTCGAGCGTGTCGAAATTGGCTTCGGGGGAGAGGTTGGGCACGCCGGGGCGGCTCTCGGGCCGCTTCCACTCGATCTGGGCGAAGCCGTCTGGTTGGAGTGACCGCGGCCGGTCGAAGTCGATCGTGATTGATTTGAAGAAATGGGAGAGTTTGGTGCGAGGCAGTGGGCTGGGTGCTTTTGGTTTGCTGGGGGTAGACTTCTTTGCCGAGTCCTCGCCGTCCTGTTCCATTGCGTCCGGGTCCTTCTCCGCGCTTGTTTCTGCATTGTCGGCGTCTTTGCTCTCCTCGGAAAGCTCGTCCGCATCTGGCAGTAGACGCCCCTCGATCTTGACCCTGTAGGTAGCATTGCTCTCGCTCCCAAAATCGAAATTCTCAGGGTCCATGCCCGTCTGCTGCCACGGCTGCTCATTCGCAGTGTTCGAGATCCAGATGCGCATTGTCCGCAGCCTCCGCTGGTTGCGCAGCATCGAGTCCTGCATGTCGAGCCTCTTCCGCATCATGACGGCATCCAGCCTGCGCTCCACCTCCCGGAGGTTACGGTAGCGCTGTACCCCGTCGCCGATAACAATGCCCTCCACACCATCGGGTATGTTCCTGTCGGTCGGCTTGCGCGCCTGGCGTCTGGCGAGTTCGCGGCGCTGGGCCTCTTGCGCCTGGGCAGCCTGCATCTGCTGCGGAGTCGGCTGCTGCTGCTGCTGCTGCTGCTGCTGCAGCTGCTGCGGGTGTGCAGGCGTAGGGACCGGGCCTGTGCGGCGCAAAGTTCTCTCCAGGTCAGCCCACTTGATCATGCTGCACGATATGCACTGCGGAAGGAATGGGGTCTATAGCGATATGTTGCGCGGCATGGGACAGATATGGGGAGGTTACAGTACCTGGGCCACGGCGGGCCTGCGTCGCATGAGGTGAGCGCTGGACGGTGGGCGGGTAGTTCCGGTACTGGGCCTGCATCTTGAGGTGTGTGTGATGCGCTAACGAGCGACAACGGCAGCGGGTGGTGGAAGAGGATGGGAGGCACGATACGGACGATGGATGATGGATGATGAAGCTCTTCAGAGAACGCGTCTCTACTGGACATGCGCGCCACCTGTAGCTGTCCCACACACCCCTTTCCACTGCACACTAGCCGAATGCGGGGCAGAGCTGTGCACCTCGCAAACGCGCTCCTTGGCCCCTTTCCTTCCTCATCATCATCTCGTCGCTGCTATCCATCACTGCACTGCGTGTATGCTCATCAGAGTTCGTCCGTGGATGGGAGAGCATGCAACAGTCGTGACAGCCGCTCAGGATGCACATACGATACCATCACCTAGGTACCGTCTCGGTTAATGGCGCTATGCTATCATAGACCGATAGCTTTTCTATTTGTCCGATACCAACACCTCTCAACCCTCATTCCATGCTATCCTACCTCTTATTGAGTTCTGCGAGTGCCAGTCGTTAGAGCCAGTTGTGCGGTTTCTGTCTACCTCTACTCTTCTTTTGTCGTCGCCAGATCTCATACGCGGTCAATAATCCCCTTGTCTGATAGGGTAACTACACTCCAATACCAAAAGAACACTCTCTTATCTCTGAAGCGTCCAAGCTCGTTCCAAGATAGAACCAATTCGACCTGGTCGGCTGAGGCCTCCTTGATTACTCTTTGAACGCTCTTTCATGCTCAAACCCAGCTCGCACTCTGGTTTCCGCACAGTAATCGCGCGAGGCCCGCGCCGAGCTTATTCTGTCTCTTTCTAGAGGCCTCTTATCTCTCCTATCAGCTGTCAGCTCCTCTTATCAGTCCCCACGGGACAGCGAACCCACCATGGCAGGCGCCTACCTCGCAGCCGCAGGCATCAACCTGGATGAAGAGATGTCCAAGATCCAGTTCGGCGCTTCACCGCCTCCTCAGCAGTCCTCGTCACTCCTTGACGCTCCCCACGCCTCTCCGTCATCATCCACACCCCGTGCCCCCCTTTCCCGCGCCCTCACCAAGGTCCTTGGCGTCCGCCTCCCGCGTAAACCGCCAAAAACGTTCTGGGACGTCTCCATATCAGAGGGTATGATTGAGTCCATAACGCCCCACTCCCCAGCCGCCCGTCTCGGCCTCCGGCCCAACTCCTCAGTCCTCGACGCCCACGAGGCACTCCTGGCACCAAGTCTCTGCCACGCACACATCCACCTCGACAAGGCCTTCCTCCTCTCCGACCCCAAGTTCTCCGATCTGGAAGTTACAGATGGTTCGTTCGAAGAGGCAATGACGCTCACCACGGCCGCGAAGGAGCGTTTCGACGAAGAAGACCTGCTCCGCCGCGGCAGGGCGCTGGTCTCAGAGTCCCTCGCCTTCGGCGTCACGGCCATGCGCGCGTTCGTGGAAGTGGATGGCACGGTCGGGATGAAAGATCTGGATGCTGGGCTCAAGCTCAAGGCCGAGTTCGAGGGGCGGTGCGAGATCCAGATCATCGCGTTTGCGCAGCTGGCGCTGTTTAGTGGGAGCGATGGTGGAAACGAGGTGAGGAGGCTGATGGGGGAGGCGGCGGGGAGGGAGGGGGTCGATGGGGTGGGGAGTACGCCGTATGTGGAGGAGGATGGGGAGAGGGAGGGAGCGAATCTGAGGTGGATTTCTGACCTGGCAGTTGAGCATGGCAAAATGTTAGACCTGCACATGGACTATCATGTCGATGTCGAGAAGCAGCCGTTGGTTTGGGACGCGTTGGAGGTTCTTAGAGAAGCTGACTGGGACGGTAGACGAGGCAAGGGTGTTTGTATGGGCCACTGTACGCGGTTGACTCTGTTTGTGGAGAGCGAGTGGACGAGGTTGAGGGAGGAGATAGGGAGTATGCCGGTTTCTTTTGTCGGTCTGCCAACTAGTGATCTGTACATGATGAGGACGGAGGACGGCAGGAGGGGGACGCTGAACGTACCGGATATGATCGAGAAGTATGGTCTCCAAGCGGCCGTCGCTGTCAACAACGTTGGCAATGCTTTTACGCCGCAGGGCAGTTCGGATCCGTTGTCTGTGGCAAGTTTAGGAGTCGGACTGTACCAGGCAGGGACGAAGAAGGACGCGGACGTCCTCTACGTAAGTTGTAGTCCAATCCAGCAAACTTGTCCGGTGATTGCTGATGGTCAAGCAGGAGTGTGTATCCTCACGGGCAAAAGAGATCATCGGGCTCGCACACTCGAGTCTTGACCTGAATCCTGGAGAGCCAGCGGACTTTGTGCTTTACGAGAGAGAAGAGGTAGCTTGGCGGACGAAGAAGAGCATCGCGGAAGTGGTGTATGATCCGACGAGCAGGAGGAGGACGATCAAGAGCGGACGCCTGGTGGCATAGAGCATCTTTCTGGAAGCCGTAAGAATTGCAGGTGGTCAAAAGAAATCTTCTGCACACCTTGGACGCTGTACCGCAGCGTTTCGATCAATCTTTGTTGTTGTGTCTCGTCTTTCTGGAAGTTTGTGGGATCGTCTCCGTGAAGGTCTTGCCAGAAGATTTCTTCCTTCGCATCCAATCTCGACACTTTCCACGATCAACACCAACAACCCGCCCAATCATTCAACCACCCATCGACTCGACGCGTCTCTCTCTCGTACATCACGAAGAATCTTCGTCTATCCAGCCATCTCTCTCTCCTCCCGTAAAACCCGCCGTCCTTGCCACTCTTGCCCCGCGGATATCTTCAGCCCTCCGAAGATCTAAAAATTCTACCCACATCGACGCCGCAAAATGAAGAGCCAGCTCCTCCCCTTCATCCATCCTGAGCACTGGCAAGCCGCCATCGCGTACTGCGCCCGCGTATTCGTAAGCTTCCAGGCCCAGCTTCAATCCTTTCATCCCACGCTGTTTAGCTAACCGCTTCCCTAAGATCACTTTGGTCCCGACTCTTCACTCCGATCTCACCGACCACAAAGAGTTCATGGCCATCCTGGCGCAGTTTGAGGCGGGCTTGTTCGGGGCCGACGCCGCGCATGGGCAGCTTGAGGCTCTCTTCGGCATCAAGAATGTCGAGCTGACGGAGGGCTTTGAGCGCTTCTATGACATCTCGGCGGTCCAGGTCGCAGCGAGGGCGAGGACTAGCGCATTCAAAGCAGCTTGCGCAGCGGCTATGGTGCCGTACGCACTGGCTCCATCGGGCTTTGAGGGAATGGGCACGGCTCCGCAGGGGGTCGACTTCGGAGCTGGCGGTGGTCTGGCTCGCGATGCTAGGGGGATGGCACCAGCAGCAGCGCCACCAAGCTGGTTGGATCAGGGAGCTGGCGTGCTGGTTACGCCGCCGCCACTACCGCGGAGCCTCCAGGTACCGGAATCCTCTCTCCTTCCTTACCCCGAGATGTACTCGAAATACCTAGCATGCTGACGACTTCAAGCACGGCACCGCTCCGCCGCCCGATATGGCGCCACGCGCCTCGCAGGCCCCTCCCGCCCCCGCGCTGCCGCCGCATAAGAAGCTCTTTACCCATGCCATATGCGGCAAGACGTTCACGGCCAAGTACTACGTCAAGCGCCACCACTTTGGCGCTGGGAAGGGGAAATACGGGTGCTGGCACGTCAATGGGGAGCCGCCTATTCCATGGTGAGTCGCCCTGATATGAAATCTAGGGATAGAGACTAATGGAATGTGGTAGGGACTACGGTTTGCCGCAGTAGGCCGGAGGAAGGCGCGGTGAGGGAGTGGTGGTGGAGGCGGGGGATGCTGGTTTTGGGCGGTGTTTCTGGGGAAGGGAGGGATGCTTTGTAAGATAAGAGATGATGAGTGTGTTTGATACCAATTCAAGACTTCTCTCCCGCTACCGATACGAGAGGTGAACGCGTCCTGGTTCGCTATGCTACCGTGTTGCGTTGTCCTAGATTTCGCCGTGGTTCTATACAAAGCGCGATATATACTTGCACCAGTCTCTTCCAGTCCACGTTGTCGAGTTTGATATAGCTTCCTCACTATATTGAGAAGTCAAAGAAAGAGTACTGGCGGGCATTAAAGAGGCCATCCTCATGAAGTGTTGTATTCCCAGTTCAGCACTCTACACTGCTCTTGGTTTCCTGCCACTTGCGGATGCTTAGACTGAGCTCAAGTCAGACTTAGATATCATGCCAAAGAATTGCTGAATGTTTATATACGCTCTTGATTGGGACGCAGAAGATCCGTCGCGGCCAGAAACAGACACCGAGCTGGCAAGGGAAAAGAGATGACTGTAGAGATGGATGGGGAAAGCGGCATTTCTTCCTTCATTCGGCATGTTCAGTAGGGAATCACACCTCAGCGTGACAGTGCTGATGCATGCTTCAACGGCCTTATGGCAACAACTAAGTCTTGAAAGAAATGTATAAACGGTACATGCTTCAATGCTTTGAAGCCTGACAAGGTCTGAACGCGTCTCTCGTCCGAAACATGGTTGCTGCGTATAGATATACAAAGGGGCTTAAAAAACTTACTCCCACACCTGGGATTCGGTGCTGATGCTGCTTCAAATACCTACTGCTGGAGCCCAATTACTCTATCTATCTACTTTGTTCCCACAAGTCTATGTGGGTGGGAGAGTGCGGTTCAAGCGCGACGCGCTTTGAAATCACGCTGTCACGTGCAGCCAACTTCATCATCACGTTCAGACTGCAACCCACCTTCGTCAACCCCATGAACCGAACTCTACCCGACCGCAATAGGCCAAGCAACACTTCTCTCTCTCCACAGACAATCCATTATCCACTGGCCGTATCGCTCCTGAGAAAGCCCTGTTCTCCGCCATAGCCGATCTAGAACCTCACCGCGCCCACCATGGCCGACAAAGCCCCCCGCGGCGCCTACGGCCAACAAGCCGGCAGCGACACCTCCTTCCGGCGCACCTGGGACAAAACCGAATACGCCTCCCGCGCCGCGGCCCACGACGCAGCCCTCAAAACCGAAGGCCGAGCTCGCTACGAAGCCGCCGCGGCAGGCAAAAAGTACATCCGCCGCGCCTCCACGCCCCCAGATGCCGCGGAGACGGAAGCACGGCGGCAACGTCTCGACGTCGCTGCGCAGGTCGGGAAGACGATGTTGGTCCCTGCGGGCAGTGCAGTGGGGAAGCGGGGCAGGGGAGCGGGGTTCTACTGCGAGGCCTGTGATTTGACGTTTAAGGACAATCTGCAGTTTGTGGAACATCTGAATTCGCGGCAGCATCTTGTGGCTGTGGGTCAGACGGGGGAGGTGAGGCGGGCGACGGTTGAGGAGGTTAGGCAGACGCTGAGGTATCTTAAGAGGAAGAGGGAGGAGGAGAGGGAGGAGGTTGTGGTGGATCTTGGGGAGAGGTTGGAGAGGAGGGCAGAGGAGGAGGAGAGGGAGAGGGAGGAGAAGCGGCGGAAGAGGAATGAGCGGAGGCGGAGAGGTGGGGGAGAGGCAGAGGTCAAGATTGAGGATGATGTGGGGGATGGGGTTATCCGTTGAAGAGGGTGGCTATGATATTTGGACGCTTATGGTGGCGGCTTCAGGCTATTGTATGAGCATCTCCGGCCTGCAAATCTGCGAGTTCTGTGCGAGGTGGGCACTTCTCATCCCATATGATGGAAACGTTGCTAACCAGAATTTAGATGGTTGTGCAGGAATTCGTCAAGCTATCGTTCACGTCTCGTTCGAGACCTACAGCAAGCGTTGGAGAGCCGATCACGCCTCGCAAAGCCTGCTGTCAAAGCCATCAATGTGCACACAGTTATGTGCTTGGGACCCCTGAGCTACTGAAGTCTGATATCAAATCTGACGCGGCTTACTATGAAAGCAACTGACGTACTGTGCTTTGGCTCGAAACTGCGAGAGACAAGAGACATGTTCTAAAGGAATCAACGGGACAATAGGACAGCGGGATGTCGGGATAGCGGAGCCTTCACTGCCGAAGATACTGTAAAGGTGCCTGAACACCCGGCAGATAGACAATAAGCTAGAACGTTTATCGTAAGAATTGGATCGTTCATTATGATAGTCGAATGCTTGATATGTCCTCATGCCTTCTCACTTCACACGCTCGACGTTGAAGCGATCGATCCCCTCCAGTGTTCTCAACCTTCCTCCTTGATTTCAGTGTGATTAATTCGGATTCAGACGGCTACGCGGATTCCATCAGGACTACAACAAGACTGAACGACGGCTTTCTAGTTATCCGTTATGGTAAGAGCCACGGCCGTCTCAATATATGGACTCGAGACGAGCATCCCGAGCACAATCCTTGGCCTGTACAAAGAAAGGAAGAATGCTGCTACCGTGTCTAGTGGCAAACGCGTAGGAGGCGCTTCGTAATTGGGAGAAAAGAGAAGCAACGCGCCATCGGAGAAATTCATCCCGGGCCATGGATAAAGTACGTACTGTATTTGTGTTGCGGGGTCCTTGAGGCTTGGTGCGAGAGACCCACGCGTCAATCGAGTTCCAGTAACATCAGGAATAACCGTAACCGGCCATGCTATGGCTACCGTATGACGCTGCCTGCTCATTTCATAGTTGCATGAGGAGAGATATCGCAGCGGCATGGGTCCCGCGTGCGGTCAAGGTCCACCAATCACAGACAGTCAGGCCGCCTTCCCCTGGTTTCCCCGCATGGCTAAGCTTCCGGGACAACTGCGCGTCGTGAGCCTCCTCCGATGAAAGCGCATACGACTGAATTTATTCCACCAAACGCAGCTTGCCTGGCTCCATGTCGCGACAAGGTAGACACGCCACCGGGGAGGTCGGACAAATGATTTCGGCTTGCCAAGGTGTGAATTCGGCATTTGAAGACCGATATATAAAGGCCATGGCTCTCAAAGATAAAATCCGCTTCAATCAAGATCTCAGCACGTCACCTTCACTTGTTCTCCAGGGCAAAGTCTACAGATATGAAGTTCTCACATCTTCTCGTCCCGCTTAGCCTGGCGCTTGTTGTTGCCGGCGCACCAGCGGAGAAAACCCCAGACAAGAAAGACGGATTCGAGCTCGTTGGCTATGCAAAAGAGAATCCTTTAGGAGAGACGACAGGCGGCAAGGGCGGAGCGACGACAACAGTCTCCGATGTGGCCGCCTTTGCAAGTGCAGTAGCCGGCAATGAACCGCGAACCGTGTATGTCAAAGGCGACTTTAACTTAACATCGCGCCTTCGACCCGGCTCGAACAAGTCAATCATCGGTGTCGGGAGCGGTGCGAGTATCACTGGGAGCGGGATCACTGTGCAGAATGCGGATAATGTCATCATCCAGAACATCAAGATCAGCTTCATTCTAGACAATGATTGTATAACACTTCAGAATTCGACAAGAGTTTGGGTTGATCATTGTGAGTTCACATCTGATATCAACCGCGGTCCGGACTACTATGTAAGCTTTCACGTCCCAGCCGAAAGGGAAGAAGAGATTGTGATGCTGATGTGCGGTGCAAAGGACGGTCAAGTGGATATCGTAAGGGCTTCAGACTGGATCACTGTCTCGTGGAACTACTTCCACGACCACTGGAAGGTAAGCTCTCCGGTCAGGGTTGCTCGCAGTCCACGCGCTCATGCGGGATCATAGTCATCATTGGTCGGCAACAGCGACGCCCTGCGAGATGTAGACACTGGCCACCTTCACGTCACCTACCATCACAACTACTGGCGTAATGAAGGCACGCGGGGCCCAGCTGGCCGTTTTGGTCATCAGCACGTCTTCAACAACCTGTATGAAGACTTTCTGTATCAGGCCATCCACTCCCGATCCGACAACCAAGTTTTGGTCGAGGCAAACGTCTTTCGCGGCAATACGAGCGAGGCACTGAGCACGTATGGATTGGTTGTTCCCGCCGACTCGCCGAATACGTCGCCAGAGGGTGATTACGAGCTCGATGGTTTTGCGAATCTGGGTGCCCGTAAGTGTTGGCCTGTGTACTCCTTCAGCTGGAGCCTGATTTTGGACAATCTCTGACTGGTATATCTCTCCAGGCAATGACTGGGGTCCGGCTACAATCAACATCACACAAGTGGGAAACTTTACGGAAGTGCCCTATAAATATCGCTTGACGCCGTTAAAGCATGTGCAGGAGGTGGTCAGGGCAGGCGCCGGTCTTGGTAAGATCTGAAGATAATCTACGAGGCGTGGAGGATAAAAAGCACTTGTGTATACTCGCCCACCCATACTGCAAATAGAAACCTTTGATAAGGATCTTAGGCACACAAAATCACGTGACAATCAACCCGGACTTTCGCTTGCGGCTGCATGAGCCGTCAGCCGCTCTTCTCACGTTGCACCGATGAGCCGCACTTCTCCAAACATCCTTGCCAGACATCAACACAAAATGTGATTCCCCCACAGCCAAAATCCAGAGCTAATTCGAGACGAGCAAATCCACCGAGGACCCAGGGTGGCGTACCCCCACACAATCGCAATTGAGCTATGGAGCCGAGGAGTCCCGGGAAGAGCGCCCGTGCCTTTTAGATCCACCGCTAATCTCACTAGCTGCACGGATCTAACCCCTGAAGTCGAATGTCGAATGCTCAGTACTCTGCCTATACGCCCCAATAGCTAAGTTCAGAAAGCCTAGCAGCATTGGGCGTCTTCGATGACGATTTAGAGTCGATCTCTGTGTGGCCTCATATGGCTGAGATGCGCCTAACTAACGCATCGAGAGAACGCCGCCCGTACTCCGCGTACCGGTACGGTTTGGTCCTTTGCCCCGTTGCTGGTTGAGAAGTCCTGCTACCCTGAAACCGTCATCTCCGACAGGCTGGAAGCATGTCCGCAACACCAGACCGCATAGCGCTAGTTCAGGACTTTCATTGATTTCATTTCCATCTGTCCAACAGCATTGATTCTTCCCCCGCCTGTTCAAGCCTCCATTTCATACATGCGAACGCGTCCTTCCATTTGCGCTTCGACGCGGGGCAAGTATGGTGTTTTGCGGAAATCAGCCTCCTCCTTCTTGGAGCTAGAGAAGCTTTTGCAACCAAGGGATAGCTGATGCCGTGCTGGCAGCTACCGGATGTGGGATAGTGACTCCATCTCCTTGTACAGGGCCACGGACGCCCCTCTGGTGTCAGAAAACTACAAAACGTGAGAAGCGCTCTCATGTAGACTATACAGGTAGGTCAATCAGTCGCTCTTTCGCCCAGTCGCTCTTTCGCACCGTCGCTCTTTTTGCGCAGACACTCGTTTGCATATCTGCATATTCGCTCTTTTAGAACAGCCATCATGCTCGTCATCCCTTTGGTAAGCCATTCCCGGTGACGTCTGAAATGGTTCCGTGTCTGACAACGAACCAGATCTTGGCTGCCGGTAGCCTACCGACATTCGTTTTCGGGGCACCAGTCCCTTTGACTGCTTCCTCGCGCTCCGCCCTGACGGATGCTTCCACTCGTTCTCTGGTCGAGCGTGCCGGAGATGCGTATAGAACCTACGGCGGCTTCGGCACTGTAGCCAATGGCTGGCCTGATTATAACGCCTGGGTCTCCAACTTTGACGAGATGTGAGTCTTGTCTGCCGCCCCGAAACTAAAGTATCTCTAACGACCGCAGGTTCAATAACAACCGCGGAGTGATGCGAGGTTCCTGCTCGCAGTTTGGGGTTCCCAACAACTCAGAGGCCGAGACCAACGACATCTACGCCGCGATCAAGCAAGTTGCCGGCGAGACCGGCCTCGACGCCCGCTTCATCCTCGCAACCATGATGCAAGAGAGCAACGGCTGCGTCCGTGCTCCAACCACCAACTGGGGCGTCCGCAACCCGGGCCTGATGCAAGACCACAACGGCGCGGCCACATGCAACGAAAACGGTGTACAGAACCCCTGCCCCCGGAACACGATTATCCAGATGATCCGCGACGGCGCAGCCGGCACACCCTACGGCGATGGGCTCAAACAGCTCGTCGCTAAGACTGGCGCTTCAGACGTGTCCAAGTACTACAAAGCCGCGCGCATGTACAACTCCGGCTCTATCGCCGCGGGTGGGAACCTGGGCCAGGGCGGCGCAACGCACTGCTACGCCTCTGACATCGCCAACCGCCTCACAGGCTGGGTCACCGTCCCGCGCACCTGCAACGAAGCGACGATCGGCGGCATGACTGGTACTGGTTCCGCTGGAAATGGTAACACTGGCAACACCGGTGGTGGCGCGACTTCGCCGACAGGTCCGAGGGCGCCGGGTGCTTCCGGCGCTTGCACGCAATGGTACACGGTTCAGAGCGGCGACCAGTGTGGGATTATCCAGCAGCGGTTTGGTATCTCGATGCAGCAGCTTATGGCCTGGAACACGGGGCTTAGTGGTGATTGCTCCAACCTCTGGCTGGGATACAGCTACTGTGTTCGCGCGTAAAGCTGGAGATTCTGTTGCTAGTATATATGTACATATGCCTTCGTTCTTGCGTTCTTGATGACGCGAGGTGGTCTATAAATCGCGACCGAGTGAGACGTAGTGTTGGCTTGCCACCAGCCATATTGCCAATACATGTCCGCGGCATTTTTCACCTTAGCGCCTTCGTCTGTCTACTCATCCAACCGCATCCGAGTGGTGTATCCAGTCTTTCAAGCACGTCAACAGCGGCAGTAAAGCGCCTCTGCACAGCTATGAATCTAGAAGATTGGGCGGGCGGAAATGCAGAAAGGGTTCCAGCGTCAAATCCGATATGATAAATTAAATACAACATACATGCGAAGCTTGGGAGGACGGGATGTCCCACGGCCTTTATCAGGGACCAGACACCATAGAGCGTCCATCTCAGTACTGACACGGGCACTCCTCCTCCCACCTCAGTTGAACGGGATAAACCGTACGAAACCACGTGCCCTCATCCGTCCCCCATCGCGGTGTCCACTCCCGATCGTCCACATACCCATACCACGAGTCATAGTCCTCATCGGCGTTCTTGTACACGTGCATCACATCACTACCATCCACCGCGTTCGTACACGTCAGCGTCTTAGTCGTGCACGTCAGCGTCTTAGTCGTGCAATCTCGACTGCACATCGCGCGCTGGTATGACGGATACGCCCACAGTTTCATCGTCATGATCCACTCTATGTCTCTGGAGCCACACAGCGCGACCCGCTCGGTGCTGCCTGGATTGGAGGGCGTTTGATAGCCGATCAAGGTGCCGTTGGTGGTTAGGTAGAACACGCCTGGCTCAGCGATGTTGATATCGAACCTAGGATTGCCATCCCCGTCCTTCATGCCAAGGGGTTTGCCTTCGATGTGAGGAGCGCCGTGGCCAGTGATTGTGAAGCACGACACCTGGGTCTGCAGCGGGCAGGAGGTGGCTCTAGTAGAAGTGACCACGCCTTCCGTGACGGTTGTCGTGGTGTACTGCGGTACCGTATAGGTGACAGACTGGGTCACCAATGGTCCTTGCACGCCGACGGTCCTAGTGCTAAAAACGGTGGAGACACCGGAATAGACGGTGGATGTGGATTGGTAGGAGGACGTGGTGACCGTACCGGTGGCGATTTGCGAGCACGCGTATGATATTTTCGTGGGTTCCCAGCCTGCGACCATGGCAGGTGTTGCGACGGCGCGCTTCGCGAAGGTCGGTGCAGTCACTGCGGGTGGAGAGTGCGGATGTCGAACCAACGAATTAATTGTAGCGGCAGGGACGTCCCGCTTCTTGAAATGAGTCTCTAGCTGCTGGGCCCCAGGTGTCAGGATCCAATGTGTGCTTGGCACGACTGATGTGACCGTGAACATGGTATGTTCAGTGAGGAATGTTGTTGAGGTTGAAACATGCACGATAGTCTCCGTTCGAGTTTCTGTGGTGGTACTGGGAGTAGTGGTCGCGGAGACCAGGAAGTTGGTACTTCTTGGAGCATTGTACCGATTGTAGGAGGTACAGAACTCTCCTCCGACCTCTCGCAGAGACGCGACTTCTGCATTGGAAGGTTTGTTTGACGGAACTTTGAAGCATTTCGGTGGATTGTACTCTTTCTTCTCCGCCAAATCTTTCTGTGTATCACTTATCATCACTGTATTCTTTGAGCTCACGTACGACGTCATCAAAAGGCTCTCTGCGGCACACGAGCCGCTTACCGCTCCAAGCTGCTCCGAGTCGAAACCAACAGTCGTTTCTGAAGTCAAGGTAGCCAGGTCCTGCAGTTTTGCGTCAAAAATGGAGATTGACATCTCGATGGACGTTTGCATGAACGACGCGAGCCGGACTTTTGAAGTGGACTTGAAAGATGGGTACGTCAGAGTTGACTGCGGATGCCGATTGATGATGTCGCGTGCTGTCTTGGCCACCATATCCATGCGCACGGCAGCATTGTTCAAACTCATTGAAGCGCCTCGAACGACATCCACAGCAGAGTCAGTCGTGTAGTCGATGCCGAGGCTGTTGATGATTTTTGGACTGAGGAATCAGCTGCAGACCGAACCATACGCGTCATTCGGCACTTACCTGATAGCGAAGACGTTCGCAACGGATATGTCTTTCAAAGGAGTGCCCGACAGTGTATACTTCTAGCTTCCGGAGGATGGTCCTTGTGCTTCGATCCCCACGATGAGATCTATGACCGAGCTCATACTTGCGGTGACATCGGCGCTCTTTATCTCGCGCGTTTCAAGTACAACCTTTATGGTTCCTTTGAATCTAATTTCCGGCACGGTGAGACCGCAACTGATGCATTTGACTAGGCCCTGGCGGAATCCGGCGACATACTTGTTCCTGAAACCGCCGAAACCTACTTTCCATGCGTGATCGAAGTCATATATCATTGTAGGAGGTGGCGGAGGCAGAATTATTGTCGTGTATGTGACTGTTTGCACAGTACAGCCGGTGAAGAAGCATTTAATTGCTTCTCTTGAATCGTAAATGTCTTTACCAGCACGCACGAGTTCTCCGAGGTCACCGGTGAAAGTTGTGATGAGATCATGGCAAGCTATATCCCATCCGTCAGGTTTTTCATCGTCGCGTGCATTTAACTATAGGATATCGTCGATACTGCGCTTGGAACTGAGGGTTGGACTGGGAGGAACACCACAGCTAGCTGCTGCTCCTTGGGAAGGTCCATCATTGGCTTGGTCAAATAAATCTTGCGGTCTCGATAGACCTTTGGCTGCCAGAGCATCGTCAAGCTGCGCTTGCAGCGCCGGATCTTCATTGAAAGGATCCTGCTCTAGAACCTCGATGGTCTGTTTCGGAACGACTGGAAGCTGAGCCACAATGTTTCCATCTTCATCTCTTTTTGCATTGTTGAGAAGAAACTGGTATAGCTCAAATGCTTTCTCGCCTACGACCAGTAGCGGTGACGCTGTCGGTGCGCTAGCCGTCGAAGCTGAGGTGGAAGATGACGAAGTCAAGGCTACTGTGGACAACGCGGAATGAAGCGATGATGCCGGATGCGGGTACGCCGAAGTGCAGGCGGAAGTATATGGAACACTTGTACTGCTGCTATTTTGGACTACAGTTCCGTAGTTTATCTGCATCTCTACAGCTACATCCTTCTAAGTCTGCGCTTCTACTTGAAGCGTTACTGCTAATTTGTTTGGACTGACCACTGAACCGGGCCATCCCTGAGCAATCGAGAACGAGTCTTGGCCCGCCAGCGTGATAGTGACCGAACTGTCCGTGCAAGCTACTTCAGTAACATGGGATGAATCTTCAAGAGTGACCTGATGGTAGAGCATGTCAAAGACCAAAGATACCGCACGATTCCCAGGGTCGAGTTGCGCGTAGTTGAGTGTTGCAGTGTTCGAGGGAGTCAAGTTGCTCAGCAAGGTCCTATCCACCTTGGAGTTTCCTACGGGCAAAAGGGCATCGTCCTTGGCAGCGCATGCCGTCGGTGATGTCGCACTGGATTCGGAAAGCGTACCCGAGCTTGATGTTGTACTCGGCTCGGTTGAATTTGATAATGCGCTCGAGCTTCTTGAAGCGGAGGATGTCAACGGGGCGCTTGAGCTCAATGAGACAGCCGAGCTGGATGTCGGAAATGGGGTATACATCAAGCACGAACAAGCAGAGCTGACTCTGACCGGATCCTTGTAACAGTTTTCCAAATAAGCTGGGATTGCGGACGGATCTGTGTTGACTGTTGCGGTGTAGGTCTTGCAGAGATCACGCGCACGAGAGGCTACCGTGGGCATTCTGATCTGATTGATGCAGTTGTTTCCCGGACAGATTGGAACTCGAACTGGTGGCGTAGAGCTGCTTGTGATCTGCAGAGCAGACGTGGATGATGGGCCCGTCAAAGTTCCAGTCATTGATTGGGTTACGGATGTTGTTGGAGATGATGAGCTGATGTCGGAAGTGGGAGTGCTCGTAGCTGCGTCAGATGAGTGGCTGCTGGGGCTTTTAGTTGACGAGGAAGAGCTGGAGCTAGCCTCCGCTGAACCGGTGCTAGCTCCTCCCATTGATGACGCTGAGCGGCTGGCTGCAACCTCGGACAAGGAAGAACTGGTCTCTGCTCCTGATGAGGTCGGGACGGAAGAAGCCAGGCTAGACGAGGGCGCTCTTATGGCAGACAGTATCGAGTAGGAGAAGGAAGTCTCCAAGCAAGAGCAAGCGGAACTTAACCGCGCAGGCTTGAATCGGCAGTTGGTGAGCCATGTCGGGATGGCAGTCGTTGCGGTTATAGTGCTTGTAGTGTACGTAGCGCAGAAGCTGACAATAGAGGAGCTGTATTTCGGAACGAGGGCAGCCCGGAGGCAATTATCCTGGTTCTGTACCGGGTCTTAGTAACTTGATAGCCCTGACTGGTCCGAGTAGTCACGCAAACGATTGCCGGCAGTGAGATTGCTGAGAGAGCGCACAGAAGAAATTGAAACTGTAGGAAATACATGGCAATAACTTTTACAGTAAAAAGAAACGACTGGTAAAATAACGACTGGTGGGGAGAGGTCCCCAGAGGATCGTAGAGTAGTTAAAGAAGGGCAAACGGGTCCACCTTGACTCAGCCCTTTCCAGATGCGACATGCAAGATCTGAATACGTTACACCATTCACGTCAGGGGCCGTGTCTATGGCTTGCTGAGGCAAGCCATGAAAGTTCCAATATCGCATCTGGAACCTCATGTCTCTAAATACCATTTGCTCGCCGAGGGCTGTGATCAATCATCGATGGCGTCCCAAGTCTTTGATGTGGCTTACTTGCTGAGAGCTGGAACTGATTGCCGGCGCCTCCATCCAATTGAATACGACCAGAAGCTGGGGATAGGGGCCGATTCGAAGATCAAGCACGGGAGCCCAAGCGCTTGAGACGGGCTTAGCCGGGCGCCGTGTCCTGCTCTTTCTGACATCATTGTGGGTTTTAAGGCCTCATCCGAGATTCGTTCCTAATGCATAACCTTCCAGGATCTTCTGTCTTAGCCATGGCTGAGCATGTCAACTTTCCCGTGCTCTCCAGACACAAATGCGCAGAGAGCGAAGGCCCGGATAGACGTTCAGGGCTGGGCCGAAAGCCTCATCCAGGGGAGGTGGCTTGGAGCAGATCACCCGCATGCCAAGAAATCTTCCGAAGCATGGCTTGGAGACCTAGAACAATAACCACAGAAACCTAGCAAGTCACAACTAAGTCATGGAGGAGATGCTGGTCCTAGGCGTATCGAACGAACCATTGGAAGAACTGATTTGGTAGCCCCAGAGACTTCTTTGTTCTTTGCCACTATGCTAAGCCCCATAATTCTCACTCCTTGGGACTTCCTGCGTTACGTACATCTGGTGCCGCGCTGAATGCTCCTGTTCGGGAGGACGAGGTGCCAATGGAACCGGATTGTCAAACACACCAACTACGATGCTCAGAGGTTTCTTCCTGGGCCGACTGCTCCGCACATGGCTGCGGGCCTGGCGGGCGGGACTCTAGCCTACGGTCGTTGCTGAGCCATTGACCACTTTCTTCGGTCTCCCGGACTTCTTCTTGTCCTCAAGGTGTAACAACATCGTGTGTATATCCTTGTGATTAGGTCTGGAGGCGTCCTCTGCGCGCCGGTAAATCCCGCAAGCAGTAGAGGGTGAAACGCCAGTTCTGGTTGCGATCTGGTTGAAGTCGAGGCCGCAGAGAAGGCGCAACGCGATAATACAGGCGCGGAGTGGGATGCTGGTGTTTCTGATGCCTTTGACACGCCCTCCCTTTTGATGTGGAAGCATCTTGGATTTCGGAGAGGTTGATAGGGAGAGCTAAGAAGGAGACGTGTGGTGTTATCACAAGGCGCAAGGCGGAGAGTCACGTGACGAAATATTACATCGAGTCTCTTCGGCTTCATCTTAATGATATCCAAAGGCGCGCAGCATTGGAGAAGTTTTGGAATCACCGGGAACTTTGTTGTAGACTCCAACAGGAAGTCGATCTCAGAACGAGTTGGTAATATATAGAACCTCTGTTTGGGAGATGCAATAATCATCCTTCTGTTTGTCACCGTTCCAGTGCTGCAGGTGATCGCTTTTGCTGCGGAAACAAAACAATATCATTGTTTTCGCCAAGCTCGGAACCCCTATTCATACCTTAATTAGGTACGGCATCTTTGTTGACGAGTCTACTTTACCAGGCACCTTTGAACCTTTGATAGCTCTTTGACCGCCAACTTCGATGCAAGCTTTGTCCCCACGACATACCTCCGCGAGGAAATCTACCAGGAGATTAACGTATTGAGAGCTGGTTTGGCAATAGCGCCCTGTCAAAATGATAAAACACCCAAGATACGCTGCATTCTCCAACACGGACGATTACCACGCAATCCATCACAATCACTAAGACAAGTCAACTTCAGTTTCATTATCCAAATCATTCACAATGGGTCGAAAACGTGGAAACTACCCGAAGGATTATATCCGTAAGTTGCTCCGTCTTGCTGTCTGATCACTCTAGTGTTGCAATTGCTAACAGTTTCGTAGCGCCCTATGAGTCAAACACGCACGCTTATCACGGTCTTAGCCCTCCATCTCCATGCACGGTCATGTAGAGGGGCTATCAGGAGACTTCTGTTAGGATGGTAGGATTCGTGCATGTTTCTTCATACGATTTCCTTTTTTGAACCTTTAGACGCGTTCAGTACGGAGGGAGATCTGCTAGCAAAATATAGTTACAGTCTTGCTCATTGCGCCACCTCTCTGTTACCAGTAATTTTGAGAGCTTGAAGATGCAATTCCAAAATTTGCTGTGCAGAGATGTGTTGAAGTGACTTCGTGTGTCTTTTTGCGTTTTCTCGTGCTTGTCGCTTCGAGTGTGTTCGTAAATGGTTCTTTCCTCCGCCAAAAACATCCGCTCCTGCTTCGCATCTCAGGAGCTCGAACCACCAACCACTGGCCCTTCCGTAGAACCAGTTTCTTTTCCGTGAAACATTTTCCGCGCACGTCAACTGTTGCTATACCAGATTTTACCCCGTCCTGTTTCTGAGACCATTCTAAGGACCGATTAACACCGACGCACAGCATCACTACCATGAAACCCGGAGGAATTTCCCGTAAGGAAGTGCAGAATTTACAGCCGTTTCTGGGCTATGGCTTAAAAGAGGAACCTCAAGACTTTGAAGAACCTGGAGGGCAAACGTAAGTAGCTGACACACCGAACACGAGCGGCAAGCCCTTGGGAGAAGCTAAATGATCACAGATTGGCCGGTCAAGATGCGGAGAGCCTCCACACACCCACTCGTGCTCCACGCAGCGTTAAGGAGAAGGCGATTCAAGAGATTGAGAGACAATATGTTGATCCTTTCAATCAAAGAAAATCCAGGAAGGAACTGGAACAGCCTCAGAGTGCATCAGGCAGTAGCAGCGCGCCTATGCATACGCGGACGCGCAGCGCCATGGCGGGAGCTTCCGAAGGAACTGAAAATCGACATCTCTCTCTACTCAAGGAGTTCGACGAAGAGTCTAGTGAGGAAGATATCGGCGAGAGAGAGTCCACCGAGAAAGAGTCCAGCGAGGAAGAGGTAAGGTTCCGGCGTGCACCAAACATCAGTGGATCCATTTGGCATGTTCACGAGTCTCCTTACCAAGACCGATCGTTGGTGCTTCTTACAAAGCAAGCAGGCGCTGGGCTGACCAGTACATAGGAAAGCAAGAAACGCAAGGCAACCAACGATCTCGCGGTGACTCCCTACAGTACTGGCGACACTGAACCATCTCCGCAACGGAACGGAGAGGTAACGCGTATTGCTGGTTTCCTGGAACCGGAAGACGAGGCAGTGGTTCGAGCGATAATCGAGAAGTACGCAGGCCGTTTGCTGGCCGCTAGTGAAGGAACCGATGACAAGTCCAGTGATTGGGGTGTTGACTGGGAATTTGGGATGTCGGGTTGGGATAGCCGCTCGTAGACTTGTGTTAGTACCATCAAGAGCGTCCGCTGTTTGAGTAATTCCTCTTCCTGCGCGATCAACTGCATCTAAGTGTCGTTATGGCGATTTGACAAAGGGATAAGATTGGGTGTAGCCCATAAGTCATCCTTGAAGTGCGACGATTGTGCAGCAAAGACGTCACAGGATCAGCTGCTGATGTTCCAGCTTGTGCTATTACCACTGCAAAGCTGATGAGAATCTTCCCTATCCCTTCCTACTTCGGTTTATGGCAACGGGCTAGAAGGTGGTTCGTGCTGTGCCACGTCAAGCGGGAAAACAGCCTCACCGCGTAGTTCTATCCTGCGTCTCTTCCAGCGCCCATCCATCGTTAGTTTCATAGAGTAATCGACGATCAGCCACCACAGTTGCTCTTAGTTGTGAACGATAAAACAACAGGCTTTCAGTTGGCTGTTCAGACCTTATTGTGGAGCATCGTATTGACCATCGAGGAATCTTTGTTCTGGATGCAGCCCTAAATTTCTAGGTTCGCGGTGAGGCTTTTTTTCCGCATGACGTGTGTAGGTAGATGTACGTGGGACGCTTTTTGCACGAACCTCCACCAAGGGTCAACATAAGAAGCCGCTGCTCATTAAGCGGCCGCTTTAGCCCATTTCGGATGGGCAACGTTTCGTTATGTTGACCCTGCATCAAAGTGTCTCACGGCTTCTGGTACGTTGCTTGGCATATCAAGCTTTCAGCCCTATAGTATCGGAGTCTTCCCCGTTCCTGTCTCGGCGCACGTCGCCAAATCTCAAACACCAAAAAGTTAGTTGATGTACTTAGATAGTAATTCTCGCAATTCCGCCCGCATCCAACAATCGCAATGGCTTCACACGCAGAGCCGTCTTTCCGCGACGCCTCACCTCCTCCCTCATCCTCTTCGAGCTCCGCCGATCTTCTCGACACCCGAGACGATGAAGGCTGGGAAGACGCGAACCCCGACGACGACACCGAGAACATACAGGTCAAAAGCTTCTTCGATGATACCTACTTTACGGACGTGAGGTTCATGATAAACGCGTGCAAGATAAGGTACAACTTCGATTTTCTCGCCGTACTGAGGAGCTTTGGTGTGTCAACTTTCGTTCGTTTTCGGCGCTGACCGTGGCTCGCGCTTCATCCAAATGTTTATGGAGTGCTAATACGACTACTCGAAATGTGTAGACCTTGACTTCTATGGTCGCATCAAGCTGGTTAACTATATCCGCGCCGAAGTACAAGCCGGCAACACGAAACCCGACCTGTCCTCTAAGTCCCTCTTCGAGGACGACAAATACCTCCAGCCTGTGCTAGAGGACGACGCCCTCCTCTTCTGCCTCGACGATCTTATCGACGAGCTCGAAGGACCTCCACAGACATCTGTCATAGGAGGAAGGGGCAAGGCACTGTTCGCCAGCGAGCAAAACCCCTTAGTCCGCATCAGCGAATTAGAATCGCAGTTGGAGCGGATGCGGATACAATTCGCGGAATACAGAGAGACCGTCTCGAAGACGCTCGAACAGCGGTGGGAAGACTCGCCGACTGCGCCAACCTCCGCAACCGCCGGCCCCTCGACTACATCCAGCAACGGCACCGCGAACCGTGCAACGAAGAGGACAGAAGCTGAAGATGCGTCGTACTTCCAGTCCTACAGCTACAACGAGATCCACGAGACAATGCTCAAAGACACCATCCGCACAGACGCGTATCGCGACTTCATCTACGAGCACAAGCACCTGTTTCAAGACAAAGTAGTCCTCGACGTCGGGTGTGGGACGGGAATCCTCTCAATGTTCTGCGCCAAAGCGGGCGCGAAGAAGGTGATTGCGGTCGATAACAGCGCCATCATCGACAAGTGCCGCGCTAATGTCTTCACGAATGGGTTTGGGGACGTGATAACGTGCTTGAAGGGGAAGATCGAGGAGGTGGTTTTGCCGGTTGAGAAGGTCGATGTGATTGTATCGGAGTGGATGGGGTACTGCCTTCTTTACGAGGCTATGCTTGCGTCTGTGCTGTATGCGCGGGATAAGTATCTCAGACAGGGAGGGTTGATGGTACCGAGTCACTGCACGCTCAGGATTGCGCCGATAGTCGATCAGGCATATATTGCGGACTCGGTGGATTTCTGGACGGATGTGTACGGGTTCGACATGAAGGCAATGAGCGAAGGCATGCTCGAGGACGTGCTAGTCAGGCAGCTAAAAGCGGAGAACCTTGCCGCGGATGCAGTGACATTTAAGACACTGAATTTGCATGAGATCAAGACGGATGAGCTGGACTTCACGAGCGAATTTGAGCTAGTGGCCGCCAGACACGAAGACGAAGAGTTGGACGGCTGGTGTATCTGGTTCGACACTTTCTTCCTGTTGTCATCAAGCAGTGCTCTTCCCGCTGATGCAGTGGCCGAGACGTGGAAAGGGGAAGGCAATGCATTCACAACGGGACCAGGCGGGAAGCAGACGCATTGGCAGAGTGGAGTTCTGATGATCGACAAGGCGAAGAACGGGGGCACGTTCTTGAAGAAGGGTGTGAGACTTGAGGGAAGAGTCACATACCAGCAGGACGAGGGCTACTCGAGAGGGCTGAAGATTGCGGCGGAATGGGCTGAAGAAGGAGGCAAGAGCAGGAAGGGACAGTCTTGGTTATTGAGTTAAGGCTTTGAATACTGGGACCTGCTGACAGATGACGAGCACATGAATCAGGATCCATGAGAGGGCTCATGTAGAGATAAACTTGCATCGTGCCTGCATTACAATCAAAGCCTGTGCGCGGATTTGACCCCCATGCTCTAAGAATCTGTGCAAGAATTGCTTTTGAATGCCTGTCGATGCAATCTATGCCTTCATCGCTGCATAGGGCATTCAGAACCAGCACTGAGGTGTTGTTCGACAGCTCGGCGGCGGAGATGCATGATGCCTTGATGCCTCGCTTGGACCCTGAGAGCTGCATATCACCAGACACCTTTAGAGCTCCATGAAGTCTCACATGCAAGCCATAAATATACCACCACTAAATACAACGATACCTACCCTTTAAGCTCTTCAATTACCTCATCACTCTCCACCCTGCAACCTTTGCTCTTCTCCACAATGACGATGTTTGAGCGATAAGCACTCATGAGATGCGTGCTATATTGCCCGGCAGGCCCCAAGCGAAGCTCCAAGCTCTCACCACTGGCTTCTGGCGCGATAGGCAAACTCTAGTATGGCACCAATGTTCCTCCTGTAATCTATGATCGCCATCGCTGACTCCTTTTCCTTACAAAGGCTTACGTGTCCGGTAACGCCCTGATCATCCTCGATGGCCCGAACCACGTCCTCCAAACCACGTATCATACTGAACCCGACGATCTCGTTGCGGTGGCCTTCGACGAAGCTACTGGCAAGATAGCAACATGTTCGGCTACGGAGGTTCACATATACCAGCCTTACGGTCAAGATGAAGGTGAGGTCAAAGTAGGTGCGCATCCTCGGCTCGCCTGCGAGAACACTCGCTCATACATCCCAGTGGTCCCTCCAAAATACATTACATCTCCCAGATACAGAGGATGAGACCCGCACTCTCTCCTGGGGCACTGACGAGGAACTCCTCGTCGGCTCCTCCAGCTCCCTGACCCTCTTCTCTACGCACAACGGCTCCGAACTCCTGTGGTCCAAACCAATCGCGTCTCCGCCCAAGTACGCCCTGTTCTCGCCCGACGCCTCCTTCATCGCCTCAACGTCCACCTACGACAAGCTCGTCAAGATATGGCGCCGGTCGAGCTTCGGCCGCTTCGACGTCGCCTATCTACGGCACCCTGCAACAATCACCGGCTTACACTGGCGGCGACCATGGCATCGCGAACAGACCTTGGAGAATGTCCTCTACACAATCTGCGCGGATGCCAAGGTCCGGGTGTGGACGCCAACGGATCACCACAGTCTCGACATCATGGGCCTGTGGACCACGATCGACTGCGCTGAGAGCATAAAGCCACGAAGGTTTCCGAACCCAATCCCCTCGAAGAAGAGATATGCTTTCGTCATCGATAGCAGGGACTTCACTGCAGCTACGGAGAGGGCTGTCGAGCAGGCGGACAGTCGGAAGAAAGGTCCCGATCAACATGCGTTGGAGCATCTGGTAGCAGTCGCAAACCGCAGTCCAGAGGTCGTGGTGGTGTTGGATGATCAGGGAAACATGAGTGCGTGGGGTCTGGAGGGCATTGGATGCAAAGCCAGGAAAAAAGGTGATGTTTTCAATGTGGCACACGTTGAGGGGCTCAAACTCAGCTTCGAGAAGGAAGCGGAGGGACTGGAAAACAATGTCCAGCTCTACAACTTCTGCGACGGCAAGAAGGGAGAACAAAGAGGGCTCTCCGTACTGGCACACCACTTTGATGGGAGGATTGAGTGGTGGGAAGGAAGGATAGATCGGCTTTTCGACGTGTCACCTAATACGCGTCGCTTGGACCGGAGAGCTGTCTGGACCGGTCATTCCAGCGCTATTAAGAAAGTAAACCGGACTGCCACAGGCAGAGCACTCTTCTCACGGACAGACGACAACGAAGGCGTGGTCTGGGTCCAGAGAGTAAATCCGGAGGGTAGATTGGCCCTTGTCAGACACAGTACCATTGATACGGCGGAACACATTCACCGTGTATGGCTGCTACAAGAGGGAGATTTTGTGGCACTTTTGCACCACGACAGTCTGTCGCTGTGGGATAGTCGAGCCGCGAAGGCAGTTGAGGTAGCAAGGTGTCAACACAGTCTCAAAGGCAAGCTATTATGCCTCCTCCTGATACCAGAAATCGAGGCCAACAGCGGATGTGTGCATATCGCAACAATCACATCCGAGATGAAGGGCGCGGCATGGGAAGTCCGGATCCCCCAAAAGAAGTTTGCGGACACCGTACGGGGCGCACGCTACAGTATCGTGAATTCAAACATGCTGAGCATATTTGGCAAAATCTCACTGGAAAACTTCTGCACCTTCGACCTCGGGGCTGGAGATGATCTCGAGTTTGTGCTACCCGTGGACCCTGCTGGCACGCCGCCAGCAATATCTGGCTTCCTCGATATCTTTGCACGCGATGTCGCTATCTCATACAACAGATCCGGCGTGTTGGAATCGTGGACCGCCAGAGTCGACTTGGAGAATCGAAAACTCGAATGGTTGCAAACATCGAGAGTTGAGACGGGTGTCGAAAATCCATTCCTCGCCAGTAGCACTTCCATCCGAAAAGCTGCGCTTATCGACTCATCGAAGACTGGACTCACGATCTGGAACACCCGGAGTGGCCAGCTTGAGCATGAAGAGCGCTTCGAAGGCCACGGCGGCATGCAAGACTTAGATTGGTCTTCCACGCCGGACAATCAAAGCATTCTTGCAGTGGGGTTCCCGCATCGAGTGCTCATTTACGCGCAGCTACGGTACGACTACCTCAACGCCGGACCTTCATGGACAGCAGTTCGCCAGATCAGCACAAGAGAGCTTACACCCCATCCGATCGGCGATTCCGTATGGCTTGGCTCAGGTAATCTCGTCATCGGCGCTGGAAATCAGCTTTTCGTCCAGGACGAATATGTCGAGATTTCCGATAACCTCCTGCCGGACCTGCGAGCGGTGTCGCGTAAGAATGCTGCGCTTGACATCTTCACCGTAGTCAGTCGACTAAACGGACCCTTACCAGTGTTTCATCCACAGCTTCTGGCACAGTGCATACTAGCGGGAAAGCTGCTGCTCGTTCAGCGCGTTCTGATTAGTTTATACAAAGCACTGAAGTTCTACAGTGAAGGTGATGACCTCGATAGCTTCCTTGGCTTTCAACCGGAGGACTTCTACTCAGAACACGAGGTGAGTCACAGCCCCGGGCTCTCTTAGTAAAACGATCTAATGACGGTGTAGGTGTTTCTCAACGCGCCGAGAAAGGAGATGCATTCTTCTTACGCCGACTTCTCTGACGATGAAGAGCCCGATTCGTTGACCGAAGATGTGGCGACGTCGCTCAACGAGCTACTGACACAGAAGTCTGTACCCCAACTCACTAGTCGGGAGCAGTTCCACCTTGCGGACATCGTCGAGTGTGTCGGGACGGTAGAAAAGCACCGTCGTTCTGTCGACGATAATGCTAGCCGCTTCCTACTGTTCTTCCGGCAGCATGTGCTAAGAGCTACCAAGTAAGCCACTCGTAACCTCTCACCAAAATCATGCATTACTACAACTCGTTGCAAATCCCTTCCACGTTCCAGAAAACTAATCTCCCTCAGCAAAACCTCCGATCCCGCCCCCCTCTCCTGGCGCGAAATAACCTGGGCCTTCTTCTCGACCTCCCAAGACATCCTGCTCGACCTAATCTCGCGCCACTTCTCCAACCGCATGCACTGGCCCTCCGCGCGCTCCAGCGGCGTCTTCATGTGGCTCACCGACCGCGCCGCCCTCCTCTCCTACTTCGAAACAATCGCCCGCAACGAATACGTCAAGTCTGAGGACAAGAACCCCGTCGACTGCAGCCTGTACTACCTCGCTTTGAAAAAGAAAGCGGTATTGCTCGGGCTGTGGAGGATGGCGACGTGGTCGAGAGAGCAGGGCGCTACGTATAGGTTGCTGAGTAATGATTTCAGCCAGAGCAGGTGGAGGACGGCGGCGCTGAAGAACGCGTATGCGCTCATGGGAAAGAGGAGGTTTGAGTATGCGGCGGCGTTTTTTCTGTTGGCAGATCAACTTCAAGACGCTGTCAGCGTTCTCAGCAACCAGCTCGGTGACCAGCAACTCGCGATCGCGGTCGCGCGCGTCTACGAAGGCGACGATGGGCCTGTCCTCCGCCGGTTCTTAGAGGAGAAGATACTCCCGCAGGCGGCGAGTGAAGGAAACAGGTGGCAGGCGTGCTGGGCATTCTGGATGTTAGGCCGGCGGGACAAGGCGGTGCGGGCGCTGGTGTCGCCGCTGTCAAGCTTGATGAGTCCGCCGACAAGCCCGAAGATGGGGAGTAAGAGCTTCTTGACGGACGATCCGGCGCTTGTGGTGCTGTATAAGCAGTTGAGGGAGAAGAGCCAGATGACGCTTAAGGGCGCGGTGATGGTGGCCGGGGCGGAGGAGTGGGGGTTTGTGATGCATACGGCGAGGTTGTATGAGCGGATGGGGTGTGATTTGCTGGCGCTGGATTTGGGTGAGTCATTGTGCTTCCCTCTACCCTTCTTCACGGCCGCCTTTGTTGAAGAGCGTTGTGGGGGAAAGCAGCATGCTGACACATCATCAGTGCGGACATGGGAGTTTCTGGCCCCACCTCCGCAACCTCTCGCGCCACTGCCGACCAAAATGCCAAGTCACTCGCAGCAAGGTCATCAGCAGGCCTACGCACCCTCCGCGCTTGATGGCTACGACATCGATCCGCGGAAGCTCCTACGGAGAAGAAGCTCGCTTGTCGTGGCGGACTTACCGACGCGGGAGGCGATCAAGGCTGCGTCTATCGCGGAGGATGGGGAGATGGAAAAGAATGGAGAGGTGGATGGTGCGAGTAAGGAGGAGACGCGAGAAAGGGTTGCGAAGGTGGAGGAGAAGAAGAAACCGCCGCCCACGCAGTTTCAGGAACCGGATGCTAATAGCTTATTGGATTCTTTTGGTTTCTAATGGGATCGTGCGGACAGCGATGCCTCAAAGTCGTATTCAGTTCAGGGTCTTTTTTCTTCGGGACGGGGAGGTGTAGTATGTAGTGTACAGCTAGTGAGAAGTGCTTTGAAGCGGTTCGAATAACGTAGAATTCAGCTGCTTTATGCTAGCCTATATGAAACGTGACTTTCACATTGCACTAAGGAATTCTATAAGGAGTCAGTCTTAAAAATCTCACAAGATTTGAACTCTCGGTGCTGGCTCCGAGTTGAGTGCGAAATCATCATGATATCTTCAGAGCGGCTCTGCCGCCCCCCTTGTTCTCGATTACGTGATCCGCAACTGCCATCGAACTTCACAATCACCTCATGCGTCCTTTACCATTTCGATAAAATAGAAACGAAGAGCTAGTACAAATACCAAAACTAAAGCGGAGAATGCATCACATCCAGCGCCCCTCCTGCGTGGTTTCCACCACGTTCGACTGGTGGAACGGCACGTTGCGCCGCTTGAAGCGCGACAATGCAGCAACGTCCACAATACCGCCTATGTGAGACAAAGGCAACTGACAATGACAAACGACTGGTGAAGAGCTGCTATGGTAGACGGTCGACATGCCGCAACGCCCGCAGCACGGCCTCTGAAGGGCAAAGGATACCAGAACGACGGAAGAACAGCACAGACGTAGTGTGGTAACCATGAGGAAAGGGCATGCATCTCAGGAAGCCTATGCGCCTAATCAACAAACTCTCTTCTGACGCCAGCCGCCCGGCGAACATAAGCTTGTGGTGCATAGGGCGGAGTTGTAGCGGAGAGTGGGACGGTCGCCATGCAACTATGGAACGAACAATGAAAGACTAGGACAATGAAGGACAGAGATATTAAGAACTGGGACAATGAAGGACAGAGATATTAAGAACTGGGACAATGAATCGTCTTCTGGATAGCAGCGAGGAGACTGCCACGTCTAAGTCAGGACGAGCAAGAGGATCGAAAGCGGCTGCACAAGAGTACCCACATCCCAGAGTCGGTATCCTCTACCGCGATGGCTGGATTCGAGCTCACGAAGCTGGTGAAAATGCATATCGCGGCGGTATATATATCGCAAACGAACAAATCACGGTGGGAAGGGACGATGAAGAAGCGTGTTGCGAAAGACTCAATGCATTCTATATGTGCTGAGTGACCGCTGGTATTCCATTCCCACCCAAACCGCCACTACATTAAGAGGGACAAAGCCTCATGAGAAGAGCAGCCATATCAAACGCTATGCCATCCTTCCAGAGACGTCAAATGCAAGACTCCCGCGCTTTGAGTCCTGTAGAAGCTCCATGGCGTAGTAACATGGCAGCAAAGCCAACATTCTGCTTTGTATGCAAAACTGGCGAAAAGCGCTTTTGGAAACGAAATCGGACGCAGGAAAGAAACGCCGGGTTAAGAGGAGAAAATGCCGTGGTGCATCCCTCGCGTAATAACTCCCAGAGCAGTGGGGCGGGCCTCATTCTCTTCGGAAAGTGGCCTCTATCGAGAGCCGTGGACTCCATGCTCGAACTCCGGCCAGAGCATAGTCGATCAAAGAAAAGATCAGGAGTTTCATTCGGACACAGTTCGAACGCGGCGCAAGGACTGGTTTTGGTATGCTGGTACGACACTGTGGTCGAACTCGACAACTTTCTGATTCAAACGCACAACGGTGTCTTGGTGAGCCCCTTTCGGCTTCCACGTCGGTAGGTCAAACTCCATAGCCGCATATCCTGGCCGATTGATCTCTATGTCTGCTTGCGCTTCCTCAGCAGGGAACGAGTCGTGTTGCTTGGCCCGGCAACTGGCGGTGCGGCTTTTGATCTCTCCAGAGCCGGACGAGCAGAGCCAGATCCTCCTGCAGTGGCGATCCTCCGCTTCCTAGGTGGCTCAGTGGAGTCTTCTTCGTTGTCTTCGTCGACTGCATCATGATTTCGCTTCTTGAAATTGCGATTGTCGCGGGTTAAGCCTCGTTGAGCCGGTCCGTCATTGGTCTTCCCGTCATCCTCTTGTCCTTGTATCGTGTCTACCACTTCCTCATCCTGCTCCTGCACTTGCTCCTTCTCTGCTTCTCCATCTCTCTCCAGCTCCGCAGTTGATCCATCTTTCACGGTTGATTGCCGCTTCGCAGCTGATTTGCCTTTCGCGGTTGACTTGGCCTTTGTAGCGGACTTGGCCTCCTTCGTGGTCAGTTTTGCCTTCTTGCCTGACTTGGTCTTCGCGAGCTCTTTCTTCAGGTTCTCGATCACGCCATTCTCCCGTTTCCACTCGCTGTGTACGGATGCCACCCCACGCTCTTTGCGTGGCAAATCCTGTCCTTGCACGGCACTATTCCAGGCCTTGCCCTTGTTGAACTTGTTAAGGGACTTCATGACCTGTGTGACGGTGATCTGGTTATTTGCCAGGTAAAGGCTCCTCAGGTGCTCGCGTTCATCGTCTTGCCAGGCCTGCAGATCCCTCTGTGCCTTCTTGGTTACTCGACGAAGATATTGGTTTTTACTGCGGTTGAGCTTCAGAATCTCCGCCTTATCATCCCAATTTGCCGGAGCTTTGAGGAGGTGAACCCTTGGGTTACTGTTCTCATCGATGCAGTGCAGCGTGAGGAGTGCGACTTGATCGATGGGGTTTCCGTCCTTGTCCTTGGTAAGCCGGCCGACAACGAACTTGAAGTGGTCCGCATCGTCACTGTCGCCTTCATCCGCTTTTATTTCGATCTCTGTGTCGGATTCTGTGTCGACTTCCGCGTCAAGACCTGCATCGACCTCTATATCGAGTTCTGGTTCGGCCTCTGACTCGGCTTCCGTGTCGAGATCCACCTCGAGCCCTGCATCGATGTCCATCTCGACCTCCGTCTCGACCTCTGTCTCGATTTCCGCTTCGTCCTGCGCCTGAACTTCTGTGTTGGCTTCCCCGCCGGCTTCAACGTGTCTAGCCGCAGCACAGAGAACGTCAAGCGACTCTCTGTCGACGGAATAGTTCGGCAGGTTGTCGGGAGCCGCGACATCAGTCTCATCAGCAGAGTCGTGTTCTGGCGAACTCGCTCCGCTGCTCGAATCGTACCAGGCGCCCCTACCCGCTTCGAATAGGATGGTGCCCGCTCGATCTATCTCTGCCGCCGTGGCAAGGGCGTTCAGTCCAGAGGTGTCGAGACCTTGCGGAAGAGTCTCGTCATGGACCTGGCCCTCGTTTGACTCGGGGTCGTTGGCGAGCCTCGTCCTCTCATAAGGTGTTGTGGAGGGTACGACGGGAAGGTCCTCCGCAAGGAAAGAGTATCGAAGTAGTGAGGGCTTCATCGTGGACAGCAGGGATGACAGCAACCGCTGGGATTGGGGTCAAAGAGGAAGACCGTTCTGTCGCGGTGGTGGTTGCTGTGCCCAAATCCTGTTTGCAGGAATAGCTCCGCCGACGCGAAAGCACTTAATCTCGAGGATCCTCCTCACGTGTCTCGTCGTGGTAAACAGCAAGAAAAGGCTGTTGTCTTGGCTCAAAGCTACGTGGGAAAGAGCTGACTTGGATTAGATGCTGTGTGGTTGCGTTGAGTGTTGCAACGAGATCAGAGAAGAAGATATTCGGTGGTCGTAGAGCACGACGCAAGCGCGGCAGTGACTGTGGGGGCAACTTCACTTGACGTGTTGCTGTTGTGACTTGCGCGTTCTGTTCGGACTTGTTGTCGTCCGTGGAGTTTGTTGGGAGGGAAACGAGATGAGCGGGAGTACCCCCCGACTGATATATCTTCCGAGGCGAGTGAAAGTCTCCGGCGGTGATACTACGCCTGTTCTATACTCACGACATTATGCTGTACTATACGATGGGCCGAGAAGACGGCCGCAAGACTGGCTCCAGCATCCTGGCAGGCTTGACAATGGGTCTGGTGGCGTCGCTGCCGCCATTTCTATACGCAGCATCCTGCGAGTTCTTTCGAAGCGATATCAAAAAGACTCGGACACACCGAGTGTATCGCAACATCGACCACCCGTCCCCCCAGCGCAGGAGAAGGCCACGAAGCGGAGCTCCCGGTACCGAACCGCTCGACATCAATCCTTCGGTCAAGCCCGAGCTAACGGTTGGCGCGGGCATCGCGGTAGCCACATCTGAGTTGGGGGCTCTTTTCACGAGTTTCAATGGCAGGGGCACAAGGCGTAGGACGCTGCTCATTTATGTCCATGAACTGTTTGCCTATGGACACTTTACTACCTAGCACTCAGTTTGCGCCGCGAGACAAACTGCGCTGAATCCCGGTGTATTACATGCAGTCGACAAAGAAAGCTTCTGACAAAGAACGGGAGCAGTAAAAGTGGATACGCCATGCGGAAAGCGAAACGCAGCAGTACATTCAGCTTTGGAAGTCCTGCGAGAGTAGGCAACACCATATCCTCCTTGCAAGACACAGGTACTGCGGACTCATGGCTTGTACGCAGCCATGTAGCCAGAAGTGTAGTAGAGACCGGGCACGGGCGGGAAGATTGACGGCGGCGAGAGGTAGATCGTCGCGTTTGGCTGTAGAGTAATACTCTGAAAAACGTGGAGCTTTTGACGGAGGTACGGCTCAATCTGATGGAAGCGGCCTTCTGATATCTTGATGAGGGCTTGAATGTCCCTTTGCCGTAGAGGTACAAGTTGTGCATCCTCTTACTAGTTGCGCCGTGCCCGCTTGCCTTTTTTGGGTTTGGGCTGCGCAGCTAGCAGCTGTTGGAGTTCTCGTTCCTCCTCAACTCCCCAGAACTTCTCGGAACCCTCTCTGTACGGTATCTCTGGTGCGGAGTCCTCGGAGTCCTCGGTATCTTCCCTCTCCTCAGCTTCCTCATCCTCATGAGCTTCCTGTCCCTTTCCAGCCTCCTCCGGAATCTTCGTGGTTACTTTGAACTTCTTCCTCAAAGTCTGTAACAACTTCTGCTTCTTAGCTATGTGAGCATCGAGTGCCTTGTTCTGATCCTCCAATACTGCGAACGGATCTGGGCCTTCTTGATATGGGATCTCTGGAGCGTTGTCCTTCGCACTAGCCTTCGCTGTCACCTTTCGTTTTCTCGACTTGCGGCTTTTCGGAGTCGGCTTGGGCTTTCGAGGCGGGACGGGAACGTTCCGCTCTTCTCGATCTGTTGCGCCAATGGCCTCCATGGAACCTCCCTCGAATGGTGTATCAAGTAGGTTGGCTTCTTCCTCGACCGCGAATGTCACTTTGCGTTTTCCCATCTTGGCGTATGCCCGCTTGCGTTGGAGGGGTGGTTAGGAAACGTCTTGCTGCCTGGGATCTGTCGAGCGAACTTTCTCCACGACGTCCTCCTTATAAGGGATCTCTGGAAGGCTGTCTTCCTCCTCCTGCACTTTCTCCCTAGCCTCCAAAGCCAACTTGCATCGGTTTGCCTAACTCGTCTTGCTCTTTGCTTGTCTTTGCTTTGTATGCGGCTGATACAGGTATTGCTCTTCCCTTTCTTCTCTATTCACTTCCGCGATCAATATGCGCTTCTGCGCCTGAGGGTTGATTGTGTGGACACCGGACGTTTGCACGAACAGTTCTGAAGGTACCAGGCTCACAATCCCGACATGATCGCCGCCGCGTTCCGTCGTATGAGAAAATGGCATGAAGTTGTGGTTTGCTCAGGAATAGAAAGAGACGAGCGTCGGGTGAGAGGCGAAAAGAGGTTCGACTTGGATCGAGACGACAAGAAGGAAAAGGATTACGAGATAGGACGTATCAGTCTTCCAGCTGCCTCGCTATTCAGACCAGTCATTTCCGGCAGAACATTCACTTAATGCGTTACCGACACGAGTGGTGTTTGTTTTGATTCGTGAGGACCGCAGACATCATCGCAGGAGAAGTCAGCTGGCGAGCTCTGTGGATTCGACCGAGGCAAACATCAAGCTCCATGCATCCTCGCTCTAGTGGACGACCCGGCTGTTGAAGTAGTCTATCCGGTATATTGACACTCCAAGGCTGTACTATGCGGTTTGACCGAAAGGAAGACCACTCGAACGCAGTCATCATTGTATGGAACGATGCAAACTATTTGGGAGACTGTCGTACGCCCCCAAGCGACGCTGTCAATCCGCAAGACGCTCCCTCTCATTGGGCTAAGTACCGCCAGTATCCTATTCCGCGCAAACGCCGCTGTCCTAGGGACTGAAGCCTAAAGTTCATTAAGGAGAGGAATCACATCGAGAGCAATGCATGTCTAGAGCGCCGTAAAACTCAGGAAGCTCGCGTATCGAGAAATTAATACCGTGACAGCAGTTGTTCCCCCGCAATTCCACCCAGAAGACCGATGAAGAACACCCTTAATAATGAAACTGAAGCACAAGACAGCATCGCTGAACGAGACAGGCAGAGGGCTCCGGTACATCCAGCGCTTGAAACCCTTCATGAGACCGACGCGTGTCTTTCCGCCACTGAGAAGCGCTCCTGAAATGAAATGGTGGCTCTTGCGCGCATTAGGACCAAAGGAAAAGGTGCACTCAATAGGGGAATGGAAAACCGGTGGACGGTACATTGTCAGCGAGGGCAAGAGGCTATGTATCTTCAGGATGATGGACCATTGCCGTCAATGTGTCACATCCAGGCGGAAGAGCGGCTTGATGACCTCGGAGTGATCTTCTTCCGCGTATCTTGTCGCTCATATTGTTCCATCGTGTCTTCTTGATGGATTGTCTTAGGTCCGCTTGCGCTTTGTTGGGCGCTTGGAGGCTGTATCGTTCTTATTTGATGGTGTCGCCAACTCCTCCTCACCCTCTTCATCCGTACTTCGCTTGCGCTTATTCGATCTAGTCGGAGCAGGAGTTGCATTCTGTTGGGCCATTGCATCATCTGGGTTATCCTCCTTGGCGTTGACAGTGCTACTCATCTCTTGGACAGTCTCCTGCTCTTCCTCGTCAACAGTCTGGTCGTCCTCCTCATCTACCTTCACGGTCGACTTCGGGTTTGAAGCCTTGTTCCAAGTTCCAGCCACGCCAAGTTCACATCTCAGTCGGAGGACTGCTCCACCTTTTCGGTTCCACTCGCTCGATACCGAACCCACGTCCCGTTCCTTGCGCAACACAGATTGGCCTCTTAACACCCAGGTTTTGCCCTCGTTGAACTTGTTGAGTGAGTCCTTGGCTTTGGCAACAGTTATGCTCTTGTTCTTCCGGATCAGCTTCATGAGGTGTTGACGTTCATCATCCTGCCACAACTGGACTTCCTTCTGGGGCTTTCCGCGAGCACGCCGGAGCCACTGGTTCTTAGTCTTATTCAACCTCGCGATGTAAAGCGGGTTGTTCCAGTTGGGATGATCTAGCTGTTTCGTCCTTGGTTGTCCGTTTTTATCAATACAACTGAGAAGAAGGCGGCTTTGCTGATCGATCCGTGTTCCCTTGGGGCCATCGATGAACCGGCCAACGACAAAGATGAATCGCTCGTCGTCTTGACCTTGATCTTCATCATCGTCTGCAGTTTCGTCCTCAATCGCACCTCCCTCCTGGTCTGCGACTTCGAATTCATCCTCGTCCAGGATCGTGTCTGCATCCTCTTCTTCATACAGAGCTTCATCATCGTGACCCTCGGCCAAGGTGTTTCCTCGGGCCTCCAGCTTTGATCCAGCCTCAGCCCAGCCTTCGGGATCATACTGGGCCGCGGCGGCGCAGAGAAGGTCCAGCCCGGACGTGTTGATACCCTCGGGAGCTTGTGTAGGAGCGGTCGTGGTCGCAGCGACGGTAGCAGCATTGGTCGGTGGCTCATCTGGCCCGTCAGGTTTCTCTGAGCTGTCTCGGCGCGCTGCCAGGAGCCCTGATGCACCTTCCTCTACGGCTGCTTGCAGCCCGTAAGCGTCAATATCATACGCTTGTGCAGATCGCATGGCTTTTTCGTCGCGGACTCGGATCGTCGACACGGGACGAGCGCTAGAATTTCCGGCTCGATGCTCGGCGTTGGGAGTGGGAAGGGAATTTCCTTGCAACCGGTAGCTGTGCTGTCGGGTCCTCAGTGCGGAGGGATGGTTCGTATTGGTAGTTGAGTAGGTGGTAAGAGCTGTAAGAGAGCCGGTCGACGGTGGTCCGGATACGGTTGGAGAGAAGAGAAAGGCTGTGTGGTACTGCAAGAGGTCCGTGGGATGTGTGGATCGTTCGGATGATATGGGAAAGAGAGAAGAGAAAGAAGAGAGACGGCTGAGCAATTGACGTCTCTTATGGGCTCCTGCGCGGTGAAGAGCTGCTTCACTTGACGCGTTACCGTCGTGATTTGTGTTTACGACGAGTTGCGGCCGGTTGTCGAGACTGCTGTAGAGGACGCCGCGAGTGAAGTCCGCACAAACAATGCAGGTAAATACCAAGTCTTGCACCTCCCAGCTGCGGTGAAAGCCCTGACTCTGTTACTGGTCTGTCCGCTATATTCACAATCCAATCCTTCATTATACAGTTCATCGATGAAGCAGCCGCTCAAAAGATCCCTGCATTGTACGAGGCCATCGAATGATTTTAGATTCGGGATCCTGCTCTCCGCCTATACGCACAACTACCGACGGCGCAAGATGCCCGCTCTAGTCATGCCGATCCAATCCCTTCGAAGACAGAACGGGGGTTTCAGCACGCCGAGTCCAGCGCAACCAAGATGGGCAGCCGGCTCAATCCAGGAGACAAGAACACTGTAGCATACAATGCCGGCCCAGCATAAGATCGAAGCGTCAACGGCCTTCGCCACCGAACCACATTGAAATTCGCAACTCTGCTCCGCATACAGATGAACGGCAGAGCATAACACCTAAGCAACTGCTTACATACCCCTATGGATGGTTTGCTACTCGCCATTCTGCTTGTCTTGCTGGGACACCTTGCGGGCAGTTTCAACGACAATCGGCTTCCACATCAAATTGACAAACTACTGGGTGAGTAGATCGGTTGGACGCTTTCAATACATGGTGTCAAAGGGCGGAGGACCGGAAATCGAATGTGGACTAATCTACGGGCTTGAGGCAGCGTACAATGGGCTAGGCTCATGCGTTGTCTTCATCAAAGAGTTAAAAGCAATTCAAACACCAAGATACAAGGGAAGTACACGCGGTTCCACTCAAGTCGCGAGAGCCAGCAAATGTGCCTTAGGCTACTGTGTACAAGACCGGGGATGCAATCATGTGGTTTGGATGGGTCTTCCATGGAATTACGGGTTCTGTGCACTGCGGCCAGATCTCTCTGAATCCCAATGACTAAAGTGAACAAATGCCTCCATGCCACCGCCTCCACAACGCAATCATAATCCTGCGTGATGCTCTATTCCTCGTCTGTATCGTCCGGCCTTGGCTCCGTGTTGTCACTGTCTCCGCCCGCGTTGTAATCATCCTCCGCATCGTAGTTCTCGTCCTGGGTTGCTTCATATGCTGTCCAGCCTGAGACGTTCTTTTGTGCAAAACGTCCTCCGGGCGTTCCTGCTGATAGCGAATTAGCATACACAGTGATAGTGTACACAGAATAGGCAGCTTACCCTCTTGCGTCTCCTCCGAATCCCTGAATTTGCTCCTTTCTTCTGGCGGCTGCTTCACAACACGGGGTTCGGTCGCGGCAAGGACGCGATAATTGACGGAGGTTCGGGCGGCAGTCTCGTGTGTGGCTGATTCATTGACCTCTGGACACCAGGATGTTAGCACCGATATCAACGAAGGAATAGGACACTTACTCGAGCTTGATGGGCGATCCTCGCCTTCTTCCTCAGAATCTCTATCAACGCCGGCGGCGCTCCGCTTCTTTGGCCGTCCGGGCTTTGCTGGCAGGACCCCAGAGACGGCCGCAGCGCCGTAGCCAATGGTCTTACCGTCTACTACGACGGCCGCGATGGGTTTTCCTGACGCGTCGTGGCCTATGACTCTGCCGTCTCCCGCTTCCTTCGGCTTCCTCGGGATCGAAGCAGATTTCGAGGGTTTCGAGGACTTCTTCGGCTTGCTACCCCTTGCTTGGACCTTGCTTCTTCCTGGCTGCTTCTTCTTTCCGTAAAGGAACTTCTGGCGGACAGAACCCGTAGTGCGCTGGGGTCCGGTAGTCTGCGCGTTGAACAGTTCGGTGACCTTGGTGTATGAGAGGTACTTGTTTTCAGCAAAAAGCCTCATCACCAGTTTTTCATCTTTGGCTGACCACTTGCCGACGCCGACGCTGGGTTGAGGTTCGTCTTCAGCTTCAGAGTCATAGTCTTCATCCTCGTCGGCTTCTTCTTCTTTCGGAGGAGCGGAGCGGGACGTGTCGCTGCTTCGGAGGTCGTTTCTGGGCTTGTACGAAAGCTTATAACGGATATCAGCTTCCGTGCGCTGCTGTCCAGTAGTAGTCGTGTTGAAGAGCTGGCTGATATCCTCGTAAAGAAGCATCTTGTTCTCTTTACAGAGTTTGATAAGCAAGTCCACTTCCTCAAACGTCCAAACTGCGAAACTGGATGGCGGTGTAGAGACAGAAACTTCCTCGTGATCATCTTGCTGAGTAGGCGGCGCCGACATCTTGAGTTTAAGAGAGGGCATGGTGAGCTTGCGGCTGGCAGAGACCGTGATGACGGGTGGTCGTTGTTGGTTGCGGTGTGTTGGAGCGGAGTGGTAGTTTTTTTAAAACACGTCCCTGGTAGGCGAATGTGCGGATCCCGGAGACCTTCTTTCACTTCCAAGTGAAGACAGGTTATTTGCCAGCAGGATTGCCCATTAATCTGCTCACGTATGTTTTTGCTTCTGTCAAGACAGTTCTTCACAAGCGGCTTTGTCAGCATAATCAACCATCTGATCACAGTATCTCAGCGGCTCGGCGGAACGTCTAATCAAGAGTGGTTATACACCAAGGGCAAAGATGCATCACCTAGCTTGTCCGGTTGACGCTGCATAGGATACGCTTGATACTCTTGATACACTTGTGGTTCAGAAAGTTCCCTCGCTAACCCTTCGCCGTCTTACGGAGCGCGTACACGGTAAGTGACAAGAACCCCCACGTTGGCCTGGAATTTGACGTAGCGGCACTCGTTGTCAGTTTTTCTCCGCAAGGGCCGCCGATGTATGCTATGGGTACCACACCGCGGACTTTCTACATCATCGAGACACTACCAAGAACAATTCCATGAGAGATTACCTGCAGAAGGAAGCCAGCCTCAAGATGCCAGGATCATTCTCACTCCACAGCTGGGAGACGGAAATCAGACTATGACTGGATCATAAAGTTGATGGGGTAGAAGAAGACTAAAGTGTACACTATACTGTTGCTCTGGATCAACACAAATTCTGAAGCAGATTTTCGATGTGCTCATCTTGAATTTCCTGAAGGACTACCTGCTCTACAATGGACGATGAGTGACTCAACCGAGATGGTTGCGGATATTTCAGCCTCTTGACAATTTCAGGATACGGCCCCTATGGAATCAATGGACGGCGGACAACATTCGGGGGATGATGGATCACACGTGGGAGAGTTCCGAAGTTGGCATAGAGGTTGCTGTAGGCGCTCATTGGTTCCCAAAGACATACGTTGGAGGGATTGGCGGGAGTGATGTCTGGCTATCTCATGCTATTAAATGTTGGTTGGCGAAGGAAATTGCAGAGACTGGGCTCCGTTCTTGGGCATGCGCGGGTTCGCAGCAGTACCATTTCTGGGATGTGTCCAGCCTCATTTGACATGTCATGCTTCGAAGTCATGCGAATATCCCATTAATACATGATTTGGTTTTACAATTATTAGAGAAAATTACTTACTTTCGTAGATTATGCATCTACATGCTACAATGACTCACACTCGAAAGTGCCTAGCACAAAATACATCATGTTCAGCCCTAGGTGACTTGGGAAAGTTGCGTTTCTGACGTCCAGAGTGTTGGCTGACTACGACTTGCGCCGTTTTCCTGAGGGGATATCTTCAGGTGTGCCTCCACGTTTGCGTTTGCCGCTCCCGGACGTCGATTCACTTTCGGTTGCGGAAGCTTCTTCAGTCTCGATCTCAGACCCACTCTCAGTGTTGGCGTCATCTTCAGTCTTGTGGCCCTGCTCAACTTCAGTATCGCCTTCAGTCTCATCGTTAGCCGCGATCTCTTCTTCCTCCTCTTCCCCTTCAACATTATCATCATCATCTTCCTCTTCCTTCTCTTTCTCTTCTTGTTCTTCCTCCTGATCCTCGGCTGGACTCTTGAAATTCGGGAGCCTAAGTTTCAGCCCGCTCTTGTTGCTAGGCGCCCCTTTTGTGACGGTGCTAGGTGCGTTGTTAGCTGTATCTTTTTTGACAAGATTAGACCACTTGGTATTGACCGCGTCCTGTGATCGGTCAGAGCCAGTTGACTCTGCGTTGAACTTTGCATAGGCAGCGGACGGCGATATCCCTGGGTTCTCTGCATGAATCCTCCGCAAGAGTGCGACCTCTCCATCCGACCAAGGGTCTCGAGCCGGTCGGTTTGTCTCTTCCGGCCCTCGGCGATGCCGTTGACTCCGCCATTTGTTGATTAGTGTGATCACAGCTTGATCGTTCCAATCCTTCGGTGTGCCGTTAGTATAGACGGCCCGGACTTTCTTCTGTGTTTTCTTGTCAACGTAAACTACCTTCAGCTTTTCAAGCTGGTCAGTGCCATCTTCCAAGAACCTGCCGCCCACAACGGCAGGGCTCCAATCGGTTGTGAGTGGTTCATCCTCCACTGTTAGTCGCGTCAGGCTAGGATCCTCTTCGTCAAAGCGGTTGTCCCTTTGCGTTGGTTTCTTCGTTGATTTCTTCGTTGATTTCCTCTTTGGGCCTTTTGTGTCATCATTGGTCTTGGTATCAGCTGTTCTGGTCTTCTTGGCAGGACGAGATTCCGTTGCATCCGACTTGCTTAGGTCCCTCTTCCGCTTACCAGCGCTTGCACTCCCAGAAGACTTCGCATTGCCTGAGGAATCTCTTGACTCATCATCGCTCTCGGTGGCGTTTTCATTGGTCGGCTTGTAACCGGGAGGAGCGCGAGATGCGTCGGCCTTCGGGGGGCTCTTGGAACTCCTCTTGTTCTGCGACTGTGAACCGCCAGACGGCTTCGTATTATCCGTAGATGCTTCTTTCGAAGCAGCGGGCGCTGTCTGCTGCGATGGTCTCGGAGAGGGCATCTTGTACAAATCTTCAGTGTTGGTCGTCGACGTCGATCGATCACTTCTTGGCGGCGCAGGCGGAGATCCGGCGGCCTTCGGAGGACTCTTGGCGCTCTCTTGATCGCGCACTTTCGATCCCCCTGGCGGTTCATCATCGTCCGAGTCCTCCCCAGACTCATCGTCAGTTCCATTACCACTTGAGTCAGTCTGCTTAGGCACCTGGGGCCCGGCGCCCTTCGGTTTGCTCTTTGTAGCCTTTGCGGTATCTGGGGAAGGACCTGCCGAGTTCGCCGCTTCTTCCTCCACAACAGGCAGAGCCGGTAAGCTACTGATTGCTTTGGCCAGTAACTTTGCTGGCGGAGGCGTTAGCAGCGGGTCGTGTTTATTATACTTCTCTAGCTCTATGTTGTCCTTCTCTAGCGCTTTATTGTAAGCCTCTCGCTCTTTTGGTTTAAGCTTCTTTAGTTCTTCTGCTGTAAGCTCGTTCCGTGACGGAGCTGGTGGGCTACTGATCGCTTCAGCCAGTACATTTGCTGGCGGAGGCGTTGGCGGCGGAAAGAGTTTATTGTACGTCTCGAACTCTTCTGATGTAAGCTCATACGGGGGCAGATGCACGTCTACCTCTTCCACTACTGCTTCGGGTTCGTCTTCAGACTCCGGTTCCGAGTCATCTCCTGGCTCCTCTCCCGCTTCTTCCGCGGCCTTACTTTTAGCTGCTTTTCTCGTTTGCTTTCCGGCTTGTTTCGCAGCTTTCTTCTCGCTCTTACCAGCGGCCTTACTCGGCTTTTTGTATGAAGTAGGCGCGGCTGTCCATTTTGTGGCATAATAGTAGTTTCTGCTTTCCGCGGCGGACATCTGCATGGCTTCTCCAATGGCTCCGAAGTTTTTCGGGTCGGTTTGGAAGGCTTTGATGTATTCCCTGTGGCGTGCTCTGGTAAATGTGTTCGGAGCGGGTTCAAATGATAGTTCTTGCCTAACCGCACCCTTCGGAATCATTCTCAAACTGGGTTCAAGATCCGGTACTCTTGCCTCCTGTGGGAATGTTGGTTTCCCAAAAGCTGTTACGCGCACAATGCGCGCGCCAGCATCCTGGGCTGCTGGTTGAATTACTGTAGAGCTGGCATTCGCTGCTGTTTCCGCATTTCCGGTCGCAGCTTGTGACTGCGTGGCGGTCTGCTGCGCATCTGTATTAGGGGTCAGATCACTGCCAGATTGATGCTGGGCAGTCTCAACATCGGGAGTTGCTTGTGTGTGTACCGCCTTCGTGGCTTGAGGGCCTGGCTGGCTCGTCTCGGTCTGCTCCGTGGATAGTATGTTAGTAGCTGTAACGCTGTTATCGGTGGCAGCGGGTCCTGTAGCGGCAGTAGTAGCAGCGGTAGCAGGCGCAGCGATAGCAGCTGTAACGGTAGTGTTTGTGGCAGTAGCAGTTATAGCTGTTGTAGGCGTAGCGGTAGTATTCACAGCCGCAGGGATCGTAGCCGCAGTACTTGCAGCGGCTGTAGGCTGAGAAGGGGCTGCCGACCCTCCTGTCGCTCTATTTGCCACTCTCTGTGAGCGCCTGCCCGGAATGGTAGGCGCCGGAGTCGATGCGCCCTGCCTAGTGGACTCGTTAATCTTTTTCACCATGACTGTCTTGCAATATCTCTGGTGCTGCTAGATCTGAACTGAGGCTGTCTTAGCCTTTCGAATCTGGTTCTCGTTGCGCTGTGTTTGGGTATATCTTAATTGGTCGCAGTCTATACACCGTATCAATATGGTCTATAGTTAGATTAGCTGCGCAAGGTGTTACAATTGGGAGGAAACAGGCTCTGCTCTGAAGCTTGACGAAGCGACATCCGGAAATTATACATCAGTCTGAGTTTCGGTGCCAAAGCTTCTTGCCATCCCACTCTTTAAGCATCAAACAAAGCCGGCCTTGTGGAGGACAAGAGACTTGTTCAGGAAACAAACAGTCAATAGGCTGTTCAAAGAGCCCCGGTAACTTCATTGTTCCTTCCTTCAAATGCGAGCAGAGCTGGCTCTTGTGCCTTGACTCGGTGGCGTCGTACGCAAGTGTGTTACGAAGAAGCGGCCTCGGAAGGGGCTTTGTCGTAGTAAGCATCCGCTTTACTCCTGACAGCGCAGTGTGGGTAGCGTATCTGTTAAGAGATCTGGTCAAGATAGAGAAAATGACTGGATAACCTGCTATCGCAGTGTTTTGTCGTCATGGGTCGAGTAATGGAAACAGCGGAGTATATCCACATGAGAAAGCGGAAAGAGGATTGACGACCCTCTATACAGAAGTAGATAAAACCCAAATGACTAGTCATGCTGTAAGAAACACAGACTCTCAGTGTTCTCAATATACAGACGAGTCCAACTACGATAACGTATATCTCCCTCTTCGTGAGCCTGTTGGCATTGTAGAGTTCCGGCTTCAAATGGCTACACCAAACATTCCGAGACGCCGCTTCCATAACAATTATGTCTCTGAGCGGTTTTACCATCGACTTGCTAGATAGATGAAATAGTCATATGAAGTAGGATCACTTCGACAGCTCCTCGATATTTTGAAGAAAGGTGGGATTCCATTCCGCAGCGAGGAAGGAGCGGCAAAACTTCGGCAGAGACGCAGAAATTTGGTTTGACGATATATATGCCAAAGCCGGTTTGTCTTTCTAAGCAAGTCGGATATGGTGTATCGGCTAGCATCGCCCGCTTTCACCGGGCAGAGCCGGGTTCGGTAAGACTCAAGTTCAATTCCTGTCCGGAGCAACAACTAACATTTATAAGATTCCCGGTATCCGAACGAACCATCATTTTTGCATTTTTGCGGTCTTTCGCCATGAGTATGGTAAGATCTTTACTTCTCGTTTTATTGAAGTACCTTCATCTCTCAAATTTGCGCATGTAGCGAATAGCAACCCACCCCAATGCCTAGACTTGTCACTTGTCCGTTGAATGACTATACCGCGAGCAGCTATAGCGAAGCCGACATCGACTAAGTACACATGTGATGCTCAATATCCTGATTGTCTTGAGTCCTTGTTCTTGCATTCCGCTATGTGCGCCACTTCACCCTACGTGGCACTATAACAGGTCAGATCCACTACTGCATCTCGATCGCATTGCTTGACTGTCAGCTTATGTGCAGTAAGTGCTCATGTTTCCAAGCTGCCTTGGCTCTCGCAGTATGACCCCTCATTCCTTAGCCTTCAAGGTAGTCCTTTCTTGCTCTCGATGTCTGCGCTCAGTCTCTACTCTTCTAAAAGCTTTCTAGCACGTCGACTCGATGACTCACGCAAATCCTTGTATCCCGTTACTTGCAATGTAGTATCGCTGTATGATTTGATATAAAAGGCTCGCTTCTGCTGCCACTGCTTCTTGCAGCTCGTTTTTATCGGGGTGTTTGACCTTCCTCCTACGCGGCCGTAATGAAACATACTCGGGCTTGTCTTCGCGCAGAAATTCTTTGAGCCATCACTGCCACTTCATCAGCCCTCTCGAAGAGCAGCAGCCTCTGGTTAAGCGGAGAAAAGTATGGACGCCTACCACAACGCCGACTGGCCCGAATGCTACGACCTCTGGGTCCGCCATCTGTTTGGAGCTGGTCCCTCCGAAGACGTGCCAATCTTTCGCCGAGTCCTGCAAGATGTCCTCCGCAACAGAGTCCAAAACGAGCCTCCGCAATCGTCCGCCAAGCCGCAGTATCTCAATATCGTCGACATCGGCACCGGAACAGGCCGCGTCCTCTGCGACCTCTTTGACTTCATCAGTAACCCCGACACGCTTCCGAACCTGGAGACCTCTATAGCTACGTCTGAACTCGGCTTCAGGCTCTGGGGCACCGAGCCATCAGCCACGATGCTCGCGCGCGCCAACGCTCTTGTGACTGCGCACTGCCAGAAACCCAGCGATGACCCTCCGCGTCCTAAGAGGACACGCGCACCGCCGTTCCAGCTAGGCTGGTGCCGATGCTCCGCTGTGGATTTCTCTAGCACTATGAGGCAAACCTTTGGTTTTAGGGATGAAGATCCTGCCCTCCCCGGCTTCGCGGATCTGATCATCTTCGCTGCGGGAGGGTCAGGTCATCTTGTCTCCCCGGATGACGTTCGGAACTTTCTGATTGAGGTCGCCGATGCGCTCAAGCCGGGGCATGGTAGGGCGGTCGTTAGCGTCTTGCGGGAGCTTCTGCCAGCGGGTGAAACCCAGAACAGTGAAGCAGCTGTTGAGGTGATTGGGAATGCGGATGCCTTGGACGCTACTGCGCTCGCCAAACCGTCGGAGAAGCCGGACAAGGTTGATCAGCTGTTCCGCGTCCGCTCCATTGACAGTCCTGACCAGGTCTTTGTCAAACACCCTCCCACCGAGCGCTGGGATGGTGATGTGCGCACGGACTCGTTCATCTTGGACGTCGAGGATCTCGAGGGAAGAGTGCTCCGTACACATAATCTGGAGTGGAAATCGAGAAGATTTGATCCGGATACCTGGAATGAAGCCGTGCGGGATGCTGTTTTGGAGGTTGCGGAGATCATTGATGGAGAGATTCAGCTTTGGTACGTGTTGAGAAGAAATGCCCCTCTCGAAGCATGAATGGATCCTGCATGGTGTGGACCGCGCGAAATACCGAGATCCAGGAGCAGGTTCCTTGTGCCATTTTGAAGTAAGCCTGGAGAATTATTCCAGCATTGTAATGAATGTTTCCTACCCATCTGCATTACGCCGTTCTCGGATTCAACGTTGTTCTCGGATCGTACTGGACTTCATTCCCTTCGCGTTCTCATGCTCCTTTTCCCGTCTCCGAATGCGTCACCACCTCTAAAAGACGAGTATTCGGCTCAAACAAAGGGCATCTATGCTCTACGAATACTCGAGGAATCGTAACGGATTTTATCGATATCAATCATGCTTTATATTCGTCATGCACACTCATATGTTTCAGCCTCTCTTGGCCGCATTTCAGGGCTCAGACACCGTCCGCTTAAACCAAGTCCTCCACACTCTCTTTGATACTCTGCTCAAACGACGCCCACCCAGGCCTTCCCGTATCCTTCAGCAACTGCTCCGCTCTCTCCCTGGGGACCTTAGTCAAGTCCTTGCCCACATCCGGGATATCATCCGGAAACTTCCTCTGCGGATACGCCTTCCTGAGCACAGCAAGAGCGTCGTTGAAGCTGAACGGCGCCGCGTACGCATAGATGCGCTCGTTAGCTACATCCGATCGAAGCAAGGCCGCAACATGCAAGATTGCGGTGTCTTGCACGTTGACATAATACTCTGAGACATTACTTTAGCAGGACTACAGGTATTGAGAGCCAAAGAAGGCGGAGAGCACTTACGAGGCGGGAACATGGCCGCAAACGAGGCATCGCCGTTAAACATCGCCGTCACCACGCCCGTCGTGGACCGATGTTGCTGGTGCTCAGGGCTGAGCAGCTTGCCGAAGTTGGCGTTCGGCAGCACTGTTCAATCAAATCAGCCTCCTCGCCTCCCTACTCAACAGCGGGCGTAACGGATACCAGTATTAACGACCACTTCTTTGTTGTCCCTCGCCCACTTCCACACCTCCTGCTCCGCCTGCGCCTTGCTCGCAGCATACACAGCCCAGGCTCTCTCAGCCGTGTATGGCGGCGGCGCCCAGGCGGCCTCGATGGCCTCGTAGTTGAATGTCTCTTGGCCGACCGTGAGCTCCGTGTTCGGCTTCGGCAGCAGCACGGCGGTGGCCGAGGACGTATAGACGAAGCGCTTGATGGCGGGCTCTTTGGCCGTCGACTTCAGGATGCTGAGGGTGCCGGCGATGGTCGGCGGGATCACGGCATTGGGGTCGGGGGAGAAGGTTAGGACGGAGGCGAGGTGGATGACGCCGGAGACGCCTGGGAGAGTTGTGTGTGAGTAGTTCGGGAGCTCTACTACTCTGCATGTCGCGTGCTGGGTCGTATTGAGACTGGAGAAAGGGCTTCCGTACCCTTGACGGCCTCGTCAAATGCCCCCTCCGCAGTCATCTCTTCCACGGCCACGAGCTCGAACTTGCCGCTGCCGTACTTGGAGTCGAGGAGCTTGGCGAGCCAGCTACTCTTCTGCACATCTCTAACCGTCCCGCGCACTTTGAAGCCCGAGGCGAGCAGCTGGTCGGCTACGTGGCTGCCAATATAACCGTTGGCGGCCGTGACGAGCACGAGGGAGCCCTGGGGTATCGCTGGGTTCTGGATCTGTGCCATCGGGATGCCTGGGGGTGTCTGAGATAGCTCACTTCGTTAAGGTAGCAAAGAAGCGTTCTGATAGTCGCAGTAGTATGGTCGGACTGCTCGAGTGTTTCCAGGCTGAATTGCACTTTCCGCTGCAGACGATATGTCGAAGCTCTTATACCACACGTGCGTCCACCCTCATACCTGCCCAGAGCTTACAGCGTCTGCTCCGTAATCCATCACATGCTATGTAAGGACGCACAGTGAGAAAGGTCAGTACCAAAGAAGGTACTGCAAGGGTTGAAACACATGCATGAATGCGTATCTCTCCTGCACCTCGTCAGCACAGGAAGATGCAGCTTACTCCGTACAGCACCCTCCCACGTCCGACGGGTACTGTACTGGTAGTCCGCATTAGCGCGAGAGTGGCCTTTTAGCGGGCCTCTCCCCGTGTTTTTGATGGTCGTGTTGGCTCAAACCTCGAAAGCCACATAGTTTGAGCCGACTAGAGCCTGACCCAGTAGCTAAAAACCACTATAAAAGACGGTCGCTACCCATCGACCGTGTCGAGGTGCTGTAGCGTGCGTAGTAGGGGCCAGCACCTGGATTGATGAAACCTCGTAATGCTTACTCATGTCGCCGAAAAAGATGAAACTGGCCAACCATGGCTCTGGCAGTTGCAAGGAGGTGTATAGCCAATCAAGTAAAAGCGGTAAGCGGCTTTCTAGATAGCCGGCCGTGGTGTTGCACCTATTGAGTAGATAGCAATCTAGTCCTTACTCCCACCATCATCTATAACGGCTTCTGAACGTCATCGTGGCCGGTCTCTTGGCTCCATGAACGTCCCTATATCTATGCGAGCTGTAATCATTGGTCTGCGTCTCCTTGCCGGCTTCAAGTACAACCAGATTAGAGCCAAAACCGGTGTCCCAGCCCCAACCGCTTACCACATATATTCACGCGCCGAGGATGCCTCCCAGCCGGCTAACCACGATATCCACGAGCTCTTAAAGCATATCGGTGATAAGCTGCGTTCTGGCCGGCCTCCTAAGATAGCCGATAGCTCCGCCTGAGAGTCAGCTGCTATACGTGATTCGATCCTTAAAAACGGTATAGAGGCTATGGAGGACGCCGCCGCGCCTATCCTCGAAGAGCTTGGCATACAACAGTATTTCATGCGTGGTTGATAGATGTAGCTGGTTGAATAACCTTACCGTCGTAGGTTGATGTTCTGCACGGGATTTCATAACTTTCCGGCGACGTGAGTATATACTCCGTCTTTGGCGGCGTAGGTTACTCTTGCCGCCGAAAAGTCTTTGGTGTAGCCAATAAAGCCACCGGCTGTATCTATATAAACAAAACGGTAGCGGAATCATTTTTGACGGCTAAGCCACCGATATAGACCCTCACTGAATCAATCTACGGATGCAACGCCATTATTTGACTATTCGTTGATGATCGCAGCGATTGTATAGCCTCAAGCGTGATCTGGGTGATGCGGTGCCAAGACCGAAGACTTTTTGGCGGCAAGAGTACAGTAAGGTTGCAGTTTGAATGGGCTGCCAAGATCAAGATGAGCAGGATGTGGGGCGAGCTGTGGAAGGACCGTTGTACATAGCTCACATGTGTGTTATGTAGAGCTGACGAGAGCTTCCCAGATCCTTAAACACAGCAGTGCTACCGTTTTAAAGGAAAGGGGCATCTGTCCTGTATTCAAACCATCCTAACAAGACCAAATAGGGCTGCGCAGACGCAAACGATACGCTACCCCGCCATACAAAAACCAAACAATGGGTATCACATCCAATCCCCTCATCCAAGCCCGCTCCGTCCAAACACGCACGCCCAAAACACCTTACCAGGTCCGCGTCCAGCACGTCCCTGGCCCCTGCTCCAAGGCCCCCTATCCAAAACTTCCCTCCACCTCCAGACTCAGCCCTCCAAGTCCCCACTCCCACCCTCAGCAATGTCCTCAAACCCAACCACAAACCCTCTCTCCCTTGCCCCTCCAGCACCAGCACTAGCTCCAAACCCCCTCCTTCCACCTCCTCTCCCCGAACCCCGGCCTCCGTAGCCCTGGGCCCGGAGTTTGCGCTCGAACGGCGTGATAGTTGCCCCCCCTGCTGCAGCTACGGGCCTCGCGCTCCCAGCAGCCGGCGGCGCCGTCGCGGCCCTCGAACCGAAGGCTGCGGGAGCGGGCCCAGGCGTGACCGCATCGCCATATCCTACCCTGCCCCCGCCCGCGGGTACGGCAGCCAACGCACCAAGCCGCTCCCGCACCTTCTGCCGCGCCGTGGAGCGTTTCCCCGGCGTCCTCAGATACCCAGGGAGCGGCGTCGAGGTCGTTATCGCAGGGAGACCTGGTCCACCAGCCAGCAGCTCGGTGTTGAGGTCGAGGTCCAGGTTCAGCGTGTCGAGATTTAGGCCTGAGGCGTCGAAGGCTGTCCACTCGGATGCGCGGGCGAGGGCTTGGTCTTCGTCGTCTTCGTCGTCATCGGGGCCAGGGTAGGGATCGGGGTCGGGGTTGCTGGCGAGCTCATCTACTTCGCGCGTCTGCGTCTGCGCGAAGAGATCCGCTACAGGCGTGTGGTGCGTCCGATGCGTCCGAGCTTCCGCCTCGTGACGCGCCTCCTGGATTGCGGCTGTCTGCTCAGCCCAGTAGCGCAACATCCCTCTAATATGCCTTTCCCAGTGCTTGTCTCTAAGCGCCAGCGCTGTCTCTTCTTGGCGCTGAATCTGGAAAAGGCGCCAGCTTAGTTTGCGGAGGGCGGATACCGCGTCCGGCGCTGTAATCTCTGCCGCGAAGGCCGCGGCTCTGGCTTCGTCTTGCTGGTAGCGCTGGTGGCGTTGGCGCCAGAGGCGGAAGGTCTGTGTGTGGAGTTTGAGCGCGTGGAGGGTGTCTGCCTGCTGTGCTGCTTGCATTATAGAAATGGTTCTTTGCCGCCAGGTGTCGAAGAGGCGGACAGCGACTATCACGGTTTTGCTCTCTGCGTGGTTTTGCGCGGTGCGGTTCATGCCGGCTACTTCGGCCGCTTTGATGCGCAATGTCTCTAGTGCGCGCCGGCAGGTGCCCATCTTTACTTTTCGGCGGACTGTCGCGTAAGCTTCGCGTCGGCGGAGACGTTGCGCATGGGAGGTGGCGTCGCGCCATTTCTTGAGGGCGTGTGTTGTTAGGACGTAGAATTGGGCTTGGGAGGCCTGGGTGGTGAGCTCTGCTATGTGGGCATAGCGTTGGTGCCAGGTGTGGAAGGTTCGCTGGAGGAGGCGAGGCTCGTAGAGGGATAGGGCAAGGCCTTCCTGCTGGCGTAGCCCGTGCACTCTGTTCCGCCAGGAGGATAAGGCTCTGCGAAGACAGCGTGCTCGCTGACGGGATCGGAACGTCCGCTCTGCGGCCGCGACCTTGATGCGCTGTTCGTTTGTTTTGTTGTATAAGTTGTAGAGAACCTTGGTCTTGAGGTTGGCATTCCGAACGCGGATGAGCAGCGCTGCACGGGACGCAAGAACCCACTTGTACAGAGATTGGAGGACCACTCGGTCGTCAATCCGAGCCGACAGTGCCTGGCAGCGGAGACGATCATTCCAGGTCGTCCAGGTATTGCGCAGAACTCGCATGCGATCTACCTCCTTTGCCTGACGTTGTGAACGAGCTCGAGACTGCCACGAGAGGAGAGCAGTGCGCATTAAGCGAGTGTCTACGGCCGTGATGACTTGTCTGGCCAGCGGAGCAAGTCGAGCGTAGGTCCTGAGGATGTTGAGTGGAGTGGCTAGCATTGCTTTCCGCCTGAAGTCGTCCGCAATAGGTTCCATTCCCTGCAGTGCTCGCGTCCTTGAAGCCCACCACTCCACCGTCATCCTTTGCACATGCCTGATTCTCAGCTCTTCAAGCATGTCCTCCTTCTCTCGCGATATTTGTACAGCCTCAGCCAATCTCCCCAAGTATCTTGCCTCAGTCTTTCTCTCCTCATAAACGGACGCCCCGCGCTCCAAGTAGGCCCAGAACCATTTCCAATACACTCTCTGCACGAGCCTCTCTTCGTACCGTTCCAGCGCCAGTTTTTCACCATCGAGATTCCGCGCGGTACGTCCCTTCCAAACACCGAACCACTTCTTCAGCTTAAACCGCTCGACTTTCAGCTCATTAACAACCGTAACATCTCTCCACGCCCTCAAGTACTTTGTCCGCAGCAGATGCCTCCTCGCAGCCTTGGTCTTTAACGCCTTCTCTTCAGTATACCCTACCCAATGCGAGAACGTTTTGTCCTTGAGAAACATATCTCGGAGCTTAACGGCCGCTCGCGACTTTTGCATGACCCACTCTTCCGCTGCCCGCTCGTTGCGGATGTCATAGAAGCGCTGGCGCCATGTCGCGAAGGCATCGTGGAGGATTGTCCTGTGGTCGATGGAGGTGGCTCGGGCGTCCCACTCATCGTGGATTTGTTTCAGGTGGAGAGCACTGTCGCGCCAGCGGGCTAGGACGCGGCGGCATAGGGCGCGGGAGCGGTTGTACTGGAATATTTCGGCGTCGGCTATCATCTGCGTCTCGGAAGGACGGTAGAGCAGCTCGGGTGGCAGGAAGTGGTCTGGTTCTGCACCGGAGGTGTATTCAGAGGTTGATGCTTGGGGGGAGCTGGGATTGCTGTAGCCATCGAGCTGTGGCGCATAGGGTCTCGAGTGGTGTTGATTCCGAGATTGCGGCCTGGTGATTATAAGACTGCCTTGACTGGAGACAGAGCCTGCTCTTTTCCGGACGTGGTTGAGGTTTTCAGAAGAAGCGCGAGCTGTCACCCTACCTCTGATGGGTAGGTGCTCCAAGGGCCGTGGCCGTGCATTGTATGATCTGGAGCGACGACCAGTCGGATCCGACGCGCGGCTCGAGGAGCGCTTATGGGTTCCATTCGGCAGTTTCCGTGCCGGCGGCGAGACATCCGTCTCCTCCTCGCTTCTCCAGGTGGGCTCTTGGTTATCCAGGTACGCGGAGTTGAACGAGGCGCGTCGAGAGGCTCGTTGCGAGCGTCGCCCGTGTGATTGCGCGCCATTCGCCGTAAGCTCCAGGCCATCGATCTGCCGCGTGATCTCGTCCACCGCGTCTCCTCCTTCATCAAGCTCAACGCTGATGCCCAGATCCGCCAAGAAGTTCTTGAAGCGGTTGAAGAGGTCCTCGCCCGGGCGGCCGGCCCCCATGCGCAGCAAGAAGCGGAAGTAGACTCGGTCATGATTAGGATTGATGCCGTAACGCGCGAGGGTTTCGTCGTAGGCGGTGAACAGGGCGCGCGAGCCCGTCTGGGAGGAGTTTTGCGCGGCATTAATGATCTGGAAGAGGGTGTGGACATCTACCAGCTCGCGTCAGCATAAACTACCTCGTATATAACAAAATCTGATTTACCTCGGTCAGTAAGGGCGGGAAATTCATCGGCGGTGGTAGCGGGCATTCGAAGGTATAAAGCCTGGGGCGCGCGTCCAGATACATAAGCGCGACGTCATGCGGGAAAGATTCAGGATCATGAATTGGCATAAAAGCGATGGCAGCAAGCAATGGGTCGTGAATCGTGGACGCGTGCAGCAATGGTGTTTGTCGCGATCTGTTGTTGTTGGTTGGTGGCCGGACGCGACTTGAATGGAAGCGCAGGAAAGCGGAATGCGCCGTCGTTGGCGAACAGGGTCTCAGCCTTGGCGTGTTTGCTCTGGCGGCGATGATGTCCGACTCAAATGGCAGATACAAAACCATCAGATCGATCACCAACATGCCTCCAGCAGGAAAGACGAGACCTCTCGAGAGGCTGGCTTCTGCAGTTGCCAAATGCTCAACCGAGGCACGTATATATCAGCCATCAGCGATTGCATCAGAACTGATCTTCTCCAGAGCGCCGTCTACGGCAAGTGCATCGCGGCGGACTTCAACAACGTGCAAAAGGACAAGTGCATGACTGAGTTTCTGAAGCTAAAGGAATGCTACATGGTAAGACTGTAGACATCCAAAACTCAATCATCTGTCCCGTGTTGCTGATATCGGAAGGCGGCGTACAAGAAACGATGATGGGCCACGAAGCCCGACTCGTCACGGGAAAGCATCAAGCACATGGATAGCTGGGCGTTTAGGGCATTAATGGAATCGGCGGCCGTGGCACGGAAAGCCTTCTGTACATTCTGCATCTCAGAGGTATCAATCATCGTAGACTGGAAAGATTGGTGGGCATCAGCAGTTATCTTCATTGTAGGCATGTCTATCATCTGGCATCTATGAACTTTTGACGTCCATGTTCCACGTTCTCCGTCATCGAAACATGAAGGATCCACCTCTTCTACAGCTTCACCAGCCTCAACAAAAACGTCGCCTTCTGCACCTCCTGCTCCTCCTCCGCAATGACTACCTCCTCCTTCCCCTCCGGAATCTCCCCATCCACCTCCGTAATCTGGTGTTGGTCCACCGGCCTCCGCAACGCCTTCTCAATCATAGCCTTATGGCTCTCAAACACCTTCTCCATGCCAATTCCATCCGGATCCGACAGCATGCGGTACTCCATGCCCACGTCATCCGTCGGCACCAATCCCGCCTTCTTCCTGAGGCGCTGAACCCGGTTGATGATCTCTCTCGCAAGACCTTCCTGCTGGAGTTCCGGATGTATCGCTACGTCCAGGATGATGAGGACGTCATTGTCCGTGTTGAACTCCTGGTCTTTATTCGCGTCGTCTTCCTTTAAGCCACGCTTGACGATCAGGTCTTCTTCTCCCAGCTCGATGCCATCGACGCTGATAGCGCCGCTCTTCATGAAGTTGCGGATGTCGTCTGAAGAAAGATCCGGCAGTGCTTTTTTGACTCTCACAGCCTCCTTCTTCAGCTTCTTGCCCAGCACCGCCCAATCCGCGCTGCACGTGTACTGGACATTGTACTTGTCCTCATCGCTCGACAGCACCAGATCCCTAACGTTCAGTTCCTCGCAGATCTCCTGCTCAAGACTCTTGACATCATCCAGATACGTCTGATCCGGATGCACAACCACCAGCGTCTCGAGTGGCTGTTTGATGCCGACAGATCTCTTATCTCTCGCCACGCGTCCCAGCTCCACCACCTTCTGCATCCTGCTCACTCTCCGCTCGATAACGTCATCGAACAGCTCTTCTCTGACCTCCGGAAAAGGAAGGAAGTGCACACTCCGCGGATCTTCGCCCCTCAAGTGCTTCGGGATGTGTGGTAATAGTCTTTGGTAAATGTTATCCGTGATGAACGGCGTGAACGGCGCCAGTCCTCTACAAAGTGTAAACAGCACCTCAAACAGCGTGTTCAGCGCCAGCGTCGTATCCTCTTTCCCGCCCGCGCCCTTCAGCCGCCGTCGATTGAACTTGATGTACCAATTCGTCGTATTCTCAATCAAGCCCAGCAGCCGCGGGACGACCGTATACAGCCTGTACGCCGCCATCTCCTCGTTCACGAACTTGAGCAGGCTCTGCGTCGAGGCCAGGATCCAGCGGTCCATGACATTGGTGTTGTTCTTCTCGGCCGCGGGGTCAAAGACGAAGTCCATATCCGCGACTTTTTTGAGCAAAGCAACCTGCTGCTCAAAGAACTGGTACGAGTTCCACAGCTTCAGCAGCACATTCGTCACGATCTCCTTGACGCCCGCCTCCTTGAAGCGCAGCGGCTCCGCGCGCACGACGGGGCTGTTGATGAGGTACAAGCGCAGCGCGTCGCTGCCGTAGTTGTTCATGATGAGGCTGGGGTCTGGGTAGTTCTTAAGCCGCTTCGACATCTTCTTGCCATCCTCGGCCAGCACGATGCCGTTCACGACGCAGTTCTTGAAGGGGAGCGTCCCGAAGAGATGCACGCCCAGCACGGTGAGGGTGTAGAACCAGCCGCGGGTCTGGTCGAGACCTTCCGCGATGAAGTCGCCGGGGAAGCTGGCCTTGAAGGCGTCGGCGTTCTCGAACGGGTAGTGCGAGGATGCGTATGGCATGCTTCCGGATTCGAACCAGCAGTCGAAGACTTCTTCGATGCGGCGGAGCTCGCCCTTGCCCGTTTTGCTGGGGATGGTGATGCCGTCGACTTTGTCGCGGTGGAGATCGGTGATTTCGCCTTCGTAGCCGCTCAGCGTTTTCAGCTCCTCGACGCTGCCGACGCAGACGATCTCCGAGAGGTCGCTGCTGACCCAGAGGGGGATGGGCGTGCCCCAGTATCGGTTGCGGGAGATGTTCCAGTCGCGTGCGTTGGCGATCCAGCTGGCGAAGCGCTTGTCCTTGACGAATGAGGGGACCCAGTGGGATTCCTCGATGCCCTTGAGCATCTGCGGGATGATTGGTGGGATCTTGACGAACCAGGAGGGGACGGCGCGGTAGATGAGGGGGGTGTCTGATCGCCAGCAGAACGGATAGCTGTGCGTGATTTGGCTGTCTACTATTAATCTGCCTGTACCCTTGAGGTGCTTGATGATGGCCTTGTCGGCAGCCTTGACGTGCATTCCGGCGAAGTCCCTCACTTCGGCGGTGAAGCAGCCTGTCTCATCCACTGGGTTGGGAGGGAGTCGCTTGTCGCTGATGACGCCGGCGTCCATGGCGACCTTGTAATCCTCCTCACCGAATGCTGGCGATTGATGTACTATACCCACACCACTGTCATCGCTAACGTATGTCGCGTTGAGCAGTCGAAAGCCGTAGTCCTTGAACTCCTCGTAGAAGTAGTCGAACAGCGGTTGATATCGCCAGCCAAGCATGTCTTTCCCCTTCATCTTTTCTACTATCTTGAATTTCGCTTTCTTCGGGTCTTTATAAAGTGTACGGAGGAGTTTCTCGAGAAGGATGAAGTGCTTGCCAGAGGCTTGGTCTAGAATTTTGATGTATTCGAAGTCGGGATTTGCCGCAAGGCCGGTATGAGATGGTAATGTCCAAGGGGTAGTCGTCCAGGCAAGGAAGTAGGTGTTTGGGTCGTCAAGAAGCGGGAAAGACACCACTATCGCCGGGTCCTGAGTGTCTTTGTAGTTTTGCTGAGATTCGAAATTACTGAGGGGCGTGTTGAGTGCTGTAGAATAAGGCATGACCTTGTAGCCCCGATATACGGCATCCTTTTCCCACAGTTGCTTGAACACCCACCACAACGACTCCATGAATGTGGTGTCCATCGTCTTGTAGTCATTGTCGAAGTCGATCCAGCGCCCCAGTCGGTCGATGGTCTGCCTCCACTCCGACGCGAACCTCATAACAATGGCCCGGCACTCGGCGTTGTATTTTTCAATGCCCATCTTCATGACCGCGTCCTTCCCGCTTATGCCGAGCTTCTTGTCGATCTCGTATTCGATGGGAAGACCATGTGTGTCCCAGCCGAACCTCCGCTCCACATACCGCCCCTTCATGCTCCAATATCTGGGTATGATGTCCTTGATCGTAGAGGCGAGGAGATGGCCGTAGTGTGGGAGGCCTGTCGCGAACGGCGGTCCATCGTAAAAGGTATACGGCTTGTTACCCTTCGAAAGCTCCACCTGGCGTTCGAAAGCGCTGATTTCTTTCCAGAACTTCAGGATGCGCTCCTCTTCCGCGGGGAACTGGATCGACATGGCGGGGGTGGGCGCCAGTCAACGCTGGGCTGGATGACAAGTATCTGCACTGATAGGTTCTCAAAGTCGAGTTCACGCGGGCTGAATGCTTGAATCTGTCAGACGTTAGATCTGTACTTGGTGGTTTACAAATCCTTAACTGGGGCCCCACCGATGCTTCAGAAGAGGTGATGGGAAAGTATTTCTATCAGAGAGGCGAAAAGGAAGGCGCAAAATCCGCTATACAATAAGGGTGTCTTCAGCGACCCTGACACGCAGGATTAAGCCCTTCTAAGTTTGAGGAGTGGCTGAGGCGAGGCGGGCGAAGCAGTGTGGATTGTGGTGTACTTCATTCACAGTCGTGGGAAAAGTGACTCAAGCGGAACTATTCTGCCGAGCGGTGTGAGTCAGTTCCCCGGACTTTGAAGCTTTCATGTCACCACATTGGATAATCACGCAAAACACGCCTGGTGTTAAGCAAAAAGCAGCCAGAAGAGCAGTCGATTTCATGGCTTATTTTCCATCCAAGGGACCCATAAATGCTGCGTATCACAATCACGCCGATGCGCTTCTGTTGGGCCTCTACTGACGATACACCTTTACGAAGTCCTCCATCAGACCCAAACCCAATACCACGATGGTCCTTTCTAATCCCCTCCCTTGCCATGGGAAGTCCACAGTCTTGAACACATGTGCTACCGTGTGTTACGCGGCTATGATGAAGAGCACATCCTCAGCTCTCATTTTCAGCAACTGCCCCCGTTCAGGCGCGATCTTCTACTCTCTTTTCGTCCCCTCCTCATTCGCTAGACCTTCTCCTTCTCCGAACCTTCCCTACTGTCCTTGTCTTTCTCCATCTCTAAGACTGCTTCTTCATCGGCTAGCCTTTGAGTAACCGGCTCCACGGGACGGCGGATAAATTCGATCGCCAGCCACAGTCCCGCAGCAACCGGAACGACAATAACAGCCATACCGAGGCATCCTCCCATCGCGTTGAAGAAGCCACCCCACCACCAGTAGTCGTAGAACTGGCACAGGACGATCCACAGGATGAGGTGTGCAGCTATTGAGCCGCCGATGCAACAGCCAAACAACCCTTCGAACAGCTTGCAATCTTTTAATCCGGGGCACTTCTCTCTACGGTGTATGTGCAGTATTGGATGAAGGAGTGCCGCGCTCGCCAAGCCAAGCAAGCTGTGGGGAAGTACACCAGAGAAGAGTATGCCAATGAACCGGAAAACCCAGAGGAAGAACCAGTATATGGCCCAGACGATGCAGTACCCGATCACGCCGAGTATTCGACCAATGATGTGATTCGTGTAGTGGATAAAGGTGATGAGAGGCGAGCTGCTCGTAATGATGGCGGGTTTGACGGCTTGATCGGCAGCAGATGTGGCGGGAGGGTAGAGAAAATTTTCAATCAATTGGATCGGGTCGCCGATGGTAGGGTCTCTGGATGCCATTGTGGGAGTTGGAGAGACGCAAGCAGATGATGTGAGGGTCGTAATGGCTCGCTTTAGCTGAGGCCAGCGGCTTCGAATTCGAAGAGTTGGAGACTAGAAAGCATCTGACCAGCGGAAGAGGAGGATAAGGATATTTGAGGGCTCGTTATGGTTCAGTTCGAGCTGCGCCTTCCTTACCACGGTAGAGGTGAAGATCACGTGAGGTCTCCTCAAGATTGGCGGAAGCTTCAGCGGTAAGGGACCAGCGGATTCCAAAATCAAACCCCTTTAGGAATCCTCCTTCATTTCATCACCAATTCGAAGTTTTTCACACTTACGCCGTTGCGAACTACGTCACATCGCCGGTTGTAGGGGGAAGGAATTTTTCGCTCTTAATGATCAGAATTCTTAGACCTTTCATCGCTGCAAATATATGGCTGCTAAACTCATACATAAGCGGCATGAAGCCTCGTGCGTCTGGATTAACGATGAATGCAGGTAAACTGCCATCTACTGGATGTGATGTTGATCCCAAAGGCACGATTACGCGGCATGTTATATGAACAGTGGTTTAAGAAACCAATCCCGACTCCGTTCCCTTAGCTTCCTCTTCCGCCATCAAATCCTCTCCACTCTCCACATCTTGCTTCGGTTTGGCGGAGTTCTTGGTAGCGCAACGGTACAGGCTGCGGAGCCCGGCGAACAACAAGGACAGTACCATGACCACTGCGAGGACGATTCCTACGGACGCAGCAACTCCGGCCATGGCCCCGAACCATGCGTCGTCCGACTTGTATCCATAACGGAAGTATAGCACAGCCCACATGACGACTTGCGTGACTGCAACGCTCACGCCGCAAATCCAACCCGTAATTTCAAATTGCGCTTGCGGGTCGTTCGCTGGTACACCAAGATACCAATCTCTGGCGAGCCAGTACAGGAGAACGTGAACAACGACTGTAGTTGGAAATCCTACTGCAAACGTGAAAAAGGCGCCAGTGACCGTCGCAATGGCAAAATAGACAAGCCCAACTCCAGTAGCGGCCAGTGCGTTGCCAAAGAAGTCGCCCGAGTGGTCGATGAAATTGATGAAGTCAGAGTTGCTCGTGCTGTTTTGACTGACGGCGGCTTTGATGACAGAGGCGGTGGGCGTTGCGGAGGCCATGATGGTGGTTGGAGAGCTAAGATCGTCCTCTTTGAATGTCAGCAACAATCCACCTTAAGAAGGACGGGGTTTGTATTGAGGAAGCGGAGGCTTGGCGGCGTGCGACCATGGGGTTTTTGAAACACAGTATTATGGGGATTATGGGAGGACAGTCGAGCCTTTAAAAGCCTCTGTGGACATCAGAAGCTTTGAATCTCCATTAGATGACTCACTTGGTGGTGTTTTACCAATAACAGATGAAGGGCGGCGAGCGTCCGCTTCCTCAAACCAATCCCCGTCCTTCGTGGCAGAGGCGTTGGTGAATTGCCTGAAAGGATTGCAGAAGAGATAAGGTCGAGTAAGACTACGAAAGGCAGTTGGAAAGGCTGGTGGAGCTTTGTACTGTTTGCTGGTTGTGGTGGACTCTTAAGATGCGCGTTTCTGCAAAAATCTGGGCCTTGTCCGACAGGGTACCTCAGATCTCTCGGCTCGAGGTTGAGGCAGTTGTGGCCCAGAGTTTCCTGCTCGTAACTGCTTGATTGTGAGGTTTTATCGAATCAGATTCTCTAAGTTGGTCGGGACGCCCCTTCCTTTAAAAGACTTCTCATCGTTGATATCTGAAGTTTCTCCGCGGCCGTCTCTGTTCCGCGTATGTGTCCTCATCATTGAATGGTGAATTTGCTGGAACGAGCGGGGAAGTTGCGAGAGTCAAGCGTGGCTACCATGACTGTGGTTTTGCTATCCGTGGTAGTGGTCCCGGAGAACGGATATGCGGCTGAGGAGGAGCAACACAACACCAATCACAAGAAAATCGATTTTGACTCGTATCGCGTGATATTCACTTATTACGCTTGACGTGAGAGCCAAGGTAGTGGCGCTTATGAACGTAACTGCTTTCTCTGAAACACCCCGCTATTCATGAGCTCGCGCTGAACCCGGATTGACCCCCTGAGAATACTCTACAACCCCCCTCGGCCTCGTGCATGTCGTGTCACTTGCCATGTGTTCTGCGCGCTCGAATAGAAGCACAATTGAAGACTTGTTCCCGCACATCCACGCAAGGCCGTCCAGTATTAGTCCTTCCATTCATACCCATAGTGCCAGTCGAACACAGCCCATAGTCCGAGGTGCAGAAAGATTATGGCGTAGACAAGTAAGAGGGTCGATTCGATGAAGGCATCACAGCCGCCTTCTCCACATACGCCTTTGCAACGTGTGCCAATGAGCTTGTGCGTGAGCGGATGCACAGCCAGCCCAGCCAGACAGCTTTGTGTGGTTAGGTGGGATTGTTGAAATTGCGTCTCTCTGCCGAAGATTTCTCGACGTCGCCCAATTGGGCATTGGCGACAACCGGAAGGAACATCTTTCTGCCAAAGCATGATCGATGAGACCCTCCGAAACATAAATTTGCACGCGAGGCCTTTTCTCGCCCAACCTGTCTAACAATGCTCTGCGCACGAAATGAGTGGTGGTTCAAGGCTTGCTCCTGAAAGTCATCCACCAAGCCGCGCTCATGTAGCTACGGAGCCACCTCCTTTTATGCCTTCTTCAAATTGTCGTACCCTTAGCTGGCAAGTCAGCATCCAGCCCAAAACTGTTCCAAACCAATGCGGATAACAAAGACTGTATAGCACCCACTAAAGCGGAGATGCTCATCAAGCCAGCGTAGTCGGTCACGGAGTTCTAATATGCGTCGGTCCACTCATATTCCTAATGCCAGTCTAGCACAGCCCAGAGAATAACGGCAAAGGTAGTGCGATGTGGAAGCTTAAAACCGGGATCGTGAACAATTCATAGGGTTGGTCTTGAAAACACTCCACTGCAAGGCATCTTGATGAGCTTGTGTATGAGAGTATAGAACGCCGCCCCATTTAGGAGAGAGAACGAGAGCGCAATCGCTTCTGTGGTAAAAGCCAGATGAGTAAATATCCGACTCCAACTGCGATCCAGTAACCGGCTGAACACATGATCGAAAACGCGATCGAAAGCATCGAGGATGAGATTTAAGGATCATCGCAGTCCGAAGAAATTGTGCGAGTTTTGATTGAAGGTGAGGAAAGCCGAGTCAGCCATAGAGTTTACTGACTGCAACGGGGTCGGTGGAAGATCGAGAAGAGGTCATGATGAGGAGACTCGAGTCGTTGTTGACGGTCTGGTGGACGGTGATGTTGGTCGGTGGTGAAGTGCGAGCTCGGTTTTGGCGGACGGAAAGCTTCGGCTAGTCTCTGTGAGTATCGATAGCGACAACTTGTCTTCGGCGAGGGGGTAATGACACTTGTTGAGACTCGAGATGAGAAGAGGAGGAAGCAGGCGAGCTTTATGATACTACCGGCAGGCCTGTCTGCTGAGTGACAGAAATTCATGGTTGTCTTTCGGATAGAACCATACCTAGTTACGAGAAGTATTATTTTGCCACGGTGCGCTAAATGCACAGAAACAGAAAAACAAGCGTGATTGATAAAATCGGAAATAGCTGCAACCCCTCGAGTAAGCTCCCAAACATTAGCTCCGCGCTGCGAGCAGGGACGAGATATCCTCAGCGCTAGGGAACAGCTCCGAAAACGCCAGAAAGAGAGTCCCGCGTAACCATGCATTTGAAGACGGTGAGACCTTCGGCAGAGACGGGAAGGCACTTCATATACGCTTCATATACGCTTGTTCATAGAGGCTCCGATCGTAGACGTGGGAGGCTTCGTTCAGCTCGCACGGGTACACAGGAGCCGTAAGCGTCATGATATAGAACCAAACATGCTTATGGAGGCGCGTACAATGCCCAATGGATTGTAGACGCTATAGATCTGATCAGTATCGCAGCCATGATTGGTGGGATTTCCCCTCATGTGGCTGGCGATGCGACATCATTCACGACTGCGTGATGACCATGTCAACGTTCAGTCCTTGTGCTCTTTCCACCAGTGAGGCATTGCCATGCCTTCATCCCTAACCAGCCGAAACGGCAACTTCTCACTCAAGAACCTGACCTCGGCCTCGTTTGCCGTTGCCGGCCAGGACACTATCACCTCAAACAAGTTTCTGACCGTAACCTTCTTCAGTGGCTCGAGCAGCTTAACGGCAGACTTCGCGTCTTTCTTAGCCCAATTAACGTGCAGAGAAAGGACGAGGTCCCAGAGGCCGGTCATGTTCTTAAGGGCCGCGCATCCCTCCTCCCAACGCGACCGATCATGCCGTATCTGCTTGAACCAGGGTCGGAGGGTTGCGAAGAAGTTGCGCTCGAAATGCCACCGAAGGTTTAGATAGCGGATGCTGTTGGAGCGCTGGGGTATAATGGATTCGTGCAGGGAGATGAACGTATCTACCCGGCGGATGTCGAAAGTGTTCCGCGTGTACAGGATGTCAATCGCTTCGTAGTAGCTGTGGATATGGTCAGATAGCGGCGTAAGAACAACGTGGTCTTCCAAGTGAGCGCTTACACCTGTCGACATGTTTGCAAGAGTGGAAGGAAATTGTCGTGATACACACTGTACGAGGCGAGCGGGCACTTGAGGGAGCTGCCGCGGCCCCATCGGGCCTCTGAGCAGGTCTAGGATGTGTTAGCTACAATGTTCGACCATAGCGGTCTGTACGAGTCTGTTGATCCATCGCCTCCTGTGTGAGTGTGTTGACATACTTTGTGAGTCAACTGCTTAGGCCATTGCACGATATGCAAAAAGCGCTCGCCTAATACAAGAGTCCAGATCATCTGCCGGATCTCCTGCGGGAGCTTGGAGAGCAGCATCGATTGAGCTTGGCCGTCGATTCTGCGTCTGGACCAACGACCTGGCGTCGAAGAGATGGCACGTCTTCGAATCAGCGGTACTGGACGCGGTGGTTGCGTGCGGCACGTTTCTTGATGGTCGAGCTCGGCCTTGTCGGAGGCCGTACCGTCGGATTTGTAGTCGTCGATGCATGCGTCACGCATGAGCACTCCGCATAGGCATGGGCAGCAGATGACGCTGAGGGGGATACACCAAAGGAAATCTTTGGCCTTGAAGCGCTTGTTGCTACTGCCGGCCGACATTTTTGAGACCGGTTTCGTACGCAGGAGTCTTTGGATGGTTGATAGAGGAAAGAGATGAGCAGCTGGATGACTTATGATTGTTCTAGTGTGGGCTCAGCCTGGCGATCTTGCCGCAACATGTTTGCAAGTCCAGCTCTGGTGACTTTATGTTAGATCCGTTACTGCGGGGTGATTAAGGCTGACAACGCGAGGCTGAAGCTGGCTCTGCCTTGCTGCACGCCTGGGCGATGCCGTAAACGGATATGGCCATTCGAGACCTAGAGCAGCTGTGACAATTGAGCGGGCAGCCCCGAAAGGCTGAATTTACATCGATGGGAAGATAAAGTTAGGGTTATGGAACGGTTGCCGCCTTTGCTGATGAGGCCGAAAGCTCTGACCCGCCAAGGGAGCTTGATCCAACCTCATCCCCTCCTTTAGCCTCATCCCTGGGTTATTCACTATTCTACAACTTCCCTCATCATAGCTAGAATATTATGTATAGAAGCTCTGTACATCGGCAGTGTAATCGTCGCGTTCCTCGCTCTCCCATGACCTTACAACGGACAAAGGAAACTTGATAGCCGAAACCATTGATCCTCGGTCGATGTAGAATGCTGTCTACCTGAGTATGAAGAAACGAGATAAACACTTGAATGAGATTGCTCTAAAACGCCTGTTTGTTATAGTGTATTTCAGTCTTTTCACGATCATCCTTCCTTCATTGTCGTTGACACCCAGAGCGCCAGCAACGGGTGTGGAGAATCCTAATTTCACGTCCTCACCTGTCTTGACACTAACCATTCCTCGTCGCTATGTCGGTCTATAATCCATAGTTATACCGCTGGCTCAAGTCGAGAGACGAGAGACTATGCCGGCCGACTACGCCGAAGCTGATTCTCAGAAACCTTGCGCACTATGTGCGTCAACGGCCTTCCTCGATCCGAGCCTTGAGAGGAGAGCCGGTCTTGACAACGGACATCGGCAAGTAGAAACTGACCGAAGCTTCGAAAATCGATAGCCATGTCAGCGGCAATCCGGCCGTCCACCGGCAGTGGCACGAAGCAACTCACAATTCATAGCTGGAAGCTGAGAATCTCCACTACTCACTACCGCATCTTATTACAGCAGGCCATATCGATGTATGAGGGTTTCCAAGGTACTGTGAGGGCGCGGGACTCACACCGATGTTCTGCGATTCCTGCTCTTCCTCCATTAGGCAATACCGTCGCTACCATAGGACCATGCCGTGAAAGGACCTCGGACGGGCCACGGCGGCACCACACCGACCAGCCAGCCATTTCAACGGCAAGTATCCACTGCACCGTCAATGTCACGAAGCACTTCATGCTCCAAGACCGGGAGTTGAAAACCTTCCAACCGCATATTCATTAAGGAAGGCCTATGAGTCCACAAAGCTCATGCACACGCTGCTCAAGTTGCGCTGGCGACTTTTCATATCCGGCCTTCTACGGCTCTCACTCTCTTCTAAATCAGACAACACAGCATTCTTCGTAGCGCGTCTGCGTGATAGAAAGGCCAGCCTCGAGCTTCGTTAAAGCCGTTACAAGTTGTTAAGGAGCCATCGGAGTTCTACCATTCCTACGAGTGAATCCGCCGTGGTGTTGTTGCGCTCGGGCCGGTCCACCTGGTCTATTGCGGGCTTCGCTTGTGCTTCAAGTGGGCATATGCGAACAGGCTCTTCAGGATGGTTAGTCCAGCGTATGGGTCTGTATGGGTCCTTCATCTCGACAGTCACGCCGGTGACATGACAAGCACATCCACCGCCTTTGAACCAAGTAGTCACGGTAGAGAAGTCATCGGAACAGGAAGCCCTATGCCATTCGTTGCACCCTATGGGAAGTCCCGGGAACTGTCCAGGTCCTAAGTGAACTCCCAACCTTGATGAGAATCTCCCAAGCCCCAGCCACCCACATGCCCATAAGGTACCCTCCGACAGTTGCCTTGAGTATGTGCTGTGCAATCGGCCCCCGGAAACCTGTCACAGGCTATCCATGTATTGGTCTCCTCGTCTCCTGGAAATCTTGGAGCCATTCATCCCAGTTATCCGGATCCATGCCACCTAGCGCAAGACTTGACTCGCTGAACAATACCGGCAACAATGTCAGTTCGTCTCCTTCTCCCACCCGATTGCCGATCCTGCAGAGCGTGATCAAGTTCTTGTTAAGCGGCGTGTCCTCGTTAATCACGGCGAAGAAGTTGGGTTCTAGCCAGGCGTTTGGTGGGGCGTCCCTCAGGAAATTCACACAGTCTTGGACGGTCTTGCCGATAAAAGGAGACTTCCATTCCTTGCTGATCGGTGCTTCCGTTCCTTCAACTCCTCACTCTGTCTCAGCGCGATCCCTTGGTGGAGCTGTGTCATATCGATCGGCTAGCCAGTAGCCCCATGCGTTGTGCCCGCCTTCGTAGGCCTCGGTGAGGATTGAGTCGATCTTCTAATGAAAAGCGTTGCCCATAAGTCTATGACTGGAAAATTTGAAGGTTGGGAATTGAAGGATCTTAGCGTGCTAAGTTAGAAGGGGCTAGGCTTGCCTACCTCTGGGGGCAATTCGATCAAGACGAACAGCGCGACGATACCGTGGTCCGTCATCGTTTGGCTGGAAGTGCTGTTTTCTGACTGTTTGCAAACCAATCAAGGTGCTCTGACCTGAAGAGGAGCGTGTTCTGATTTCACCGGCTGACTGCGTTAAGTTTTGAGCATTCTTCATGCGCCGCACGTGAGAAGGATGGCCAGTCACGTGCCGGTTTGCAAAGACGCTGCTTTCGCCTGAGGTGCTCACGGGTTCCCGAACGCTATCGTGCCACATACATTCGAGAGGCCGACGCACATAAGCGCAAACCATGTTCTGTTGTCTAGCATTGTGGTCATTTTGGAGGAGTTATATGAGCTGGAGACCGTTTGCCATTCATTGTAGCTTGAAAAGTAAACCCCATGGAAACGGTCAAATCCCGATATAAAGCCCATCCCTAGCTCCCAATCGCCACGTCCCAGCTCTCCACACGCTTCCTAGACCCACATCGACTAAAGTATTGCGCCTTGATCGTGCGTTATGCAGCCGTCCCCAAGAGGGCCAGTCGCAACTCAGTACTGCTATGCAGGCTTTCCTGTCCTCTTCGTATCCTCGAGCCACTCGTCCCAACTGTCGGGATCCATACCACCCAACAGATCACCAGACTCCCTGAGTCTCGCCGGCAGCGACGTAATCTCATCCCCTTCTCCCACCCAGTTGCCAATCCTACAAAGAGTGATTACACCCTTGTCTAGGGTGTGTTCCTCGACGACGGCGAAAAAATTGCGATCCAGCCAGGCGCTGGACGGAGCCTTCCTAAGAAAATCCGCGCATTCTCGCAAGGTCCTGCCAATGAAGGGGGACTTCCAGTCTTTATCAATCGGTGCCTTCGTGCCGTCGATACCTCCTTCATCAGTGTCTGGTGGGGCTGTTTCGTATTGATCGGCTAGCCAGTAGCACCATGGTTCGTACGGGCGCGAGCGAGCTTCTCTCAGAATTGAGTCGATCTTCTAGTCAACGCTGTCAGTGAAAGCGTCTGACAATCAGGTAACCCTTGCTTACCTCAGTGGTCAATTCGACTAGCACGAACATCGCAACGATCCCTTGCATCGTCATCGTGGTCGATGAGAAATGGTTTTCCTGATGCTGTAGAGTCTGTGTTTTGTCCTGGACTTAAGATGGAGCTCCAGACCCGCTTAGAAAAGATCTGTGCCAAGCTCTTGATTCACTTCATACGTTAAAATGCTTTGTGAGTGACGTGTACCATCTATCCGATCGAGTGAAGCAGACAGCTTATGAATAAACTTGCGAGAGCTGATTCATGGTTGACGTTTCTCTGGAGGTGTCGATGGTGGACGATGCACGGCTGTCTTTATGGCGCGAGCCGATTTTTATGCGTTATACGGAAGAAGCTGCCCAGTCGTGGAAGCACACCGTGTTTAGAGCTGGATGACCCTTTATCACTCCCTTCATAGTGCGTCCGGCACCTAAAGGACCGTGTAAAGGTAGTGAATATAGACTACGTGCAATGGTTTCAGACGCAAATAGAAGCCGGCGTTTAGGTGGGCGGTATGTCACCCTGATGCCTGCGTAGAGACATTCTTAGTGCACTATTGCGGTACACAAAAAAGACATGCGGAGAGTCTGTAAGCTCACTGGTACTACTGGCGCAGCAGGAGCAAGAACGCTGAGTTGCAGGATGATCTTGTCATCACGTGACTTTGCTGGGCGATATTCTCATCAACCCGAGCATTTGTTGTTCAAGCATCTCGCAAATACCCCAACTTTCATCTCTGATCCATCTATCTGTGTTCTTCCCCTTTCGCTTCTGAACCAAAGCCAACCCCGTACCTGTCCACAACGCAGGATGGAACTATCCCGCCAAATGTCCTTACTGTCAATCTATCATCAATCCTAGCCCAACCATCATCACTGGACTTCGTGGAAGGTATTCAACTCCCACTATGCTGTAGCCGATACTTGCATGTCGGACAAAGCTGTTGTCGTTTCCTGTCCCATACCGCTCAGGATAATGGCGTCCGATGTGCCGCCCATTTGACATTCGAGACCGGCAGCAAGGTTCGCCAACGATACGGTCACGGCCCCAACGACCTCATGGCCGATGAAAGACGTGCTCGTTATGACACATTTACGCTCGACGTCTGTTTTCAGACCGCTTGAAGAGGGGGTGGTTTGCAGAAAGATGCTCAGTGGATTCGCCTCTCGATGTCCTGCTTGCTTTGATGCCTCAGGTTCCGGTTCAGCAAGATTACTGGCTCAAGGAGATGTTTGAGTTTGTAGAGGACGATCATGGATCGCCCACAGAGCTTATGGAGGTCTGCCTCTAGAAACCACCGCAAACACATTGATAAGACTGGCAGAAAGATCACAAGGCATGCTTTGAAGCATATCATTCACCACGTATAAGGTCTCACTCACAACAAGCAACTGACAACAAGCGACTGCAGTCCGCATCTTATTCGGAACCTTGAAGGAGTTCCGCTGTTTCTTACAACAGTGTCCGACTAAACACAGCGCGGCCCGAAAGAGATGCGGAAAGCCTGTGACATCAAACACGCGTGGACAAGCTACAACGACAATACATGCGATTTCCTTTTGATCTCCAATGCAGTCTCCGCTGTGTCTTTATGGCAGTAGTGGCGCACATGGACGAGACGACTTAGCACGATGCTGGAGGAACCTGACCAGAGTTGCAAGTGGTGACCGGTTTGCTGTTACGTTCTAACACCACCATCAACATGAACTCAGCACATCTGAGCTGACATATCTGGAAGGCGACAGACTGCTTCAGTATCTGTCCAGATTGTCAGCCCTTTCATCCCAGCGATCTCAAAAATGTATCATTCCAATCAGATTCGAGAACTTTAGCAGAGGCGCAAGAGCATCTTCGGAACAGCAGTACAGGATCGCCAGCAAAGTCTTCCATTAAGCTCGAAGCGGCCTTCTCAAGCCGCTCCATTCAATGTTTGTTTGCTTTGGTCTGCTCTGGCGGTCTCTGTCTTCCAACGGATACATCTCACGTGACTGCAACCTCTCGAAAAGCATCATGACGCAGCTTATTATCGACCTGCAGCTGCATTGATATCCTTCAGGTTTATCATTCTGGAGTGACAATTCCAGATCTTACCGGACATGATTTATGATATCCATTGTACAACTAGTTGCTTGCAGAGCTGATGCCAGATGGTAAACGGACACAGCAAGATGATCATTGTCGTTCTTTTACATCGCTGATCTTACACAGGGGACAATCAAGAGCACACCAATTGGAATACTCTACCAATGGACCATTTCCATCCGGATATCTCGGCCCGCGCTCTCGCATACTCCAATCGTGACGCAGCATCCTCTCCCTGATCTGAGGCAGCATCTTCCATGGCCTACTCGGGAAGACACAGCGCGCACCAGATGACGTCTCAACGCAGGGCTACCTGCTTCCACGGCTTGGTCTCTCCGTCATCTCATGCCTCCCGCCTTGGGCCCAATCATCGTTCGGACTCGGGTCCGATAATGCTCCAAAGCGAGATTCACTGCCCTTTCCGGGGTGCGTCTCCCCGGGGCCTCCCCTTCCCGCGCTCGGGTCCAACCGCTGCAAGGCGGTGCTTATGTCCTCAGCGGGTTTTAGCTGGTCCTGGGGTCCCGCCGCTTGTGCAGGTACCTGAGTTACACGTTCCTGCCAAGCGATGCTAGATATGCTGTGGCAGGTGCTGAAATGCGCTTATTCCCTCGTCTTTGAGATGAAACAAGTCCGCTACTTGAGTGATTTCTGGCTTCGTAGTTGTTTGCTTCAGGCTTTTTCCTTACGCAGACGAATATCCCGCTTGCAGCGTATCTGAGCTGGCAAAACCATGCACCAAATCAGATCTATGGTACATCGTCCGCCGGTCAAACTGCCAGCGCGAAGCAGAACACGCCGCACAGATGCAACGATGCTCGATCGCAGTCCCTGACTGCTGGCGGAAGACATCGTCACCACCAAGTTGAGGTATCACCGCCTCTATCAATATCCAAATCGTTGTCCCATGCTGTTACTAAAACCGGCTCGGGTTTACGTCAACCCTATTTCGCACGCCCTAGCGGCCGATTGGCTAAGCAACGCCACAAGATAAGGATCCATCCGCTAGGCCAGTGACGGCTCTCGAAACGGCCTAGGGCTGAACCGGCCACTCGGATCTTTCGGTGCTGGGTGTGGGGCGCAGGCTGGAACGCAGGGGTTGGCCCGATGTCGCCGCGAACGGTAAACGGTAAACCGCGCAACAGTGCGGCGCAGTGGAAGGGCCTTCCGTAATGCTGGGGCGAGTCAATACTTATTACTTGATAGCTGAGTTTGGGCCGAGTAAATAAGGGGGGACTATCGGGTGAGAATACGACGGTTTGTGTCAGCGAAGGGCGAGAATAGAAAAAAATGGTCGGTGATGGGGGCGGTGACGCCGCCGGGAGACTTGGCCGGGTTAACTCGGGCGGAGCGCTTGGCGGCTGGAGAGCGCGGTTTGTTGCGCGCGATGGAAGAGCAACATCGAATTCGTGCTCAGAATATGAGTATTCTTTACACATTCCTCAACCTCCGACGAGAAGTCCTGGAGCGTAAAGCCCAACAAGGAACAAAAAGCTTAGTATACTCCTTTACGGATATCCTCACTGCATCCACAGCATCAAGCCCGTTGACGTCGCTTATCAGTAGATCCTCTGTTTCTGTCCCGGAGCTGTCAAGGGGCTGGACCAAGCAACAATTAGCGCGGAGAGCGGCCGTATGGGGTAACGTTAGCTTGATACGTTGGAGGGGCATGCTCTTTGTCTCGTACAGCTGCACCGCCGCGTTGTTCTTTGTTGTACCGGGCTTCCTATTACGGGGTTTAAGGAAATGGCTCGAAGGGGTTTGACTCGTGTCTGCATCGCCAGGCGGTGAGGCAGTTGCGTGTGGAGCAGCCACAGGATGCAAGGTCGCGGTCTGATGGAAGGACAGCATAGTGGTCCAGCTTTTGCTACAATAGTGAGCCGCGATATCAAACTCGGTGGCATGTTGCTCGGACCAAAAGAATAGACAAGCAGACAAACGACGAACAAATGCGGCGTCTGCCATTGGCTCGGCGGCGCATCGACTGCCGGCGGCGTCAAAGCGCGGAATGATTGTGGCAGCGGCAGGACTCAGCGGCAGGACTCGTCTCACAGCTGCCCTGCGTTGCGCGCCGCGAGCTGATTGCCTGCATCGTTGCTTCTTTCCCCCCAGCCAGAAAATCCCACGGCCCCAGGGTCGACTATCGGCGAAACCCTCTTGGCCCACGATTGTTCCCGGCGCAGATATTAGTAGGCTCGCCCGCCACGGTCAGGAACTCTTCACTTCTCAACAAACAAACCCACTCATCTTAGCTTTCGCATCTTAAAAGCGTTCCAACCTCCCCCCACACCCCGTCTCTGCACATCTTACACCTCACCGCATTAATCCCACCCGTACCTCACACGACACATCCACAATCATGGTGAGCTCCATCAGGCAGCGCCCTTTGTGAGCAGCAAACTGACGCCTCCCAGGCCGAATCAACAATTGTCTCCAACACCGCAACTGTGAGTCATGCGAGCAGACTCCAGACTTGTTTGCAGCTTTCTGACAGTTCCTACAGCTCCTCAAGTACCGAGATCTGGACCAGAGGGGTGCAGTCATTGCAGAATATGTCTGGATTGATGGCTCCAACGGCGTGCGCTCAAAGTGCAAGGTTCGTCATCTCATTCTTCCCCATCCAGCCTGGCACGAAATCTGCAAACCCGGTCTACGCGATATCCGACGCGATGACGCTGCTGGTCTTGCTTTTGCACGCTTATCATCATAACCCCGCGATAAGCCGAGCCTCCAGCGCCATCCGCCGATCAAGCGCTTCCGGCACCGAATCAAGCTGCCAACAGCGCCGCAGACCCGAGGCGATAAGCAGACTGCTCGACCTTGACTACAGTTCATGCCTCAGATCTTAGGCTAACATGACACTCTTACTTCCAGACCCTGCCGAAGAAGCCAGAAAGCGTCGACGAGCTCCCCGAATGGAACTTCGACGGCTCCTCCACCGGCCAAGCGCCCGGCGACAACTCTGATGTCTACCTTCGCCCCGTCGCCATGTACCCCGACCCCTTCCGTCTCGGCGACAACATCCTCGTCATGTGCGAGACGTGGATGTCCGACGGCAAGCCGAACGCCTACAACTTCCGCCACGATGCCGCCGTTGTGATGCAGGCGCACGCTAAGCACGAGTTCTGGTTCGGCCTCGAGCAGGAGTACACTCTTCTCGGCTTCGACGGCTGGCCATATGGCTGGCCAAGGAACGGCTTCCCGGCGCCACAGGGTCCCTACTACTGCGGCAACGGCACCGGCAGGGTCTTCTGCAGAGACATCGTCGAATCTCACTACAAGGCTTGCTTGTATGCTGGCATCGCCATCTCCGGCACCAACGCTGAGGTCATGCCCGCTCAGTGGGAATTCCAGGTCGGACCCTGCGAAGGCATCTCCCGTAAGTTCTCCACGCCTCTTGGTCGTCTGGAGCAACCCGTGCTAACACTATCAACACAGTTGGCGATCAGCTCTGGATGTCTCGCTTCCTCCTCCACCGCGTCGCCGAAGACTTCGGCGCCAAGGTAACCTTCGCGCCCAAGCCCATCCCCGGCGACTGGAACGGCGCCGGCCTACACACCAACGTCAGCACCAGGGAGATGCGCGAGGATGGCGGCATGAAGCACATCGAGGCCGCGATGGAGAAGCTCGCGAAGCGCCAGGCCGAGCACATGGACGTCTACGGCGCGGACAACCGCCAGCGCATGACGGGCGCGCACGAGACGGCATCGTACGACAAGTTCACCTGGGGCGTTGCCAACCGGGGCGCCTCTGTGCGTGTCAACCGCGCGTGTGCGGAGGAGGGCAAGGGCTACTTCGAGGACAGGAGACCTGCGTCCAACGCGGACCCGTACCAGATCACCGGCATCATGGTCGAGACACTGTGTGGTATGGTTGATGGCGCGAATATGCACAAGAAGGTCGACGAGGCGGAAGAGATTGAGCAGGAGATGGTCGTGCCGATCTCGAAGCCGTAGACGGGGTTTTTGCTTCTTGTTTGTTGCTTACTTTCCTTTTCAGGGTGTTGAACTTTTGGGTAACGCGATGGTATGAATGGAGAGTTGATAGGTAGGAAGGATGGCCGCTACGATAGACTTCGCTGACGCTGGATGTTTTGCTTTTTCCTGTTGAGGGGTGGAGTGTGTGGTCGGATTGGGTGGAACGGAACTTGGGTGTATTCGTTGCGAACACCTGTGTGCTCTTTTGGCTCTCTTGGCTGTTTGAGTCATAGACAGAACAATGGGAAGACTTATCTAATCTGAAACGGGATTGATGCTGGCCCGTCGAGTTCGTTGCTCATGTGACATCGTAACCTTGCTTCGCGTCTTTCCCTTGACCAACGCGTCTTCCACCCAACCTTACGGCCTCCCTTGAGCGCAACCCCACGTCTCACAATATCTCGACCGAAAAGCCCTCCATTCGCGACTCTGTCACTACCGACAACATGCAACCACACACGACCGCCTAGCGCCCCACCGTTCCACACCAGCGCGTCTAACCCACCCCACCAACAATGGCAACACCAATCAACCCCTCCCAAAAACACCCCCTGCCCCCCAACGCCGCAACCCCTAACCTCAGCTCCTCCCACCTCGCCGCGCCCTTCTCCTCGCCCGCGCCGCGCTCCGTCCCCTCCCCCGCCGCCCACCGCAGCGTCCCCGCGACAGGCGCCTCGGCGCAGACCGCGCACAATGCGCCGACTGTTGGCTCCACGGGCTCTGGACCTGGCACGGGGCCGGGGACGGGACCGGCGAGCGCGCCCGCGGGGAACAAGCTGCTGGGCTCCTCCCCGGCGGGCATGGCGCTGAACTTCGACTCCCCGTCCACGATGAACTTGCTGGATGTCAATATGGGCGTTGGCGGGATGGGAGGGGTGGGCATGGGGCTTAGCATCAGCGGGATGAATGGGCTGGGCTTGGGGCTGGGGATGTCGGGGATGGGTATGGGCATGGGGCTCTCATCCTCTGGCGGCCGCAACGACGAGGAAGATGTGCGGAAACGGTTGCTGGGTATCATCGAAAGAGTGGGTAGTCGCCCGGGGCTCGTGAGTGAGGAAGGCGTCGAGAGGGTGTGTAGGAGGTTGGGGCTCGATTGGTATGCGGATGAGGGGAAGGCGGCACAGGGAACCAAAGACCCGTTCCCGTCGACTGCGGGGACGAAGTTTATGCTCGAGTTGGATTTCTCTGGGAGAACGCCGAGCTGTAGGGAACTCAGGTATGGGGCGAATTGGGAGGGGAAGGAGGAGCATGCGGAGAGGGGGAAGAGGATATTGCAGAGGGATTTGAGGCCGGTGGATGAGAAGTCGGCACTGGGGAATACGCTGGATAGGTTCGCGGGGAACTTGGGGAGGCTGGCGAATCTGAATAGGTTGAGTACGGAGGAGGTGGATTGCTTCGAGGTTGTGGCGGGGGTCTATGTGAGTCTCAAGAGGCTGTTTGAGCATGAGAAAAAGGCGGCTATGGCACTCTTGGATCCGGTCGCGGCGGACGCAGACGAGAAAGCGGAAAGAGAGGTTATGTGCAAGAGGAGTGGCAGACCCAGGATGAACGTTGGCAAGACGCTTGGCCTGTCGCTGCAGTACTGGATGGACCGACGACATATACGCAGGCGTAGAGCTCGCCTGACCTCGACACCTGCGAAGGCCGCCACGCGGATGGATATCGATCAGAAGCCAGATGTTGAAGAACCGGAGGAGATCTACTCCCTCACGATCGAATGCGAATCATCGCCGGCAGAACTATATCCCCCCATACGGAAATCTGATGCGTGGATCTCTGAAGCCATTGAGAAGTCATCACACGACATTTTCAGCACTTCCAACATCGACTGGCTCGAGCCACCGTCTACGTACGAGACACCTCCATCATTAGATGCGACGCAAGCCAGTGCAATGTCGTTAGACGCTAACAACACGGGCAAGCTCCCAAACGTCCGCTTCGTTGCTCGCCTGAACCCACCGCTTGTGGTACCGCTTAACATAGCGGTCCAAATACACAGCTCAGTTGGGACAGAGATACCTCCGGGTTCGATCCTGCCGACCATGTTCGAGGATCTACTGCTAAAACGAGACGACACAGACGCGGCTAAAGCGACTGGGGTTGGAGATGCCAAAGAGATCAGGAGCGAGACCGAAGTGTTCGTGGCTGGTAGGGACGGTACCGGGACTAAGCGGCGGCATGTAAACGGGCTGTTTGTGCCAAAGTCGGGTTACTATGGCTGCATACTTGAGGAAGTCCCTTTCAGGCACCCGAGAGAGATTGTAGAGATCTTGCCCGTGAGTAGAACGTGTTCATCTGAACCGCCTTCCCCGGTGCCGGATTGAGCAAGACTAAAACCATTTCAGGTCCTCCGCCAACACGCTTTCCTCAACTCCCTCCTCCGCTCGACGTTCCTCCCTGCTGACTCAGCCTCCGCAATATCCTCCAACGGTACTACCGTGAGCGCCCTACCATCGCTCGCCCTCGACATCACCCTCTCCGCATACCCAACCCCAACTCTCACGCTCGTCTTCCCGCCACCGTCTTCTCAGCCATCACCACCAACTATCATGGCTACAAACGGCGTTACCTCGTTGTCTACTGACGAGCTCCCTGCGCCCCACGAGAACGGCCTCACGAATGGCGACAGCGACAATGACGACAACGAGGATAGCACCGACGACGATGACGAGAACACGCCCGTCGCCATCACCCTGCAGATCCTTCCCAACGCCGATGTCCTTGTCCTCGAGCAGAATCTTGTTCCGGCGCTGCCGGCGCATCCGCCTTTGGCTCTGGCACCCGTGTCCGGGACTAAGGCAGTCGTGCAGCCAGAAGGAGGTAAGGCGGAAGAGGTAAGAGTAGAAAGTCGCGAGGAATACGAAGAGCGGAAGGCGAGGCTTGAGCAGAGGCTCGCGAGGGCGTTGGATGTGTGTGGGGAGGTTGGGGTGTGGGTTGAGTGGATTGGGGGGATGGGTGGGGTGGCGGGGTGAGGGATGGCTTTGATCGGAGTCCGGTCTGCGTTTCTTGGGTCTCTTGTTCGGCGTGAGATGGAAAAGCGGTTGGGGCGGTGGGACTGGCGTCACGCGGTAAGTGCGATATCCAGCCATTGATCTGGAGCTAGATGAAGTGATCACAATGATCTGGCATTGCTGGGTGCTGCACCACTAAGGGCGTGCGGATGGGTAGAGGGATTGAGTTGTTTTTTCGCCCTTGTCCACGGTCTGGAAATGTCTCCCAAATTAGAAGTGACAGCCTTTCAAGGTATTGCGAGAAGCTGTACTCGTCCAGCCATGAATCATTCCCCAATACCGCAGAAAGCACAAAACTCAGCAACTCTTCCGAACATAACGCTCGCAGATGGGGTATCGATATAACGCAGCAAGCCACTCATCCCAGATTTCCCGAACGCCACCAGCAAAGCCCCCGGACCCTATCCAGTGACATGCATTGTATTCACAGAACCAAAGCTTTCGTGCCATCCGCCATCCCTAAGCAACCTACTGCCGATACCTCGCAAGCAGCCCCTCAAGGTCCAGCGCCCCTGTGACCAAGGTCTGCCGGCTCGGCGTCTTGCCGCTCGGCGTCTTGCGACTTGGAGGCGTGGCGGTCTCAGGTACGAGGGCCTGGTAGCTACAGGTAGGCGGGAGCCGGACAATGATGCGGGGATTTTGCTGTTGCTGCTCGAAGGCTGGTAGTATTACGCCATCTCGTCGACGCAGTGCGGTGGCTTTGTAGGAGTCTGAGAGGTCTATCAGATCGGGTGTCTGGGTGTCCGGTTTAGGTCCGTTAACAACCTCGAGCAAGAGCGGCTGCCGGGCTTGTTGGGGAGGTGGGGATGAGTGGTGGGCTGGCGCGTCAACGGGGAAGGCGTTTTCGGAGATACTCGTCGAGGTTCTGATGGAGTGGGTGGTGGATGCCTCGATCATCCGCCGCGGCCGCTTCCGGGAGTTGCTGTTTTGGTTCTGCTCTTCCTCCTTTTGCTCGATGGTCCAACGTTTGATGATCTCGTCGTCTGACTTGTTTTCCATGCTGTGGAAGGATGCGTGGTGGCCACAGCCGTCACATTCGAAGGAGCTTGAAACCTACGGCATAGTCAGCTCGTCTGCTAGCTTTGGGGCGGGGAATCGAAGGTAGGCGAGCTACCTTCATGGGATGAAGCATAAATCGCAGACACGAACATTTGGGAGACATGAGCGAAGTTTTGTGATTACATTGCCCGCGGGGCGGGGTGTAGCCCATGAGCTTCCAAACGTTGTTCTCTGTAGCGGGCGCCATTGCAGGTTTTTCTCAACGAATTTGGCTTGACCGTAACGACTGTTCGATCTTTAGCGCTGTCAGAAAGTCGACAGGTTATTTTCACTGCGGCATTGCTGTACCTAAGTTCTCGGCTCGGGACGTAGCTGGGTATTTACTGCGGCTTGATGTGACTTTCCAAAAGTGGCGCGAGCTGCAAGGTACGCGACGTTATCGATACGGCAAGGCTGCTGAATCAGCCACGATATTGAACTTCACCGATGAGAACTGGAAGCTCACATACTGACACAGCTACACGCGCTACACCTCCACGCATAGACGAAACCAGAGCGCCAGCATGCCGAAATATAAGTTCACCCCATCCCGCTCCACGTACCCTGACTGACACCCCATCACTCTTCTGTAGGTCCCATTACCACCTTTGCGCCCCGACCGCGAACAGCCCCAGCTAACACCTCTCCCCAAGGCGACTACTGCGATGTCTACCTCACGCACGACTCCATGAGCGTCCGTAAAGCGCACAATAGCGGTCGGAATCACCTGCGCAATGTAGTCGATTACTACCAACGTGCGTCTCCTACCAGCCACCCCTGATGCTCCAGCACCCCCCCTTCTAGCCGCCCAAAGGAAAGCGTAAAGGCGACAAGTAGCTTGCTGACACCCAACAGAAATCGGCCACGAAAAGGCGCAGTCCGTAATTGATAGCATAACGAACTCGTACGCCGCAGCGGGCGAGGCAGGCAACAATCCGATGCTGCAGCCGATGGGGATGGGCGGGGGTCATCTCGGCGGACATGGAGGGTTTGGCGGACCGCCGCCGCCTTTTGGGTTTCCTGGGGGGCGCGGGATGCCGCCGCCGCCGTTTGGGATGAGTGGACCGGGGATGGGGCCGGGTGGTCGTGAGTGTTCCTGTTCTGTTGCTTCTGCTTTTCTTTTCCTGCCTTACCACGCCGTCTTTTCTTGTCATCGCAGCTCCCCTTGCTTCCTCTCACTCGACTTTGTTCGGACAGACCAAGAAAAGAAGAGAAGCTAACACATACAACAGGCGGTATGCCCCTCCCCCCCATCCCCCAAGGCGCCCCTCTCCCCTTTCCTCCTCCACAAGGTTTACCACAAGGTATGCCGCAGGGGATGCCACAAGGAATGCCACCCCTCCCCTTCCCACCGCCTCAAGGGATGCCCTTCCCGCCGCCGGGAGGCATGCCGTTACCAGGAGGTATGCCGCCCAATGTTGGCTCACCGTCACAAGGCATGCCGTTTCCTCCACCGGGAGGGTTCCCACCGCCTGGAGGCATGCCGCCGAACTTTGCGTTTCCGCCGCCGGGGATGGGGGGGATGGGGGGGCCGCCGGGTGGGCAGTAGTGTGAGGAGTAACAGGTGATAAGAATGGTATTTAGCGAGGTATGGCTGCGAGCTTTGTTCGAGGCGGTATTTATCACTGCTTCGCTTTGGGGATCGAAAAGAGCTTGGTGCGCTTTTTCTTTGGGTAGGGATGCATTAGCATGGCGTCAAGCGCAAGGTGTCAGCAAACAGTTTGGGGAAGGAGCTTTTCTTCGCATAGCACTTGCAGGAGCATGTAGCAACTCCTCACACATGGGAAAGCTTGGTTTCACAGCTATGAAGCGTATAGGTCAACGGCTTCTGAGCGCTAAACGATATCTACGTCTTCCCACACAAACATCCCGCTACTCCCTCTTAGCTCAACCACCCCCGTACCCCCTACGGTCTCGGCCTCGGCCCCAAAAGCCCCGTCCTCCCCGCTCCGCCTCCACCATTGGCACCCTGGCCCTGCCCACTTATACTCCTCATCTGCGCCTCCTCCCACTCCCTCTGCCGTTCCCTCTCCCGCTCCATCTCCCTCTCCAACAAACTCTTGAACCTTTCCGGCTTCTGCGGCGGTGTCGCGCTCGCGGTTACAGGCTGGGGACGCGCGGCGCCGAAGGGGCTGGCGCGGGGGGCTTGGACGGGTGGGGAGGAGGGAGGTGGGGGGTTGAAGTTCAGGGGTGCTGTTGTTGTGCGCGGCAGCGGCTGGGGAGGGGGTTGGCTCTGTTGCGGCGGTGGTGCGCGAGGTAGTGGTGTTGGCTGAGGGCTCAGCGGCGGCGGTCGCATAGCTGAAGTGCTATTGGAGGGTGCGGAGGGCGGCGCGGGCAGTGGCCGTGGAGATAGGGGCGCGGGTGTTGGATCCTTGGGCGGAGGCGGCGGGATGACGTCTGGGTCCGGCAGGGGCCGCGGTGGGATCGGCGCCGAGAAATCGTTGTGGGTTTGCCATTGCTGCCGCAGGAGTTCACGCTCGTCGCCGCCGATGACCCAGGAGGCAGCACTTTCTTGTGGGGAAGGGGCGCGGGGGGGTAGGGTGGGTGGTGAGGGACTGGATGAGCGAGAGCGGGTATGCTTTTGGGGGGAGGATTGGCGGAGGCGCTCTTCGCGCTCGAGTTGGTACTGCCGCTCGCGCTCTTTTGCTTCCTCGAGCTGGCGTTCGAGGTCGCGCATGCGCTCGCGCTCGGCGGCGCGCGTGGGGGACTCGTCTCTGTAGCTGCTGGTACTGCGCTGGTTCGGGGGTCGGGTATTCGTATCGGGAGGATAGTGCCCTCTTAATCTCGCATCATCGGCTGCTCGCTGTCGCTTCGTCTCGGCCTCTACGCGCTGCTGGGCCTCTTTGTCCGCCCGCACTCGGGCTTCCTCTTCGTCCCTCCATCGCCGTTCCTGCTCTTCCCACTCGCGCTTCTGCTGCTCGACGCGCGCTTTCTCCTCCTCGCGCAGCCGCCGCGTCTCCTGCTCCCAGCGCTTCTCTTCCTCGATCCTCTCTCTTTCCTCCTCCGCCTCCCGCTCCACCCGGCGTTGCCGCTCCGCCTCCTCAGCCTGGGTACGAAGCCGCTCAGCTTCCGCCTCCTGTTCCCTCCTCCTCCTTTCCTTCTCAGCCAGCGACGGCACAGCGGGCCCCGCAGACGTGATCTGCCGCCGCGCGCCGAACGAGACGCCCAGATTCCCCTGACTCGCGCCACCCATGTAGCCGTACTGGTGGATGTTCCAGGCAGGCGCGGTTGAGGCCTCATCGGTCTTCTTGGACCAGGAACTTACGGGGCCTGGGGGAGAGCGCGCGTCGGTCGAGGTGGCGGTCGTGGAGACGGAATCGCCGGTCAGGGTGGGGCTGAGGGCACGAGCGGCGGGCGAGGGGCGGGAGAGGGAGGGGAAGGGCGTTGAGGTTGTGCTGATGCTGCTGGTGGCCGAGGTGCTGCTTGGGCCCCGCGGACGACCGTAGTCGCTTGTTGAGAGGTTGCCATTCGTGCTGTTCGTGCCTAATATAGCTGGATTTGCTGCGCCTGCGCGCTTGGGTCCAATGGTGGTGGGGAATCTTGAAGGACTTACGGCATTGGCTATCCGGCTGAAGGCGCCCAGGCACTGTAGGACTTGGGCGGGGTCCTTGGACTCGTACAGGTCGACAGTGAGGAAGCGGTCGTGTGCGGGTAAGTTGAGGGGAGGGCGCTCGCAGGCCTGGAGGAAGTGGGATATGTTCTCCATCTGTATGAACGGCATGGGGGACTTCTTGAATTTGATGCCAGGCGGTGGTAGTAATAGGTTCGCGAGTTTGCACAATGCAACGCCATCTTTCAGGGCGTTCAACAGGTCGCCGGGAGGGAGAGATTCGTGTAATGTAGACTCGATCCAGGTGCGGACTTCGGAGGCGGCTTGGGGGGTGTATCTCGCCAGGCGCAGCTTGCGCATGTCCTGATCGAGGGAGCTGACGGAGGCCATGTCGGGGTATATGTTAGGGTGCGCTGTTCAAACTCGAGATCGTGTATTGAGACTGTTCAGGGCGGCATAGGTGTAGGTTGTAGGGCGCTGCTCGTTGGTCGTTGTTGCATTCCTGTTCGAGGAGGAACTTGGAAGGGTGGGGTGGAATTCGGGCATGCCCGCCGCACATCAACTCGGACGTTCCCCCGCTACAGGGGCAGTGGTGGCGGAACACAACCTCGTCATCAGACCGACATCAGGTAATGCCTATTTCGACGTCCCATAAGGGAGCATTGTTTACTCTAGCGGTGTAGTTGCCAATAGATCAAAGCTTTCAGAGTCACTGTTGACTCAAGTTCCTATCGTTACGGTCATCATGGCATGGAAACAAATCGAGGCCACCGGGCCTCACTTGACCTACATGGTTCTCTCGTTCTTCCTCATCTCGTATGCGCTCTTCAGTTTCTTCATTAGGAACCGGCTGCATCTCTCAGAACCGCCGTTGGCAACACTGTTCGGCATCGTCTTCGGCCCATTCGGCGCAGGCGTCCTGCAACCTTCGAAATGGGGCCTGGGGGACAGCTTCGTGCAAGAGTTCACCAGGATCGTTGTCGGCATTCAGTGTTTCGCTGTTGGCATTGAGCTGCCGAAGTTCTACTTCAACAGGCATTGGAAGAGCGTGGCTATTATGCTCGGCCCTGTCATGACGTTTGGCTGGATAGTCTGCGCAACTTTCATCTATTGGCTGTTCGGCACAGATGTGCCCACGGCTCTGATTATCAGTGCCTGTCTCACGCCCACAGACCCTGTCCTCGCGGCAAGTGTGCTGTCGAACTCCCAGTTCTCGACACGTGTGCCCGCACGAGTCAGGCATCTCCTCTCGGCCGAGTCTGGGTGCAACGATGGCATCTCGTTCCCCTTCGTCTACGTTGGTCTCTGTATCCTGACCAAGGCGACCGTATTCGGCTCTTTCAAGAAATGGTTCCTCATCGTCATCCTCTGGCAATGCATCCTAGGCGTCTTCCTAGGCCTGCTCATCGGCTGGTGCGCGAACCACATCCTCCGCTTCTCTAGCGACCGACACTACGTCGGGCGAGCCTCGTACCTCGTCTTCTACCTCCTCCTCGCGACCTTCTCCATCGGCGTCGCCAGCACCCTCGGCGTCGACGACTTCCTCGTCGCCTTCGGCGCCGGCTACGGCTTCGGCCGCGACGGCTGGTTCAGCGAGAAGATCGCCGAGACCCGCCTCCCCAACATCATCGACCTGCTCGTCAACTCCAGCTTCTTCGTCTACTTCGGCGCCAGCATCCCCTGGCAAGACTTCGGCAAGGCGCCCAAGCTGAACCCAGGCCTGCTGGTCCTGTTACTCGTGCTCATCCTCCTGCTGCGCCGGCTACCAATCGTGCTGGCCCTGCACCGCTTCATCCCCGACATCCACACGGTCCGCGAGGCGCTCTTCTGCGGGCACTTCGGCCCCATGGGCGTCGGCGCGCTGTTCCTGGCCATCGAGGCCCGCGCGCAGCTCGAGTCAGGGACCTCGGAGCCGGATAACGACCACCCGCATGATCTGCCGCCGGAGCGCCAGCGCGCCGTCGAGATGATCTGGCCCATGATCTGCTTCATTGTGCTGGGCTCGACGATCGTGCATGGGCTTTCGACGCTGCTTATCAGTCTTAGTAGCCACTTTCTGAGGCCGAAGGGTGAAAGGGCGCCGCTGATTGGGGGCGAGACGGACGCGTTTCATGGGATGTCGCATGAGGAGGGGGATGGGGATAGTGCGGAGGAGAGCGAGGATGACGTTGACGATCGGAACGAGTCTGAGTGAGGTGTTTCGATCGACTGTCGGAGGCAGTTTCGCCACTCTCGCTGTTACTGTCCTTCATCTCATTGGCGCACGGGTGTGCGCGGTGCGTAATGGTACGCATAATGATCTCGGGTGCGTTGCTCGGTCGTCATAACAAGGCCATATCGCGCGGGTTCAACAGTATCCGAGGATAAACTCTACATTGCCATCAACAGGCACCTCAGCCAGCTCCTATCACGAGACTAGTCCTGCGTAGCTCGGACGCGCTACACGATCGAGTTCTGACGTGGACTCTACCACCTTACCGAAAGAATTTCCAACAGGGTCGTCACCTGGGAAGGAGGAGGACCAAGAAATTTTCAATGCTTAGCTTTCCTTATTCTTTCCCCTGCTGTGTGGATAGAGAATTTTGCTCGTTTAAACAAAAACGGTACATCCCATTGGGCTCTTGAAGAGTATGTAGAACGGTTGTAGATTAGCCAAGACAAAGACATGCGCTCCGCAATGTAGAATAATCAGGACGAAAAGCCATTTCAGCGATTGAAGCAATCCTCAGCAAAGGCGCAATCAGAGGCCCACGGATAGTGCCAGTGACGCTCATACTTCCCACTCTCTATCCCTCTTGCTCGTCGAATGCCGTGCATCTAAGCCTGTTCGCGTCCGACCGACTTCCTCATCCATCCCCAAAAGGGTAATACTGCCTCTATCGTAGAACGTCGCAGGTCTCTAAATCCATTCCAAGCGCGTTCAGATCCCGTGGCTCGCCCTCAGCAGAGTGCCCCTTCCGCGCGAATGCAACGAAGCCCTCTCTGGGCTTCGCGCGGGTTCGGCACAACGCGGCGACACCACACAACGCCCCTCATGGCAATGGTGCATCGTTCGCTCGACAGGCATCTGGCCGACTAAATGCGTGCCGTTTGGTTAGCAGCGAGTGCGGAGTTGGTGCAGAATGCGAGGGTTCGTGCGGGCTTGAAGGGGGGCGTGGATTTGGAAGTTCGGCGGTTTGCGGCGTTCTACGATAGTTGAGGAATTGCTGTTTCCGGAACACTGTAGAACGTCGCAAGAGTGATGAATTACCATTTTAGGAAAGGCGTGGTCTCCTCGTAAACAGCGGTCATCACGGCGCTGTCCGGGGCATTGAGTATACGCGAGGGATCCGGGCAAGTTTTCAGAGGGACGAGGGGGCACGCAATAGTACCAAGAGCACTTCAGCAATGGCACGATCGACCCGCAAATGTTCCTTTTGCAGAGAAAAGTTGTACGTATAAGACGGTGAACGCTTCAACAATAAGCACACGATCCAAAGGAATGGTATCTCAAGTCGAACCCACGACGCCCAACTAACTGAGTCCTGCCTCCAAAACCCAGAAAGGCACGCTTTTAAGGAGTGTGAACGCCACCAATGCCGCAGTTATTTTGATCAAAGGAAACACCCGGAACGAAAAAGGCCAGCTCTATGCGCCGCGCTACTGCACGTCATCAGGAGGAGGCCCGGAGAACAGCCCTATGCGTAAACGATGGCTCTGCGTGAAGAGAGTCAGCAATGCAGCTCCCTAGTGCAAAATCCGGGTCACATTGAGATGACTCACCGCCGGTAACTTCGGAATCACAACCGCCATGGTCGCCAAGAAGTTAATCACAAAATACGCCACCCCGTAATGCGTGTAGTGCGTGCTGACCAGGAACAGCACGACCGGCACAGTCAGCAGGAACTTCTTGGCCGGCGTGTACTGGTCCCCGTTGTCGATCTGCTCCCACATGTTCAGGTTGTCGTAGGCGCCCGCGTTGAACTCGAAGGGCACGCCGCGCACCCAGTGGAACATCAGGTACGAGCCGAACATGTAGGATATGTTGGTCAGCGTCCAGGAGGTCTCCTGGGACACGCCGGGGATGATGTCGTAGAAGATCTTTAGGGCGAGGATCAGGATTATGTGGATTGCCCAGGCGCCTGTTGAGACGGGGAGGTGTTAGCATGGATTCGGCAAATGTACATCCAGCAGCATCTCAGTGTCCGTAAGAAACGTAAGGAGGGTTACCTACCCTTAGCATTCACCCACTCAGAATTGAGGTTCGGCAGCGCAGACTGGTCGCTGATATGCTCCAGGCTCTCAGGCGGCTCCGTGTACATGAGGCTGCTGGAGCGCCTCCGCCGGCCCTTGCTAGAGCTCATCGTGGTCTTCTGATCAGCGGCTGGGGATGCGAGGTGGCGCGGGTGCGGGTCTACGCCGAAGGAGAGCGTACGGTTCAGGATGATGGGAGACAGCTTGGCGGTTCTGGAGTGGTGCGGCGGACCGCGGTGGGAAGAGAGTGTGGGTGGGCTAGTCGGGGATCGAGAGATGTTTTGCTGGTGGAGGATTAGCTGGATGACTGAACGATTGGGGAGGATGTCGAAGCAGTGGCTTACAGGTTAGGCCGCGGGTGCGGGTCGCGAGGTCCTGTGGCGGACGGTGGGGGCGAAGAATATGTGGTGATGCGAGTTGCAAGACTGTGGTGGATTACGACTGCTTGTGGTACAGATAGCTGAATCCAAGGTGGGGGATGTTGGCGTGTATGAGTTCGAGCGTGTGTTTGGCGGAGTGGGCATACGTTGACCTGCTTATGTCGGTTGCGCAAGGGTCCACAACGGGCAGGAACGCCCTGTGATGCAAGAAGGAGCTCAAGCATCGCGCTTGGCCTTGTCACGGACTGTCACGGAATAACCACTGTCACTGCGCGTCGGCAAGTTCTCTGTTCGTCAACACCATCGACATCGCTGCCATGTCTCTCCACGATATCGTCCATGCCTCTCAGCCAGAGAACCCGCTTGTTCCTCCGCCAGGTCCGTCGAAATTGCCAGTCAGGTCATGGAGGTCAGTAGCCCGTGCCTCGTAGCTGGAGCACTTCAACACGCCTCTATGAAGTGGCGCGCAGCTCGGAAACTTCTTCCACTCCAAGGGAGCTCTCGATGCATCTGTGATAGAGGACGTGGCTGACGAGCCGGCGCACAGGAAGAAGTACCGCAAGATGCGCATGCGCTTCGAAGCTCAGATGAACGAAAGCAACGCGCTGTTCAAAGACGAACACAAAGCCCTCGCGCTCGCCCGGCGACTCCAAGAGCAAAACGAGTACCACTCCCCAGCCTCAGCATATTGCCCATGACTAAAACGTCCACAGCCAGCTCCTAGACCTCATCCTCGACATCAACTCCTCCGCCCGGCTCCCCCCACACCAACGCATCGACCTGCGCTCGCCCTCCCCCAGCGCCTCCGCCGTCCCCTCCCTCGAACCCGACGAGGAAGCCGACACCACCGCAATCCAGCACGCCCTTCAAACCGCGCGCGCACAGCTCACCGCCGGCACACTCACCCCCTCCGACTTCACACACCTCGAGTCCACCCTGACCGCGCGCCTCCCCCCTCATCAGCGTCCCCGAACCCTAACCCACCTCGAAGCCATCCCGCACACACCCTATCCGCCCTCGCGCCCTCTCCCCGAGGATCTCGCACCCGAGACGCAAACACCACCGGGCTACTTCTCCCCCACGCACGAAGACGAGTACCTTAGCACGCTCGACACAGTCCTCGACGCGCACCCCTCAGCACTCGACCTCGACGCCGACCCGGCCCTCGTGACGCGTCTCCTCTCGCGCCCCGCAGCCGCCAGCATCCCCAGCGACAAAGACCTGCAGCTCCGCAACCCGGACAGCGTCTACAACTGGCTGCGGCGGAACCAGCCCTCCGTCTTCCTGCAAGACCGCGACGCCAAGGACCTGGTCTCCAACATGGACGCCGGGAGCGAGAAGAGCGGGCCCGCGCACCAGCACGCGCATAAAGCCCCACCGGCCCACCGCGCGACCAAGCGCGGCGCGCCGAGGGATGTCACGTCTACCCCGCAGCAGAAGAGCGAGCAGGAGGCCCTGGATGAGGAGATTGGGTTCGTGGCCGAGGCTGGGCCGGGGGCGGGCAGCGCGAAGAGGAAGAAGGGCGAGGATGACGCGAGTTATAGACCTAAGGGGGGCAGCAGTCGGCCTGCGAAGAGGAAGAGGGAGGATGGGGAGAAGGTGGGGGGGAGGAAGAAGGTTGCTAGGGCGTCGGGGGCGGGGGCGGGTGGTGCGGGTGGGGTGGGGAGTCCGGGATGAGTGGTGTCGGGGGTATGTGTTGGCAATGTGCCGGTGTAGGAAAAGCAAGACGGGCTGTGGGGCTGCATTTTTGCTGCCGTGGGGAGAGCCATGCAAGTTCCTTCTTATCCTTGTTCATGAAACCGTTCGCTTTCCAGGGGTTTGCTTCGTGTTGCTAGTGATCTTTGCCGCATTTTCCGTGTGTCTTGGGTTCAGGTTCCTCCTGAACAGACACGAAGCGACGGTTACTACCACGAAAGTTCGCTATAGTGATGAACTTGTTCCTGATCGTAACAGTCGCTTCATGTTTTGGTGAGGAAGAATCTGCAATCAGGTTGCACGGAAAATGCAGTCGAACCTACGGCTACGCGGGCATTTGCTGGGATGTGGGTTTGGGGCTGGGTGTGGGTGTGTGTTTTGCAGGTGTCTAGGGGAAGAGAATCCTGACTGCAGGATTATGATGTAATATGCATGGCAGGGTCAGGGCTATTTCAGATTGCTTGGATTCTTTAGCTGTAGTACTATGGCCGGCTCCATCACGACCTACCTGCGTGTCCTACGTCTCTGCTGAAGCTGTGCGGCCGTCAGAGACAAGCAACTGAGACCTAATACCCATGGCTACCCCCAAGGACACTTGCCGTAGTATGCACCACGCAGAAGCACCCCGAGGAAGGTGTGTCGAGAAAGGCTGAGCGATTGAGGAAGGAGTGAAGGAGCTGGAGGAAAGGAGATACTGTCTTTCCCATGTACAGCCAATGAGAATGCTCTGGCGTTGTAGTGGAGGAGGAACGCCGAATGAGGAATTGTAGATGAACTCTGTCCAGAGCGACGAGCAATGGAAAGGTTTTGAGGAGCATGTGGCGCCGCTCAAAGAATCGGTCTTGGGTGGTGACAGTGCGGAAGGGCGAGAGGCTGTGCTGTGGGGACTCAACTTCAATGTGGCGTTGTAGGTATCTGGACGCGGCAACGTAGATGGCTTCGTTGGCTCGACTGAAGGTCCATCCTGAAAGGTGTTCCTGGCGGACATTGTTCCTCAGAAACCAGCGTCCGTGGTCCTGTGGCAGAAGTAAAGGTTTTTCGCGGAGGTAAGTACAGGCGACTGACGGTGTAGAAGCTCTCTATGGTTATCGTGCGTGCTTCGCCCCGATGCTTGGAGCCTGGGGCCATTCTTGCAACATTGTGGATCTAGAAACAGAACTGAGGTTGATGAAGTTTAGACGCGAAGTGAAGCTCTAGTAAAGTTGTGAGCCAAGATTCTGTTTGATTACGGCGTCAGCCTAGCGAAACCTGATATAAAAACTTCGGTGCAGCCTAGAGCCTGCAACATTTCTCAAGTATATTAGGCTACAAGATGAGTGGCTAGAATGGAGACTCCTGTTTTGACGCCGGTGGAATGCTGGACCCTAACACCTTGTCGCACCCTGCGTATCCCCCTGGGAGCTCTACCTAAAACCAGCAATAGTATACCTGACGCTTTCTTGCCTGGCCACCTTAGCAACACCAACCCCAGCTTGAGCTCTAACTAGGCCAAAGGATAGCGTCGCTTGGGTAGGCTTCTCCGATGGACTTCTAGTGTGACCGGGCTTGTGGTTGTAATATCCGTCCGATGTGTTGCGGTAGACATGGTTGCCGTCGAAGAGAAAGACATAGCGGTCCGTATCAATGTGTGATGGGCGAGAGTTAAGACAACAACCGTTCCGTGCCGTCCTGTTTGGTGCGCTTAGTGTCAGCGGTTCCTTCTAATACATGTGGTTCAAGCGGGTGGGATACCTCTTCGAACCCATACATGCCTACCATTTGTTGGCAGACATCATGAAAGACGGTGAGTACACACGGGTTTGCACAGCCGCAATCCGGTGGACTATGACACGGTTAGCGAATATAACGACTATGTTCTTGAGCAATTCTTACTGAGACTCCGCCATGGCGGCGTCGATGTCGTCGTCGATACGAGCGCCGCCTTTCTGTCTCGACCACAATCCCATCCACTTATGCTGAAGATCCTGCTCTACGGAACCAGAAAATGTGATCTTTGGTATAGTACTCAAGTGCTTCACCGTCAATGCCATAATCAGCTCTTGAAGGATTTCGCCAGTCGCAAGCAAGTCATCATGCTCTATGTCCGATAACGGAACCAAAGAGGCTCTGTCGATCGAATCAGCCGGCACCTCCACACCGCCGTACTGTTTGGGTGTTGTAAAGTTAAGTTCCAGGTGCTTTAGCGTGTTCAGGCTGCGGAATTGCTTTGAGGAGAATTTTTTAGACACCCATGCTCTCAGTGCTCTGCCCGCCATCGCGATGCCGAAGAGCTTGAGATGTTCCTGTATGGGGAATGCAAGCTGAACATAGCGAATGGCACAAACGCTTATGGGGTTGGCGAGGCCGAAGGAGGTTGCCGTTCGAGGGTTGCAGTGGTAGAGCAGCAGAATCAAAGCGCAGTAGCGCGTGACACGTTTCCATGTCTTTTCCCAACCCTCCTGAATCGCTTCGTGGTAGACTTGCTTGTTGAGATGTAGAATTGCGTAGTTCGGCGCATCATGCGTTTCCAGACCATCCTCTGGCGACAGCTTCTGGTTCTGTTCGCGGAAGCCGTGTCCGAGTGAAATCCTGGGAGATTCGAAGGCCGGCTCCACCACGGGCCCTAGAGCTTGCACATAGATCATCGACCGGATCTCTAATGGAAGCTCCAGAAACCGAAACGTCTTCCCATTGCTAAACCACCACATGAACTGGTTCTCATACCCATGAGTGCCGACAAGCTCCTTCGCGAAACGCTTCTTCCCAATATCGAAGATCGGCGAGACGTCTAGCCATTTCTCAAATGGTGTCCACGACCCGCTAGTGTCAACAAGGAGTCTATCGGTGGTTGACATCCCTGGCTTTGCGGGTACTAGACGCAGGTAGACGTAGACATCCGCGGTTCTAGTCTCTATCCCAGAAAGTCCTGGTCGTACTTGGGTGTTGGCGAGGAAGTGTTCAAGACTGCCAGCGAGGACAGATTCGGCTGCGCGCAGTATGCGGGCCGTGACTATATCGTATTGAGGATCTTGCCGGGCAAGCAACGTACGGTAGACATCGCGATACGCTGCAGTGGAAGTCGGTGCCAAGGGTGTCTCGTGACTTATGATATGTTGACTTCGCGGCAACGACAAAGCCGCCGGTACGCCTCTGGGCGGTTGTTCTGGAAAGATGATGTTGAAGAAAGCCTCTGTGAATCGTGTAGGGATGTTAGGCTCGTAATCAATTCCTTGAGCCATTGTTGAGTCCATGATGAGTGTCGATGATCGAAGTAAGGAACGAAGCTGCTGATGAGTAAAATGAAGAGCGAATGCTAGGCGAGGGTACGGTAGAAGGCTAGACTGAGTGAAACCCAGGGATTCATCGAGTGAAAGCTGGGTGAATGTCTGCTGTTGGCCGATCCCCAAAGTCTCTTGTTTGGCTAGAGGGACAACGATGAAGGACGTACAAGGACGCCGTTTGAGTGTCATATCAGCGCCGTAGATCCATGCTGAATCCAACGCTAATATCTTGTTCGTGTACATCTGGAAACTGCGGCAACATCCGTGGCCCTTTATCTAGGGGACAGCTAAGTAGCGGAGAGACTTAGTGACGCCGGATGAAAATGCTAAGAACCAACGCCTTTTAAAGCCCATAATGTTCGTGATGCTCTCATTTCGAGCCCCAGTTGTGACTACGACCGTCTCTTTGCCGCACTGGGCGTCCAAGACTTATACTCTTCCTGCGGCGCCGCCTTCTCCCCCTTCCACGGAGGCTCACGCGTCTCTCCTTTGAATCTACCCTTGTCTACGTCCTCCCCCTCTACACTTTTCACCACTTCATCATGGCTCGCCGCCATATTCCTCACGCCCTCCCTGTGTTCAGGCTCGGTCTGCGGCGCATCGCCAGCGGGATCTCTGGGTCGGAGAGGTAGTAGTGGCTGTTGCTTGGATGGAGGGTCAAGCGCAGAAGGTTTCGATGCCCAGCGCTGGTCTGCGGCTGCCGCGAGCTCCTTCATCTGATGTTGGCGGATCTCATCAAGCTGCTGTTCGGAGATGGATGGGGGATCGTAGCGCGTGTGACGGAGCCACTGTATCCATTGAGCTGCGCAGCGTCAGTATCAACGCACCTCTCCGACGGGAACTTATGAAAGCCGTACGCGCCATCTTAACGTCTGCATAGTGGGCTCGAGGGTTGTATCTGACTATGCGGCGGACCCGGTTCGCGTTCATCGCATCCTTGAACTCCCAGAATGTATTTCCTGCCAAGTCGGAACCTGCGTACAGTCAGTTTTCAATGTTCCTCGAGCGCTGCGGCCATCCAAGTAGCTCTTTGTGAAGCCGGTTTATACAATTCGAGCAGAAACCAGCATCGACTGACCGCAAAGCCATGTCTTCCTCCACGGCAACCGCAGACTCTTCCACCTGTACCACCATTGCTTAATCGTTCCGGGACCGGATGGCATCGTTGATGTGCGTTACATATTCAGTACTGATGATGCGCTGCATTTTCGGCGGCGAGAGCTCCAGACGGGCTGCGGCGGGATGACGATGAGGTGCTGCAGCGGATCTCCGTTTCCGCTCCACCCCTTGATCCAGCGGAAGCAATCAGCACGGTCACTTCAGGGTCTATGTTTACACAGATGTTCCGATATTGGGCAACCCCCTATCACCCTTTCGTCCGGTCCTGGGAGTTTGTTCGCTTGCAAACAGTAGCTTACTTGCCTTCTTACTTACAAAGCCGATTACCTTGACGTGACGTCTCAGGGAACAGTTCTTACTCAGCTTGATCACAGTGACCAGTTAATACTAGGACGTAAGTGAGCTATACTCTTGTGACAGGCCCGCCTGTTCAACCATTGTTCTTTCTGTCAAATCTAAATCATGTCTTGGTAATTGAATGACTGACCACAGAAGTAGGCCTAACCATGTCGGCCCAAGAGCCAATTCTCGCGCCTGGGTCTGGACAAACAACGGAAATTTCCACCTCTGCCACGATCGCGACCTCTTCAAAACCTACGACGCCATCGAGCCACTTCCACTCGTGGGGCTCGTCGGCGGCGGCGAAATCCTAGCCAAGGGCATCGGAAGCGTAGATTTCGATATCCAAAAGAGCAACGGCAGTAAAGGCGTTCTTAAACTTACCAACGTCCTCTATGTCCCAGGGGCACTGGTCAACCTGATCCCGATGTCCGCTCTGTATGCTGATGGCGTGAGCGGGTTTGCGATGTCTTCGGGGAAAGCTACGGCGGAGAACGGGCGCGAGGTTGCGTGGTTTCCGCTCGATACCCTGTGGAGCCTCAAGCTTGCTGATGGTGATGACCGACTCTTTCCGTCTCCACTCCGCGAGCAGGATAGGCCGGTGTTGATGGTCTCTACGTTTGCCGAATCCCAACCTGTCAAGAAGCCGAAGATGAGCAAGTATCAGTTCGTTAAGGACGGGTGGGGTTCGAGGGCGAACTTCCAGTACTCGTATGGGCTCAAGAGTATGTAACTTCCACATCCGCTGACCAACCTGTCCTCTTCCATCAAGATTGTGCTGATTGGCATTGACTAGTGATTCCCGACGATGACGATTTCGAGGAGGGTAATGAGATTCTGGAGAAAATGATGAGGTATGAGGGAGTAGCTTGAGCAGCACATTACGCATCTACAGCGCCGCCGGGCCACTTGCTCATCAGGTCACCATGTCCACGTGACTGCTTGGGTTGTGGGTAATTGTTAAGGGTCTAGCGCATTGTCCATCACAGACCGCCATTTCGCGAGTTTATAATTGTTGATCCAGCTACACTGCACCATATAAGGCAGCCGAGAATGGATTCAGACATAGTTAGCTGCAGCGAGCTGGATGATACTCAGTTCTACAAGCAACAGGAACGCCTGCCTTTCCCTCGTATCTAACCAGTCCACCATTACCAACACGAATCCCACAAATGCTGTAAGTAGTTAACACACTAACGACCTTACCGGCACCGAGACCAAGAGCTTACCACACTCTAGCCCCACTAACTTACGTTATCTACGTTGTCTCACCCACGCCTTCATTGCCACAAGCGGTTTACCACCTACAAGTTGCACGAACTATTAGACACCGCCAATCACTTATCACAGCTCCTATCCCACCGCCATAATTGCAAGCCGACATGGATCCATGAAAGAAGGCGGATACGGCGACCGACTTAATACTCGAGAACTACATGCTTCTACTCAACCAATGGCAGGCCACTGGATGTTGCGACGATTGGGAAGACACCAAGGCAGACATTTACGTACAATCGACCAGAAGCATCTGCAGGATGTTCCGAGACCTGCAGTCGAGCTAGAACGAGAAAGACGCGGCTTACTAGACCTAGGATCAGCCCACTAGTAGGAAGCCTGAGGTCACTATTAGCGAGGAGGTAGTAGCAAATAACCTACATCGATTCAAGATTCGTGCAGCCGACAACCCCACTCATTTCAAATCATATTCAAGATATGATATCCTTTTAGAGGGTGAAGTGGTTCCGCCACCGTACGTGTGGCTTTCAGACCGCTATATAGGACATGTGCTTGGCATGGTGAAAAAAAGCTTCTTCAAGCTCATAGATCCAAGACGCCAGCGGCCTCTCAATCTCGTAACAAGTGGACTCCCCGTGCGAGATTGAACGGGGTGCGGTCCCGTCTATAGGACCCTAGGGCTCTCAATCCGCTGTTACATCGCTGTTGCGAATGGGGCAGTGAGCTTGGAGGAGACGAAGAGCACCGGGTTGAGATCAGAAACAACCCTGCACTGCTGAAGCCGCAAGGGAGTAACACCTACCTATAGACGACTTCAACGAACTACAAGGCAACGACCAAAGCAAATCAGATCACGATCGTTCTCCAACCGAGCGCCAGAGCAGCAAAGATTCAAGCCGTAAGACCTCAGAACTAAGACAACCTTGACTGATACACGAAGGAGACATTCCGTACATTAACACAACAAGACCAGGGAGTCGCCCGTAACTACTCGAAAGGACTCGTGGTTTACGGCTCAGACCTCAATAAGAACAGCAACCTAGAGCTGCTTCGCGACCATAAGCACTCAGCACACTACTCAGCCATGCTACCGCCAGAGAGCCAGTATCTCTCCATAAAATGGAAGCATGGTACAGCGCCAACGTTCCAGCCTCAACGGCGAGGCGCACCGGGATAGTGGGGTGAGAGAAGAAAGTCACCAAGAGGAACCTGTTTCTTAGAAACCCCACGAATGGCGGGGACTGAGAGTTTGTTGAGAGCCGAACAAGGAATCGATGAGGCCCAGACATGAACGCATTACCGGAATAATCTTATAAACCGTTCCAAGACTCCCGCAACACCGTTCGAGCTGACACTATGCCCTCTGCGCACTCCACCCAACCCTACACCACCTACTCGCCAGAAAGCACGCCGCGCCAATCGTCAAACAACACCCCGTAAACACCTGCGCCCCCACAAAATCCACCTTCCCATCCTCATCCCTTCTAATAAGTCTCGCCCCAACCGGCGTCCCCACAAGCATGCCGACCCCAATCCCCGTAAACACGACCCCAGTCCTGACCCCCGCCTCCCCCTCCCTCCCCACATTAAACGCATGGACCGTAACCGCGTACAAACTCTGCAGCCCCGCAGACGCGAAGCCATAGAAGCACGCCACGAGGTACAACCCTCCCGGAGTCGTGGTGCCGATCCAGAGGAAGATGATCATGGCGCTGAGGAGCGTGGATGGGATGAGTGTGTTGAGGGGGCCGATGCAGCGGTCTGAGAGGAGGGAGGGAAGGATGCGGCCGGGGATGTTGGAGGCGAGGAGGGCGAGGAGGACGGTTGTTGCTGAGGATGGGGACATATGGAGGACGAGGGTGGCGTAGGCGATTATCTGAGGGTGTGTTAGGGAGGAGGAAAAGGGGAGTAAAGGGGAGGAGAGGAGAGGAGGGGAGCGTACGTAGTAGTAACTGAAGTAGAGGCCCATGAAGGCGAAGAACATCCCAGCTACCATGAAGAAGAACGCTTTGTCTCGCAAGCCGTTCCAGTCGAAGCTCTGTCCGCCGGTACTTGGGGGCTTAGGACGCGTCCGGAAGACGATATTGGGAGGTACCATAGTTGCTAGAACGACGAATCCCATAGACCTATCAATGTCAGTGTACGAACAGCCTGCCACAGCGCCATGTGATCATACCTCATCGTCCACCCAAACCCAACCTTCCCAAGCAACCTCTGCGCCATAAGCGTATACACAATCCCTCCAACACTCGACCCAACAGCTCCAACCGCCATCGCCAACCCAATATTCCTCCTAAAATACCCCATCAAGATAAGAATCCCGGAGCAACACACCATCCCCATCGCCACCCCCGTCGCCACCCCCTGCACAATCAACAGCGACGCCCACGTCCTGCACACACTCGTCAGAAACACGCACAGCACCAGCCCTGCGCTTCCCAGGCGGAAGAACATCATCGCGCTCTTGGGGTAGGAGTCAATGACCCAGCCGATTGGCGTGGATAGCAGAGAGATGAAGGCCAGCTGCGTGGACCCGATCCAGGCGATCCGGGAGGGGCTGGTCCCACGCAGCAGCTCGGTGGAGTAGTGCTGCTCTAGGACGCCGAAGGAGTAGTTCAGGCCGAAGCAGCTGAAGATTACGAGGGCGGCGGTGTAGGCGTGGGCCCAGGCGAGGAAGCCGCCGTCGGGTGGTGCGTCGGAGGGCGCGGCGGCGGCGCGCGACTTGCGAGGGATGGTGTCTTGAGAGCCTCTCTGGCCTGTTGCAGAGGCCTGGGTAACACCTTCAGGAGATCGCGAGTTTCGCTCTGTGACTATGGCCAGTTCAAAGGGACCTTGCGGTGTCTTTGGCAGGGGTTTGCTAAGACCGAGAGTGCGTGGACTAGCCGTGTTGTCTTGCCGATTGGAAGCTTGAGGAGGGTAGAGGAGGTCGGCAGGGGTGAGGAACAGCGCGGAGACTGAGCGTCTCAGCGTAGACCTACGGCTCGGAGGCCTCGGAGGTAATTCCGTCGGGAATGGTCTTGAGCGAGGATCTACACCAAACCTGGACGCCCCTTCAGTGGTGCCACCGCTGTACGGAGCAGCTGCACCACCGCGTGGTGTAGCATTGTCGGACTCGCTCTCCTCGCGTACGGAGTAGATGCTGGGAGAAGATGGACGCTGGTATGAGCAACTTCGCGGTGGCCGCGCCTTGTCCATGACGTCTTCGGATCCGGCATTCGCATAGCTGGCAGGTTTCAGGGCAGCGAACTGGCTGGTGCCCTGAAACTGATCAGGGTTGATATCTAGGTCGCCGTGTTCTATCTCGGGTAGTCCCCTTGGCCTCGCTTTCATAAAATCCACGGAGAAGACTGACGTCTTTGAGTCATTGTTCGCCAGGTAGATTCCGAGCCCAACGGCTTTCGACCGCTCGTTGGAAGGCATCTCTAGGTCGTAGCCAGGTATACTGACTTTAATTTTGGAGGCTCGCGCGATGAGAGACGATGTATGGAAGCTGATCGAGAAAACGCAGTTTACCAGGATAAGGGAATAATCACAAACAGCAGTGCACGAAAGACTTGAAAGGCGCAATACACCCACATAACGTCTGGCAGATGACCTCCGCGTCATGCCAGCACATACTACCGTCTACAACGTGATCACGGCTTCCGTCGGCCCCTCTCCGTTAGCATGAGATCAAGACGAGTTGCCTCGTTCATGTAGAGCCGGTTTTAGTGCCCAGGTAGACGAGAAAAGTTTCAATGACTTTTGTTGAGCAGCAACACAAGGTAGCATACACTTGTGGGCAAGGGGAATAGCTCAGGATCTATGGACTGGAAATAACTCAAGATTGAGGTAGAAGATATGACCATGACTTGAAAAAACGACAGCCGAGTATGATAGTCCGAGAAGTACCCAGAAACGCCCCAGCATCTCGTTCCAGTGGAAATAACCGACCTATATAGAAACAAACTCTTAGAAGATGCCATTGACGATATTGCTCCCAATAGTCGCCCCAGCCCCAAAAATCGCCGCATTCCCCAACTTCTTCCCAAACTTCTTTCCCATCTCCTGTCCCTTGCTCGGCTGCCCATCTCCCTGACTGACTTCAAGCGGCGCATTCCCATACCCAGATGCCGTAGTCGTAGACGCCACCATTGGCAGTTTCTCTTCTGTGACCTTGACATAGCTCCTCGGAAAGATGCCTTCCTGAGCCGTCCGCTCATTCCGGCCTTTCCACCATTCCGAATTCATGTACTCCGTCACCACCACGCGGTCGTTAGGGAGGAGCGCGAGATCCCCGGCGTCTGTGGGGTTATACTGGTAGAGGGCGGAAGCGTAGGCAAGGGCGGTGGGCGCGGGTGGGGCGCTGGGGTAGGCTGGTGGAGGGACGGCGGGAGTGACGGAGTAGTAGCCTGTGCTTGGGGCGCGCTCTTTCTCGTGTTCGTAGGGGTTGGTATGGTTGAGTTGGAGGGTGTTCATTGCTGTCGTGGGGACTTCTTGAGCCGTTGGTGAGGCGGCATTAAGAGGGGCCTGGGAGGGGAGCTGAGAGAGGATCGTGTTCAGCTGCTGCGGTGTGATGAGGGCATTATCGACGAGGAATTCGAGTTCCTGTTGCTTGATGTTAGTCGTCTTGAGGTCTCATGCTGGAGTCAATGCGGAGTACAGTCTTGATGGTTCGTAACGACCTGTTGGTCATTGCGACCTGGAATTCTTCGATGCCCATGTTGTCAGGTGGCTTTCCAAGAAAGATGAGCGATTCTGGACGTGTAGTGTGTTTGTAGAAGTCTGATGGAATCCAACGAGTGACGGTAAGGGGAAGGTGTCTTGAGTTCAGTGGAAGTGATAAAGATAGCTCACAGGCCCATGATCAAGTGCTGGTCCAAGTCCGAAATGAGGCTGTGCAGGTTCGTGTCACACGTGTCTACGCGTCCAGGACCGCGGCATCACCTTCAAGGTAGCGATGGGTGTCACCACGGCACGTTCTCTCGTCACGGCAACAGTGCAATCCGTAAACTGTAACGTTCAAACGGCAGATTGTTTACTTCATCCACTAAAACCTCGCTGGATTCCCTACAATAGACGCCCATGCTGTACATGCTAGCCATTATCTCAGACTCTCGAGCCTGTGCAGAGGTCAGGGCGTGCGGTAGTATGTGTACGAGGCATCGAATCGTCTCGAATGGCTACCGCGCGTGAACCTTCACCTCATGGCACTGGCCCCGCCAGCCCGGGCATTGCCCTGAGCAAGTAACGGTCTAGCTACTCAGGCCTTGCCAAGTCTCATCAGAGTATGCGCTGTCGGTCTCGGAAGTCTCTGGGCGTTCATCAGTATCCATATCACCTGTAGCCTCCTCATCTGTACCCTCGCTCCCAGCCATCGCGGTCTCCTCGCTGCCCGTCTCAACAGGCTCCGATTCCTCATCGACGTCCGCATCCCACCCGTCCGAACTCTCCGACATATCTTCGCTCTCGGACGACGATTCCTCGCTGTGAAAATGAAGGGACGCGTCCGTGGTACTAGCCGCAGTACCCAAAATCGGTACTTTCTTGATCTTCAGCTTGACCCGGCCCTGAGAGCCGTGGCCCACGAAATCCAGGTACCAATGCAGCGGCAGTGATCCGTTCTCCTGCCCGTTCAACGCGGTCTCAGCATCGTTGCTGACCCACTGCCAGCCTCGCTCCAACTGGATTTCGGCATCGATCCTAAAGGTGCCCCAGCCGACGCGGCGAACTTCGTAAGGCGGGTGTTCAAATCCTAGAACAGGAGACCGAAAAGTCGGATGCAGGTGGATGATCACGTGGTCAATGATATCAGTGCGCGACGGTCTGACAAAGAATTTCCACTCATGCGAGTTGGTAGACATGCTGTTTGCCGGCTTTGTGAGACGATGCAAATTGCCGATATAGACAGTGAGAGTCTTTACCGAATATATAGCGGCTGCTGTTGTTTCTTCTTCAGCTTGGCGTTCCGCGTACTGCCCTGGATAGCGGGCTTTGAGAGTCTCCTCGAGAGTTGCATTAAATGACGCAACTGTCAATGTTCTGCACATGGGGCATTTTGCTGATATTTCCTCGTCAGGACCATCATCGTCGGTCGGCATTTCACCCAGTGGACGGAGTCTGATCTGGTTTGGGAAGGAGAAAGAGACGTCCGCCCAATATGCCAAGCATGACTCGCAGAGCGTGTGACTGCAGCGGCGGGTTGTTACCGGGCGATATAGCAGTAGATGGCATATTGGACAGAGGTCGTCGGGCTCGATGCACTCTTCCTCGTGATCTTTTACGCTGCGATCTATATCTTGTCGGCTTGGATCTTGAATCTCAGGAGCGGAGGGCTTTTCGCGGTCGACGTTAGGTTTTGCTGCCATCTTGAAGCGATGGCGGCCGTATATGTATCGATAATAGCTGTAGACTTAGCGATGCGGCTTGTATGTTTGGTTGACCGGGTCTAAGAAAGGCGCCCGATGTTCGAGTATGGACTCTGGCCCTTGGCCACCGAAGGCGGTCTCGTCGAACAAATCACATAGTTGCCTGTTTTGATCAATGTCAGTTCCTACGAGGCAGGCACGCGGCTGTCGTGACTTCTGCCGAAGTCAGACGTCACTCCAATGTCATATCTTATCGCATCTTGATCACCGCTTGTATTCCACCGGACTCACGTCGGGTTTCAATGGACTACCTCCTACCTACCTGGCTTGATAGCTTCTAGTGACTCTTATAAAGATGTCAAGATACCAGACAACAATTACTTCTTAAGCTCAAGGCTAAGCTTCGGCTTGTAGCTGATTGCTAGATCACGCGGTTACGCTCCTTGGTGCCAATACAATACTGCTCGAATGGACGTGTTAAGAGACGCACATGGTACATGCGTGAAATCTTTGGATATATTTGCATAGGTAGATCAATCCCGCAATCTCTACTGCGAAAACTTCTTCATCATCTCCGCCATGTGTTCGATGGCCTGGTGAAAAGCCTTCTGCCTGTTCAGCTCAAAGCCCTCAAATGCCGTCTTGCTCATCCCAATAGGTATCTGATCCTCCCCCTTGTCCAGCCCCGCCCACGTCTCCTCCACAAACTGCTCCAAGGGCATGCCTATCTTCGCACCGTTCTTGATATCCGGCTGATGCTTCGCATCGTGCAGCTCAGTCTGCACCGCCGGCGGGAATATCTCTATTACCTGCACATCTCCCGGCCCGGTTTTCATCTGCTCTCGCAGGACGAGAACGAAGTGGTGCAACGCCGCTTTCGAGGCGCAGTAGTTTGCGCAGCGGAGCATTGGGACGAGAGCGAGACCGGAGGTGGTGTAGATGAGCGACGTCTCCTTCTGCTGCTTCTGCAAATGTGGTAGGAAGGCCACAGTTAAGTGGATGAAGGATATGTAGTTCGTGTTGAACTCCTCGCTGATGGTGTCTAGGTTGATGGTTTCCGGCTTGGAGAAGTCGAAGCCGCGCTGGATACCGGAGTTCAGGAGGACGCAATCGAGGTCTGGATGCTTTTGGATGATGTCTGTGGCAAACTGCGGGATCTGATCGAGCTTCGTGATGTCGAATACTGCTGCTTCGGCCTTGTCTGAGCCGTGTTTGGAAACGAAAGCATCGAGTTTCTCTTTGCGTCGCCCGACTATAACGACATTGTGGCCATTATCGACGAGCTTTGCTGCTAGGGCTTCTCCAATGCCTGAGGTGGCTCCTACAACGAGCACTTTCTTGTACGGAAAAGGCATTGTATTGAATGGGACTGCAAAACTTGAGATTGAATAGAAGAATATGTGGATGAAACACAAGAGAAACTTCACGGCCATGAAACCCTTATGATATCTCTGGAGTTAACGGAATTAACTGAACTCTTCGGCATTTCGGCATCATATTCTGGTCGTCGATGACGATGGTTTTCACGGGTGGGCGCATGAGTACCACCAATCGTTAACCCACTGTAAGGACCTTGTTCCACTTCTGAAGACGTCGCAGGCAAACAGCAGAGCTTATCCATATAATGCATCAATACTACTATACTAAGACGGTCCGCAATGCCTTTCAATATTGAAGATGAGCCGCATCTTGGCATGGTGTTGATATCCAGGCGGGTAAAGTAACTGCCGCGGAAACCATCCGCATGCGATTACACACCCCAAAAAGCCGACATCGCCCGCCGCGCTTCTACTCCAGCACACATAACAGCGATGGCGGTTCTCCTCACAATGAGCGGCACACTATGCGATAACAGCTCGTGCACTTCAAGAAGAAGCAACCGATGGCCATGGAGCCAGAAATGGGTGCTTTGGCCTTGAAAGATGCTAATGGCAGGAAAGAAGAGGGTACTATCTGCAAGACTTCACAAGACGCCTTCGAAGTACAGAGAAGAGATGAAGAGGCCGTTCAAGGCTTGGATACATCCAGTCCACCCGGCCCTTCAAGGGCGCGACTGATAGCGCTGGTATTAACGTGTACCGGCGCGGCGTTCATGAACGTACGTATACCGTGAGATGTATCCAGGACGCCATGCTCACACTACCATACAGACACTCGGCGTCCAAGCGGCCGTTATTGTCCTCCCTACGATTGGCACTGCCCTCGACATACCAGACAGCCGACAGCAGTGGATAGTGTCTGCCTACTCGCTTACCTTCGGTTGCTTCCTCCTATTGTGGGGCCGGTTGGCGGACGTATACGGCAAACGCCTGATATTCATATGGGGTTCGGCCTGGGTCACGGCGACTACTATTGCGCTCCCATTCATACCGAATGAGATAGGGTTCGACATCTTCAGAGGGCTTCAAGGCTTGGGCGCAGCGGCCAATGTTCCCACAGCCATTGGGATCTTGGGAACAACATTTCCTCCTGGGCAAGCAAAAAACTATGCCTTCGCATGCTACGGTGCGGGGGCTCCCCTAGGATCTATCTTTGGCAACCTGCTTGGAGGTGTTGTTGCCCAGTGGGTTAACTGGCAGTGGATATTCTGGATTCTGGGAATTCTTGCTGGCATCATCACGATTGCAGGCTATGTTATCATTCCGCTGCCTCCTGTTAGTAGCACTGTTGGGACGAAAGCCTCCATCGACTGGATTGGCGGCACGCTCATCACTCTCGGTCTACTTGCACTCCTGTTCGCATTAACTGAGGGCAACGTTGTGGGCTGGAGCACACCCTGGATCTCTGTATTGATCGTGCTTTCAATCGCCTTGGTGGCTGTCTTCGTGGCCTGGCAGTGGTACTTAGAGACGAAGACTACTCGAAGACCGCTCATGAAGGTATCGATTTGGAAGAACGTGCGCTTTTCAGCTGCTATGCTCATCATGGCCTTGTTCTTCGCTGCGTTCAACAACTATTTGATCTTTGCAACTTATTTGTAAGTCTATCAGCGGCATTATCCTGCAGAAAGAATGCTTACGGATACACAGCTACCAACAATACCTGGGCCTAAGCGTCATACAGACCACACTCCGATTTATCCCAACCGGTGTCATGGGCATCATGGTCGCTTTCATTACTGCACAACTCCTCTCCCGCGTCCGCGGCAGCTTCATCCTCATGTTCGGCACCCTCAGCGTCGGCATCGCCTGTCTGCTTTTCGCTGTTCCAATTCATCCCAACACCACCTACTGGGCGTATGGCTTTCCTGCCATGTGTCTTGCTGTATTCGGCGCGGACACCGTGTACCCGTCATTGACTCTCTTCACGGCGCACTCGCTTCCCCAAGAAGATCAGGCGCTGGGCGGTGCGTTGATCAACGCTGTCGGTCAGGTCGGCCGCGCGATCGGTCTTGCGATCTCGACGGCAGCGGAGCTGGCTGTTGTTGCGCAGCGGAAAGGCGAGAGTATTGAGGTTGTGGGTAACTCTCACATCGCCCCTCGAGATGTCGCTCTGCTGGACGGCTTGAGGGTTGCTGAGTGGGTCAACTTTGGATTGGCTATTGCCGCATTCGCGATTGTCTTGTATGCGTTTAGAGGTTCAGAAAAACTGGGCCAGAAGGGGTAACGGATCGATCTCCCGATGACTTAGCAGAGTCTTTGAGCGGATCGTGGTGTTATTTCTCATAGTTGCATAGCTAAGCAGTAGGGTACCACCTACCGAAGGTAGATAGCGTCCAAGGGTCCCGTCGGGCTCCAAGACTGTCAGCCCATGCTTAATCAGGTCCGGAGGATCACCCGGCTGTCCCTGCACTAAGTGGAGCATTGCCAAAATCTCCCGTCGACTTTTGTTCTGCTGGGAACATCCTCACTCGTGAAATCAGTGATACAGGCTTGGGGCCGGAGAGTACCCGACCTTCCTCAATTGTGATTTTTCTTCACAGCATATCAGGGTTTTTCCAGACTTGGCGTCTTAGCAAATGCCCTTTCGTCGTCAACCTGCGACGCTCGCCTGTTCGTTGACTAACTGTCAAGACAAAAGTGCACTAGAGGCAAGTCGTCACGGGATCAGCACATGAGAGTGATCCGTGAGCCGAGGAGCAATTGACCAGAGGCCTCTCGGAGCACTCCCGACGGGAGACTCGGGTAGAGGATGGCGAGGTCTCTCGGTACGGCCCTGTGGTGTTCAGACGTCTTCCACATCCCTGCTGAGAAGCATCCGTGGACCCTTTTTTACTCTGCTGCTAACCACCTTACTACTTGGTACTAGTGCTCTTCTTGAGTGTCAGCCCTGCCCTGTGCAGTTCCCCTGCATGCCACGAGACATCCTCGCCGCCGTTGAGTTCCCGAATCATGTCGACCCTGCCTCGGCCATGCCTCATCCATGCTCATGGGATGCTCAGGTACAGTAACCTTATGGACTCGTTTGGGTTTGTCGTCGTCGGGTCATAGACCCTGACCACCGAGACTACCGCGGTTCGTCCGCTGCAAATGCCTGACATCGACCTTTGATTCGCTGGTAGCGACCGTTTAATGTGCCTGACTGAACAGTGCGGCCCCGCGGAGCTTGACTATATCCATCGTTTGACAGTGATCCTCTGCAAGGGCTCGCCCGGCCTTTGTGCCATTTATGGTTAATGGAGTGACATGCCCGGGCACGCTTGGTTCGTTCTAGACGTAGGGAGCTCGTGGCCCCCAGGTTGTATCAAGAACTACGTTCATTTAGCTGTTTGATCTTCTGAGTAAAAACCCCTTCTCGCCTTTCCAAACTCTTCTCCGTTGGATCTTCTCCTCTTTGATGTTTCTGGTTCTCTTCCTGCGATATACCCTTCTGTCACAGCGTTGTCTCTTTCTGATTTGATCTCGAACTCGCTCCTAGTACATATACCCATTTTACGCACTCCCCACACAGCCATGGAAGACCGAAGTGGACAAATCTGGGCTGTAGCGATCATATTCCTCATCATCACATGGCTCACACTCAGCCTAAGGGTATGGGTACGAGCGGGAATGCTCCGGTGCTGGGGCTTGGATGACTGGAGTATGCTTGTCACACAAGTATGCCACCTCTGCGACTCTTCACGCACTCATCATGGGACGCCGAAACTGACTGTGGAAGATTCTATACACCATGTATCTAGCAAGCCAGATAACCGGTTTAACATACGGGACTGGACGTCACCATCGAGACCTTGAACCCGAGAACGTTAGAAAGGCTCTACGGGTACGGCGCCCAACATTATAATCTTAATGCCATCCTCTGTTCTGACCCGCCTTCAGTGCTGGTGGTTTTGCGAAATCTTCTACGTCCTCGCCAGTACCTGGCTCAAACAAGCCGTCGGTGTCTTCCTCCTCCGCGTTGCCGCAAAAAAGACCCATATTTTCATCTTGCGCGGCATGATGATCGCCAGCGCTTTCTTCGGCACCCTCTACTTCCTCGTGGTCCTGCTTCAGTGCCGGCCTATCTCGACCTTCTGGAACGAGAGCCCCGGCGCCGACAAGTGCATTCCCGCAAGAATCATCATCGGCTTAACTTATACGGCAGGGTGCCTCAATGCAATCGCGGACTGGACCTTCGGGATCCTACCTATTTTTATCGTCCGCGATCTCCGCATGTCCAAGAAGGCGAAAATCCTTGTCGCTGGCCTTCTAGCATTTGCCGCGATGTAAGCCTTTGCATCTGGAGTCCCGTGCAAAAGAATACCACTGACTTCTCCATCAGTGGCAGCACAGCAACCGTCGTACGCATCCCTTTCACAAGCACTCTGGGCGAGACAGAAGACTTCCTCTGTAAGCACGCTCCTCCCTCACCCATTACTCCCACCAACCACGTCTAACGCAACTACACAGGGACAACAACAGAAATGGCCATCTGGTCCACCGTCGAGCCCGGCATCGGCATCAGCGCCGGCTGCATCGCAACTCTCCGCCCGCTCTTCCAAATCATCTTCCACCGCGTCGGTCTCAGCAACTCCTCCCGACCCGGCTCCAGCATGCGTCTCGGCTCTCGCCGCCCCGATCTTGGCTATCGCGGCCACCGCAGCCGCGACGTCGAGAATCCGCCGCGCTCGAACGGCATGGTCGGCACGGTGACGACGATCACGAGCCAGAAGGGCGGGGCGCCGCAGGTTGGTGGGGGCAGCTGGGAAGAGCGGATGGGGAGGGAAGGCAGCGAGGACGAGATTGTGGGGAAGACTGGGGCTGGCGGGATTGGAAAGAGCGTGTTCGTTATGTATGAGGAGGAGAGGCGGAATAGTACGAGGGATGGGGCGATGGAGGGGGCGAGTGAGGCATGGGATCCTATTAAACAACCTAAAGTTTGAACGAGGCTTGCGAATTGATACCCAGCCGTCTTCTCTTGCTTGCTCCGCAAACTTATGATGGGGCAGGTCCTGCCTCCCCGGTCTTCCCTATCGTCACAGCACTTTGTCTCTCTTGCTGAACCTTGACAACCATCGCTTACATCTGTGCTTTATCACTAGACGCGCCCATTTAGGCCATCTGTTCAACTCCAATGATTATCCAGGCGGAAGACCGTCGGCTTTATGCCCACTTATCTCACCATTGGCTTATCCAGCTAACAATGCAACTCTTCAGGCGGATCATTCCTCTTATCGTCTCTCAATCGTCCTACATCCGTCCGCTCTAGAGACTTGCCGTGGTGAGGAACTGCCTCCACATCGTGCACTTCGCCCGTGCACTCTCTAACGCTCATATGTTTCACTTGTTTTCCCGGGAAATGCCCCTCGGCTGGATCTGGGGCCTTCTGGCGGGAGAACGACAGCTGCAGTAGTAATCCAATGATGTATGTACATGCCAGGGGCATCCCAAAAGGGCAGCGGGATTATTCAAATCGAAACTCCGATGAATGGCTTGCTGTACAACACACAAACTCAAAGCTTTGCGGCAGGACTCGCAGCCGTCGAGCCGACAGCTTTCAGATCCTCCCACACCTGAATGCCCTCATCCCACCGCTCATCCACCCACACATCCACCACCCCATCACTCCTCAACCGCCTCACGTCTCTAATACTCTTCGTCCCCCATTCCATCTCCTCACCCCTCGCGAACTGCCCTAACGGCCCTACAAACGCCACCTCAACCACCCTCTTCTCCTCCTTCATCAGTCCCCCACCAATCCCATTCCCCCAGAACCACCCCGCCAAATCGGTGCCATGCGTAACGCCCCACTCCCTCGGTGCCATGCCATCCACACACCCCGCCCTCCACTCAATCCGATACCTATACACCAACTCCCCCACCCCTCCCCGCGCCAACGCGGCCACGAACCCGCGCTGCAGCGTGTGGATCTGCGTGTCCGCGTACACACGCCCGAACGCATCCCTCCAATCCTTCCAGCCCGGCGGCAGCGTGCCGGTCGGGAAGTAATGCTTTAGCAGCGCGTCGACGGCGGCGTGGGGGTAGTCGGCCAGTAGGCGGGTGTGCAGGCCCGCGAGGGTGTTCTGGACAGGGGGACGCCATGCGCCGTAGACGAAGTGCTCGTCTGCGCACTCGCCGAGCATGAGCTTGATGCCGCGGTCGCGCATCCGGGCTGCGAAGGCGCCGCTATCGATGTCGGTGAAGAGGGAGGCACGGACAAAGGAATTGTCTGTCACAGCGCGGAATTGGTGGTGTGTCATTTTGAGGGTGGCGGCGATGAGAGATTTTGCAGGTAAGGTGCGGAGACGGGAGAGCTTCTCGGAGGAAGGGAGGGTGAGGGGGATGTGCAGGTGCTGGAGGAGCTCGTCAAATTGGTTCTGGACCTCTTGAAGAGATTTGGGTTGCAGTCCAGGGCCGTTCGACCACATTATTACGTGGCGGATTATAGGGGGCTGAGAGGGGTAGTAGAGCTCGTGGGCTAGTTGGTGGAAGGCTGAGTGTGCTCCTGCGGAAGGTCAGCAACCGGATTCACAGTCTGCGAGGAGAGGGTTGATCGGACCAGCAGAGTAGCCTCCAACGGTGATGTTCGATGCATCTCCGCCAAAATAACTGATGTTCTTGTACGTCCACTCCAGCGCAAGCCGCTGGTCCCAGAAGCCCAGGTTGCCGGCGTAAGCCTCGTGGCCGGCCTCCTGCTGCAGCTCACGTGATGCCAGGAATCCGAAGACGTTCAGACGGTAGGCTGGCATGACGATTATGCATTTGCAATCTGTCTCACTGAGGAGAGCGGAGGGGTCCATGCCGTTGGGTGAGCCGAACTGGAGGAAGCCGCCATCTTGTAATGTCAGGAAGTTGGGGGCGGATATCTGGAGTTACGACGTACGGATGTAGAAGAACACCGGCCAGCCTTTGTATACTGTTAGCCGTGGCCTAATATGAATGTCATCGAGTATGCTCTTACGGCCTGTAAGATGATCTCATTATGAATTAATAAGCTCACCTTTCTCGGACGCCTTGCCTGCCGGCAGCCAAACATTACACTGCAAACAGTCCTCATCCCAGGCCTTGGTATTCAGTTTCTTCCCAAACCCTGGCTGAGGGCATAACCCCGCTGCAGTGGTATATATCCCAGGGCTAGCTCTTGTGCCGTATCTGTAGCAGGGTGGCAATGATCTTGGCTTCCGCCATCTGAAAGGACCCAGGGGTGGTAAGGCGTATGGTATACCGCCAAAATAGTGACAGAGAGGCTCGCCGGTTGATTTGTCTTTTATTGTGAGTCCCTCGATGTGACCTCGGTAGTCGAGGTCCAGGAAGAATGGTTCTGTAACTTTCGTCATGATAGATGTTGCTTATGAAAATCACACAGTATATGACTAGATCACTTTGAACATGAAATTTGAAGTTGGTATCCAGAGTGAACCAAGAGAGCTTTGAAAAGAGTGATGACTACCTCGGCTGTCTTTGGAGCGGACAAAGTGGTCGTAACAGCCGCAATAACACTCGAGATAATCAAGTGTCGAGCTCAATCAATTGTCCCGATTAGTATCCACCGAGGCTGGTACACCTACGGCTTGCAATATAGGGGCTGCAGTAATGGTATCTTCTAAGAGTTTTGCACGTGCCAGTGGAATGTTCGGCCTCAATTCGCACGACCCTCTATAGCCGAAGATTCTCCGAATAACTTCATGAAGTATCAAGCGCAGAACATTCGAGCTTGTAACTAATCCTGGAGCGCATCCCATCGATGCCCCAGAAACTTCCTGCCGCGAAAGGGCCCGCCGACTACAGCACCGCTTTTTGACGCTATTCTAACACAACCGCCCACAATGCCCTTCACAATCCTCCCACCCGCGCCCGCCGTCCCCTACAACCACCCACACCACCACGCCCCCTCCTCCGATGACGCCTTCTCCTCCGCCGACGAAATGGACATCGACACCGCCGCCTCCCGCCCCACCAAACGCGCCCGCCTCTCCCGCTCACTCGTCACGCCCGGCGAAACCGTAACCTCTGACCCCCAATGGATGCGCGGCCACGGGACCTACATCCCCGGGGACTCGACCTCAATCGTCAGCACCGTCGCGGGCACCGTGCTCAAAACCAACAAGCTGCTCTCCATCACGCCGCTGCGGGCGCGCTATACGCCTGAGATCGGCGACCTGGTGATAGGGCGGATTGCCGAAGTGCAGAGTCGGCGGTGGAGGGTCGATATTAGCGCACCGTTGCTGGGGGCGCTGCCGCTTAGTGCGATTAACTTGCCCGGAGGCATTCTGAGGAAGAGGACTGCGGTCGATGAGCTGAATATGCGGGCGTTTTTCTCGGAGGGGGATTTGTTGGTTGCGGAAGTGCAGTCGGTGTTTGCGGATGGGAGCGCGTCGTTGCATACACGCTCGCTTAAGTATGGCAAGCTGCGTAATGGGTACTTCATGGCTGTCTCCGGTACGGGTGGCTCCCGGCGTGGTGGCGTGGCGCGGAGTCGGCGGCAGGTCTTCAGCTTGGCGACCGCGAGGGGGGGCGGGGAGGTGGATGTCGTACTGGGTGTGAACGGGTTCATCTGGATTGCGAGGCATGTGGAGCAGGCTAAGGATGTGGCGGTCACGAGGCTGGAGGAGAGTGTAAGTTTGAGTATCTATTCAAGTCAGAATGATGAGATTGGGCCGCAAACACGACGGGAGATTGCAAGGGTGGCTGGATGCATCAGGGTGCTGGTTGAAGCGGGGGCGAGGGTAGACGAAGATATGGTCGTGAGGGCGTACGAGGCAAGTCTGGAACTGGAGTTTGAGACTGAGGGGGGGGAGGACGCCGGGAGTGAGTTTCTCGGTGGGGAGAGAGGGAAGCGGATCGTAGAAGTAGCGTTGGGTTCAGCGCCTTCATAAGGTGAAATGCTTTCTTTGCATGTTTCTGAATCTCTTGAGTCACCCAAAGAAACTTCAATTCCGCTGAAGAGCTACTACCGCCTCAGGTAGGGGCGCGTGAGCCAAATCTTTCGTTCCTCTCCGTGCTGCCCTCACCTGGCGAGCAACAAGCATACTTCCGACGCATCCTTGCACTGCCTTTGTTTGCGGGGGCACTACTTCACATATCTTTATATATTCCAAAGGTCGAGTGGTACATTTGCCAGCGGACTCGTATCAATCTCTGGTCTCCAGTCAAACCCAACTTGGATGGGCATTACCGCTGGCACGGCGCTCTGGGTCTGCTGTTCAATTTTCACTAATACCAAAACTTTCTAGCAAGATTTAGAAGCCGCTTAATAAAATGTCTATTCTCTACAGAATTTTCCTCGCGGACGTCCTTCGGGATTATGAGTTTTTGCCGATTTATTTTGTTTTCACTCCGACTACAAAGATCTCCTTACGGACACCCATAGGATGGCAATTGTATTCTTGCTTCCAAGTGGACTAGCAATATAGGCATGTAAAAGCGCTGTCGTAGCTGGGGCGGCAGGCAACGTGGACGGAAGCAATTGCAAAGCAGTTTCCTTCGTTCTGTACGAAAGAATCTGGCATAGCTTCGATCCGTCAGTCGCACAGGTGTTAGGGTGACAGATAGAAGTGGAGAAATAAGATACATCAGACATAGTCATGTAGCGTAAATAGGAAGATCGACAAAGAGTCCCGCTTCCCACATCAATGCGCAGAAACAACCGTAAGATAGTGCTACTTCACGCCCTCCAGGCACTTCGTTCACATACGACAAACTTTACAGATCATGGTTCTACAGCGAGATCGCAATGTACACGAAGGCTTCATTGATGTCGATGTTCACGATGCCCGTTACCCTAGTCCGACTGAGGAATGGTGCAGATTGGACCCCGGCCTACGTCAAGGTACAGCACCAGATGCTCGACCTGCTCGCTTGCTCAATTGCTTTTCCTCCACCAGGGCTTCTTCCAACGGTACTCCGTGGTTGGAGAAATAGACAACCAACCCGTCCAGTGCTCCAATAGAAAGATACACATCCTCACCGCTGTTGCGCACAAAAAGTCCTCCGCCGTCGGTCACCACGCCTCGCACACCCCACTCTGCAGGGTCGATCGTATCAAAAGCAGGGCCTCGCCCGTCCAAAATAAACTCGAGTCACCTTGTACCGGTACCTGCCTGGCTAAGGGCTCAAAGAAGTCATCATCATGCCGCGAAGATTCATATACGGAGCGGGACTATGGATATCCATAGCAGGTCAGTCAAGGCGGCCGCGGGAATCAGACGACAAGAATGCTGATGGTCATTGTCCAGCAACCGCCATGACAATAGCAAGCATAGTAGAGCCTCACTGGCTGCGGTGGGACAGTCCAACGGTACGTCAGTTTCCTGAGCACGTGTGTGCCCGCAGCACCAGAACGCCTCAGACACAGTGCTTCGGACTCCTCGCAGCACACCGCGAACCAACTTGCTATACACCTGTCATTACCCCAAGTAGCTAACGTGGAGACACCCAGGGCTCTGGCAACATCCACCAATCCCTCGGCCTCCACCGAAAATGCAACTCCTTCACCGGCACCTGCGAGCACTTCCCCCAATACGAAGACTGCCACGGCGACGACCGGCCCTTCTGCAGCCTATGGCGCACTGTCGGCTTCCTCATGTCCTTCTCCGTAATCGTCGAGCTCGCCTTACTGGTAGCCTATGCCGTCGTAATACTGGGCGGGAAGCAGAAGCGGGATCAAGGCTGGAAGATTGTGTGCTCGTTGCTGGTGGTCGCCGCGGCGGCGCAGTGCGCTAGTATGGCTGTTGTGGTGAGTGCTGCTGCGTGTTCATCCGCATGGACCCTGTGTACAAGCGGCAGACAGGTAGGAAATCGAACTGACGAAAGCTTCTACAGGCCGGCCTCCTCGACCGCGACGACCGATTCATCGTTGGCTGGGCCCTCGACAGGTCATGGATCCTGTGTACCGTCAGCTGGAGTGTTCTGGCGATGTCCGCGGCCGGTCTCCTTGCGGCCACTATTTATATGCCGGAAGAAGGCGATTATGAGCTTATACCAGGTAACTAATAGAGGGGTCCTACAGGCAGCGGACCAGGACACGCCGGACTTTAATTTTAAATGGCGAGGGAGTTGTTTTGCGGATCGGCGCAAGATGCTGAAGTCGTAGCGCTCTATATAGAAGGATAACTTCTCCGGCGAGCTGTATCTCATCGCCAGCTACAGGAGCTGGAACATCAAGAATCGTAGGGGGTCTCTACATCATTGACCCTTCAAACTCTTTAACGTCTTGAATCCATCACTGCTGATATACGTGCAAGCTGGACGAAGCCTCCTCCGTCTAGAAATCATGGCTGCTGAAATACGTCCAAGCCCAATCAAGTCTCTCTCAAATCTCACCACAACCCTTACAGCTGCGAATCAATTGTAGTCAGCATTGTGATCTCAGTCAATGGTTCTAGTGGCGCCGTCCTGGCTCTATAGATACCTCCTCGCTCACTTTCTTTCTCTATGTCCCTTACATCTCACTCCTGTTTTTCAGCTTCTTTTTCAGCTTCTTCTACGCTGACATCAGCAGCTCATCCTGATGATTCTAATGATCACTTCGATTGATGATTCCCGTAGCGCGAGGCTTAGCATCCTGAGGTACAGATAACTCCTCCCACTCCTCCTTCACTTTCCTACATTTCACTCCTCTTCTTTTCGCGCTGGCACCAGCAACAGGTGCTTCTAATCATCATCGCTAACCCAATCGATGACTCCAGCAGCTCCGTCTTGCCGCCATCGGGCATAAAACCCTTCTCCGCCCCTCCGCCCCTCCGCCTCCATCTTTCTTACACCTTCCTTCCTCTCTTTCCCCTCATCCTGGGCCTTTCCGCCTTCTCTCTGCTGCGCTCCCTGCTGCGCTGCGGTCTCAACCATAGAATCCTCAAAGCTCTTGAGCGTGTGAATCCGTCATTGCTGACACATATGCAAGCTGCATCAAGACTCCCGTGGCTAGAATCCACAGTTTTCGAACCACGTCCAGGCTGAACAAAACTCCCAGCTTCTGCATGTTATTGCTGCTTACGTATTTGCAAGCTGCACGAGACCTCTCCTGTTTGAGATTGATTGCTGTCAAGTCGGTGGATGGAGTTCTATGTCGGCCCCAGTACGTGGACCACATGCACAGTCTCATGTATTGTGTTTTCGCGGTCGATGATGCAGTGGTGCTGTGGAGGCACCCCTGGAGCAGCTCGTATCGCGACATGGTTCAGGGGCTTAAACGGCTGTGAAGCTATGACTAAGATGAGATTGGAGGTGAGTGAGGCGGTAGGAGGGCTTTCAGGGAGGTGGCGATGGAGTTGGATGATGGTAATGCGTGGTTGTCGGGCATGGAGCGGAATGGCGGAGGGCGGGAAATTGTAACATGGCGCCATCGTCTGGAGTCCGTTACTTTGATATCGTTGAAAAGAATGGTGAATCCATAATCTCCTGTCTGTGGCATAGTAAGAATTCTTTTGGCGAGCTGAACCTGTCAAGCTAGCTACGTTTCGGAGAACTGAACGTGTTGATCTCAATTGAGGACCCCGTGCTTGAAGTCCCATACTGAACTGGTGATAGGTGGAGATATCGCAACTTGCGTCCTAGAGAAAACTATGTGCTGTTTTCAGAGCGTATGAGAGCAGAAGGGTGTGATTCTTCATTAGATACAGAGGTGCAAAACAAAGCCAGAGAAGTTGTCAAGTGAGGCTCAATCTCCCGATCAGAGGTGTGAAGCGGAAACCGATCCAAAGCATGCAGTGAGCCGCCATCAGGGAGAGCTGTCCAAGAAGAGAGCTACTCAAGGAGAGAGCTGCTTGACCAAAAAGCCGCCAAAGAGTGAACCGCCCAATCTATCATGAAGAGCGCACTGAACCCATCATCTGCCGGCAAGAACCTTCGAAGAGGTAGCCCAACTTCCATCCACTGTTAAGCTCATAGTCCACCCAGATCCAATTTATGTCTCGTATCAACGGGCTACTCCTCGAGTCGCCGCTTCAATTTTCTCTTGTATATCTCCGCATCGTCTGATCCATACGAGTTCTTCGCCGGCGAGCGCCTTATAAACGAGCACCAAAAGTGCATCATCTAACAGGACGTTCAAGTTCATTCCCGCCACGGTCGGAGCATTTGCTTGGTACAGCTGTCCCCGGTACGGCACCCAATCTCCAAGGCCAACTTCTCCATCCGTGCCATCGCCCCACACTTCCAAGTTCAGGCATGTTATGAGTCCGGGTAAAGCTTTGACCAGGTTGTTCGCATTCTGGCGGAGGTTGAAGGACTCCTCAAGCACGAGGCTGATGAGTCGGATCCACTTCTTCTGGCCGCAGCGTAGTTGCCTACCCAGCACTTGCCTCAGGATTGAATCGTTTGGAGACGGCTCGAACAGTATGATAACGCGACAGTGGCCGAGTAGATTCAAGCTACACGCGGAGACCAGATAGCTGCAAATGAGAATGGTACACTTGTGCTTTTCCTCATGAAGATCGAAGGCCAGATCGGTGCGCTGGCCTTGCGACAAGTCAGCGCGGTATGACCGCACATCGGTGTTAAGAGGGCGGACAACCTGTAGGTACGTCAGGAGGCGCTTCGACTACATTTACAGACTACATTTCTGCTGCAACCACTCTATCTGGGCGGGTGAACATACCCATATTGCGAGCTTCTCCTGCTTCAGCACAACGATCTCACCAATGAATCCTCGAAGCCGTCTAGCCTCTGGGATTCGTCGCCACTGACACACGTTTTAAATGCAACGAAGCCCCTCACGTCTCGAATCATGGCTACTGATGTGTGTGCAAGCTAGACGATGCCCAATATCGCGTAGAATCCATCGCTACTAACACATGTACAAATGGAACGAAGCCTCCCGCGCCTGAAGTTCCCGCTGCGGAACTTATCTTCGAGCTGAACGAAGCCTCCAGCGCCCAGATCCAAACCCAACCACCGCCATCGCAAGAAGGAAGGGAAACTCGAGTATGGTGCGGAAACGAGGCTGACCATATGGTCATGAGCATTGAGACACGGGAGGCTCCAGTCCATTTCGGCAAAAGTTCCGCAACTATGGTTCTACACGCTAGACAGCTTAGAGTAACTGGCGACTAAACGTACTTACGGTTGTAGCCATCCAAAAAGGCCGCTGTCGCATCCTTGCTCCAGCTTGTTCATTACCACATTCGCAGTCAAACTGGACTAATGATCATGTCGAGCATAAAATAGCGAGATCAGTTGCATACGATAGAAAGGGTAAGATGTTCAGCAGTGTGGTCCTCTAGTGCGTTGATTGTCTGAGGTGTTTTGATCTGTGAACTGCGCCTGCGCAGTATTTCCTTCAGTGCGGTAACGGACTTCTCGGATGGCTATTGGCCCTCCGGGCAGGCGGCCTGATGGAAGAGAGGACACTTTGATGCGAATTTGGGCGGAGAAGCCGCGGATGCTAGCAACTCATTGAGGTTGGAGATTGGGCGGCAGAGTGACAAGGGTCGGCTTCGCTTTGGGAACGGCTTCACCTTTCGGAATGCGCTCCTTCCACTGGTTGATTGACTGTGCGTACGGTCAGTCTTGCGACCACTGCCTGTAACCATAAGCATACAAATGGACTCGACTTAGATGTAGGACCACAGCCAGAGCTGTAAATGTTTTGCCGATTCCCACTTCATTAGTGAGGGCTCCGCCTCGCAGATCACCTGCCCCACATTCGATCATCTTATCGGCTCCCAGCGGCTGCTAAAAGTAGAATGTGGTTCGGATGTTCATACCAGGCATTTGGGACCTATCAGGGTTCGGGATTCCGAGCCTTTTACAAGCTGCCTCCAGGTCGGCCGATTGCAAGTCAGGATTGCCAAGCCAGCGTTGCATCTCCTCGTAGCTTTGAATCTCCGCCGGGGAAGTCTCGCGTAGATCCGGAACTGACAACGCTGTGTCGCCTTGTTCCATCTGTCCTTCGATCTTAAAAAGCCACTAGATAGGTCAACGGCCCATACCTAGGTACGTTGAGAGCTCTTAGCTTACATAAAAAACTTCAGCTGCTGGGTCGAGTTCCCCGTCCCCGAACTTGAGATCCTTGACCTTGTACCTGTGACTCGCGTATCGATCCACAACGTTGATTGCTGGAAATTTCCACCATCGGTAGTTCATGTCCATCTCGTTTGACAACAAGGTTTCAAGAGCCATTATCTCGAGGTCGGATACTGGGACCGGTCTCCAATCGCCGTAACCGAGGAGGACGCTTTTGGGGTTGCGTCCTCCGTGATTACTTTGATCTTAACACAGTCTGGTGTAGAGGCGGCGTACTCAGGAAGTTGCGAGAAGGTGGAAATTCCTTCGTTATCGTAGTCGAGCCGTAATACGGAAAGGTTGTGTTCTTTGAGTTTGAACGCCTTGGAAACTCCCGCAACAAACTCCGGGTAGGAACTCTCACAGACTTTCTTGAACTGCCTTGAGGTGTGGACTTCGTCATCTTTCAAGTCATGTGGGATGTCCTGACATGTAACCAAGACTCATCCACCGAAGGGATTCGTAGCGGGAGATGCTTCCGGCGTATCAACGAACAAGGGCGCAGTCACGGTTGCTGACGGCAAGGGCGCATCCAGCATGTTCCAGATGAAGGGCGGACGGATCTTCGCGCCAGTGCGGCTTCGAATGTTTTCCTGAGGACAATCTGCCACATGCGAAATTGCACTTCTCAGTGTGACAGCTGCTTTCCGTAGGATACGCCGTTAGGGACTTCGGTGTTCTTCTCAACAAGTTTTAAAGCAGCCTCGCTTGTTGGTCGATGGTAATCTGGTGTGTTTTGCTGGGAAGATAGTCAGAATGCTTGCATCTTCCGTTCGACTCGCCGGAGATAATCGCCGTTGGTACACGCCTGCGGTATCTCGCATGGATACAGTAACTCTTATTACCATGATTCACAGTCGTGACCAAGTCAGCTACTCATATCTCATCCCAATCCATAGCATCCCCTACCGTCTCCCAAGGCGCGTTATCCAACTCCATGTCAAAAGCCTCATCATGCGTGAGCGACGCCGCAGCCGCCTTCCCATTCACCCGTGGCGCAGCCTCTGCTGTCTTGCTTTCCGCCAGCTGCCATGACTGCTTCAGCGCCTCCAAGATCGACCTCAAGATCTCCTCCAATTGCGGCCCAAAGACATTGCTCTCCTCCTCCAGCAGTGTCGGATGCTGCTCATCAGCATCCTTCCATCGATTCCGCGACGCCTTCGCCATCGCGAGATACGCCATCACCTGTCCCTTGCCCAAGCACTCATGCAGCGGGCTCGACGGCTTCTCGAACGCCTCGAGCACGTTCGCGTGGAAGCGGTGGCCCCAGTACAGCGGCTGCGTCTGCGGTGCTCCATCTTTCTTCTCTGTCTCTGCGCCATGCTGGTCACGTGAGATGCGCACGTTGAAGAATGCAAGGAGTAGGACAAGGATCCGTTCGAGCAGGACGTAGTACTCGAAGAAGTCGAGCTTGAACATAGTTATCGGGGAGGTGTGCGAGTCGGCGGCGTCTTTGACTGCTGTAGCATCATCGGAGAGTGCACGTGCTTGAGAGGCGAGTAGTAAATCCGACTTCCATGAGAGGCGGGATATCAGACGTTGGATCTTGTGGAGATCGTCCTTGCGGGGGCTTGAACTCCGTGAGGTTCCTGTTGGTGCGCCGTTGTTGCTGGAGTGTGCGGCCGATGCGGATACTCGTAGATGCTTTGGTGCCCAGCGGGACTGGTAAAGTGTGCCTTCGCCGAAAATGTCTCGCTGGATCATGTCTGTTACTCAGATATTATACGTTCGGCAATTGCCAATCAAGGCGCAATTTATGTAATACAGGCTTGGTTGCCCTCTTGGTCTTCACAGAAATGTTGGAAATTCGAGAGGGTGCGACTGAGGACGGAAACTTCTGCTCTAGAGCTAAGCAGAGTGGCGAGTAAATGATTGTGGTGACTGGATAGATACTATGGTACAGGAAGCACCGAGATTTGACCTCTATGAGACACAAGCAAAGGTGCAACTTGTCAGAATAGCAAACGCGATAAAGATGACGATGTGGAAGGTGGTGAAGCACTGCGCGAGCGCGAAAAACGCGTACGTCCGCAATCACCTGACCGGATGTATAATTAGAAATCGGAGCGAAAGCAAGAGTCTCAAGCAGCCGGAAGAACGTAGTCTATCGCACTCAAGAGGCGTGATCAGGCCTCCCTACTTGTAACAACTAACTCTACCTCACCCTAGTATTACTCGAGTAAGTAAGTTTTTAGGTGCAATCGGGTGTGCCTGAGGCCTCCGCCATGAATCGGTGGGCCGATAACGTGCTGACAGCTGGCGGCCCGGACGGAGCAGATTTCGGGACGCTGCCCCGGGCCGAAATCGCGCCTCAAATGCAACGTCGGGGAACAACAGCCGTCCTTGAAAATAAGGACACGCCGGGCAGCATGACGTATGTGCCTTGTGATGAGCCAGTTATCCACTAGGGACTCCGTCTTCTATATCTCACCTGCACTGTTCGCTCGATCTGAGTGTGCCTGGTCTGACCGCTCCGCAACAGGCCGCGTCTTCGACGGAGAGAGACCTATCTCGTCTAGTGTGTTTACCGTCTTGTTTAGCTCTGAACCGTTCTACGCATTTGAGCCTCCTACTCGCAGCTGGAAAGCCGCTTGCCGGGATCTCAAACATGGATACCTTTCCCGTTGGTCTTACGCGGAGATCCAGTGTGCAACACAGCTGCATCACCGATCCGCTGGACTGGCTTCGCGGGGATTTCTAAAAACCTTCGATCGGAACCTCCCCTGCAAAGGGCTGCTGTCAATCTGCCCCTGCACCTCGTCCATGACAGGAGATGCACCCATGGGATAGACGTTGAACGAAGCCTTACTATGGGAGATAGATCTTTTATCAGAGCTGATGTTAATTGCATGGAGTGTTGTTCTTAACTCTGTCATCGATTCATACCTACGAAAGTCAAGGAAGTTCCTGGCGGGGGAAAGGTTTAGCGCGGACAAGCTCGTGGTCAGAACGTTTTGGACGGCCTCCGGCTGCAAGCCGTCGTCAGAGGCTTCAAAAGACGGAATCCTAGTTAGCGGCTTTCCAACTCCACAACACGACTTCGGGATGTTCTTGGGCATCCTGGGGACCCCAGCTCCCACACGGTGAACCACAATGAGGGGATGCGATCTTTCTTTCAGGCGTGGTACCGGAGCGAGATCCGATCATAACTGCTGGTTCCCCGGTCCGAGAAGAGCTCGCCCTTGCTGATCGGCGTGCATAAGCCAAGAGGCCAAGCACCTGCCGTTGTGGGGTAAACAGCTCGTATCCATGTTCTCTCGCGGCTCTCCCCACTCCTCACGCCTAATGCCAGGTACTGATGTTACTCCGCAGCAGAGTCTTCGCGGGAAATCCCAATGCTCCACTTGGCCTGCAGCTCCGCTTAAGCACGCCGCTTTGAATCTCGTCATTCCAAGATGCCGGCCCAAGCGGCACGAGGATATATCCCTCAAGTGACGATGCGGAGCTCGGAGCGTGCATATATTGAATCGAGCGCCCGGCCTGCTCGTCTTCTGGTTCCTGACCAGCGAGCTTTCCTGGACGTGTATTCCCACAAATGGCTCTGCAATTGCTTCTGGGAGCTTTGATTGCTCCAGCGCTTGCGATCCCTCTGGCTGGAAGTGCGCTTGAGGTCCTTGAGCGACGCCAACTCTCTGAGAACAATGCAGATCTTTCTGCCTGCCCTGGTTACAATGCCGCGAATGTGCAGCAGTCCGGTTCCTCCATTACTGCAGAGCTGAGCCTTGCCGGTGCAGCGTGCAATGCCTACGGAACTGACATCCAGAACCTCCTCTTGACCGCCACTTACGATTCTGGTAATGCCCCTTTGATCCTGTTTAATTGCACTAGCTAGAGCGGCCTGTGCTAACTCTATATTAGCGGAACGACTGCACGTGGTCATAGAAGACGCAGGTCGACAGGCATATCGCGTGCCGACCTCTGTTTTCTCCCCACCCGAATCGCATGGCGTTGATCCTGGGCACTCGCATCTCCAATTTAACTGGGTGGCATCGCCCTTCTCATTCACTGTAACACGCCGTGCTTCGGGCGAGGTACTTTTCGATTCATCGGCCGCACCGCTGGTGTTCGAGGACCAATACCTGCGCCTCAGAACCGCCCTTCCAGAGGACCCCAACCTCTACGGTCTTGGTGAACATAACGATAACTTGCGATTGAACACCACCGACTATATTCGTACTCTCTGGTCCCGCGACTCTTTTGGAATCCCGCCAGGAACAAATCTTTATGGTAACCATCCGGTCTACTTCGATCACCGCGGCGAGAACGGCACACATGGCGTTTTCCTCCTTTCCAGCGTCGGAATGGACATCAAGATCAACAACACCGCAGAAGACGGGCAGTATCTCGAGTACAACCTGCTTGGTGGTGTTATCGATTTATACTTCATGGCTGGTAATGAACCGACGGATGTCTCCAAGCAGTACGCTCTCGTAGCAGGCTTACCTGCCATGAACTCGTATTGGTCTCTCGGGTTCCACCAGTGCCGGTAAAAACGCCCTCTCCCAAGTACGAGACATGTTAAGTCAACTAACCTAAATCATTTCTAGTTATGGATACCGCGATTTTTATGCGGTCGCTGAGTCAATCTACAACTACAGTGCTGCTGGTATTCCGCTTGAGACGCAGTGGACCGACATTGACTACATGTATGAGCGCTGGATCTTCACACTTGATCCTGACCGCTTTCCTCTGGCACGCGTACAAGACATTGTCAACTATCTACACGAGCACGACCAGCACTACATCGTCATGGTGGATCCTGCGACTGCTGTCGAGAACTACACCACCTACAACCGGGGCGTCCAGCAAGATGTTTTCATGAAATACGATAATGGTACCATTTTCCAGGGTGTTGTATGGCCTGGCCCAACGTAAGTCACGAGAGAAATTTCCTGATTTGGTTGGACTTGCAAGCGCAGCTTGTCTTCTCAAACGGCCATTTTACTCATGCACCATGCTAACCCCATCCTAGTGCCTTCCCAGATTGGTTCCATCCGAATGCACAGGGCTGGTGGAATCAAGAATTCTTGGACTTCTTCGACGACGAAAACGGCGTTGGCATTGATGGTCAGTTGACTCACATCGACGGTGAACTGTGTCTTGCTCACTGACTTTTTGCTACAGGCCTGTGGATCGACATGAACGAAGCTGCCAACTTCTGTCCTTTCCCCTGCCCGGATCCCGAAGCATACGCAGCAGCGAATCGGTTCCCACCAAGGCGTCCGTTCGTGCGGTCACAACCACGTGTCATCCCTGGCTTCCCACCAGAGTTCCAGCCAGGAGCTTCAAACGCAACGCCAGATAGCCTTCCGTACAACGACCCCAACCTTGCGCCCGCCGCGTCTGTAAGTCAGCCTACGAAGCTCAAGCGACAGACCACAGAGTTCGGTGAAGAGCTTGACACGCCGCTCGGCCTTCCAGGAAGGAACCTACTTGAGCCACCTTACCGAATCCAGAACGCGGCCACAGAGCAAGACTATGGTGGCTTGAGCAACAAGACCATCAACACTGACCTCCGCCATGAGAATGGATTGGCCGAACTCGACGTGCATAACCTGTATGGAACAATGATGTCAGAGACTTCTCGTGGTGCCATGCTTGCGCGGCGACCAGGCCTCCGACCCCTAGTCGTCACACGCAGCACCTTTGCTGGAGCTGGTCGCTACGTTGCGAAATGGCTTGGCGATAACCTCTCGACTTGGGAACAATATCGCAAGCAGATTCATGGCATGCTAGAATTCAATGCGCTGTTCCAGGTTCCGATGGTAGGGAGTGACGTCTGCGGATTCGGTAGCAACACAACTGAGCTCCTTTGCGCCCGGTGGGCTATGTTGGGTGCTTTCAACCCCTTTTACCGAAACCATAACCAAGACTCGGCCCTTCCGCAGGGTAAGTGCAACTTTCTTAGCTATCTCGTAGGAATCTGCTTGATATTTCTACGGCGGGGCTGACTATCTAGTAGAGTTCTATATATGGGATTCTGTCACCCGAGCCGCTCGCACCGCTATTGAGATCCGCTACAAGCTCCTGGACTACTTCTACACCGCTATGCATGAGCAGAGCGTTGATGGAACTCCATCACTAAACCCGATATTCTTCAAGTATCCGTCGGATCCGAACACGTTCGCATTGGAGTATCAATTTTTCTACGGCCATAGCCTTCTTGTGTCGCCTGTAACCGAGGAAAACGCCACCGACGTCGAAATCTATCTGCCCAACGACCTCTTCTACGACTTCTACACCTACGAGCCGATCCAGGGCAACGGCACCACTCTCAACCTGACCGATATCGGGTTTGAGGAAATCCCGCTCCACATCAAGGGCGGCTCTATCATCCCAATGCGCACCGAATGGGGCATGACCACCACCGAAGTCCGCACCAAGCCATTCGACCTTGTCATCGCACCTTCGGCGAACGGCACCGCGCACGGCAGCCTTTATCTTGACGATGGCGTCTCGATTGAGCAGAATGGGACGACTTACATCACGTTCACTTACAACAACGGCCATCTCAATGCCAACGGCACGTTCAACTACATGGCAGAGGCGAACAGCATCAGCAAGATCACGGTTCTGGGCACGAGGGGCGTGCCGGAGTTCGCGGAGAGCCAGGTCATCTCGTTCGATGTGGATATTCCATTGACGGAGGCATTTACCCTTGAGTGGTAATTGGGAGACGATCAGCGTAATTCAAAGGTTTACGAAGTCATGTTGAGAGGGATTAATGAGCTTGGAGGTATGGCAGAGAAGAACTTAGCTAGTGAATAGGCAAAACGAAGTTTGACGATTCGAAGCTGCTGTTTTGCCCAATGCCCCTTCACCCCTTTCTAGATTGGGTGATTGGTGGCCTTGGTGCACGTGACCAGCGTTTACCGTGCCCAGCGGAGACTACTTTCTCGCGTGGCATCATGACAATTTAGATATACGTATCGATTATGATGATCTCGGCGTAAACGGGACTGGGAGCATGAACCATCGCACCGGCAGCCGAGATTGCCCGATCAGCTAATGTTACTTGTCTCTTCACTTTGTGGATTTCAACGCCCATTGGTCCCAATAAAGTTTCCATCAAACAGCGCGTCAACTGCACCAGAGAATGAAAGTCTTACTGAACCGTCCGAGTGTAGACAGGCTCATATTACAAGTATCAGCTCTCTAAGATTTCTTGGTTATTCTATCTGGAGCGTCTATCAACAGCCGCTACAGCCCCATGGCGGAGATGTCACGGAAGCCGCAGCCGAAGGCGCATTCATCAATTGGCGACCTAGTACTCGAAGAATGGGTGACAGACCTGATAGCTCACGGAGAAGAGAACCGTCGCCATCCACCCAACTACTTCACCTCCGATCCTTCAGCGCTGATTACCACCTCCTTTGCGCACTCCTTTACCTTGGGCACCGGCAACCAGATCTTCACCTCCATTATCCCAGCCATTGAAGCTGCAGAGTCAGAGGTGCTTATTGTGACCTGCTTTTGGGCTCGCTCAGCCTCACTGGACCAGCTCTGCACGGCCTTACGACGCCTATCCGGCAAAGCACTAAGAAGAGGAGGCTCACGAATCCGTGTCAGCATTTGTTTCTCCTCAAGGTCGTTATGGCAGAAGCTGTTCCAGACCTCCTCATTGGATGGCCATATATATCCGCCCAAGTCCTGGTCAAAGACGCTTAGTTTACCGCCCTGCGGAGACCTCGGGGGTCTGGATTTGACTGTCAAGAGCGTCTTTGTACGGCCGTTCAGTGTTATGCATCCCAAGTTCGTGGTAGTGGACAGAAGAAGGGCTCTTCTGCCAAGCTGTAATGTCAGCTGGGAGAACTGGTTTGAGGGCTGTATCGAGCTATCCGGACCTGTCGTCAGCCAGTTCGTTGGGTTCTGGGAAGAATTTTGGGACCAGGGCAGCAATAAACCTCCGATTTCCAACGGCAACAGCAGCGGCCCGGCGCGTGATGCTCTTACGCTCACAGAGAGCGGTACCTCTGCACCTCCGATGACAGTAAACGGCTATGTCGATATTCTTACAGACTCCATTGGCAACAGTACCGCCCAGGACCAGCTACCTACCACAGCTCCTGCCATCACAGCCGTCTCTTTGAACGCCAAAATACCACTCCCAACTGTCTTCCTCCCCTCTCCCCATCACCTTAACCCACGCTTCCGTCCCTTCCCCTGGCAGACCGCTGCGCCCGCGCCCCCAACACCCCTCAACACATTCATCCTCCATCTCCTCTATCACGCTCAAACCTCTATCTACATTCAAACCCCGAACCTGACCAGTCCACCAATCCTCTCCGCTCTCCTAGCCGCCCTCCGCTGCGGCATCGACGTCCACATCGTCACTAACGCCCGTCTTATGCTCCTTGAGCAGCTCGGCACTGCTGGTACCACGACCGCGCGCTGTGTTAGGAAGCTTATCAAACGTTACCGTGCTATCGCTGCACCACCTCTTACAGCATATTCCCTCGAGCGCGCACTCCCGGCCCCCGGCCGGCTGAGAATCGAGTACTTCCAGCCGCTACCGACGTCGACGTCATCAACAAGCGGCAGCAGAGCCGACGAAGAGCAAGAGCCCGTGCAATCCCACCTCAAGCTCACGATCGTGGATCAAGATGTCACCGTCCTGGGTAGCGGGAATATGGACCGCGCCAGCTGGTATACGAGCCAGGAGCTTGGAGTCGCTTTTTTCTCGGCGGAGTTGGCGGGGCGGGTGAGAGGGGCTGTTGAGGGGGCGTTGAGAGGGAGGAAGAGGGGCGTGTTTGGGGACGGGGAAGGGGAAGGGCGGGGATGACGGGCTCGTGGTGACGGGCTGTGATGAGAGTGATCTCCACGGAGGCAGTTCTACCATCAAGAGGGTTTTTCGTATGGGTTCATGGAACACGGTGAAGAGGATGACGATACTTAGAAGGGCTGGGAGTTGGGGATTGCAGCTCTGGTGCAGTGGCAGACCGAGACCTGTTCTTCATTGCGATGGAGAAACGAAAGGCTAGGCCGGTTTGAAAGACTCCATGATGGCATAAAGCCGTGGCAAACTCATCACAGTAAGTGAGGCGTGTGGAACACGCGCGATTAGAACAAGTGGTCTGATCGGTTCTAGGTGTACAGACCTCTTTCGTTTTCAGTGTTCAAAGAGCACTGCGGATTTGCATTTCGCTGGTCCATCCGCGGCTTTTCATGGGTGCTCGATGATTTAGGACCTCGTTAGGTGAGACAGCGCTTATTGTTAAGCCGCTATTTTTCCTCGCCGGAAATCTCGAAAGCGGACTACTGTCTGTATAAGATCACAAGCTGGTGGGACAGTGCGGAACGTTACAGTGGCGTGCATCGAACTGGCTCAACGATTCCGCAAAGCTGGAGAGCTCCAAGATTTGGCTGTTGCCCACAATAAGGGCCTGCAAAAAGGTATAGATTCGTTGTGTCACACACAACCAACGCGATGGATCGGGCCATTGTATAGACCTGGCCCATCCTTTAACTCTCGACCCTGCCACCCCAATGTGTATGGACTCTGCTGTAAGCAGCATACTCGATATAGATACTAACTCCCAACGTCGCTTCACATGCATCCAGACCCCCATTTCCACTTGCAATGCTCCCCCACAAGCGCCGATGCAGTATTCAAAAGCACGCACAGCCCATCACCCCCAAAATGCCGCCAACAGTATCTATCGTCCGTCATCGTCAAGTAGCACTACGCGTGTCTTCCCCTCTTTCCTCCCCCACCCGCGCCATCCTTCCGCTCCCCAGGCCCGCTAATATCAAAGTACTCCCCGAACGGTATCCTTCGCTTAGTCCCAGCGCCGCCTCCCAGGTTCCCAAGCGACGAGCTGTGCCGCGTGTTCGGTCTCTGCACGTGGCGGGTGGACGGCCGTACATGCCGCGGTAGTGCGTCGAGCCGTATGTGCTGTCCGAAAACGCCCGTGCTTTGTGCTGCTTCCGCCGCTTCTGTATCCATGGCGTCTTGGGAGGGATAGTTGTGTGCGGAGCGGAAGCTGAAGTCTGTCCGCGGCGGACTTGTCTCGACCGGCGGTGGTCGGCTTTCAGGTTCTGCCTCTGGTGGAGGGGAGTGTGCTGGCTGCGATATCATCGGTGGAGCGGACTCGGGCCGTACGACTGAGACGGTCGGTGTCTCTAGCCTAGGCTGCACTGTCTCTGGCGCTTGACTCCGCGTTGCTATTGGCGAGGAACTCCGTGCCCGCTTCTCTTCGTCTGCCTCGTCGTCGCTGTCGCTGGTCGTGTGGGCTGGTGCCCCTTGTAGCCGTTCTGTTGCCCACCGCCGTACCCGCCATCCCTCTCCGTCGTCTAGCCCTATGTCTTCTTTGTCTAGGAAGGAGAGGAGCTCCTCTATCGCCTCTTGGTAGCCTTCCCCATGTGCTCGTGCCTGGTCTGCTGCGGCGGTCTTGTAGAGATTTGTGACGGAGAGAGCGGCGGTTTTGAAGGCCTGGAGGAGTTGTTCGGGCGGTTGGGGGAATGTTTTTCTTGGTGTCGTTGACGGGAGGGAGGTGTTTAAACTCCGCATGGAGTCCATGGTGCGTGTGTAGGAGGTAGAAGAGGCTGCAGAAATGGGTAGCCGGTTGGTTGCAGGACCCCACTAAGCGAGGTTTAGATCGGTCTTTGACCTCTTGCAGAAGGTGTCGGTGGAAGACGGTTAGACAATATTCAAAACAGTAGGTAGTCGGTAGAAGGATGACCCCTATTAAGATCGGCACCTGATGTGAACCGTGGATATAGTGGTGGTAGTCCAACTGATTGATGAGGTGTCGCTTTCGTCAAAGAGTCGATGCCAAGCGTTTCCGCTGTTTGTCACATGGCAAGCGAGCCCCTCCGCTCCGCTGCTTCCCGCCCCGCATCCCTGGCAGCTTAACCACGAACCTCCCGAGTTACGCGCGTCATGTTCACGAATCAAGATGAAGAGACACAAGCGTCAGGTCAGCGTTGATCAGAGTCTCCGATAGTCGATATGATTCAAGACATCCCACCATGCTCAGAGAACTGAGCTTGTAGAACTTGCATCATGCTGACTCGTTTGACCACGATGCACTGAACTCCTCTGATGTTGGAAAGCAAAAGCGTATGGCCGAAAGTGTCGTCTCCTGAGAGCCTGTGGATCGTAGACTGCGCAGCCTAAAGATGCAAGAGTGCCGAACGGCTCCGATCAAGCCGCCCCTTGTTCTCTGTCCATAACCGGCAATCCAGCGTGATCTTCAGTCTACTATTGTATAAGAAAGCATCTCTTCTTCATTGATCACCGTTTCAGACTCGCTTAGAGAAAGGACTGGTCATGAGCCCAACATTTCCATTGTAGAATATCTACAGAACCGTTCCAGCAGCATTCCTTATCCATCTTCAGAATCAGTTGTCCGCTGTGTCACACACTTTCATCTTGTCGTCGCGCAAAGCGAGGATTTATAGCTGGTCCATGATACTGTTTGCGGCCCACCAAAACCCAGAACACAAGTCCGAAAACGATAGCAGCGGAAAACACCACAACAGACCAATTCATTGTGATCAGTGTGACCGGAGTCGCCGGCGGAAAGAAAGACATTACGAAAGTTATGAGAGTGTACACCATGGCAACGATATTGACGGTCATGCCCCAGGACCCCATATTCCAGGGTCCGAATGCGATCTGTTCCTTCCGGAGCCTCTTGCGAATCATGAGGGATATGCAGATGAGATACGACGAGAATAGCCCGGCGATGACCAGGCTAACGATGGCGTTGAAGGCGGCCGTGGACCCGATGTTGATCAGAGCGAGAAGTGCATTGAATAGCGCGGTACAGCCCACAGCCCACAGAGGAATTTTGAAGCGCTTATCGACCTGCCATGCATTAGACTGGCCGCAACAAAACTCGAGATGAAAGTCTCAACAGCGACATACCTTCGCAATCGTGCTCGAGAACGGAACACCCTTATCACGCGCAAAGGCCCAGAGTTGCCGGGATGCCGCTGCCAGGTAACTGAAGGTTGCGCAGACGGCGAAGGCAGTGAGAATTGAGGTCATTGCCGTTGCTCCGGCTCTAGAGTTCGTCGCGTTATAGAAGATCTGGATGAAGGGCCAGCCGGTTTGCGTCCCCAAAGCCGACTCCACATCGCCGATGCAGAAGAGTATGGCGATGAAAGTCGCAAATCCTGAGGATGTTACTATGCTGATATGACATATAGTGAGTTCCAGCCAGCTTACCAAGAGCGCCGTTCAGCAGGACTGTGAAGATCATGCTTCGAGGGACATTGATCGAGGCGTTCTTTACCTCCTCAGCTGCAACCAGTGAGCGTGTGGCCCTCGGCAACGTACGGGCACTCACCCATATGACAAGCTCCATCGTAGCCAACGAAGATGATGCTGGAGGACGTAAGTCCCACAAAGAAAGAAAGCCCATCTGAATATCCGGATACATTGGACCAGTCTGCGAACACGAAGGAGGCCGGGCTCTTCGGAGCCAGATGCACCAGCGGGATCAACACAGCGAAGAAGCCAAGTACATGAAGCCAGAGGAGAGCGCCCTCAATTGCTGGTAGCAGTCTTACCGTCACTGTGTTGATGAAGAGGCTGAGCAGCAGTACAGCGTAGAGCAGCAGTGTTCCGTGCCAGCGTTGATAAGCGTAGCTCGGATCATTGAGCACAAGAAGTCCTTGGATGATTGTTCCGCCTAGGAACGTTCCGAGCACGCACGCTGCTTGCCATCCGAGTACCGAGACCCACCCTACTCGGTATGAGCTACACAGAAAAACCAGCTCGGAGGGGGCTTGTACCAGTTAGATAACTCAAGAAACGAGCCCACTTCGGAGGCGCCATGAGCGCTACCCAGTGATATTGCCCGCCAGAGGTGGGATACCTCACAGAGGGTCAGCAAAATGATCGAGCTGGTTGAATGGGGTGTCGTACATAGAAGCCATTTCAGCGATCGAGGCGCATGTTGCAAGCGAACCGAAGAAGCAGAACACGTAGCCGTAGAGCATAGACGGACCTCCTCCGTTAATGAATGCAGTAATAAAGAACCTATGAGCCAGTAAACGATAGATGCTTTGTGATTGCGCCGGGTACTCCTACGGATAGGCGGCTTCCCAGCTACACAGCAAAACAGTGGTAAAGCCCAGCAGCGGCAACAAACCAAACATCCTCTGGAACCGATGCTTAGTAAATCAACAAGGTCCGGGTTGCGGAGGACACCTCACCCTCGTCTCCTGCGTCAGTCCTAACCTCGCCATATCAGCTTCGTCTCCGCTCATAGCATCGTCTCCCATTTCCGTATCTTTTATCTCGCTGTTCGGCTTCATGAGAACCGGTTCCCTCTCGGTAATGGGATTTGATTCGGGAAGATCCATATTGAAGGCCGCTGCTACTCTCGAGAAAGGAGCGGGGGATAGTAACGAGCACTGAGAAAAAAGGATGAAGTGCAAACAATCTTATCGCATGGATGCGTCTCAGAATAAGAACAAGAGGGATAGCTGTCACGCACCCCTGTTGCATAATGCTCGCCCAGCTCATCCTTTACAGGATCCTGCCACGTCCGATGGTTGGTTTGCATAGTGTCTGGGTAGCATCCTGATGTTATTTTGGCTGAAAAATGCAACCGCATTAATCAGCTTCCATCCCTACGAATACAAGGTTGCAGCGGCATCTATCGGACGTGGGAGGATGCTGTACAATCTACCCCCAGAAATGCACACCGTCTGCAGCTAAGCAAGAACGGCCAACCAGAAAACCCGTCAGCCATACCAATCCGTTGATCCTGCATGATAAAAGCTCTCGTCTGCAGAATGGCCAAGGTACATAACGGCCCCCAAATCAAGCACGCTGCAAAGCCGAATACGCCAAAAGGACGCTTGTCTGGATCGTCCCGCCAGGAGGCAACTCATCTAGATCACGCTAAAAGCTCGGCTGACCAACGCGCTAATGCAAGAATCCTGGTCATTTACAATCCCAAACAATACGAAAGCGTGAAAAAACTCGGGCAAAAAGATGGTAATAGACTGTGCGGTAACGTAAAATGTATGAGATTGATCAGATAACTAACTAGTTAGTCAGATGAGCTTTCAGCGTGGTCTAGATGAGTTGTACGCTCATCGTCCCGCTTCGGCCCTTTTCCGCGACGGCCTGAAGCGAGCCGCCCCCAAGAAAATCCTTGTCCAGATAGACTAACCAAGCTCTTAAGACTGTGAGAGAACCGCATCCCGACCGATCAATCGCCGATGTCCCTGTCCGAGATGCAGATGTTTGATATGTAAGGCGCTGCTAAAGCGTTTGTTCGGGGACCAGAGCATGGAGAGTTACTGGCAGCTCATTGATGCAGTATGCAACTTCCTGGCTGTCGATTCAGACCATCGAAGGGTGAGTCCGGCTACAATACCGTAATCTGGACCATAGCCCTGATGCCAGCAAGTATCCAACCATAGTCCGAAATGTGATGCATAGGCGGAGTCAATTCTGCTTGCTTCTTCAAAAATCAATGCTTGTTCAATATGGTGGCTTTTTAGAGCTCACACTTGATTTTTCTACGTGACGCAAGGCCATTGCGCCTTGCTACGCGAAACACAAAGATCTACGAAATTAACGATAGACAATCCAACACCATCGCGAGCCTAAGCATCCAAAAAGAACAGGCCACCCTTTACCCGATGCTTTCCAACCTCAACGCTCAGCCCCTTACTCAAACCCCCTCCCATTCTCCAACACAGCAAGCACACCCCTCCCATCCCTCGCCCTCCTCGCCGCTCTCTCCACCTCCCCCACTCTCCTCTTCTCCCCCGCTTCAAGCGCCTTCTTCCTCTCCGCCTCCCTAGCCTGGTAATGGATATTACTCTTCTTCGTCCCGCCTCTCCTAACCGTGTTCTCCGCTACCGGGGTATTACGACCTGAGGTTGAGGATGTTGTGGATACGAGGGACTGGTTGGATGTCGCTTGGCGCAGGAGCGAGGGAATGCGGAAACCGGGGCGGTGGAGGCCGGTGGTGGGGGCGTGGAAGGCGAGAGGCGTAGTGGAGGTGGTTGTGGTTGTGGTGGGTGTTAGGAGGGAGAGGCGATTTATGCAGGGGGCGCGGGAGGGTTTCAGGGGGGTGGGAGGGCCGTAGAGCTCGGCGCCGGATTCGAGATCTGTGGCGGGAGATGGCGAGCGGGAGAGGGATGCGGCTCTTGATAGTGAACTTAGGGTTCGTGTAGGTTGAGCGGTGCGCCGAGGATTCGGAGAGACCCTGCGTCGCCTTGTTGGTGATCTCTGGTTCTCTGCTGAAGGCGTCGGCTCTGTGGGCTTCTCCGGAGACTTGAGGAAGTCGATGTCGTCGTCTAGGCGGTCTTCGATAGCAGCCAGGAAGGCGGCTTTCTTGGGGTTCTCTGCGATCTTCCCGATATTCTCATCCGCGAGCAAGGCCTTGCGCATCTTGGCGAACTCTCTCTGCTTGCGTCGTCTGCGCTCCTGAGCGCGATCGTCGTCGTCATCTGACAGGTCAAACTCCGCTCCGCGCTTGCGGCGTAGCGCGCCATTCATAAGGTCTTTGTATAGCTTGTCGATGCGCTTTTCGTCGTCCTTGCGCTCCTTGTCGCTGTTAAACCTCGATTAGCGGGACTCATTTTCTCGTTGATAGAAGATCAAAGCTTACGCAAAGAATGCAGCAATTTGCCGCTCGTCAGTGTCAACCTCGCCTTCGTCGATCATCTTCGCCACCTCCTCATCCATCTCGCCTGTACTCTCATCGTCGCTAGCACCCCCGAGGCCAGCGTACTCATCTTCGGATTCTTCAGCTTGCTCCTGGACCATCTCTCTAGCATTACTCTTCTTCTTGTCAAAGGTCTCAACAGCTGTCTGCTTTTTGGCAGCTTTGCGCATGAGATCAAATAAATTGGCCGACGCATCCTGTCCTTCATCCTCTGACCCCGACACCACATCGGCTTCATTTTCATCCAGGTCAGAGAGGACCGTGATCTGTTCGCTGCGGCGCTGGAGACGGCCCTTCCTCCTAACGACGGGTGACTCCGGGATAGGCAAGATCTCCGTCTCCACTGTCGAAGGCGGAGGCAAGGAGCGTTTGGCAGGCGTACGAGCTTGAAAGCCCACATCCTGGGTTGGGTCTGGCACTTCGGATAAGGGGGTCTGTCGCGGAAACTGTGATGGTAGCTGAGAGATCCCAAGCTTGATCTGTTGTGATGCCGAATCGATTTGGCTTTGCGTGTGCTCGTTCTGTGAGGGGCTGATCTGGCTGTCCTGAATGAGGAAGTCCTGAAAAGGTTCTACCATCGCAGCGTCCCAGTTCATCGGAGCAGCTGAAGAAAGACCTCGTAGGAAGTCAAGGGAATCTTGCTGTTGATCGATTTCCACATGTGGGCTGATGCCGCTGCCAGATTGCGACTGTGACTGTGTGTCGAGCATCGTACCAGCGAACATCTGGGTAAGACCCATAGAGCTTGCGGGTACTGCTCCGAAGCCAAAGGCGGCCATCTCGTCGCTTGGCTCTGAGGGTGGCGGTTGCGCGCTCGCGGCAACTGATATCTCAATATCCTCATCTTCCTCGTCCGTGATGACCCGTTTGTTCCTGATCTGCTTTCCACCTCTGGTGGGTTTCACCTCCGGCTCTGACTCGGAAGCTACATCGTTCATCTCAACATCCGACTCATCGGAGCGTACTTCTTCATCTTCGCCGGCATCATCGTCCGCTTGGTCGTCAAACAGCCCTTCGCCTGCCGCCGTCTCTCCGTCTTCCTCATCTTCTTGGACCTCCTCTTCGTCCTCAGATCCCGAGAGCTCCACACCACCTTCCTCCTCTTCCTCACTAGAGATGTAGTCTTCATCCTCATCCTCATCTTCGCTATCAGGCAGACGATCGCCGCTAGCTTGAACTTCATCTTTCTTCGCAGCATCCTTCTCCTTCTTAGCAAGCACCATAGCCTCTTTCCTCGCCTTATCCAACAAGTTATCTAGCTCCAGCTGGTCCCTCTCACGCTCTTCCTCCGTTTGAACGATAATACCTCTCGCTTTCAGGCCGGCGATCCTTTCCTCTCTGGCTTTCTGCGCTTGCTGTCGGGCCCGTCGTTGCAGCTGAAGCTGAAGTTCGGAAGGTGTAAGAGACCCTCTGGATCCTCTGGTCTTATTTGGTGAGGTAACGTGGGCTAGAGCCCGTAGAGTGAGCATGGAGTTGGATTCGGACGCTTTCTTGGCTGGCATTTGATCGAAGACGGGGAGACGACTGGACTTCTGAGGTTTGGTGGGTTTGGGGATGTCGTCGTCGGAGCTCAAGTCAATTTCTTTCGGCTGCGTGGGTTTCTGAAGTAGACCTAATTAGGGGAGTTAGCGAGAGGAACGCAAAAACGCGAAACCTGAAGCCAGTGAGAACTGTTGAACTTACTGTCCCGACCAAGCATCAGAGACGACTGTTTCTCTGTCGAGGATGCCTTAGGCCTCAGACATGTAGCTAGATCAAAGCTATCTGGTGCCGCTTGTACATCCACATCCCTCATGGGAGCTTTGCCCTTGTCCTGTTTCTTCATCTTCTGCCCGATGATATCCAGCAGCGATGGTAGGTCATCGTTGGCATCCTCCTCAATCTGCACTGCGTTCATGTGATTAGCCCCGTGTCTGACCTCACCCGCGCTCCCAGCTTCTTTCCCGGTACGATCTTCACCATCACTAAGTGGTGGGCTTGTCGGTGGTGTGTCTTTGTCTTGGATGGCCTCAGCGTCTGATGAGGCAGCAGCTTTGCTAGGCTGCGGTTGGTTATAGTTGAGCTTGGCAAAGAGATCCTTCGTAGTGATCCTCTTCTTCGTTCTCGCCTGATGCGTCAACTGCATGTTCCGCTGCATGCGCTGCGTCTCCCTGTTCATCTCCTCTATAGCCTTCTTGCCCGCTCTGCGCGTAGGCCGTGCCTGCTGGGTCAACTTCCGGCCTGCCGCCTCATCCTCGCTGTCCGTCTCAGCGGTATGGGGTATCCTTGATTTTTGCGTGGCTTTTAAAATGCGCTGCTGTATTGCTCGCTCTTCTTTCTCTCGCGCTTCGCGCTCTGCTCGTTTCCGAGCGACCAGCTCCGCGAAGCGAGCATTGTGGGTAGCACGAGTGGGAACGCCGGAGTCTGAATCCGAGCCTGCGGCTTGCGGGGATGCAATTTCGGCTGGAGATACGAAGAGACCCGGCGTCTGGTCCCTCGGCTGAGCACCATGCTGGACAGAATTTTTACCAGTGCTATGTATACGCTCTGGACTGCTGGCTCGTGATGCTGACAACGCCGGTGACCGCCTCGGGGATCGAGCAGCTTCTACAATTGACCTCTCGGCGGGTCGCACAGGTTTCCTGATGGGCAGCTCGTCATCTGAGTCTTCATCAAATCTTGCGAGAAGGGCCTTGACTTTGCTGCGCGGCGTGAGCTCGATTGGAGATCTTGAGCCGCGCGATGAGGGCGACGACGTTGCTGAGCTCCGGCTCGATCGTGCAGGTGTTGATGGTAGAGACATGCTACCTTATGACTGATGCAATGAGTAATAGGAGTGTGAATGAGGAGCAATGGTTACTGCATGGCATAGTAAAGTAAAGAGGAAGACGGTACTCTAAGTTGAGGTTCACGCTTCCGCGGTCGACGCGACGCGATACGCGATGACGCGACAAGGCTGGGGGGGAGCGGAACTTTGTTCGTCCGCTGTAACTGACTCGCGGACCAACAGCAGGTAAAATCCAAGATGCATCATTCGAACACCTGTTTAAGCACGGAGAGGTCAGCATAGCAAGGAGTGTTAGTCTTCCGAAGGCTGTTTGACTCAATCATTTTGCGGTTGCTGGGCTATCAGTAGAACCGGTCTTTTGCGATTCGCTACACATATCATAGTGCTCGCTTCAACTCTGGTTCTGTCCGTGGAGATCCATATATGTTGTACCGCATCGCATCACTACCTCTATCTCTTGCGTTATTCACCCGATCTAACAAACCCTCATTTAGCATATCCCTAGCAAGCCTTTCCCTTTTGCAGATCTGTTCGCCGTGAGCTGTTCAAAATGCCTCTTGAGAAGTTCCAAGGCGTGGAGCTTCCCGCCTCGGCGGACTTCCACGTACATCTCCGCGATGGAGCTATGATGGAATTGGTCACTGGGACCATTCGGCAAGGCGGAGTAAATACGGTATATGTATGGCATTCAAGGACACTTTTCAAAGATATATACACATCACTAACCGTATGAAGGTGATGGTACGATATACACAACCTATATGGCGTCGACGCGCATCTCCTGAAATCTCTCGCAGCCGAATCTTGTCCCGCCCGTAACAACTGTCCAACACGCTCTCGATTACTGGGATAAGCTCCATAAGATCGAGCCCAATGTTACATTCTTGATGTCCTTGTACCTACATCCCAGTATAACACCGGAAACCATCATCGAAGCCAAGAGAGCAGGCATAACTGGGGTGAAGTCATACCCAGCAGGCGTAACGACTAACTCCTCCGTCGGCGTTGTCGATTATGCTTCTTTCTATCCCGTCTTCGAAGGTAGGTAATATTCAACTCCCTCTCCAGTCAAACGATTTCTGATCGGCAATCTTTCTTCCAAAAGAGATGGAACGGCAAGACCTCATCCTAAACCTCCACGGCGAGCTCCCCTCCGTCGACATCTCCACCGCTGAACAAGACTTCCTTCCCACCCTCTTCTCCCTGCACCATCGTTTCCCCCGCCTCCGCATAATCCTCGAACACTGCACCTCCGCCGCCGCCATCGAGGCCGTCAAGTCCTGCGGTTCCACCGTCGCCGCCACAATCACCGCCCACCACCTCTACCTCATCAAAGACGACTGGGCCGGCAAAGACGAGCGGGCTGGCGACCCCTTTTGCTTCTGCAAGCCCGTGGCCAAGACGCCGGAGGATCGGCTCGCGCTGCTGAGGACTGCGGCGTCAGGGAACCTGAAATTCTTTTTGGGCACGGATAGTGCGCCGCATCCGGTGCAGAAGAAGCGGGAGGAGCCGCCGGCTGCCGGGGTGTTTACGCAGCCGTATGCTACGCAGCTTGTGCTGGATGCTTTTGAGCAGGGTTGTGTGGAGGGGGTCCTCAAGGAAGAGAGTGTTACGAGGGAGGTGCTTGAGGGGTTCTTGGGTGGGTTTGGCAGGGCGTTTTATCGCGTTGAGGATGAGAGGAAGGAGAAGATCACGATTGGGAAGCGGGATGAGAGGATCATGCAGGTCTTGAAGGATGCTGAGGGTGCGACTGAGGTCGTGCCGTTTAGGAGAGGCCAGAGGACCTGGAGCGTGGCCTGGAAGTAGGTTACTTCTCGTGTTGGAGTCAAGCAGCCTCGAGAGGCTCAAGCAGATGCCTAACCACACGCGCGTGTCTGCAACGGCCAGTCCATGTTCTGTTTACTGAAGTACCTAAAGTGGGGTTCGTCCGTCCGTAGGGTGATTCGGATGAAGCAATCCGGCTGCAGTGTAATTTTATGACAGCTTTATGTTAGACCCTGAAGACGTAGAACGGCAGGAACAGCGGCGCGCCGAAACCTAGAATAGACGGGCCGAGTCGATGAAGGAATCAATGTCTCTATAGTTACTTTGTGTTGCAGAGCTGTTCGTATTGCCTTTCTACTATCTATCACTTCATGTGAAGTATATGTTGCGTGTTGTATGGCATTAGATCCGAACCAATCAAAATGCTCAGAAAGTTGCATTGTAAGCGTGACATCACAACCGCATTCTTGCATCGTGTGTGTCGGCATCACCCCGCAGCGCCGAAAGGCAACGGCTGAACCTCCAGCTTCAATTACACTTCTCGAAACTTCATCCTCTCTCAAGCTCATTCATACAGCTGCTACCTCTTCTCACAAATAAAGACGAGCCACCAAAGATGTCCACCTTCTCCAAGCTCTGGCAGGCCGCCGGCCTCGGCAAGTTCGACGACAACAGGTAAACGCAGCAATCACTCACTCACTCACCTCACAGAACCACCACTGACCTGCTGTTCCACCAGCCACCCAATCCACCCAGCAACAGTGCACTACCCGATCGCCTTCCTCTCCCTACACTACGCCCTCGACGTCCTCTACGGCAGCCTAACCCACCCCTCCATCGCCTCCTACATCCCCTCCAGCATCGCCGCCCAATTCACCCCCTACATCGCCGACATCGCCAAAGCCTCTCACTTCTCCAACGCGCTCGGCATCCTCTCCGCATTGCCCTCCGCCGCTACGGGAGGCGCGGAGCTCTACGCCATGATCCAGAGCAACGGGCTCTGGGAGGTGATCAAGCGGGAGTCAGACGGCAAGGTCGTGTACGGCGGGATGAATCCCAAGGTGCGACATGGCATCTTCCACGCGCTGATGAACGACGTCGTATTGGTCGCGAGCTTGTACGATTGGTGGACGAGGCGGAACACGACGGGTTTTATCCCGACCGGGACGCATCAGGTGATGAGCGCGGCGGCGCTGCCGATGCTGTTCTTCTCGGCGTATTTGGGGGGTGCGATGGTGTATAAGTATGGAGTGGGCGTGCAGAGGATGGGCGAGGCGAAGAGGATTAAGGAGGATTCGGGAAGGGATGAGTTGAAGAGGGATGAGGGGTACACGAAGGTTAAGGAGAGGAAGGGGCAGTGATCTGGGAATTTGTTGGCTCTCTGGGCGTTCGACGGCGGGCTCAAGTCGCGATTTCTGTAAGGGTTCAACGGAATAAATTTGGATGGGGCGGCATGGTCAATGGTTTCTATGGCGTACATTCGCGCTCGTCAAACGCCATACATTGAAGAAGGCCTCTTCGAAGGCGTACGTACCGTTAACAATCAACACTGCTCTCTGTACCCTACAACTGTCAATACGTGAGATACTTCAGCACGTGTTTGTAAACTAGGTACGTTCATTGGACACAGTTTCTGGAAATATTGGCAGTTCAACCGTGACAGAAGTTGATATTATACCAGAGGCGGAACTGTGGTGCTTCTTTGGCCCACTGTGTTCAAAGGTTGAAACATGAGTTCGACTATCTCATGCAGTCCATCGGAGCTGTACGGAGTAGCAAAACCTGACTAAGCTGTGCAGGGGTACCTGAATTGAGTCAACCACCGTTTTATCATCGTGCAGCCCCTCCGGCACGAACGCCGAGCGAATCTCAAGACACACCTCGGAACAGTCATCTTGCTGAAGTCTGGAATAAAATTTGTCTATTTCTCCTCTGAGAAGTTTCTCGGTAGAGTTCTTGTGGTACCGTAGCGTTGTAGCTGCAAATAGATTTTGTTTCCCTGTCCGCGTCTCTAACTCCACCTCTTTCTTATTCTTCCTCAGTCTCAGCTTTTTAGGCAAAAGTCTCCAAGCCCGCAATCATGGAGCTCGGCCAGGCCTTCATGATCGCGCTGTTCACCCTCCTCGCCCTCAATGCAACAATCATGTACTTCTTCTTCTACAAAGACGCGCCTTCCACCCCCCCTCAACAACCCCAACAAACTCAACAATCCCTCCCGCCGCCCACCGAGATCCTCTCCCTGCGGATCTATCCCATAAAGTCCTGCCGAGGCTTCTCAGTCCCCTCCGCGCGCCTTTTAAAAACCGGCCTAGATCTCGACCGCAACTGGATGTTCATCGACGCCTCGAAGCGCAAATTTCTCACGATCCGCCAGCTGTCGAAGATGACGCTGATCGACACCGCCCTGTCGCCAGACGACGAGTTGATTGTCAGCATCCGCACCGAACCCAAGGCCCGCATATCTATCCCCGCACACCCCTCGCGGGACTGGCTGGAGGCCAACACCACGCTGAGGAGCGCGGATATCTGGGGCACGGAGACGGACGCCTGGGAGTACGCCCCCAGCCTCACGGCACCGTTCTCGGAGTTCTTTCACAAGGATGTTCGGCTGGTGTATAAGGGCCCCACGCCCCGGGTTTTGAAGGGTAATGGGGCGCCGGAACATCTGGGCCGCACGGAGGCGACCAAGTTCGCGGACCTGGCGCCTGTGCAGGTGAGCAGCATGGCGAGCATGGAGGAGCTGAATGGGAGACTCAAGGCCGCGGGCGAGGACGAAATCAGCATCGAGCGCTTCAGGCCGAACATCGTTGTGCGAGGTTCCGTGCCTTGGGCGGAGGACAGCTGGAAGACATTGCGGATCGGCTCAGGGGACTCCGGCCCCGAGGCAGAGAAGCCGGGGAAGGAAGGTGGGCTGGTGCTGGACGTCGCGGCGCGGTGTGCGCGGTGTCAGGTTCCGAATGTGGATCCGGACACGGCGGTGAAACATAAGCGGCAGCCGTGGGATATGCTGATGAAGTATCGGGTCGTGGATGAGGGAATTACGTATAAGCCGTGCTTTGGCATGCTGTGTGTGCCGAGGGAGGAGGGGACGATTGAGGTTGGTATGAGCTTGGAGGTTACGGAGTTGACGGAGGATCATAAGTATATTAAGGGGATGTGAGGAGCTGCGGCAGCAGGACGGGAGCATTGGGGCTGTTGTGCGAGAGTGAGGGAGGGAAGCATATTTCCGGCATTTGCGAGGCGCTGGAGGAATATTCTGGAAGCTGTTGTTATCGGGCTTCTATATTTTGGATAAAATGACACGTAATTCAGTTCGTGTTCAGTGAGCATCATCAGCATTATCACGTTGTTGGAGCATTGATGGTTGAACCATTTCAGGGACATGATTTCTATGGTTCATCTCCGTCGGAGTCTTTCCGATACCCAAACCATGGGAATGAATTTTACGTAATCAGTGTAGTGGGAAGTCTGCCGTTATGGGTCACGTCCGCTTTTTGAAGTTGATTTCTTGAACCGTGGTCCAGGAGGACTGCTAGGGCTGAAGGCGTTTTTGTATGAAACCAAGGCACAGGCAAAAACTACACTCCTCTCAGGCTCTCAGAGTTGAAACCGCCGGGTATCCGCTGTTCAAACTTTAGAACCGTGCAATATTCTTTCGAGCTTTCGCGGGTGAAAGCGGTATCTCAAGAACTCGATGAGGGGTCCGGGCGCCCAGTTTTGATCATTCATTCGGGGCTTGCTGCTCCGGCTTCATAAGAACAGCTCATCTCTTCCAAGACCATTCAACCCACACCTCCCTCCACTGTTGCTTCGTTCGCGTCTCTTGACGTGACTCGATGACGACCCGTTTCAAAGGCTTCCAGAGATCGTACTCATGAGATCCTTGGCAAAAGTTTAGCTTAGACTTCTTTGAGCATCTCTTTCAAAGCTTAGCGGTATTGGCCCGTCCCGATTGGAGGGCTGCGAGGTGCTCACAACGGAAGACTCAGCACTGGACTGTGTGTGAGAGACTGAAAATCCTTTTGTGAAAGCCGTCCTCAATATTGTTCTTCTTCAACTGTGCGGCTGGGGATTCCACATGTCCCGCGAATTAGCTCCTCTCGGGTAACAGTCGCTCACGAGTTCGTGGGTGTAAGACCATTTCTTCCACGTTGAGAGTATCTGTGCCATTCAACAATTGGCTCCATGCGGGCGGCGTGGACCAGTGGTGTAGGACCATGATAGGTATCTTCACGATGTTTTGCAGAACAGTGTCTTTTTCTTGTGCTGAGCTGCTTGCCGGAAGTACCACGTGGACTATAGCTTCGTAGAGTACATAGCTGGCGAACGCCTCCTACTCATGTTTCATCTTACTCCACGACGCTTTTCTTCAAATACTCTGTGCGCTTCTACTTGTGACTTGGCATCCGAGAGCGAGATACTTATTGCCGGCCTCCCGTGGTACCTAATCGCTGAGACACACCTCGCCTAGGCTGCCTCGTCCTACACCAGACCCACATCCTCCTCTTGCTCTCCCTCCCCGATCGTTCCCAAGCTGCAACAATATGCTTGCTGAATGGGTGCGTGGCGGACCCGTCGGAACCGCAGGTCGTCCATCTTTAGCTCGACGAAGGTCGTCAACCGGTCCTGTTTCGCTCCGACCATACGCGGGTCCGAGCAACTACTGGCCTCTGCCAGTAACTGCGTTGTGCGCGATGTACCCCAAGCCGGATCAGAAGGGGGACTGCATACCCGCGCAGGATAGAAGCGCATAGATAGACACCGGTGTGAAGCAATACAAGACTATTCCGCTGCCGTGTGCCTGCAGCATCTGGGCAGCCCCGCTCCCACGCTCCCCCTCTTAAGCTTGCGCGCCATTCAGTGGCAATTAGGGACCCCGTTGAACGGTAGTGATTACTCAAGGGTCATTGCTTGGGCCGCTAGGAGTGATGATGTCCACTTTGAAGACTTCGACTCAGGAAGAAAGGGCGCTATGAAAGGGACATCTTGAAAAAGCGAAAGGGACGTATTCCAGAGAGGAAAAGGAACAACAAATAACCCTACAGGCCCAGGCAACGACTGTCCCGATGCCATGGATATCTAGGCTGACAGATGGATCCATTGGTGTCCATGACGGCCTCGATCGAGCTTCATTATGCGTTGGGAGATTGGGCATTCTGCGATAGCAACCAAGACATGGCTGATATCGGTAGGATGGTGCCTTGAACAGGTACTTATCTAGTAGGAGTGATGCCCTTGGTGGGACGCATCACATCGGTGCAACGATTCTGGTCTAGAATCACGTGACTGACTAGCTCCCCACTTGGCATCATCGTTGCCTAGGTGCTGACCCCTCGCCAGTGCAACACCTGGAGATCGTTTTAGAATGCATATTCTTTTGCTTGAACCAGCATCGCTGGAGCATGAAGTTTGGATCCTTTGATCAATCCAGCTCTGGCTCCTCTTCCCTTTCGGAAATCGGCGAATGACGTCATCGCAATACCCGACAGGTTCGGAAGAAATGTTCGACTGTCGAAGATATTCGACCGTTAAAGGGCTATTCGATATGAACGTTGCCGGAGTCTCCGCCCAGCATCTGCGCGCGGAGCAGCAATCTTCGTTTTGGCTGGCCTTTGATCACAGCTGGCAGAGGAGAACTTTCTTGTGCAGGCTGACCATCTCGGTGCAAGGACAACACTGGCTTGCAAAATCAGCATCTTGTGATGGAATCACTCTGCTTTTCGGATGTTCTGCGGCAAAAACTGATTTTCATCGCATGAATCTGATCAGATTGGCTTGCCTTTAATGCGTTCAAGGGCTTAATTCATGGAGAGGCACCCACGTTACGTGTCATTGCCGATCACACATGAGCGCGATGTACTGGTAGCTTCATCGGGGTGGCATGCCGTCGCTCCTTTCAACTCGGATGCCATAAGGGGCTACTCAGTCACGCAAATATCTTCGACCACCAGACCAAGTGCTGTCGACATATTGCGTTTGAAAACAGAGAAAGAGGCCCCGCAGCCCTTCCATACAGCAATGTCAAAGACTCTCGAGAGTTGATTTGAATGGCTAGATGCAGAGTGTGCTTCAAAGACTCCTGAAGGAGGTTCTGGCGTGAGTTGCCGCTCGTGGCTTGCAGTGGTGGAGACGCATTGGGACGGAGGCAGACGACAACAAGCCGAACTCAATCACTCGGACGATTTTCAGGTTAACTGAGCAATTTCTGGTCTGAAGTTCAGCTTTCATCGGAGTGGGTACGCACTATCAAGGATCACCGTCCCCAAGCATCAATTTGAAACTTTTGGTGCGTCTGTATCCATCAGGAGCAACCGGTACGAAGTAAAACAACAGAAGAAAAAGTAAGAAAGAAGAAACAGGATTTCGAGATCGGAGGAATGGGAAGACGCAAACAAGCAAGACAAGGAGAAGAACCGAGTTCATCTCACTGGAATATCAGCCCAGAATCAAGGACTCTCAGAGTTGCGAAGAGTTTCATCAAACTGAAATGTTTTCGCCCGCTTCTGATTTTCAGCGGGCTTAACTTCTTAGTCGTGTCTTGCTGTGCTTCTTCGCTCCCTGGATCGTTTCTTCCTCACTCCCCAAGCGTTCTTCTCAATAGCGGATCTTTTTGGTCGCCATTCCATCCTCGATTTTTGCGATCATTTTCACATGGCTGCCGCAGTAATTGGAGCATCCGAAGTCGAAGACTGACGCAAGGACGACATCCGGTCAACAGAGGTGGAAAACTCTGCACTCTGGCTCGTCACCGGCGTCACACGATCTGGACTGAAGTTTCGAGGCCGATAAGGAACATTTAGCCTGAGCGTATGCGTGCAGCTACGCATCACTTGTACGACCTCTCGCTCGATTGCTACTGTATCCTCATCCTCATCCTCTGGTGGCAGTTGGTGCAACGACGAAAGACACTTTCCGCTGTTGTCCGGGTCGGTCTCGGCCGTATCAACCGTTACTCAGCTCCCACAACTTGGCTTTTTTTACGTCGGGTACCGCGTGCTGGGCATGGAAGGCAGGGCTGTCGCCGTATTGTCCAAAGGCTCGGAACTGATGCTGCAGCGCTAGTGTTCAAGGCGCTCATGTCTCCGGCGAAGGATGGTTGAGCGCGGTTCTCAAGGCGGCAGTCGTACTTGTGACTGCGCTGTTAGGTTTGCTGTCAACCTGTGGTGGAGCCCGTCCACTTTTCTGTCCAAATCGAGTGGAGCATGGTGACGCCTGCCGGACCTACAATATTATCATCATTATCCGCACCACATCATCAGGACCTGAACTCGCCTTGGCTTTCAAATAGACCAGAAGTATTTGAGGCTGCTCTTGTCTGTCGCCTCAGGTCTACCTCAGTGTTTTCCTCATGGAAGTCGTGTAGGCTATACCAGCCCACAAGCCGTTCTCGGTCTATGCCCGCGGTCGGAACCTCCTACGAAACGGTGAGGAAGGCGGTTGATACCATTTGCCGCCTCACTGATAGGCCTATATGTACCGCGTCAGCCTTAATTTGTATCTCAGCAGAAGGTGCCACGCTACTCTCAGAGAGTATGCGCCGGCGCGTACAGCCAGCGTCTCTTCTCGAGACATCAACAGTCCTCTTTTTCTTGGTGAGGTGCCGCCGCTCACCGCGGTATATCCGTCGAGTGGGCTGAGCCGGATTTCATCGAAGCCTCGAGGTTCACCATGGAGCAGTCGTCCGGGCTGTATTCTGTTCGTACATCCACATTGTTGCTCGCAGACGATAGGCGGACGCGGTGCGGTGGTCGTCACTGAAGCGAAAGCTCATGTGTGTTGGTGGTGGGTGGTGGGTGGTGGACGCTGAGGAAAGAACAACGCGCTGCCCCTTCCCAGTTGAAGAAGCTATAAGTCTTGGCATGAAAGCAGCCTGAGCTTCGAGGAGACAACACGATCGAATTCACTCCAAGGGTATGACGCACATACCACGACGCTTAGGCCGCTGGCATTCGCTTGTGGAGTTGGTACACAGTGTCGCCGTCATCCCTGCCTGCACAACAACGCGAAACTGCATTCATGGGCTTGAGAGGGCTTCCATCATGTGAGCCTACATGAGCAATGGTCTCTGGCCAAAGGAATCGTCAGGTCCTGCCCTGCTCAGGAGCCTGCAACTCTGTATGCCTCCTGAGGCTCACAATATCCGCCGCTGCTTCTGCACAATACAAAGTCTCATGTCCCCACACGCACATGCTCGTCCGAATCACGGAAGCTGCAGAGGAGGTCCAGTCACCTTATTACGTTAGCTCAACGTCGTCACTCATTGCATTCCATGAGGCCACATAGACCACGATCCGGTGAGGCATGAGCCCAACATCATCCCGTGGTCCATCCGTCGGAGCGCTGTTTGATGGCCAGAACACTCGGACAGACCCCTGCAGCCCCCTGCAGCCTAGGCTTTGCGCTGGTCCATACCGCCCGTCAAGCTCGCCCCTCCTGTTCTTAGGCCTCACCCTTTCACACCGTGTGGAGCAGCAGCTTTGTATACTCCGACGTACGCTCGGCCTGTGAAAGAGAATCAGACCTTGCGGCAGCATCAGACCTAGTGGCGAGAGTGATGGTGTCCACGTACTTGCGTGCACCTGACTGACCTGCATCACTCCGGCCGGGCAAGCCTTGCAGGCCTTGGCCCCACTGCCAGCCTTTTCTCGCCGACCGCGGGCGGACACCACCATTATCCCAACCGGACGCCACTTCCGCTTCGGTTCATGCACCGATTCGCCATGAGATGCAGCAAAGCCCACTCTAGTCGCTCAGCCGCATTGCTCGGCCCGCACCTTATTTTGAGGTCGATCGCGAACATCCCTGGCGCCATGCGTTTCTCCGCAGTAGGGCAGAAGAACCAGTTAATGCTCCTGATCGTCTGGTAATCAGTTGTCGGTGACTGAGCTCACAATGTCATTCCGCTCAGACAGTCCCATATTATCATGAGGAAAGCGTGCTGACCCACGGTTTCGCCCAAGCGAATCCGAACCTAACCGCGACGAAGTCACGCACGCTGCCTCAATGACTGGATCGCTGGTGAATCCGGGTCTAGGCTCGTGGGTCAGTTCAGCCAGCGCATAGATAAATATTCCTCGTCCCGCCCGCTCTCCACCTCCCTTCCTCCTTCAGACAGCTTTTTACAAGCTTCAACACCATCACATCTCCCTAACAGCCAATATCACGAGGGATCTCGCGTACAGAAGCTACACTCTCAACGTCACTTACCAGCACCATGAATCTTGACTTGATTCTCAATCCCATCGGCGCCCAGCCTGCGCAAGCTGCGGCGGTCATTGTGGCCATTCCAGGTATGATTTCTTCCACTCGTATTTTGCGCGCCTAAAGAATCTCGCTACATCTACACTATTTGTATGAGGTTTGGAAGCAGCTCCCAGGATCTTCCGTGATCACGCAGCATCACAGCCGATTCATGCTGCGTACGTATCATGATCATTAGCTGACGGCATCACATAGCACAACCAGTCAGCACCACGACTGCACCCGATCTCAACCAGGTCTTCGTCTGCGAGTTCTCAGGCGCTGGGAGCTGCAACACCGAGCAGGAGTTCACACCGTTTTTCCGGTCGGTCGTCTCTGACTTCTTCGGCCGCAACAAGCTCCAAACGATGTGCATTCCCAACGTCATCTGGTGCAGAATGCACTATCAGCGTGCGTCGTCCCGCCGGCCTAAGAATCAGAAGATGGCATGGCAACACCAGAGGATTGCGATCATCCGGGAAGTGTTCGACCGCATCGCCGCATTGCACCCGGGCGTAAGCTACGATGTTCAGCTCGTAGCTAGGGAGCAGGATCGCCTGGACCAGTGGCTGCGTTTCAACAGGGGAATGGAGGCTGATCCGCGCATTGCGGAGGCCAAGGCCCCGGAGCCGAAAGGCAAAGGTCGCGTGACCTTCAAGGCTCCTTTTGAGGTCCTGGCGAAGCTCGATCCGTACAAGGGCAAGAACAAGTCGAGAGCGGAGTGCGAGGTGATCCTCGCTTTCATCGCGCAGATGGTCGACAACGAAGAGACCGAGCAGGTCCCCGTCGTCGAATTTCTCAAGCGTTGCGGAAACCCAAACCAGCCTGTCACCTGCTCGAAGTGCATCCTCGCCGCCGGCACAGGCAGCAACCTATACGATGCCAGCACCTTCCTCGCTGCTGCCGCTCACCTTTCGCCCACTCTCACTCTTCAAGCCGCCCAGCAGGCCGCCCGGCAGGCCGCCCAGGAGGTTGCCCAGGAGGCTGGCCAGGAAGCCGATGCTTGAAGCCCTTTCACGGTCTCTTGGGGATGTTTAGTGAGTCGACAGCATGGCTTTCTCATGGTACTACGGCTTTGCTTCATTTGCTTCTGGACTTTCCTCATCACTACTGTCACTACTGCTGTGTTCTCTAGCGTTTGGGTGGTTGATTCTTACGAGTCTGCTACGACTGATGTATTCTCTCTCTTCCCCTTTTGTACAATGCGAAAATGAATAATGAAAGATTGGGTTCATCCCCTCTTACTCTCTTAGCCTTTCGGCCTCCCATGCTGACGCTGCCATTACTACGATATCTCCTGACTTCCGATGGCTTGTTGCCTTACCGTATGGCCGTCACCGTGAAGTATCCTGTCCTAGTAATTTCCTTATCACTCTACTAGACTGTCAATACAACGGCGTCTGCCGCCGCTCCCATTGCTTCTTACTTCCCAGAACCGCCACCATTACGACCGCTCCTGGCTTCCCAATGACGGTCTGCCCTACCAAACTGCCACCACTACCACATCCTCTGGCATCCCAATCCCTTCCTTCCCGAATTGCCATCACACTCGCGTCTCCTCGCTCCCGGATGGTTTCTCGGGTCACCAAACTGCCATGACTACAGTATATCCCGGCCGCCCAATGCCTCCTTACCTTCCCACATCGCCACCATCACGGCGTCTCCCAGCTACACAACTATCTATCCTCTTCCCGCATGCCCACCACTCCCAGATCCCTAGTCATCCCCTGTCCCCGTTTCCTTTCTAAAACCACTACCATCACAGCGTCATCTGCCATCCGGATGCCCCAATTCGGTCACGGTATCGTCAACGCCATGATATCCCACCGCTTCCGCCCTCTTACCCCCATCGCATCCCCATCATCACGACAGTTCACATCTCCCACCTTCTCTCCTTTTCTCACCGCATCCCCAAAACCATGCCATCCTACCACTTCCTCCCCTACTACATTGTCAGCATCATGACAGCTCATAGCTCCCCGCTCCCCTCCTTCCCCCCTCGCAACGCTAACATCACAGCATCCCATCCCTCCACCCTTCCACCTTGTTAGGCGCTCAGTTCATAACGTCAGCCGCTTGACTGCGCCCACGCATACCATGTCTCGGCTTCATGGCGCCACGCGCACATAGGTGGTGGCACGCATCGCAAGACAGAACGGAGTATCAAGACGCCAAGTTGCATTCGCTATTCACGGGGTATCTTTAAAGCCAAGCACGCCGCCGCCGCCAAACACCCATCCCAGATGCCCAATCCCCCCCGCCGTCCCAAAAGCCAAACCCAGCAAGCCACTCCAGCCCCAAGTCCCCTCGGCTACCTGAAACCGACCTACTCACGCGCCTCCCCCCCAGCGCCCTCAGCCAGGAACGGCGTCAACGGCTCCGGGATCGGACTCGGCCGTTCGGCCACCACCACCGTCGTCCTGACAACTGCCTCCTGGGCAGGCGAGAGCATGCGCGCAACAGGCGCGACCCTGGCGTCGCTGGCCACCGCAAAGTTGACCAAGCCCCGCAGCGCATTCATCGGCGTGTCGTACTCCGAGTGCAGGCGGCGACGCACGCGGAATGAGGCGCTGACCGTGTTGTACTCGATCAGCTGGTAGGGCGCGGGGTTGGTGAATTGGTAGGGGATGTCGGCGCCGGAGGGGTGGGCGGAGGCGTTGAGGGGCGGGTGGGGGATCCAGTTGCTTGC